TTGCTGCAGACGTCCGGCATAAAAAGCAGATTGGTGTGGGTTCCGGGAGATGGCGTTATGTAAGGTGGTCTTTAGCTTCAACACTGACACGGCCACAGTGACACTCACCACTGCAGGTTTCTTATCTTTCATCTGTGTCTTATCAGTCGCCTGCATTGGCGCCGGACGTGAAGAAATGAAGCTGGAAAGACGAAAAAATAAAGAAATAAAAATAAAAATCGTCCGTATCAGAGTTCGCAAATGACGGGTAGCGAGCCCCGCTTTCACTGCAATCTGTGCCCTCCCATTGGCTCACAGACCAACAGATCCAATCACCATCTCGGGGGCTCAGCAAACGTGCTCAAGGAAACACCGGGCTCTCGATTGGAAGGTGCTTGGCAGAGAACTTAGAAGGAACCGATTTCTTACAGAAATTCCACCGCAAAAAAACATGATTCGCTCTCTCTCAGGGGCTTCCCTTCCCCGGGCGTCTCGATAGCCGCCTCTCTTTTGGTCGCTGTACCCTTCCGGTACCTTCGCCTCCCGGCCAAGTTGCCGCCTTTCGCCAAGTACCGCCCTCGTACCCGCCGCCGCCGCTGCTCTCGCAATCACCGCAATCTCTCCTTTCCATGTGCCGAGCGACCCCAATCTTAATTTTTCCATTGCAAACCACTGGACCGCGACGCCAATCTCATCAATTTGTTGCTGCCACTGCCATTCCCCTTCCAGAACCCTTGGCTATCTCTGCCGTGGGCCCTATTTCAATCTCGTCAATTTCGCCGCGACGGGTACCTTCGACATCGGTCCCTGATCTGGCCCGTAAGAAACGCACCAAAACGACATTTCATTGGAGTTGGCACCATCGTGCTGGGTTTCCGTGTTCCTCAATCACGTCCGGATGTCACGGTCAGCACGCGTATCCTGGGATTCTTTCTCCATCTCGAGGCCCAGACGCAAAGACGGCATCGCGGTGTCAGATAACTCTACTCGGTACTCAATCGACGTCCTGTTGATCACCGTCGATGCGTCTTGATCCCGGTCTCTGCACCTCCGTTTTCCGCTGCCGTTCAGCGCGGAAGACCCCAACATCCTCGTCTCGTCGACTTCCGCTTGTACCCAGCTTGTCAACCTCGTGGGTCCCCGTCGCCTCTGCGGCCTGCCGGTTCCCTGTCGACTACGCCTGTCAACCGTCGACCGAACTTCAGACACTCCAGAGATCCTGTTCTGCTGCCCATCAGGACCCGTACAGCTTACCTTCCGGATCCTCGCCGCCCGGCTGGCTGCCCACCGGCCCTGCTCCAGGCACCTTACCTCGAACTCGGTGCCCTGGACTCGCCGTTGGGTCATGACTCTCTTACCCAGTCCGCGTCGCCATCGTCAACTTCGAGCTGAGCTGAGCTGAACTCTTTACGGCCAACTACCACTGAGGTACACCACAAAAGACACTTGCCACAGAGGACCTCGTACCCGCTGTACGCAAACACAGCCTGCTCAGTGCCACCGTCTTGCCGGCCTACCACCCGTCTACTCCTCCGAATGAAACCCTCGAGAACCCCAAATGCTGCACGCATCCACGCCGTTGGCATGCACCAGACTCAGAAACGTTGCTATTTTTCGCAGCACAAAAACTGGGCCGAGTTACGCGTCGTCATCATCCGGACCAGACGATCAGATCCAGTGTCTGCCAGCGCCTCCACCGCGGTGGCCAATGTCGACTGCGAACGCCAACCACCACACCACACTGACGGAACCTGTTCCTGCGCCGTTACCGTTCAGAACTTCAGACGTCCACACGACAGACGGACGGGACTTTCCAACGGCTCACGGCTCACGGAATACGTACCGAGTCTTTTTTTTTTCCGGAATGTCATCGTTGGAAAGCTCCAGCAAAAGCTTCAAGGAGGCTCTGATCTTCAACTGTGCCTCTACGCTAACCTCCTCAACCCCTCACTCACCGACCCAACCTCCAGCGTTGACGGAGCATTTCCAACTGCTAAAAGCGCCCTTGCGGCCAACCAAATGCCCTGCGGCTCGAGATCGACGCCGATAAAGACAGAAAGAGGTGTTGACTGCCGCTCACCTCTGGCCCGTTGGTTGCTGGCGGTCCTCTGCCCGCTGTTCTGCCCTTCAACGGACCCCAAAAGGGGAGAAAAGTCGCTGGGAATGGGAGCAAGGTCCACAATCATTGGACCAAGTTGACCCTGAACCTCTGGACATCCCATCCCAGACCGCCCCAACCCAACCGACTGACTGCACTTCCGAATCAGGGATTGTGCCGGCTCCGTTTGATTCTTGTCCCTTTTGACGAAACATGACGCGGATCCTGCTGCGAACCGCGGCCGATCAGCATTTCTCTAACAACAGTCACTCTGACACGCCGCCTTTTTGTTCATGGTGAAGCTCAATCGCCCAGCCATCCATCGCTGCCACCCTACCCAAAACAGCGGCGGGTGCTTGGAGCGGCTGCTGGCCAGGCCACCACAGACTTTCGGCTCGGTACCGTGAGCCGCCTAGCAGGCCTGTAAACCTTCCTCATTCCAACGCCTGCCCCGAGAGACGGGAAGGAGGCTCAGGATCACGGAAAGTCAATTTTGTCCAGCTCTTCCCGGCCAGTCGTTCCAAACATCTGCAAACATCTGGGCTTGGCTCTGAGCTTGATCACCCAAAGGAATGGTATATGAGATGACCGACGACGGTTGGCACCGACACTCCGGTCGCCGCGTGCGAATCGTGCAACCGACGCTCGACAAAAAGCTCAAACCCCAGAACAAAGGACAGAAAAACGGGCGGCATCAATGGGCCTGGCGATCGGCCTGCTCATCTGCCCACCCAAACCACTACCGGAGACCATTTTAATGGACCTGCCCCGATTTGACGAATCAGTCCTAGTTGTTCGGTCCTCCAGCTTCAGTTCAAGTGACCTTTTCCTTGGCGTGGGGATGTCAGATGAAGAAGGGGTTGTGGGCAACTGGAGGTTGGAGAGGCGAAAAGGGGGGCCTTGAGCCGCCGGTGAAAGGCCGAAGCCAGCAACGCAGCACTGCGCGAGACGGGGGTGACATTGCTGTCAAGACTCCAAAGGCCCAACTCGGCCAATGCTGGATATCCTGGGCGTCTCATCACCGTGGAGTCGATGACGTCCTCAACACAACCCTGCTCGTCGTCGACTTTGACCACCTCCACCAACATCACGGGCAGACTGGAATTCACTCAGCCTGACTGGGCACTCAGATCAAGGAATCATGTCCACCGCTTCCGTGTTCCGAACTTGCGGCCCAGGCGAGACGGGCAAAGTCTAGACAATCGTCACAAATGCGACGTCCCGTCTTTCTGGCACCGGGAGGAATGCGAAAGTGACCTCCAGCATTCCAACGTCGGCGGGGAATACGAGATAGTCTACAGAGCTAAGCTCATGGAATCACGCAAGCCCAGGCGGAAGAAGGACACGAACCAGCCTTGCGACACAGTCTGGTAATTCTTTTTTTAGGACCAAGACACGCCCAGTCGACGAACGTCGTCCGAATTCGTCGAACCGTACGTACCAGCCGTACAGCCGGACCTGTGGATCAGCACAGGTCCGTTTCAAGCACCTGATGATCTACTTCGCCCTACATGATGCTTCCCTACGGCCGCTTCAACCAACAACAGATGGTGGCTCCGGATTAATTGGTATGGAATTATTGTGCTCTCAACCTCTGACAGCGCGGGAGCAGACGGCAGCCGGCCGGCACTTGGACCCAGTCGTGGTCCTTTGAGCGCCGTACCGCACCGGGACCCTGATCCCGCACTGCCAGAAGAGGCTAGGGGCGGATATCACGATCTGCCGTCTTCCCTCCGCTCATCTCGTCGGTCCGATCACTAGCCGGGCGCCGTAGCATCTGAACCCGCTCTCCAAGGAGAACACCAGCGACAGGCGGCTTGGTCAGTCGTGCAAGCATCGCGAGTATCACGACCTGTGAGATGACGAACCCTCTCGGTCGCCAATCACACCGTGTCCTCCTGAAAGCCGGATCTGGTTTTGCTCACGGCACTTGGCGTGCCCTGCATGATCTTGTGCCCAGGCGCCCGCCTGGGGGGAAGGTCGTGAATCGGGGGACCAGTGAGATTCGACCGTTGCTTCTTTTCTGGGATCGAATTGCTTTTTCCCAACCCCAATCAACGATGCGCTCCTGCGTCGACTTGGCGGTGGTTGAAACATGGCAGTCGATCAGCTGGTTAGCGTGTGAACCACGCACACCAAGCCGCCGCACCAACCAGACCGGCGCTCGCTCAATATCTGTGAAGCATTTCTGGAACGTTGGCGCAGCATGCAGAGAAAAGCCACGAAATTCCTGCGAGCCCCGGGTGAATTCAAGAACCAGTCACGTCCTGTGCCTCCCGCGGATCATTATTGTCGATAGTTAACGCACCGCGGATCGTCGAACTCGAAAAGCCACATCGTCGTCCCCGCCGAATCACGCATGACATCCTTTTCTTCTCGAGACTGATTGCTGCCGAATGGAGTTGTAATACACATCACAGTCGACGGCAAACGCAAACGTCGATGCTTCGATGTTGTCGCTCCTCGTGCTTCCCCAGCGCCTGCAGCGGCCCTCCCCGTCGCCGCATCTTGCACCTCGTGCCACCCCTCCCATCCGGGCTGTCGTGTGTCGTGTCGCCGTGGCAAATCGGAGGACGGCTGGCCGACATGTCAGGCCGCCGCGAGGCGTGATGTCTCGGCTAGGTGCATGCTTCCGTAGCACACTCACTCGGACGGCGCCGGTGCAGCGCGCCCAATCCGGCCGGCCAGGAATCGTGTGGATGACACGCCGCACGGCATGAGACGCACGGCATGAGAAGGGCAGTTTTAACCGGCACTACTGACATGTTCACAGAGGTCCACGAGTTCGGGGAATACTGAGTTTCGACAAAAATAAATTACATCATAGGCTATCTGAAGCTCTCTAACTGCAGCAAGTCATAGAGAGGGGATATCTCGTTTCGCAACCGTTAATACGTAAACCAAGTCATGACACACGCACTATCTACTGGTACTGCTGTCCCTTGTGGTCGCCCACGCCAGGTCGCGGCACGCCGTCGTCGACGTATCCCGGGAGCTGCTCGTCGCCCAGTGCTCCCGAGGCGGTTGGGCCGCCTTGGGGGGGATGCGATCCCAGTGGTCCTCCGGCGTGGGAGGCGTACTGAGGTTGTTGGCCGTAGCCAGGGGGAGCACCCTCGGCGTGGCCTCCGTACTGGGCCTGGTGAGGGGGAGCACCGTAGCCGGGAGGTGCCTGTCCGGTAGCGGCGCCGGTGGCGGGACCGGTGGCCGGGATGGGAGCCGGGGGAGGCAAGTTGGCATCCGGAAGCGCCTGCTGCGCCTCGGCCGTCCGGAGAGCCTCGTACAGAGCATGGGCACCACCGGGCCACATGCCGGCGGGACCCTGGGGAGGGACCTGGCCTCTGACGATCTGGTCGACCGAGACCTTCTGGCCGTAGAAGGCGGCGTTGGCATCCTTGCGCTCCGTGACGACGGTACCGTCGACCTGGACACCAGCGTAGAAACCGCGCGACTTGACGTAGGAGAAGACGGGCTTGAGAGATGAGCTGCTGCTTCTGCGCTTGGCCTGCTTGTCGTCGGGCTTCAGCTTGCCGTCGTCGGCAGGCTTGACATCGGCGGCGGCGGCGGCCTGGTCGGCAGTCTTCTTCTCCTCCTGCTTCTTGCCGCCGAAGCTGGCGCCCATGTCCATGACACCACCGGCGCCGTAGGGGCCGGCGACGACGGCGACATCGGGACCCAAGCTGACGCGGGTGCTCATGAAGGCGCTCAGGGCCTCGCGGCTGTTGATGACGCAGACGCAATCGTAGATGTCGACGCCGATCATGAAGCCGGCGCCGACGGCGTGGACTTGGATGCCCGAGGGAGGGCTCCAGGAGCCGTCGGGGAGGCGGGCGATCAGTACGCCGGAGCCGGTGGCGCCGGAGAACTGGAAGCCGGCTCTGAAGGTGGTGAAGATGGCCAGACCGACGGCCTTGTTGATGACCTTGCTAGGGATCTTGACGATGGCCTTCTGGTCCTTCTTCGCCTTGTCCTTGCTCGGGGTGACGGGGCGCGAGCCGTCGCCTTCCGTCTTTCCGGGCTCGAGCTTCTCGGAGGGCTGGGGCTGGGGCGCGACGTCGGAGGCGATTCCTTCCTCTGTGATGATCATGTCAGCTGAGATCGAAAATGTGAGAGATGCTTCGTCGAGACTTACTGCAGAAGCTCTGGAGAATCTTGGCCGCCTTCTCGCACTCCTTGTCCATAGTGGTGGGCAGGAAGCTCTGGGAGCCCATCTTGTTGGCGAGGGCGTTGATGGGCACGGCGGCCCTCATGCCGATTTGGGTCAGGCGCTCGCCCCATCCGCCGTGCTTCTTCTGGGGCTTGGTGGTGTCCGCGGTGGACGCGAAGGCGGCGGCGGCCTGGCCCGCGGCGGGGTCGGCCTGGGTGGCGCCGGCGGTCGGGTAGTGGTGACCGGCGCCGTACTGGGCGGGGTTGTAGTCGGGGAGGGAGGTATCGTTGGGGTGCTGGCCCTGGGGCGGCGGAGCAAAGTGCTGCTGCTGCTGCTGCTGCTGTCCCTGGGGAGGAGCGGCATATTGCGGCTGCTGAGCCTGGGGAGCATGCGAATACTGAGGCTGGCCGGCGGGAGGCGGGCCCGGGGGCGGCGGAGGGAAGTACTGGCCCTGCTGGCCGGGCAGCTCGCTGGTTCCGGAGGGCTTCGCGTCGAGGCCGGGCTGTTGCTGGTGGTGCTGGTCGGTCGGGGGAGGAGGGTAGATCTGCTGCTCACCACCCGTGGGGATGGGCGGCTTCTCGGAGGAGTTGGGACCTGACCACGACATGATTCAGGTGTTTTTGATGGTTGATGCGGACGGGGGGGTATCAAATGAAGCACGAGCAAACGAGAAATTGATGCGAGAGAGTGGTTCTGGGGGTATCGTCTGATGGAGAAGAGGAAGGAAGCTTGTGATGAGGAGGAAGTGGGCTGATGTAAGGTGGGAAGGGGAAAGAGCTGTCGTGGACGTGTTCTCTTTTGTATGTTTCGGGGATTCTGAGATGGACCCTGTTTTTGCTTCGGAGTCGCCAGATGAGTCTGGGGTTTGTTGAGGGTTTGGGCTGTGGCGCAGATTGTGCGTCGACGTGGATATCGTGGACGCGTGGGTGAGGCTTAGATGTAGAATTCTAGAGAGGCCTCTCTCTCTTGTTTGTTTGCTAAAGAAACACATTCAGTCTATCTTACGTAGCTACTGCGTCGTGGAGCTGCAGCTGCCAGCTCACCAGTGGCACAAGAGAGGAGGGGAAAGCTGGAGGGGCACCGGGTAAACGTCATGTTGTGGCTGATGACATGTAGTGGGGCAGGTGGGGGCGGTTAGTGTGTGGCTGAGCACACTCACTTTATTGCTGAGCCAAATCGGTCCTCTTGGTGAAGATGTTGACTCGCTGAAGATCACCCGCGGCTTCCGGATGCTATGAGAGCGGTCTCGCAATCGCTTTCTTGGTCGTGGTATCGACGCGTTTTGCTGTCGATTACCTACCTCACGGATACAGCTCATGTGGGCAAGCATGCCCGCACACAGCCAGCGTCATTTCGGCGACGCCTGGGCCGGCGGGCGAGTCACGTTTTTTGGTCCCGGCCATGTCCGTTTCGTTTATTCGTACGTGGGGTTTGTATATTACCCCGCGGGTTGGTTGAATGAATCTTTGGCCGTTGCTCGCAAGAATTGCATTCATATTCATCCAGCCGCCATCCGTACGGATTCTGGAGAGAGATAAACCCGGCTTCCGATGCCGATCCGAGTGGGAGTGTTCGCATGTTCTCTACAAAACCAGACACTTTTATCCCGCCGGTTTCCCGCTGGTTTGTTCAGATGACGGGAACGCAGCTCTCTTTTGTGTTTTTCAATTTCGATCAATCAGTCAGTCGACGGCAGAGACAGACGCGCTAATAGCGGGGAAGACTCTGGTCTCGGATCGGACGTCGCCAATGACCACCAGGAAAAAAAAGAGGGTTGATGACCGGACGTCTCCTAACGGTCCGGCGCCCTAGAGATCTAGATGGGCAAGCCCGGACTTGTTTGAATTGGATTGGATCTACTGGTGTATGGTAAGTAGGACGGATGGTTATGAAGAAGGCAGTCGGCGATTGAGTCGGCGCAAAGGAGAAACAAAACATTCCATCCTTTTCCGTGGAACGTTCTTTCTCTGGGACGACCGTTTCGAAAAAGCTTCCCGAGTCAATCACTCAACTTTCATCTCAATTCGGGGCGTTGTTTGTGTTTCCGGGTAGGTAAGGTATCTGAAGTTCGGCGCTGCAGCAGCCCAGCTCGACCGTCCCGCCGGGTCGGACAATCGTGCTTCGGGCAGTTTCTTTGGATTTGACTCGTTTCGGCGCGACGAACGCCGACTTTTCTTTCTTCAGTCCTTCTAGTACTCCCGAAAACACCTGAACGAGTGTTCCGAAAAAGGGGAGCGGGGAGGTTTCGTTTCGTTTCTCGCCTTCCTTGGTAATCACGACATTGACAGCGCCGTACGTGCTGTCAGCTCGGTCATCCCATCTTTCGAAAATAGCGCGCTGCCCAAGAATCGATCCGGAATCCCGTCCCCCAAGGTCCGTCCGCCACCGCCGACAACGATACGATACGATACGATACCCATCCTCCATTCTCACACCGAATATCCCACTTTCCCCCGAGCGCTGGAGCGCGGCCCTGCGTACACTTGCTCTTGCCTAAACGGCCAAGCGGCCTCTTCTTCTTTTAGTTACTCTTCTTCAACTGGCGCCGACACGGCGACTATGTTTGGAAACGGTCAAGCTTGACTGATCTTTCCATCTCACTCCGCCGCGGGATCTGCTGTTACTATCGATTTCATTAGCGACCCAAGGTCAGCCAGGCTGTTAGAAAAAAAAAGTCGCCGTCGCCGAATGCCCAATTCCATCATCCACCTCTTCGGAGCTCCGGCCGGTGGAAGGGGGCCACGGACAAAGGGGAACGGTGGTGGTGGTGGTGCAAATCCCATCCATCGCCCCCACAATTCGGGCGTTTGTCACTGCGCACTGCGCAGGCCCTTGCTTTTCCGTTGGTGTTTTCCCACTTTTGCTCGACTTGTTGAGGCGGACGTGGACGAGCGAGCGCATTGCGCAAAAGAGTGGCCGACTACCTACTAGGGGGCCCTTTTTATGGAAAGCAGTGATCAACGTGAGCGAAGAACCTCCGGATCGTCCTCTCTTTTTACATACAGGTCGTCCGTCCTCTCGCGTCTTTCTCGGTCCTTTCTTCTCCTTCTCTCTCTCTCCTCTGTCTCTTTCTTCCTCAACGTTACCCGACGAGGCACCCTCGGTCCGAGAGAATCTAGAACTCAGTCTTCACCTGCATTAACCTACCCGGACTGCATCCGCCTGGTCTACTTACAACAACACCACACATACATACTCACATCACCAAATACATCCACATAAAACAAAACACCAAGAAAGAAATGCCAAGCGCGACAACACCCTCGCCGCCCCCGGGCGGCCCGGACACGACCCTCCACCTCCCGCGCATCCTCTGCCTCCACGGCGGCGGCGTCAACGCCGCCGTCTTCCGGGTGCAGTGCCGCGCCCTCATCGCCCGCCTCAAGCACCACTTCCGCCTCGTCTTCGTCGACGGGCCCTTCGTCTGCGCCCCGCACGAGTCCATCGTCTCCGTCTACGGCGACTACGGGCCCTTCCGCCGCTGGCTCCGCTGGCTGCCCGAGCACCAGCCCGTCGTCGACGCCGAGACCGCCTCCGCCGAGATCCACTTCCAGCTGCGCATGGCCATGGACGACGACGACGCCCTCGGCGCCACCGGCGACTGGGTCGGCCTGCTGGGCTTCAGCCAGGGCGCCAAGATCAGCGCGAGCCTCATGTACACGCAGCAGATGCTGCGGCGCAAGTATGGCCGGCGCATCGCGAGCGCGGGCGGCAGCGCGGACTGGAAGTTCGGCGTGCTGCTGGCCGGCCGCGCGCCGCTGATTGTCCTGGATGACAGGATAGACGCGCCGCAGGGCGTCGGGGACGCGGCGGAGGCGAGCGTGGTCTTTGACGACTGGCCGAACGGCAGCGGGACGGAGCACCTCCTGCGCCTGCCGACGATCCACGTCCACGGGACCAAGGACCCGGGGCTGGAGCAGCACCGGAGGCTGCTGAAGGAGTACTGCGAGCCCGGGACGACGAGGCTGGTCGAGTGGGAGGGGAACCACCGCGTCGTCATCAAGACGGTCGACGTCGACGCCGTGGCGAGGCAGATCCTGGAGCTCGGGGCGCAGTTGGGGCTCGTCGAGAACATTGCATAGCATTTTCCCGGTGTTTGTTTTGTTGTATTACTAAAGGGTTTCACGAGCTTCTTCTTCTTCTTTTTATGTGGATATCTTGGGGGCTTGCATAGATCGTTTCACCAAATACCAAATCCGTTGATGCTTTTTCCCATTTTACAAAGGCGACTTCGCGATTCATGTCGTGTACACCCCCGTCGGGACGGCGTGATACCCCTTCTTCCCAACAACGTGCGTCAACTCGCTCCTCCAGTCCTCGCCGCGCGCCAACCTCTCGACGACCCTCTCGAACGTCCACTCCGGCCTCCACCCGAGCTCCCTTACCGCCTTGGAGGAATCGTACACCCGGTCCACGCGCCCCGGAAACCTCCACCCGAGCTCCTCAAACACCGCCGCGGCCCCGGGCACCCGCTCGCGGTACACCTCCCCCGCGTCCGCGTCCAGCCGTGCCAGGGTCTCCGTATCGTGTGTGAACGGCGGGGGCGCGGAGATGACGTACTTCCCGAACCCGATCTCCGGCGCGCGGTCCACGGCGCAGCGCACGGCGGAGACGACGTCGGCGACGTCCACGCGGCGGTGCGCGAGCTCGCAGACCTTGAGGTTCGCGTCGGCCATGGCCGCCCTCCGGCGCTCGTCGTCGTCTTGCTCCGGGAAGAAGCGGGACGTGCGGAGGACGAGAACGGGGAGTGCGGTCCTCGCGTGGACGAGCCGGCAGAGGTCCTCGGCGGCGCACTTGGTGACGCCGTAGATGTTTTTCGGGAGCGGGGCGACGTGCTCGTCGATCCAGGCGGCGGGGGATCCGGGGGCCGGGGCGAGGGCGGCGCCGAAGGCGGAGGTCGTGGAGATGAAGATGAAGGACTTGAGGGGCGGGGAGCGGGCGGCGGCGGCTTCGAGGAGGGCGAGGGTGCCGGAGATGTTTGTGTCGACGAAGGCTTGGGGAGGGTGGGAGTCGACGTGGGGTTTGTGGAGGGTCGCGGCGTGGATGATGTGGGAGATTGACGGGTTCGCGGCGAGGAGGGAGGAGATTGCGGTGCGGTCTGTGACGGAGGCTACGTGGTGCGTTGTTGGGGAGGGGAGGATGTCGATGCCGAGGGGGTGGTGGCCGTGGGAGGGGAGGGCGTGGAGGAGGGCGGCGCCGAGGTGGCCTGAGGAGCCTGTTACGAGGACCGTGTAGGGTTTTGAGGACATTTTGACGGGTTGGATGGGAGTTGTGAGTTGTGATGAGGTGTAGGTTGTCGGGTTTGGGAAGGGAGGTGGATGTTATAGGTTGGCGATGGTTAGTCATGGTGTTGAGGCGGCGTGACTCATTGGTTGTTGCGACGCCAAGCGAGAAGGGCGCGACTGGTTCTTGTGATGCAGTGCGTGAACGGTTGTATGTTTACTTCTAGAACATGAATTCTGAATGAATCTCCAGGTTGTGTGCGCTCAAACTAGATAGGATCACGGCAATTTATTATGCAACGACGTCTCAAAACCTTAGCAACTCATTCACTTTTAACCAGCAACTATTACTACCACTCTTACAGGTCTTGATTTAACTGAGTCTGAGGTCAAATCATTCCATTTCCGACAGACCTTAGCCAATACAAGTTTCCTCCAACTCCGTGCTCCATTTCTTTTTCACCAAATCGACGCCATGTTCGAATATTGTCCTGCGTAGTTGACGTGTCAACCTAGGCATTATCTCTTCGGCCATCGTTGGAGACATCAGGAATGATCTCATCCAAACCCAGCTTCGTTACAAGTTCAGCCAAAGACGGCTGCTGCTCGAGGTACTCCCGGGAAAGGTTTCTCGTCTTCCAGAGCCAGGCGGAGGCTTGTTTGGCATTCTCAATCACCCTGCCATCGCCATCGAAGCTGCCCCAGGCCGACATAATGCAATAGCCAACGTCTTCTAGAGAAAGGGGCGTCTTCTTATAGCATCCGGTTGTCGTCCATAACTTCGTGATGCCAGTCGCCCTCTCCAAGCTCGAGTTCTGGGTATCCTTGCAGATTTGAGCAGTCCGCTTCTTGACATGATCGATCAACTTCTTCCTCCACCCCTCCTCTCTCTGCTGTGACTGTCTATGCGCATAAAGCCGCTCATGCAGCACCAGTCGTTGCTTACACTTGTCCGCCGCGTCCATCGAGTCCACATGCCAAGTTTTGAAGTGCTCCAGCAGTGTAGGCTTCCGGCCCTTCAAGAGCTCGGTGCTGTAGTCCAATAGGCAGCGCCAGGGTACGTCGTATGTCTCAATCTCCCGGAGAGGAGAACAGGTTGCTGGCTTTTTGATGACGGTAAGGAAGGTGCTGCCGTTGTGCTCCGTCCATATGATGCGTAACCTTTCATCCAAGTACTCCGCAACACTCTCCGTGTGTTCTTCGCTCTTGAACAAGCGTAGTTGCTCCTCTTTGCTGATGTGGGCGGGTATGCCTACTTCAAATGGGTATTCTTTGGGGTCGCGATGCATCTTGGAAAGACCCATGTCTTTCCATAAACTTATCCGCTCACATCTCTCGGCTATACTGATCTTTTCAATTCCAGTAGGAGGAGTCGGTGCCCCCTGAGAAGCAGCCACCGGCCGGGATCGTCTAATATCAGCATCTAGTAAGTCCCTAGTGCAGTTTCCATCACAGTTTCTGCACGGGCAAGGTCGTGATCCGTGATCGATCTCTTGCTGAACCGGTCCATCCAAGAGATGAAGGCGAGCAATGTTCTTGTGCTCGAAAAACTCAGAGTCGTACTTTTGAAGCCAGTAAGCATAGCCGTAGTCCAAATTCTTTCTGTCGAAATCTGGAAATATTAAACCACGGCTATACAAACCCCGATAGCAATCGTCAGCTGGCTGCAATTAGCAATTTGATACCGTAGAGTAATTAGGACAGTATGACCAAACTTACCCAAATCCAGGTACATCTCACGCAACACCCAGTATTGGGACTGTTCCATGCCAATCATAAGGATCTCGTCTTCTCTTGCACGTTCATAATAGTGAGGTAGCAGGCGTTCCGCGTTTTGACGGAAAGCATCCCGCCCCTCGTCCGTGATATCGCTGCCCATGACAAGCGTCAAGAGGTGTTCGCAATCAGTCATATGATATCCCTCTCTGAAATGACGGAGCCAAGGGACCCAGTCCACGGCTCTCTTAAACTCGTTCGTCTGATGATTGTGGTTGTGGAAGCTCTCGCTCCGCGTCGCGGTTCTCGCAGAGAGGCTTCCGCCAGCACTGCTCTCCATTCTCATCGATTTTCTCGGACCATCCGTATTTGATACGAACGTATCCGAGGCCGGTCTCTTGCGTCTTGGTTCCATTTTGGTTCATTGACTTGTGTTGGGTGAAATTGTTTCTGCAAACAAAAAAATATCAACAAGAAGATGGGAAGGAGCAGAAGGTGCGTTGCGGCGAGTTGGACGGTACGGTACGTACCTGGCAGTTCCGTCCATATTAGGTTAGTGATGACCGTTTACAGTGGGTCAACATGAAAAGGAAAGAGCCCGACTGGACGATGGCCTGCAGCTTGAAGAACGACTGTCATGAGCGTAGGTTGGCAAAAGATATTTCAACAGATTGAATCTCTAGTCTCTAAGTTGGGTAAAGCAATTTTTAGGAAAAAACATCTTAACCCTGAATTCCTAGAACTAATTATTCCTGATTGCCCTCAGCAGCAGCTTCGAAGGCGACTTCGTAAATCATGAAGACGCTACCAGCAGGGTCCAGATACTTGGCGAACCATCCATCGCCACGAGCATCAGTCTTGCCCAAGACTTGCTTTCCGCCCAATGAAATGATCTTCTCGTGAGCCTTTGCGACATCAGCTGCGGTTTCTTTTCATTTAAATCAAAAGGGCATTATGTGGTTGAACTGACCGCCTCAATGAAATCGACCATGAACGAAACCACCATGCCAATGGACTCGGCAGCACCGTTGTTGGTCCTGGTCAGGGTGTGATCGTTCACCTTGACGATGGCTCCCTCGATATCTTGGGTGGGACAGGTCAGCGAAAGTATTTGGGCTGCGAATATTATGTAGATGTCGGGCGAGGGAGTTGCGAAACACTTCTCAGAGGCGGACGCAACGTACATACGGGCTCCTCAATTTTGAAGAGCGCAATGAAGTCGTCTTGGTGACGAGGAGACTTTGGGAACTGCCAGGACGGGAAAACCGCTTGGTAGAAGGCCTAGTGAGCAACTGAGTCAGCCGCCAAGCTTTTGCTTGGACATTTTCTCAATTGTTGATGAGAAGCATTTTAGCATACACGAAGTGCCTGGACATCAGCGGCTGGAATCTCAATCCAGTTGACACCTCCGTGAGGTGGTCGGACAGAGAAGGGCTTTGCGATGTTGGTGTACTTGAACATGGTGAAGGGTTAATAGTACCGTAGTGAAGTAGAATAAGGCAATGTCTGAAGATGAGTGTACTTTTTGAGAGCGCAAGGGAGCAAGGAGGCGAGATAGAAGTTGTATTTATGTTACCTTCCATGAGTCTGCCAGTCCACAGGGACGGCAGACTCGGGCTCCGTCGAATGGGTTTGACCTATCGAGACGTCACCTCCAAAAAGCCCATTCACGCTCAAGACATACTCAAGAGACTCGGGAAAGGGTTCCGAGATTCTGAACTCACTTCGGTGAGTGAGTCACTTCTGCGAAAAGTAAGGCAGAGCAAGCCAAATAGACCTGGGATGCTCTTTGAGTTCTCGTGTCGAGGTGTTCGTCGCAAAACAAGAATATCACAAGCCTACGTCCTCACGCAACCCCCGATATTAGTGCAGTTCCTGCGGGGCCTCGTCATTTGGGACGGTCCGCATGTATTATGCTATGATGGTGATCTCTAGATTGTGTACAGTTGTGCACATCAATCGTCCAAAGTGTTTAGCGTCGGAAAAGCTCCCCGATGCTCATTCTTGTATTAAAATAATTCCAAAAGCTTGTTGAGGGTTATCCTCGCTTTGACGCCAGTGTCTTAAGAACGTTTAACTTGTCACGCCTAAATATGTATGGCGGCGTCGAGACGAGAATGCTATTGCATATGTTGTTCGTTGGAATTGGCCAACCTTGTCCTGAAAACTTAGCTATTGGGTCAGCTGCTTTGCTACTGAAGACCACCTACTTCGCAGCTGAAGGGTGGTCAAGGTAGTCGTAGCGGGAAAAGTTTATATAATCCTGCTGAAATTGAGAAGAGTATAAGGTGGATGTGATTGCTCGCGTGTCTATGAACTGGTCCTGCGTGTTACCCTCCTTTCCCTCTCGAGTGTCAGATCTGCGACTCCCAAGTCAGCTTCCGAAGAAGCGCGTGGATGGCATAGACATTATCCCTGCTGAGCTCCAGATTACTCTGAGTCCTGACCCGTTCTTCAATGTCAAACTCCCTCTTATCCCAAATCTCCCAAGTCAGGAAGCTGTGAGGCAGAAACCCGGCGTGCTCGAAATCGATGATGATGACCCGGCTGGACGGATCATCCGGATTCTCCAAGAGGAAGTTGTCGAGGTTGAGGTCGCAATAGCAGAGTTTGAGACCTTCCTGTGTGAGTTTGGCTGGCGCGATGTCTGGCCACTTCTACTCGTTGCATAGTTAGTCAATACCCAGCTGGCACAGAGGGTCGATAATACCTTTGTGATCTTCTCATTGATGAAATCTTCGAGGTCCTTCAAGTTGGCGAACTCCCTTGGCGCGTACGAGTCGTCTTTCCCGAATGCCCAGTGCATGATCAGGCCGCCGCCGACCGGTCCAGGTGTTACGTCGGCCGGAGGGGGAAAAGAAAGAAAAAAGGAAATCGAGTCTGCGACTAAATCTTTGAAGACCGTGATGTTGTCTTGAAGAGACTTCTGAGCTGGTGTAGGCATTGACTCAAGAGTGTCTGTGGGATCTGCGTCCTCTGACTGCGTTTGCCCGCCATTTGTTTGGCCATTTGGCTCCGCGTATTCAAATTCCAGATCTTGCAGAATCTGGCTGATGGCTGTCCCAGTGACGTACTCCATAACAATGATACCGTACGATAGCCGGCAGCTCTCCTTAATCAAGTACAGCGTCACGTCGAGTTCCGTCTCGAAATAGTCGAACACCTTGGGGACGTAGAACCTCTGCCTTGCTTCGTCACCCATCTTGAGCAGCTCGTCGTGCACGTAGTATTGAGTGTTGGCCTCGCATCTCAGGCCCTCTGGAGTGTTTCCGTACTTGACCCAGACGTAGACGTCGTCCGGCAAGTCTTTCGGCGAGAAGCGGAAACCCCGGATGTTGTGGTAGTAGGGTCTCTTTGCGCATTCGGCTATATTATGTAAAGCTGCTGAGACGACTTCGTCGTGGTTCGGTCTCCAGTTGGGATCCATGACTGCTGGGAGGGACTGGAAGACGGAGAAAACGTGTGAGACGAGAACACCAAATCAATTGTCTGGTCCTAGATATTGAGAAAAGAGCACCCTCGTTTGCAACTACAAAAGGTTTTGAGATCAAGCTCATGAGTCACTCGGCGATGTCGAGCGGACTGGCAACGGTCATGTTGGTGCGGTCGTCTCGGGGCCACCCAACCAACAGCGGGCGGCGCTTTTTCATTATCTACACATGGTCCGTACCCGCCTTTCCGAGAATGGTCACCAGCATGTCTTTTTCACCGGTTTCCAGATGCTAGAGTTGATCTTGGTATTTGCATCTAATACTCGTCGTCGTCGTCGTCATACTCATCGGAGAAATCGTCATAGTCGTACCACCCGTAGCCACCGATTTCACTCTCATCGTCGCTTCTGTAGTCTCGGGTCCGTCTCCGCCTTCTTTTTCCATGCACAAGACCATGCAAATACTCCTTCCGGAAGACTTCCTCGCACGCGAAGCAGGCCTCCGGCCTTTCGGGGCCGTCACATTCAATGGCGTTCTCGTCTTCCTCGGTTTCCTCGTTGAAATGCGGACACTCTCTCTGGATGGCCGGAATCCTCAACCACAGCCTGGACGTCCCCTTGTTGGGGATCCAAGGCTTGGATGCCTGCTGCCAGTTTCGAAAGTTCCACGCGACGTATTCGTGCTTGGACAGCGCGACGACGAAGTCGTCGTCCACCCCGAGGTGCCGGATGCCGCCCTTGAACTTGAACTTCTTCTCGTGGGCCATGACCAACGTCGAGGACTGGTCGCTCACGCAGATGGCGTTCTCGCCCGCGAGCACCTCGGGCCAGCGGGTCTCCGTTTCTTGACGCTCGTCGACCTCGACGTCTTGCAGGTGGTACACCTGGTTGTTCCAGACGATGCCTCCTTGGATCTCGTCCACTCTGCGCGGCAGGTCCTCGGGGCTCTGGAAGTCGTGCATCCGCATCTGGCCGGTTATGATTTGACGGCGTACGGAGAAGACCTCGTTCCTCGTATCGAAGTTGATATGGCCTAGAACGTAGGGCGGCGTCTCGAATATGAGGAACCTGTCCGAGATGGAGACGGCCAGGTTGTAGAGTCCGTATGAATTCATCTTCCGACAGCGGTTGAGGAACTGGTTATACAACGGGAACTTGGTATAGCGACGGAACGACTTTGTGTACTTGAAGTTCTCGAATTTGTGAACCGCAATCTGATGTCCGGTAGTATGTTCGTCCTCGTCGTCATGTATGTCATCATAGTCGTCTTCCTCTTTCATACGCTGGATGTATAGTTGTATCTCGTCATCCGAATTTTGGAATTCGCCGGGCGAGACTGAGAATTTCTTCTTGGGCTTTGAGAAAGCTAGCAAACATGCGTCAGCAAAAGGTGACCGAGCAAAAATACGCGACAACGACGGAAACTTACGGCCAGACGGACAATTGGAAACAAAATAGAGCACTTCGGGGTCCGAATGGTGGAAGATGAAGCCACACCAAGGAGGGAGTCCATCCATATTGTGGAACTTGTGTTTGATCCCGTGAGGTGTAGGATCAGGTAACTTGATGAGGCCGCCACGCCAACGCCAGACGTGTGGCAGCGCGGGGGGAGGAAATGTCATGGCAATGGTCTCCTTGTCCACGTACATCTCCATCATCCGGTTCGGCAGAGTGACTCGTCGAAACTGCCTGTTCTGCAAGTTGTAGACGATTCTGGAGCAGTCAGCGTAATCCATTGAGGTCTTTGACGGAAGGGACGTACAGAGCTCGGCGGGTAGCGCCGTCGAGCAGGATAACAAGCCTATCAGTCATTTGGTAAACGACAAAGTCTTTCTGGCCCTTGAGAACCGCATCTGGCAGCGTTACATATATCCTGTTCCTGGTGTTTAGATCGTCAATGAAGAAGCTGTACGCATCACCATTGAAGGCGACCCGACCGCTGGAGTACGCGTAACAATCGTTTTCTTCGTGGGATTGCTGCTGCTGCAGCTTCTTGTGGGCCTCTCTGGCATCTGGGCCACTCATGAGTTGCTTGTACTTTTTGAAACTCTTGGTTTTGGCGTAGAAGCGATCTTTGACGATTGTGGCCGGCTCAATGGAGACCTTGAGATGAGATATGTAGTTGCCCTCCATGCGGGTGAGGTTTTGGGCCGCGACAACGGCCAGGGCCCGCCAGAGGTACGGACCAGAAGAGACGGCGGCCTCTTTCGGGATGATTGACTGAGTAATAATGTCTTCGTAATCTGGAAAATAGACCTTGACGAGGTCGGTAACCACAACGTCTCTGGTGCAGGCTTGTCGCCAAGCCCTGGATACTGCAGCGCAGGCGAAGACATCCTTGCAGCTCAGCTGAGAAGTTACCAGAGCGACAACTTCGTTGGGTAGATCGCAAAAGTCCGCGAGACCTGGCTTTTTGTTGCGGAGTAAGGTCCTAAGGTGGATGAAATCCCACGGGGACAGGACCTCGACGAGGTTCTCCAGGAGGGCTCGTCTTAGTGGGACATTAGCAGATTCGCCCTCGGAGGTGAGACGGGAGAATTGCTCCGAGAGCGAATTCGGGGAGACGGATTCGGCTGACATGGAGACTCAGACCGGCATGGTCTTTTTGAGATAGTCGGGTTGAGTTGGGCGCGAAGGTGAGGCCGTCACCGCTTCGTGGGGCTGAATATCTGCAAGCCGCACGTGATTTACAGGTATCTTGACCGAGCCTCACCGAGATTACAGCTGGTGAATCTTCAACAGACCGTGGGTATTATGTAATACGGAAGAACTGTCACTCATCCTCCGATCTCGCTGCAAGGTACGTACTCTATTCCCCAGGCGGTAAACCAACCGGTTGAACTGTACCGTCGGGGCGGTCGCGACGAGCTTGCCGGTGCAGCAATAGCGCCTTCTAGAGCCGCGGAAGCCTGCCAACCGGCGCAATCAGCCCCCTAAAAGATGGGAAACCACTGGGCGCCTCAAGCCCCGTGCTCGGCGGCGAACTGCCAACATGGACATGGAACGCGCTGTAACCTGTGTCAGTTTCCCAGGCGGATCGCGGTAAAACGGCCTAGGAAGGTCCACCGATGCGCCGAGCACGACATCATTTTGGCGACCAGGAGTGACCGAGTGACCTGCTGACGTGCGAAATCGTGACTCTCTGACTCCGACCTTCGTTGCCTCCATGGTGCCCGTTTCCGCCCACCACCACCACCACCACCATCCATCTCATTACCAGGTTACATTTCTCGGTCCTTCCCCAAGCCAACGCCCTTCCCGAGGCTTCTCCTTGCCTTCCCGCCGTGCCGACCGTCTTCTCCACGTCATGTTCCTGTCGTCTTCAACTCTCTATTAATCCTCCGCCCCTCATCAATCTCCGAGTACTCTTTCCTTAGGTCGTCTACGTCGTCATCTGCGTGGTCTGGTTTGGACTGGTTTGCTCTCTGGGGGATGGTGACCAGCGGCTGTCTTATTTCCTCTGTTTAATCCTCCGACATCTTTCTCGATCTCCTACTCGCCCACCGCCGACGTCGGCACCCTTCGCAGTATTTATTTATCTTCGCGAACATCTCAAGTCCGAAAGCTTGTTCAACCATCATCATGGCGCGCGCCTCGAGCCCGCCCACACCATCCGATGACCGGACGGTCGTCGCAGCGGTCCCCGACGACGACGATGGCTCATCGACCATCAGCCGGTTCAGCTCGCGATCCTCTCTCGATCTCCTCCACCGACCTTCCTCCCAACGACGCCCGAGCCGGCGATCCGCCAACGCCCAGCGCGCCATCTCCTTCGTCGCCGCTCTCGTGTCCGCGCTCTGCGCCGGCTCAATTACCGTCTTTTCCATGTACGGCCACATCTTCCAGGAGCGCCTGCACTACACACAATTCCAGGTCAACGGCCTGGCCATCAGCAGCTCCATCGCCCTCTACCTCCCCGTCTCGCTACTCGGTTACGTTTGCGACCGTGTCGGAACCCCGCCGCTGTCGTTGCTGGCAGCTGTGCTGTTCGGCGGCGGCTATGCCTTGGCTGCGGGCACGTACCGCCAGCTTGAGGATGAGAACTTCGGGGGCCTGCGCGACCTTGCCGGCAAGCGCATAGAGGGCGGCCCGGATTGGACATACCCTCTGATGATCTTTGCTTTCGTCTGCGTCGGTGTCGGGACGTGCTCCATGTACTTGGCCGCTGTCGCAACCTGCGCAAAGAACTTCGGCAAGGGCAAACATCGTGGATTGGCTCTCGCTGTGCCAATTGCTGCGTTCGGGCTGAGCGGCATGTGGCTGAGCCAGCTGGGAAGTCGGGTCTTCTACGAGAGGCTGCCAAACGGTGCGGCTGGTGATCTGGATGTCTTCCATTTCTTCGTCTTCCTCTCTATTCTTCTACTTGTTGTAGGAGTGATTGGCACCTTCACGCTGAAGGTCGTCGACGAGGAGGAGATCATTGTGGAAGCCGTGGAGGAGCTCGAGAGGAGTGGGCTGCTGGAGCGCAGCACTTCGTTCCTCAGCGCTCGCAGCGGTGACCGAAGCAGAGGATACGGCGCAATTGGGCAGATTGACGATGAAGAGGAAGGTGGAGCTCCCGGAGACGACGATGCCAAGTTGAAGAAGAAGCTTGTTCTCAACGCCGAGACAAGAAGCTTCCTCACGGATCGCACCATGTGGTACTTTGCCCTTGGTTTCCTCTTGATGATTGGGCCTGGCGAGGCGTTCATCAACAACCTCGGGACCGTCATCGGAACACTGTATCCCCCGACCATGCAGTACGTTGGGCCCCCGACGTCCGCCGCTACGCACGTGTCCATCGTCGGTATCACCAGCACGGTAGCACGTCTGGCTACGGGCACCTTGACGGACTGGTTGGCGCCATCGCCGCAGACACAGCATCTGCAGGTATCCTCCAGTCCGCCCTTCATCCGCGGCAGACTCACAATCTCCCGCGTCGCATTTCTCCTTTTCTTCGCCGTCATCATGTCACTTGGGCTGGTCGCTTTGGCCTCTGGCTTCATCCAAGAGCATGGCGAGCGCTTTTGGATCGTCTCCGGCCTCATCGGGTCCGGTTACGGAGCGGTCTTCAGTCTGACGCCCATCATCATCACTGTTATTTGGGGTGTCGAGAACTTCGCAACGAACTGGGGCATCGTCGCCATGTTCCCCGCCCTCGGGTCGACCATCTGGAGTCTGGTCTATTCGGCCATCTACCAGTCTGGGGCCACAAAGTCCCCCTCGTCAGGAGAAGGCGGAGACGTCTTCTGCTACGGCAAGCAGTGCTACGCGCCGACGTTCTGGGCCATGACCATCACTGTGTGGTTGGCCTGCGGCATGGTTCTCTACGCCTGGAAGGGCAAGAACGGCTGGACGCATCGCGGCATTGTAATCTAGATTTACGTATTTAAACTGCACAACTACATCAGAGAGAAGCATGCATATCGGCGTTACGGAACGGGAGGAAGGAACAGTCTGGATAGGGCGTATCAGAAATATCGCCATGATTTCGTTGGGTATATATTGCATCAAGTCATAATTATGCCGGCCAGTCCTGTTTTGCCTCTTGTGTGAAATTTTACAAGTCTTTCTCATCCGCACGGCAAGCTCTGTCTCACAGCATCAAAATCGCAACGAGGGTGGCGGCCCCCATCACCAAGCCCGCTATCACGGGCGTACTCCTGGCACCCGTGCTCTCCCTTTCGAACTCGCTCATCGTCTTCATGCAGATCCACTGCGAATACAGCAGCTTGTCGAACAGCACGCTCATGACGGGGGTATACCCGTTCAATCCCCCCGTGGGCATCGTCGTGCTCCCGTCCTGGTCCAGGATCAGCTCCACGTCGGTCAGCTTCATCAGGTCGTACGACGACGGCAGGGTGGGGTGGCAGCCGTTGTTGGCGCCGGCGTCCCGCGCCGGCTCGCTCGGGGCGCCGGGCCCGATGATCTCGGCGCCGGTGATGTTCACAGCGCCGGCGATGAGGTTGCAGTGGAAGTTCTTGTCGGAGCGCGTGCGCTCCTCGAGGTACATGGCGATGTCCTGGCAGCGGGGGAGGTCGGCGTCCTTTGTGTGGTTGGCGCGGAAGTCGTCGACGTAGCCGGTGATCTCGTCCATGCAGCTCTGCTGCAGCCAGGAGGAGCAGTCGGTGGTCTCGTCGTCCTTGACCTCGTGCGCGATCGGCAGGGTCTGGAAGAGGTGCTGGAAGATGAGGGCGCAGCCCTTGGGGTAGGCCGGGTTGGAGAGGTTGAGGCCGGCCGGGGCGCCGAGGTAGTAGGACTGGGTGTAGACCTGCTTCTTCATCCAGTTTGACCCGGAGCCGGAGGAAGAGGGGTCGGAGGCCGGGCCGCCGTGGAGGGTGGCGACGGTGATGGAGAGCTTGCGGATGTCGGTGATGTTGTTGTTGTCGATGGGGATGTCGAGGACCTCCGGGGCGATGCCGACGCGGCGGAGGACGGAGCCGCCGAGGGTGCAGTTGGACTCGCCGACCAGGTCGTGGACCTCGCCGGCCGGGCAGGACACGTCGGCGCAGCCCTTGAGGGAGACCTCGGTGAGGATGGGGACCGTGGCCAGGGCGGGCCCGGCGAGGAGGGACCCCATCAGGGGGAACGGTCTCATCGTCTCTTCCCTCCTTGCCCGTCTCTCCCGCTACTTGACTGCGGCGCGAGTAGGTTTGTTGGCGTTTCGATTTGCTAATGGCCCAACACACCTTAACTCGGGGCTGCTCTGGGGCGAGAAGCAGGCCAAGAACTAGCAGCTAGCGAGAAAAGCCAAGAAGGCCGTAATGGGGAATAAGACGTGGGATATTCGGGGCGGGATTGGGCCAGACGGCTGTGACGGCGCCGGTGACGCGGCAGCGTTATGTGCGGGCTGGGCTGGGCTGGCGGGGGGCCTCAAGTGTGTCCGGAAGTACGGCAAAGTCGGCGTAGGCAAAAGGCTCGTCGCGCAGATGAGCGGCGCCGTGGCGGTGGGGATCGTGCTGCTGCTGGCTTTTCTTGTCCCTTTTTTTGTTCGTCCCGGGGTGGTGGTCGGTCAATAAGTGACGTATCTTGTTGCCGTTCAGGTTACTCTCGAATTCGCCAACGATGTCGCGGGCGGCTTCATCGTGGACGGCGAGGTTAAGGAGAGAGGAGGAGGAAGATGAGGGAAAAATTGTGCGTGAGGTGAGAAGGTAAGGTGAGGGGTGCCGGCTGCGCAAAGAGGAGAGCGGGACATGGACACACGCAATGGTTATTTGGCCGTACCGTACCCAGCACCACAGCAGCAGCAGCAGAGAGTGGCTGTACGCGGATTACATCAACGAGCAAAATAGTGAAATCGAGGAGGGTCGCGTGGTGCGAAATGATAGGCGACCGAACGTGACTTTTCTTGGCATTTGGTCTTGGCGCTTCTCACCGATCCTTTGGGGTGATGGGGGGGTGCTGGTGCATTACATAAGGCGAGATGGGGTGTTCTCATTGGATGTTATTGGGGATTCGTGAGATTCTGCTTTGCCGGATGGTTCGGTGAAGTCGATGTTGTGTAAAAAAGGCATGATGTTGATGTTGGAGCGTGGCCAAGCGAATCGACTTGAGATGACAGATGCATGGAAACATGTTAAACCTTCATTTTAAGCATGAACCGATCTCAAGTTTTGGGTTCGTCAACGGTCAAAGAGCGGTTGGGGCATTGAAGCTATCTCATTGGATCTTATTCTTGCTGACTAAGGAAAGTCTGTCGCCCGAGTCGTTAAACCCGGGAGAAACTCCGGGAAGCTAAACCACCAATCACAATCCACCGTCTAGCCAGGGCCTCTGCTCCTGCCAATGTCTCCTTCACAAAACAAGCTTCAACATCTCCCAGATCTCAACCATCCCCCAGGCGAACCATCTCTCCGTGTTTCCAATGCTCCGCCAGATCGTCAATCGTCTGATCTGGGCGCCAGAATACGGGGCTGTTTGATTGCACTGGACTACAGTGACGCAACGCCGCAGCTCACAGCTCACCGTCCGACTTGAACACTGAGGCTGTGTACAGCTGTGTACATTCTGACGCCTGCTCGCCAGCCAATCCGACCCGCGGCAGCCCACGAACCGGCATGTACAAGCCACACGCCGTTCCAGCACGTACAGCAGTCACACCGCGTGCTATCGCGACTGCGTGTTATCCCACATCGTTTGCTCTGCACCAGCTTCGAGATACCGAAAAACTTCTAGCGGTCGCCTTGCCTGATTTTAAGGCAAAATGAGACTCGACTCTCAAATGCTCCTCTCGGCGGCCTCCCTCAGCCCCCCTGAGACACCGTCCGCGGCTGTGCAGCGGTGGCCGTTCTAAAGGTCGCTTTTCGCGGGATTTGGAATAAAGTGGCGAAGGCTCGCACTCGGCGAGCCGTATCCTGATCGGACAGATCATCGAGTCCGAACATTTTCGACTTTGAGTTTTGTACTGCCCACCGCCAAGACGCCAATCCTATCCGCACAGGTATGAGAATATCTACATTGACCCAGAATGACTCGAATACCGGCCTCTTTGGGACTTCCCAGCATCATGACGGAGGAGGAGTCGGGTTGAAGCGCCAGCTAGAGGCGGCCATGTGCCCGACCCTCCCGCTCGGCGCCGACGACGACGAGTCCCGGGAGTTCCTGCCGGACGGCGAGCTCCACCGGCTCGTGAACCCCGACTCCGCCCTCCGGACCCTGCGGGAGTGCATGCCCGGTACCCCGGCGTGGGTTCCAAGCGTCTACGCTTACAGCATCTTCAGCGGCTCGCCGAAGCTGATCAAGGTCTTTGCGATTTTGGTGCTCATCGGCAAGCCGGGCGCGATTGTCGGGTTCATGAGGAACTCCATCAGCGACAACGACCTGCCTCTGGAACCCACTCGCGCGAGCTCGGCGGAGGAGACGACTGTGCGGCACTCGAAGAAGACGCGCTTGTGCTGTGATCTTGCTCTTGCGGGGCTCGGTCGAGATGATGTCGTTGCTTTCGAAGAGACGCAGTGGAAGGTTCTCGTGCCCTCTCTCGAAGAGCTAGGCGCGACCAGCGCTCCGTCTCAGTTCCATCCAAAGACCATCCTTCCGTTCGTCTGGGATGAAGATGCCGAGCCTGCAACGCACACAGGCGGACACTCTCACGTGTACCAGGTTCAGGTCCATCCTGGATATCACACCTTCGGCAGTCCCACGGTACCCATTACCACCCTCTCCATCAATTCCCCCCGTTAACAGCTCAGCAGGACAGGGCCACTCAGTTCGCCCTCAAAAAGCTCCGTGATCATTCTGGAGCAGCATTCGAACGCGAGGTCTCGGCGCTCCGGCGCTCCGGCGATACCGAGGACCCACACATTGTGAAGCTGGTCACGGCCTTCAAACACGGCACCACATCCTACCTCCTCTTTCCCTGGGCCGATACAGACCTCCAGTCCTTTTGGTCCCAGACGGATGCCCCGAAGGATGAGCATGCGGTTCTCACGGTCAAGCAGATGCTCGGCGTCGCGCAGACACTCAAGGCGATTCACTATTGCCGCGTCAAGAAACGCACCGAGGCCAAGGATGAAGCGGTGGTGAAAGGCTACCATGGAGACCTCAAGCCAGAGAACATCCTTGTGAAGGATGGAGAGTGGAAGATTGCGGATTTCGGCATCTCCCGGTTCCGCAACGCTGCAGACACCGAGGAGGATAAGCCCCTTGGATGCTCGCCGACCTACCGCGCCCCCGAGCACGATATCGGCCCCTTCAATGGGCAAAAGGCTGATATATGGTCCCTCGGGTGCGTGATGAGCGTCGCCGCGACGTGGATGAAGCTGGGGAAGAAGGGTGTGCAGAAATTCAGGAAGGAGCGGGCGACACCAGACAAGGAGTCTTCGCGAGACGCGAAGGGAAAGGCTGATGATTCCTTTTTCGAGGCCGGGACGGAAGAGAAGGGCGGCTTGAAGCTCAAGCCTAGCGTTTCTCACGTAAGTTGATCGATTTCACGGCCAAGTGCTCTTGCTAATGTACACAGTGGATCGACAAGCTTCATCAGTCACCGACGGCAAGCCCGCTCATTCATGATCTACTCGACCTAGTCAAGAATGATATGCTTGAGGTCGACGGGACGAAGCGCATCACGAGCGATCAGCTCGTCACAAAGTTGCAGACGATCCACCAGAAGTGCTCTGATGATCCTTTGTACGCCAAGCCGGACACTCGCTCGGTCGCGGAGAAGTCTGCTGCTGAGATGGACCGCTATATCGAGGATAGTCGGTCCATCAGCGTCAACACACTCCAGCTCCCGGGCCAGTATAGTTTTACTGCCCCGGCCGGCACGACATCTCCACAGCAGGGTGTCAATAACTTTGGTCTCGAGGGCGAGACTTGCTCACTGCCAGGCTGGGCCGATCCATGGCCTGAGCATGCTTTCTCGGAGCCACTGCCGTCGTATCAACAGGCGACGAGCGCCCAGCCTCAAGGTGCAGGCTCTGGCTTCAACGCGTACTTCCAGGCCGCTAATACCGTGCCGATGTCGACGCATGTGCCGGCGGCGTACCCACCGTTGCCGTCAAACAACGGACCTTCACCCGTCGCCAGTGGGTCCCAGCCCCGGAAGAAGCGCCATAAGCCGAATCCGTTGACAACGCCAAGCCCCGCATCTCAACGAGAAGCCAGTGAAGTACGGGAATCCAGCAACCCAATGGATTCTTGCGAACAGGAATCTACTGTCCTTTTCGCCTGTCCCTACTTCAAGCATAATCCGAAGAAGTACAGCGCCAAGGAGTGGACCTCGTGCAACGGTTCTGGATTCAAGATCCCAAGGCTGAAGTGAGTTCGCCGACCAATTAATTTTGCACAACGGAATAGTTGCTGACGTTCCGAACAGGGAGCATATTCGCCGTAAGCATCTCAAAAAGGCCTACCGATGCAGCCGCTGCCGCCAATGGTACGACACGATGGCGGATTTGACCGAGCACCAAAAGTCTTCCATTCCATGCCTTGTCAGCCATGATAAATCGGATGACAGAATCGACGAGGCCCAATGGAGTAGTCTTCAGGATAGGAAGCGCGGGAAGTTGTTTGTCTCCAAGTGGGAGGACATGTTCCAGGTTATCTTCCCATCAGTTGATGTACCATCGCCTTGTGAGTGCTTCCTGGTTGAGAGGGTGGTATTTGTGATGCATCAGCTGACCAGTGTCCACAGACCGAGACGAGCCGACTGAAGACCTCTTCAGCCAGTTCCGGAGCTCCCTAGAGGCTCAGCTACAAGGGCAGATCGACTACCGACGACGACTCAAGATCCAAGGTGCCCTAGAACTTGCCAGCGACTTCGAAAAGTCTAGATCTGTTTCCCAGTCGACCACTGACTCCGATGTCCCGTCTCTCTCTGGTGACAACTACTCGAACTCCACTACCATGCTCTCCGAATCTCCGATGACCACCATCGAGGCTTCACCAATGAACGCGCCCGTCAACGAACCACCCGACTTGGGCATGGGTGAATCCAGCGTACCCTCATGCCTTCCAATGATGCAGCAACAGATGATGTCCTTTCGGGACTTCACCCTGATCCCGTACGGTAGTGCTGGGTCTGTTCTTGGAAACTTCGACGTAGACTGGAGTGAGCAGCCGCTGATGGGGCAGGCAGGCGTGGTCGCAGACTCTCAGATGGGGATGTTTCCCGCAGACTCCCCTGAGAATCTGTTCCCTCCGCCGTGAGGGTAGATGATGCGAGGTATCGAGCCAAGCGGGTCTGACGAATGGTAAACATGTTTGACGCTGATTGCAGGACACGCCGTCTTGCCAGCCAGTGACAAGGAGATGCATAGAAGACGAGAAGTTCTTGACCAGAATGTGATCAGTACAGGCTGGAGATGTGGTGGTTTGTGGATTCATTGGTAGCTTTGTAGTCTCGAGGGGGTCTCCTTTCGTGTGATTAGCAGTTGTTTGGCTAATCTTCCCTTCGTTCCTTGTACGTACACGAGTTGTCGAAATCGAGCCACAGAAGTTGTCCTACGCCTCCGAATAATACGGAACCCTTCCAGCGAGCCATGCGATGGTATTTTGGATCCGATCCTCGACTGGAAGTTCCAGCATCAGGACGAAAGACCATCCCCCCACGCAACAACCGGTAACACGGGCGACAAAGTACAACCTCGTGCAGATGTTCCACTCAAGATTAGCCGTGGTACATAAGTTGATGTCTGAACTGACGCAAACGGACATCTCCACGTTGCTGCAGCGAAGCACTCCAAGCTCTCAGCCACTGTCCCACATCGGAATGTTTGGCGCAACGCACACGAAAACAGTCTGTCACGCATGGAATCCGGACGTTGGAACCGGGAAACATAAAGATACCCCGCATCCCTTTTTACTCGTTTTGAACAATAGAAAATGCCCTGGCTTCGCAGGATCGCAATCGGCTTCTCTCTTCTCGTCATCTTACTATCCCTCCCGCAGTACTGGCAACATCTATCCACAACATTTACATCCCCCGCCGCCGCAAATATGACCACCAAAGCCATCGTGTTCGTCGAGAAGGGCAAGGCCGAGATCCGAGACGTCCCCAAGCCGAAGCTGCGCGACGACTACGTCCTCGTCAAGGTCAACGCCGTCGGGATCAACCCCACGGACTGGAAGCACGTCGACTTCGGCATCACCGACCCCGGCTCGAGAGTCGGGTGCGACTACGCCGGCGTCGTCGAGGAGGTGGGGAGCAAGGTCGAGAAGTCGTTCAAGAAGGGCGACCGTATCAGCGGGGTAGTCCATGGGAGGTAGGCTCGGGCCTCAAAGATTGCCGCACGTTTGGAGGGAACATCTCGTGGCTTACTCCCTCGTCCAGTGACCAAACCAACTCGGAAAACGGCGCGTTCGCCAATTACATCGTCGCGAAGGGCGACGTCCAGATCAAGACGCCCGACAACGTCAGCGACGAGGACGCCGCGACGCTCGGCATCTCCATCTGCACAGTCGTAAGCGGCCTCCCTCCCCCTTCAAGCATCCCAGCCGTTCTAACACGCTCTCTCACACAGGGCCAAGGCCTCTACCGAACCCTCGGCCTCCCCCTCCCCGGCAAACAAACCACCGGAGACGACGACGGGGAGTACATCCTCATCTACGGCGGCAGCACGGCGACCGGCATCTACGGCATCCAGTTCGCCAGGCTCTCCGGGCTGCGCGTCGTCGCGACCTCGTCGCCGCGCAACTTCGACTACCTCAAGTCCCTCGGCGCCTCCGCCGTCTTCGACTACAACTCGCCCACCGTCGCGGCCGACATCCGCGCCCACACCGGCGACAATCTCAAACTCGCCTGGGACTGCACCGGGTTCGGCGGGCTCATCTGCGCCGGGGCGCTGAGCAGTTCGCGGGGCGGCAAGTACGCGACGATCGTGGGGGCGACGAAGAGGGAGGAGCTGCTGGCGGTGAATCCCAAGGTGGACGGGCCGCACGCCACGCTTATGTACTCGGTGTTTGGTGAGAGGTTTGTGAAGGGGGGGAGCGAGACGCCGGCGAAGCCTGAGGAGTTCGAGTTCGCCAAGATGTTTTGGGAGGTCGCGAGGGGGTTGTTGGAGGAGGGGAGGGTGAGGGCGCCGAAGGTGTTCGCGAATCGGGGCGGGAGCGGGTTGGAGGGGGTTTTGAAGGGGATGGATGAGTTGAGGGGGAATAAGGTTAGTGGAGGGAAGCTGGTGTACACTTTGTAGTGAGGATTCATCGTCTTCGTCGCGTAAGGTATTTGATGATGGATTCGAGGAGCTCAGTCACCCATAAGAAGCTGGTTTCATTAGAAGCTTTGCGTCTCATAGGCCAATTAAACAAATATGTTCACCAGATCAGAGACGTTATTAAGTTGATGGACAGAGTTTGTGCTTTAACAATCACGCCTAGACTGACAGAATGCTGCTCAACTCACTGAAATCATCCCAATTCACTATCCAAAAACCAGTAAATGGCATGTTTAGCTCTCAGCCCCTCCCGCCTTGGCATCCTTTTCAGGTTTCCTCCCGTAAATGGACCAGCTAGAAAGACGTATTAGCATCAATCATCACGATCTCGAAACCTCGCCGGCTTACAAGTTGAAGTACCCATGAATCTCCCTGTTCCCAAAGTCCCTGCGGGCCTCCATGATGAGCACGAGGACCTCCTCGCGGGTCCAGTTCAGCGCGCGGGTCAGAGACGCCATCAGCAGGCCCTCCCAGTTGGGCGCGAGGTTCTCGTAGTTCCACATGCCGAGCTGCTTGTGCTTCCGGTCCCTGGGCCACCCGTTCGTGGGCCACTTGAAGCGCCGGATGCGGACGTCCTCGAAGCCGACGTCCTCCAGCACGGCCTTCAGCCTGCTGAACTGCTCGAACGGGGTGCCGAAGACGGCGAGCGCCTCGGCCCACAGGCGCACGCTCTTCATGAGGCTCGTGTCCTCTGTGAGGGTGCCGTCGTCGGACACGGGAATGGCGTCGATGTCGTTGAGTTCGAGGTAGCCGCCGGGAGCGAGGTTCCTGGGGTATGGGGTTAGGAGAGGGTTGTTTTTGAGGATGTGTGTGTGTGTGGGTGGGTGGCTCGGCTCACTGGTGGCAGTTTCGGATGTACTCTTCCCAGTTGCCGATGCTTCCCGTCATCATGCGGCTGTGGATGTAGTCGAATGGCTGGGAGAAGGTCCAGGGTTCCTCGATGTTGTCAATTTGGAACTGGACGTTGGGCGGAACGCTGTAATGCAGTGTTAGCTGCTTCACTCCGTGTCGTTCAACCCAGATCTTGTGAGCTTCTTTGGACGTAGAGAAAGTGGTGGGTAGGTTCTTTACAAGGCAGGCTGGACAGCAGACAGATCGACGCCGATAACCTTGGGGCACATCCGGTTAGCATCGAACACGATCGAATTGTGGACAAATCGTCGTGCTTCTCTCTGTACTCACCTCGGACTCAGGGTGCTCCTCGCCAAAGTCAATGGCCCAAATGCCAGATCCCGTGCCGACGTCGAGGACACGTCCGACCTTGGCGCCCGGATCGTTGGGCGGCGAAGTACCCAGCCGATCGTCGAAAGTCCGCAGAACAAGGTGATGTTGCAGGTCTGCGTACGCGATCTTACATCAGCCTGGAACACCGTCTCCGCAGGGCGTATGATTAAGCATACCCAGCCTTTCGTTCTCCCTTTCGTCATTGGGAACGGGATATTCTATCAAAGGCCTGTTAGTCTGGGCATTGACGTCTCCAGCCATCTCACTGACGGCGAGACGTATACTCACTTCCGTCTCTATACTTGTGGTATGTTCTCCCATTTTCCAGGCGATAGGAAAGAACTGAGCTAGTGACGCTCGTGGTCGATGAAGCCAGAGATTCCTGATGTGCGCATTTTAATAAGACTTGTCCTTAGAGAAGAGTATTGAAGTTTCTACTTGTGCTATGGACGCATCGTCTTCTGTGACCTATACTCAAAAGTAAGCATCCTGCTCAATCAATTGACTCCCTATAAGTGCCATACGTCTTCGGCGTCAAGTACGCCATCGTCGCCAGCCACAACAACCGGGTCCTGTTGATTCTCGGCCCTAGGAGGGCTGGTTCTCCTTGGGGAAGACCCAGCCGCTGCAGTGGCATTATTGTCAGACATTTTCGAAAGCTCTCGAGACAATTGGTCGCGCAATTTTTGGTCGGGGGTTCAAACAAATCACTGCGAGTTGACGGTCAAGGTGACATTCCGGAGAGAGCACATGCGTCGAAGAGGATCTTATTTACTCAATAAACGTTGTTGGTCAATTCCCATTACCCCTCTTCTTGGCGAGATTGTTCTGCACGTTGGCGGACATGATGCTGTTTGTAGAAGTCTGCAGCATGTTCCAGGGGGGCGCGCATTTTCCTGATGAAGCAACGAACCAACACGAGTGGCGCGGGGATTAGGCGAACACCTCCGAAGACCCCCCTGATCGGCTCATTGTAGTATCTATCAAAAGACCATGCGTCTGTTTGCTACTCATTCTATTCGTCAATGGTTTGCGGAAGCCACGGGGTTGATTCTGTGCATTAGCCGCATGCTTGGTGGCATTGCGAACTTCTTCATCTAGATTTCTGCCCGGTGAAAGCCTTGGCAGCAGGTCTAGACAACCTCATATCAAGAGTCCAAGCGAACATAATGGTGAACGAGATCAAGTAGCTCATAAACCTCCGCCTTCACTTGGAGTACCTCAACCAACCAATGTATACGTGAATATGCAAAAGGAAACATTTATTAAAGTGAGAATTTGGCCCTATTGACTTGCTACATGTAATATTGCTCGATTGTTCTGCTCTTACACGACTTGGTATCTGAGAAACAGCTATTTTCCAGCTGGCCCCAGCTGACTCCAGCTGCGCTTGCATGCTCCTTGTCGGCTATTCTGGTGGACCAGCATCCCTCTCACCGCCAAAGGATTACTCAAGGACACAGTACTATGAATTCGCAGAGCAGAGGCTTGAGCTGTAAAATACTGGTTGTACATATTACCCAGCATGCATGCTGCAAGTCCAGAGCTCAATCAGGATCCATGGATATGCATGACCAAGCCTTTCAGCCAAAGTCTCACTCAAAATGGCCTCAATGACTAGCAGATTCAAGAGGACCTTAGTAGCTCTAGTGCTCACCAATCAGCGTCGTCAATTCTCTAGCGCTAGAAGGTCAGCAGTTGTGCCGATTCGCGTCTTTTGACGATGATCCCAGATCACTGATTCATCTCCTCAAAGGTCGGCCATGCGGCTCATCAACACCAACACCCTGGCCCTAGAGGAATTCTTCGGCAACAGTATTCCCCCTTATGCAATTCTTTCTCACACATGGGGTTCCGAAGAGGTCACCTTCCAAGACTGGAAGACCCTCGCCATCGCCCGAGAAAAAAGGGGCTTCCAGAAGATCGAGTTGGCCAGGTCACAAGCCATCAGCCAAGGCCTGGAGTATCTATGGGTCGATACCAATTGCATCAACAAGGAGAGCTCTACTGAGCTGGCCGAAGCCATCAATTCCATGTACACATGGTACAGGAACGCGGAGGTCTGCTACGCCTACCTCTCAGACGTCTCAGAGGCAGAAGACCCGGATAAGGCCGCAAGCAAAGAGGCATTAGCCTCAAGACTATCCCAAAGCCAATGGTTCACGCGCGGATGGACCCTACAGGAGCTGCTGGCGCCCCGCCAGGTCCTCTTCTTCTCCCGCGAATGGAGACAAGTCGGGACGCGCAAGGCCTTGGTGGACCTCATCTCAAAGATCACTGGGATCAGCACAGCTTACATGTCTTACAAGAAGAAGAGGCGCTTGGCGCCAATATCATCTGCGAGCGTCGCGGAGCGCATGTCGTGGTTGTCTTGCCGCAGGACTTCTCGCATCGAAGACATGGCATACTGCATGCTAGGAATCTTTGACATCAGCATGCCGCTGCTGTACGGCGAAGGCTCGAGGGCTTTCACTCGTCTGCAAGAGGAAATTCTGAAGGTCTCGACCGACGAGTCGCTGTTCTGCTGGTCTTGGAACGAGAATGACCCGCCATGTTGGCCGAGCATGCTCGCACCGTATCCCAAGAACTTCAGGAACGCCGTGGGTTATCGCCCGGCAAGAAACGAAACGAAACGGCCAGTGCCTTATTCAATGACCAACTTTGGTCTCTCTATACAACTTCCAGTCTTTCGCTTAGCCGACATGCCTCGTGACTCTACCTGGCTTCCCGTAGTCGACTATGTCGCAGTCTTATCTGCAAGCGAAGCAGACGGCCACCTAGTCGGCATCCCTCTGGAGGGGACGAAGTCCGTGGACACGTTCCGGGTTGTTCGCGACTGTCCGCGGCCTATAGTCCTGCGATGGAAGAACACACCGGTACCACAGTCGGATGGGTTGCATCCGAAGACTCTCGACATATTCGTTCCTTCGAGAGATTCAAGCTGGAGCCTCAATGAACCCTATAATAGGACCTTTGACGACAGATTCAGTTTGGGAGAGTTCTCGATTATGCTTCTCGCATTTCCTCGGGAGACACGGAAGTCTATCATCACCAGCATAGGGGGTATTCCACGTTACAGCAAATCAAGAGGTAATTTCATCAAGATGAAGAAGTTTACCATCTTCGGACCCCCAAACTCGGAAACCCTGTCGTCAACTGAGCGTTCAAACGTCGTCGAAGTACATGGCGCGATGGTTCACATTCGCGGCAACTTGATTGGACTGGGAAACGAGCCTTTGTGTCTTTTATTCGGCGTGTTCGTGACCGAGGGAGGATCTACGAGGTGGTTCCATAGAAGGTTGGACGAAGACACCAGGACTATCTCACAGCCGGAGACGGCATTCGCGTTCACTCATCGGACGCTTGAAACGCTCTTGATCGAGGAGGCGGCCCACTGGCAGGCTTTTGGTGAGTTTCACAAGGCCATTGAAGCAACTCCGGCCTCGACTATTGACGCGTGGTTAAACTCCAATCATATCTCAGTGGCGACACATCTTGGCCCAGAGTTTGTAGTAGAAGTCAACCGCCAAAAGACGATGACGAGAGCCTTACATTTAAATGCTTAGATTACAAGACAAATTCTTACAATTCACAACCAAGGAATCGAGGTCTCGAAGTCCACACGTCCTAGATGTTATGTAACCATATCAATCTTACCACAGACATGGAGTTGCATGTTGCAACATGCGGTTCTGGTCTTCATAGCCCACGTGCTGGTTGCTCATATTGCACAGCGGCATTCCCTACGCAGAGATCCGTTAGGATTGAATCAATTGAACTCAGCTATGAAGGCCCTGCGCACAACTCAGACTTCAGTCTGTTAACAGATCAGCCCATGATACATGTGGAGGAGTTTTAGTCCTGAATTCCCCATCATGAAGTCATGAAGAAACAACTAGCAAAAGTAACAACACAATTACTGTATGCTATCTCGGTTTTATGGTCTCCGACTACCCTATTTCCAGTAGTCGTTGCCATCTGGATGTCTCCGGGCCCACCACCCGGAGCATCCCGCCTGGGCGGATCACCGACGACTTTCATCGGAGCGGCGTGGTTCACAGTTGTAATTCCGAGTTTGCCGGAATTGAGTCTTTTTGGGAGTCCGTCAGTCTTAGAAGGTGAATTGAGCATGGCTAATCAGCATCAAGGTCAAGCAAGCGATATGGTGAACTCGTTTAAAAGCCATCTGGACATTGTCTTCCTGAAAATAAACCGAAATATCTTCGCATTCTCTCTTCAAGTCTCACGAAATCATACACAATATTCAAGATGCCAAGATCTATCGACCTGGGAGCTGACGGCAAGCTCTCCATCTCCGAGGTCTCCGAGGAATACCAGCCGAAAAATGGCCAAGCTCTTATCTCGGTGAAGTACTCGGGAGTCAACCACTGCGACCTCAACTTCTTCCATGTTGGCCTTCATTCCTTCGTCACCGGATTCGAGTTCGCCGGCATAGTCGAAGCGACGGGACACGTATCAACCCTGAAAGTTGGCGATGCCGTCTTCGGTCTCTCCCCGGTCCACTTCCCGAAGCCTTCGTCCTTCGGCACTCACCAAGACAAGGCGATCGTGGAAGACAGTCTCACCTACAAAATTCCAGACGGTCTTGGGCTCAAGGAAGCCGCAGGAGTAGCGATGGGAGCCCAAACAGCCACTGACGCCATCTTCAACGTCCTCGGATTCGGCCTGCCGGCGGCTGGTGTTACTGGGACGAAGCCTGAGAACACTCCGATTCTGATCTGGGGCGGCGCAAGCAGCGTTGGAGTCTCGGCAATTCAGCTCGCCAATATCGCTGGCTTCAACCCCATTTTCGTAACCGCTTCGTCGAAGAACCACGCCACCCTTGAAGCACTCGGTGCTAGCCATTGCTTCGACTACAAGAGTCCCACCATTACCGATGAGATTCGCTCCGTTACGAAGGAGCTCGGCATAGTCCTCAGTGTCGGCTTTGACACAGTTGGAAGCGGCCTTATCCCCCCTGGGCAGGATGTTGACAAGAGCTCCCCGTCACTGATGCGCAAGAGCCTATCGGAGGACGCTGACGTCGAAGACATCAAGCTTGTATGCACGCTTCCTGTTCCACATGACGGCGCCTTTGGATTTTGCACCTCCTATCGGCCAGCTGGTGCTGTCGGAGCGATTGGAGAGCCCCAGAATCCTGAATTCCCTCAACGCACGAGGAAGGTTATGGACTATGCAACTAGTGGTTCCGGAAAGATACCCAAGCATCCCAACGTGGTATTGGCGAAAGGTGGCGAGCTAGGCATTACCGAGATCCAGAGAATCGCATACGGCGGTGCTTCCATGGAGAAGGTTGTGATTGAGCATCCGATCTAGTTACAAAAGAAACCCCTTCTAGCTAATCCCGACTTGTCGTGTGAAAGATCTCGTCTATGTTAAAAGTAGTGCTGCCCTCCATCTAGCATTTTGACTTCAGGACACCATTCTGTGATTTCCGGCATATGCGCGTGCTGCCATCGAGCTGGCTGGTGATATCCCAGCGGTTTCTCATGCCACCACGTCTCAACAGCGAAGAACTTGGCCTGGTCCGCGGTGGGCATATGTGCCTCGCGCTCCAACAACTTGCCGTAGAACCACTGGTCTTCAGGACTCAGCTCTGTCGGATTCTTCTCCTGCTCCAGGGCGATTTCCAGAAACAACTTGGGGTTTCGTATTGACAAGCCTCCGTTGTACCCGTGGCCCTTTTCCTTGATGATGGGGGCGCCGATGAAGTCCCATTCGATGAAGTCTTCGACCCTCTGTGGAGATTGCGAGCACAAGATGCTGTCGACCTGGAAGATGAGCATTCGATTTGCCGGCGCAAAGAGTTGCCACAACCAAGGGCGGACCATGAAAACCGTCACGGACGTGTGGTCGGGGAACGTCGTGTCCGGCGGTATAAACAGCACGATGACTCGACGCGCTTCGTATAGTTGCCTGAAGTCCGGCGAGGCTGGCATTTCCCAATTGACCTGGAGCGTCAGGAGGATGATGGGCCAGTCGGGACCCAGCGTTGAGGAGAAATGCAGTATGATGGGGATCAGCGATGGCACTCCTGCAGGATTCGTCTCCATGATCACCGCGACGTTCTTGTTCCGGAACATGTGGTGTGGGAGGATATTTTCGATTGCTTCTGAGCCATAGTGCAAGTTGCCATTTAGCAGGGCTTGTTGCTGGTAGCTGGCGACCTCAGTGCTGGCCGAGGCCGGACTGCTGGCGGCTGGAGTATATAATTCGTCATTGTCGACGTTGGGGCTCGTTGATTCCGGGACAGCCTGTTCAGCATGGTCAGTCGGAATCATTAAGCAAGATAGTCTCAACCCTTACATAAACGCCGAAGATATCTGAGCTTGCTATTAACAGTAATGCGTAGAGAAAACGGAGTAAAAAGGATCCGTTGTTGTCTATTCTCTGAGAGAAGCCCATCTCGTCGCGCAAGAGCATGCTGGTTGGACAGCGGTTTGGCAAAATCTTCCTCTGAGGAGATGCACAATGACGCGACTTCTTATATTTCTAAATCAAGGGATAGCCAATCAGATTGGCAAGGAATGCATATTCTATTCCACATTCTCTGTAGGTATGTACGGGTAATGTTCTGGAGTGCTCGCCGAGACATTGTGTCTCGCTCATCGATGATCCTGAACTCCCATCGCTCTCCTTTCCCACTGTTATCTCTGGGACATGACCTTACGTAAACGTCTCCAAGTCATGCTGCCCGGTAGAGCAGATTAGTACACCGTTGCCCATCATATTTGTATCGTCGTGCATTGAGGGTAAACATTCCGGAAGTCCAGTCGTTAGAGGTAACGAATGATAATGCGAGGGGCGGTAAAGTCGTGCCGAAAAGCCGAGTAGTAACTAAAAACCCGCTGCGTAGCTTGATTAGAGTTGGGTTTTCTTGGTCGGGTCTTAACCCGGATGTCGATGCAAGTTCGCAGTTTGTTCCGCATGTGTGGTCAGCAGCGCCGATCCCAACTCCGAACCCGAGAGACTCTCCTGGCCGAACATGTTCGTCTCCAAGCTTTTTTGGGAGGTATACCACCTGAAATAAGCCTCGGAAAAAGAAGATACACACCGAAGCCGCGGCGTCACTCGCTGTGTCGATCATTTCGACGGTCTACGGTCTTCTCGAAAGCTTCGACAGTCGACTTAGGAATTGATGCATTCACATCTTCGCCCACGTGGAATACACCCCCGCCCGCAAGATTTCTGCTGCACTTTCGAGAATCGCTACATCTAAACCAATAACTACTGTCATTTTTCAAACGCCTTCGCCGAACGCCTTGCCGGTGAAACTGGCGTGCTTGGCGTCGGCGCCGCGTCAAATGTCAGCGTGCAACCGACTCGGGCCCGCGGCCACGCCGTCTTCGGGATCAGTCAGACAGTGGGCTGTCCTCTCAAATATACCGATATTTATCCTTTCAAATGGTCTGATGTGCCTTGTGGTTATCTTGCGATCTTGTCGCGAACTCGCAATGCATGTCTACTGTCGGGGTCAGTGCCGGGCTGTTCAGTAGAATTCTGTTGACTCGAGCGCATCTTGGCAAGTTTCTTATGCTTTCTTGTTCAAATCACGGTTTAGGCAATCCACGCGCTTGTTTTCTCTCTGTTGTCCGAGTTCCTTTCGCTTTTGCTGGGAGATGGGCCACTCAAAGCTCAAGCTGCCCCCAGTGATTTAAGTCTGATATCGACCACCAGGAACAGCGAAGTCGGCCCAACGGAAGGGCTTGCCATTTCCGTTCATCGGGTCATACAACTCCGTAAATGTATTGGGCTGGGATCCTATGTTACAGTTATTGACTCGTTTATCTGGAATAGACGCTCTTGACTGGCCGAGTTATTCTTGTCGAGGAGGCTTCAGCGAAATAGACCTCACACGTCTTATTTAAGCAAGCTGTAATCTCTTCAATAGGTGCGAGTAGTTACAATGATTACTCTTGGTGTATTTTAAATCGTCATGTATTTCAATGCATCAGGTTGTTTGTGAGGTGATGGATGGGGTTGCCACAAGTCTCCTGTTGGTCGCAGAGCATGCGATGCGGTCCTCGTGGTAGTTATCCGCAGCCTCATGCTACCAACGTTCTCAGCCCTACAGGAGGAGTTGCAGGCGTTGCCATTGTCTTGGCCGTCTTGTCTGGCATGACTTACTGCGCAACCTAAAATTGTCAGTGAGATTTAGCCCGGGTCATGTGGAGGGCAACGCGAGCCGCAAAGCTAGACGAGGCCTTTAGAATAACCGGTCAAGTCCAATGGTCGAGCTTTTCCAGCTATGTTGATTCATGGTGACCAACTTACATCAATTCCATCGAAAGCATCGTATTTCAAGACCAAGATGCGACGAACAATGACATTGCCAGCTCTTCCGATGGTCCGCAGGACTGACGATACTGAAATTCCCAGCCTATTCCTCAAAAACAATCTTCCGGCATCATTTTCGGGTTTTTGCCTAAACTGTACACACATACACCCATCTCCAGGGAGTGGACTGCTCCTACGGAGCAGATGGACCACATTTGATGCACGTCAACCTACAACCACATGAACCACATGGGCCGTGATGTCGAGTACTATTGTACTCAAGGCGGAGGAATCCGTACTTGCGAAGGAATGGTGTTTCAAACGCTTGCTTTTTGAATAGTTCAGAAAATGCCCACACTTGCGGCGTGACCGTCGCCATTGCTGTCGTATTCGTAAAACACGACATCCAGTCTGCTGCGCTCGAACATCGAACCCAAGCAGAGCTTGCCCAAAGACGGTGTAGAATGCTCGGGAAATGTCATGAGGCCGGTATTATGTTCAAGTGGCATGAATGATTGGATTCTGGCCGCACCTGCTAGTTGTCGCCGGGCGTGAATTAATGAGATCTCTCAGGTCAATACTTGAATTGTCACATTATCTTCGGGAGCCTTCAAGACGGCCAAAGCTCGCACATAAATAGCATCATCTCAGTCTCACTCCAACTGATATGAATCGAGACTTCGACTCAGTCACCCACTCAAAGCTCATCGCAACTTCACCTCTCCGCAGTCCGAACAGCAGCACAGCTGCGGCAGAGTCATGGCGCCATTCAACTCGGCTCAATTGCCAGTCATCACGAAGCTTATTTTCGTCCCCAAGAGATACAGCTCGTGCTGATCAGTTTGCGAGAATATCGGGTGATCGGAGGCACAAGTCATTCATCCTTGGAAACCCATGCTTCGAGGCGCTGGTTCCCCCGGAGCTGTTCTCTAAGTGGACGGCGCGTAATTTCGGATTTCTTTTCCGCAACAAGAAACCCAAGGCCAATCCAAAGCGCAGTATGGCGCCCTAGTACAGCAATAGGCGCTATGCTTTTTTGCCTTTAGGACACCACATGTGTCATGTAGCTTGGTACGAGGGATGACCGTCATTTACTAGGAGGTGAAGAAGTATGAAACAGTCTACTTTAGGGCGTGCTGATGACTTAGACTTTGGAGCGACGCGACTTACGTCGGATCGTTCACAGTACCCCGTGCGCCCATTGGCGTAGCTGCTAAAGAGTTTCGGCCATCCCAAAGCATGAATCAAGCTTCCGTCGTAGCTTGGAAGAAGATTCTAAGAAGACCAGCTCCTACCCAGCTCCCCGGGAACGCGCACATGTTCATATACTGTGAGGGGGTGCGTTATATTTGCTGCCCACGAACCTCCAGTCCCGATGAGAAGCTGTTATCGGGCGTCAATGGCTTTCTCAGATGTCCGTTCACCATGTCAGATGCGGCGCAACGCGGAACATTGGCGCCTCTCCCGAGCAACCATCGCGCTGGGTTGATCATACTGACGTCCTTCTCATTTCTCTCTCTACTGTCTACGACCGCGCTTTGGCTTTTCATCTCGTACAAGTTACTATCTGAACGGCTGGAAGAGAGGAAACGGAAGAGACGCAAGGCCCACCGACGAAATGCCTCCGCCGCCACGGCCGCCGCTCCACAATTCCCGGACCTGTCCCTCGGGCTTGATGCTCCATGCTCCGGGGCCACTGGGTTTGATCGGATTTTGGAGCTCGACAGATTAGCGGCGGAAGCACAAGAGCGACCTCCGCCGGACACCAGATCTCAGTCGCCCGAGTCGGAGCCCGAACCCGAAGTCCGCAACCCGTTCCCGATCTTGGTTTACAACCTCCTACTTGCAGACATGATGGAGGCTCTCGCGTACGGGTTGAGCTTTTATTGGGTGGCAGTGGATGGCATAGTGGCGCCATCACCAGTCTGCTGGGCACAGGGTTGGCTAGGTTCGACGAGCAATCTGGCAGCTAGCCTCTTCCTCGCAGTTATATCTGTCAACACGTTTTTGACAGTAGGCTTGGGGGTAAAGCCTCCGCCATGGGCGGTATACACAGCTATTGCCGCACTTTGGATCTTCGATTTCAGCGTCAACGGGGCGGGGGTGCGGACCGCTGAGGCGGATCCAGCGGTTCCTGGAGAATCTTTCTTCATGAGAGCCAACGTGTGGTAAGAACCTCGTTCAATTCCCTCTGACTGCCATTCATATCTTCTCTTCGCTATGTGAATAAGCTGATATGGACTATGTCTTCCTTCAGGTGTTGGATATCAAGCGCATACGACCCATGGCGTCTCTGGGCCCATTACTTCTGGGTTATAGTCTCGATCGCCATCACAATAATCCTCTACTCCTTCACTTTCTGGACTCTGTGGCGTCAGAATCGAAGCTGTCGCCATTTACCCGACAAGCGATCTTCAACACAAAGCTCAATGCCCGTTACGGCACCCGAAAGCAACGAACAACCGGACGAACGACAGCCGTCCGGATATCATCCCGCCTTCCTGGCCTACCCTTTCGTCTACATAGCATGTAGCGTTCCACTTGTGGTCGGGCGCATCACCGCCCTACAGGGGATTGACCTGGGCATTCCTTACTTCGCCTTTGCAGGGTCAGTTCTTGCTCTGAACGGCTTGTTCAACTCGATTCTATGGACAACCACGATCCTCTTCAGCGCCCCGCAAGACGCACACAATGCAGGACTCGACAGATTCGCCTTTATGAGAACTCCGATACGCGAGTTCGGCAACACCGTCATCATCAGCGGACCCGCGAGCAGAAGGGTCCCAATCTGGGAAATCACACCAGGAAGCAGGCGGAAGCAGTGGTGGTGGTGGCAACACGGAGGCCAACGAGGTTGGGGGAGGTCATATGCCAGTATGCACGACATGCCCATTGCACGTTCGGTTGAAGTCCCAGCTCATGAGTCGCAGAATCTTGCGGAGGGTCCACACATTCAGATGGACGTTGTAACAGCAGTCAGGAGTGAACAGGTCGAGGATGCGGGTATCAAGTAGCGATTGACATTTGGAACGGACGGTTGAGCGTTTGAACGTAATGAACTATTTATGAACTGTCGTGTGGTCACTCAACCTGACATGTAATTCCACTGTACAAGACAGATAGAGTTGAGCAAAGAGCTACAGAGCAGCTAGATGCTTGGCCAGCGTGAGGACAAGGAGAGTTACCCGTCAACTTGAGCAGCCCATGACACACTATCAGTATGCTGGATGATTCGTGACTTCAATGCTGTGAAGCCTGGCGTGAGAGGCGCATGTCTTTACCAGTCGCATTGCAGGGTCTGAACTGACGAACAATACACGAGGCCAATTACTTGTAAACGGCCCCGATCGGCCTCTGTTTGCCGAAGAAGTTCTTCGTCGCCTCTTCACCCGTCGTCTTCCGCGTGTAAGTGCCGTCCACATCCCGGATCATGACGGCTCCTCCTTCCGCCCAAGTGAAAGACCTCGTCGTTGCCCAATTGACAACATCAAAGCCTAATTTCGTGTACAACCGCTGACCATCAGTCGTGGCGATGAGAACGATGGGAACTTTGTCTTCATCAGACCGCTCTAGCCCCCACTGCATCAGTTTCTTGCCCACCCCCTTGCCCTGCCAGTCGGGATGCACTCCGAGCACCTCCAAGAGCCAAAACGACTTGAGTGGCGCGTATGGATTTCCGGCCTCGGCGCCTTCCTTCTCAAAGACAGCGTGGTGCTCGTACGAGGCAGACTTGTCGAGCCGGAAATATTTGATGTATCGACCTTGCCAGTCCAGCACCGTTCGCTCGACCGTCTTCAGGAATCCAGTGTTATTCTGGCGCCACTTGGTGGTGAGAGGGTCGTCGGCCGGGCCGTTCCAGTCCCACCGAGCGTAGCCGACAACTTGATTTCGCGGCCAGTCTGTCGGGTCCTCATCATCTGTGACGCAGACGAATGTATGAGTTCCGGGTTTTGCAAGGGAGAGTTGTGTGCTGCGCACCATGCGAGCGCGCCAGGATTCGGGGAATTCCCGTCGGTAAGGATAGAGATAAACGTTCAGCTCGGCATCGATGAAGGCCGTGTCACCAATGTCGGTGATCGCAGGGATGTCGGCGTGAGTGACTGCGCGTATGTGCATGGCTGAGTGATTTAAGTCAGGTTCAGTAAGTGATCGCACGGCGGGTGTCGAAGAGAAGTGCCAATGGACACAGAAGTTACATACTATTCAGAACCGGACTACCGTCTCTTAAATATCAATTTCCAACACCGGATCGAATTGAATTGAGCGATAAATCATTATCGGGAGCAATGTCTCTGCCCGACCCCGAGGGGGCCTTGTGACATTGGATGTTCTGGGCCGCTGCCCGCTCGCTAAGAGGCATAAGCACAGGGGTTACGGGGAACTTTTGGGAGGTGTCTCTTCGTGCTTGAAAGCTATGTGATTGGTGCGCTCAATGGATACCATCGCGGCGGGCGCTATTGCACGCATCAGATACGCGATTGAGATACCAATTTACCGTCATATGTCAAAATAAGGCGCGCCTTTGCAATCAAAAAGAGGAAAAGGAATGGTACCCAAATGCAAACGCAATGCAAAAGATATCCGAGTCGTGATCGCCCTCGTTGAAACTTGTTGGTCTTTACCGGTGTTGATTGCTATGAATGTGAAAGAAAAGTGAGCACGGCGGATGACCGTTTTATGGTACAGGATAAACGCGGAGAAGAAATGTTTTAAAAGCTACTTCAGGTAATTGTTTTGACTTAAATCTATATCCATAGAATGTTGGCCGCAGGAAGCTCATCGCGTCAAGTCAGGAGTTGCGGGATCGGCCAGAGGATTTCGGACTCGGAGTCGGGATCGGAGTCGGTGGGGCCCGGCTTCTTGGCATCAAAAAAGCCGGATCAAGAGGATAATCATCGGTTCCAGTCAATAAGTGCGAGGCGAGCTGAAGAAGACCTTGAATACATTCGACAGATGTGTAGTTCAATTACAATGGGTTTAAGAAATACGCAATCGCGGGCGACGGGAAAACGTTAAGAAATAGAAAGAAACTTTGCATGCTAGAAAAGCAGTTCAAGATAAGAAAGTTACCCAATTCAACCGCAGCAGTTTCAACCTTTAGCCGCCACCAGAAGCCGCCACCAAAACCATACGCCAACAATTGAGCTCTGCTGTGCTGCAATAATAAGATAGAATGATGAGAAAAGGGACAATATAAGTACATAAGTTTAACAGAAAGAAATGTTTCCATACGGAAGAAGCAGAGAAGAATGGAAAGAAACGGCCAAAAAACAGTCGTCCAACTTAATGCATGATGTATGAAGGGTTTTCTGTGGCCCGCTGAACGATCTTACCCAGCTTCTCATAAAGCTCCCCCGCGGTGGCACGATCATCGGCGTGGATGAGTAGGAGATGTTTCGTGATCAAGTTGATCAAACCCCCCAGGGCAGTATCGCCTTTACAGCGTGGATCTTTCCGGAGTGACTCGATGACCTCCATGACAGATGGATGTATATCTGCTGTAGTACCGTTGGCGCCTTCGCGAAGCTTGAAGAAGTGTTCTTCACGGGCTTTTTTGAAACCTTGAATAGCATCGAAGCCGTGAATCATCCAGATAATGAACTCGAGATATATGCACGCCAATGACCAAATGTCATACCGGCGGCGTCTGGGTGCCCCTTTCCTTATGAAGACCTCTGGTGGCTCATATGCTAGCGTAGTAGCCTTGGTTGTCGTCTCTCCCTCCCTCAAGTTTGTCGCATTCTTGTGGATTCGAGAGACCCCAACGTCTGCAACGACGAGTCTGCCTAAGCCTCCGTCCTTGAAGTGGAGAATATTGGCGGGCTTCAAGTCACCGTGACGGAAGTTGTTGCTGTCGCTATGAAGGCTTTCAAGGGCGCTACTAATACCTAGCATCTGTTGCAAAGACCACAAAATCAGATCGTGATTGGGCGTATGGCGCTTCCAGAAGTCTCTTAGGTTCCCCCCGTCTGCCCATGGAAAGACGATGAAGAATGAAGGTTTCCGGTCGATGCAGATGAGATGTTGGATGAGATGTGCGTTCTTGATACTTCTGATCTTTTCCAAATTCTCCCGCTCCTTATTGAAGTACCCAGTATTTTGGAATACCTTCACGGCCGTCACCAAGTTGGTTCTCTGAGCCTGTAGACTTCTGTTAAAACAAAGGCACGGTAGTGACGATGCTGCTTCTTGTATACGTACTTGACGACCCTTTTGATGCGACGCGTGGAGTTCGCTCTTATAAACGGTACTACTATGATCACCTCTGACTTCATCTGCGTTCATGAACGGCAAAGGATATCTCGGATCAACGGTCATGAAGCCTCCCGAGAGATCAAGTACCGGAGCAAGAACCAGCCATTGTTTCTCCAAGAAAGCGCCCACTTTTGCTTCGTTCTTCCAATCTCCGAACGATTTGACGGTCCTCCCTTGGCTGGATAGTAGAACACTGCAATCCTCGGCGTTCTTTGGTAAGGAGAATGGCAGGTCGTTATCTGTGAGTCCATCCTTCACTAGTTTTCTTATCGTATGAGATTCGCCAATGATCACAAGAATAGCAAATAGTTTTTTCGAATCTTGTACAATCTGGCTGATCTTTCCGTCCGGTAGGATTCGATTCTTGAAGTTCCGAGGCAATTCCTCCTTAACCGCTTCATTCGTGATCAGGTCGATCAATTGGTCTCGTGGTAAAAACCTCTCGCCAACAATAGAGCAATACTGTATAGCCTTATTGAGCTTAGTGTAAAGAGACTTGGAAGACATTGGTGATCTTTTCATCGCCGTCGATCGTGCTGATGCTGTTCAGTCTCAGGAATTGAGTAACACCTGAGAAAATACGAATTATGAATGGATGACTGAGGTTTATGAATTCAGCGATTGACCTAAGATATAATGACACAGCAACTGCATTATAATCTGTGAGCTATGATGGTAGAACAAGGCAACGACTCGAGGCAACCATGATGACATGGTCAGCAGAAGAAGCCTCCAGATGCACAGCCCAGACAAGCCGCACGGCTCAGCGACGGGCGTTGACAGCCCTCAGGTGTGTCTGTTGCCAGAGACGCCTCGTCCAGGTCTCATTAGCCGAGACTTCAGAACTCCCTTGATTTCATCTTGGGCGACAACCTGGGTGGACTACGCTGGCATCGTCCCCCAGCGTTGGTATTGCGTCAGCTGTTCATGCAACCTGTATGATTCTGCAGTAGGGTGACCACGAAGATACGAAAGAGGCGAGCACCAGTTGGTGTTAGATGGCCAAGTGCGTTCCAGAGTTATCAAGATCAGCCAGCCTGATTGTCTTTCGATACGCCACACACCCTTCTTTCGATGAAGTATGCAGACCCCGCTCCTTGGCAAGACTGGCTGCAGATGCAATTGACTTGTGGGAACAGGCATCATCACAAGACATTACGTGCAGGTAAAGTAGGCTGTGCAATCGCGTTCTGTCCGGGATCATGCCACGGTTCCTGATCCAGCTGCTTTCTTGCGGGTACTGACATACGCGAATGTCAGTCAAAAGCTTCCGACCATTTAGGTGCATATGTTGTGTGCACGTCAATCTTCATGGCGGCTTTTCTTCTTCCAACTTCAATGTTTTCGGGCAGCTATGAACAGTGTAGAAACCCCGGAAATCGAAAATAGGCGAATAAGATGCAGCAGTTATAACTAAAGGCTTGACCGAGTTTACTTGGACTTGAATTTTGGTTGGTCCTTAGTATGCGACCCTCACACCACTATCACTAGTTCAACCGGTGAAACTCGTGCTCGGCAAGGGGAAAGAAATGAGATATTCCGGCGTAAAATCCCGCTTGTCTTGCTCGGCGAACCAGGCGCACTGAATGATGGCGAGTGGCAGCCTGGCGCAATAAGAGTTCATGGTGGGTGATAAGCTGCATGATGGTGGGTTGACATGATTGTGTTGAGGTCAGAAAGGATCGCGATAGCTGAGGCAGCCGGTCCCTCCGGCCATTTCTAGCCAAATGCCTGAAAAAGACAGCAAAACATGAGAAGAAGCAACATTCTCTCTTAGACTAACATGTTCTTCTCATAATTTTGCCCCGATTTCGGATTCGAATTCCAAGGGCGCTCGGCAGTTGTAAGGTCTCATTCTCCAGCTCAAGGACCAATGCTTTCGCTAATAGAGCCGCGTCAAATCAACCGGGACCAAGGCCAAGTCATTAGGCAGCATGATGCATGCAATAAGGTAGTCATACTTGCATGCATCCAAGCAAATGTGGAGGGTCACATGGCAAAAGAGGGGAACCGAACTGCCAACACTGAGGTGTCAGAGCCGCAACGCCATGGAGAGATTGGGAGCTATATCAGGCGTAAACGAACGTACTTTATTGCACATATCGCACGAATAATGTTCTGTCTCGTTAGACTCGCAGCATTCAGCTCTTGAAATCACGGGTTATGCTTGCCTCGCCGTAGCCTGCTGCTATGAAATGCCTGCAGCTGTTGTGGTGTTATGACTTGTTTTTAATACAGGTAAAGTCCTTCAGGTGACAAAAACATCTCGAATATTGATTGAAGAAGCAAGAACGTTCTGACTGACACTGTTCACAACAGAAGAGACAACCAAGCGAACCGCCAGAGCCAGCTAGGGAAAAGCACCAAAGCTCTGATTACGCCCCAAAAGATCTATCTCACGGCGTTCGCGTTGTCAACCAGTCTGTCCTCAATACCCCTCGCCAAAGGCACAGCACCAAGATACGAAAACCATCATTCAGTTCTTCGTATACGGCAAGAACTTCTCGCACATTCTCCTTCCCCAGGGCCGCCTCGTCACTCATCAGTATTCGGAGAGATACCGGCGACAGCAACAAACGCCGCGGCAACGACGAAATGGCTGCACTTAGAGCACAAATCAGAGAGGTCATGGACGATATGGAAGGCAAGGTGGATGACCCCTTTCTACCGTATTCGTCCATGGAATCTTTGGTGACGGAGACGACAGTCACTGAAATCTTGACCTCAACGAAAGGCATTTCCAACACGAAGGTCGCGAAGCTCGTGGCTTTTATCTGCAAAGATCAGGGGGCAATGAGAGTCTTCTTCATTCTTCTCTGGACCGGGCAAGTAAAGCTAATAGAGGCCTTCTATAATTGCAAATTCGTCGACAACCTGCTCCCTGTCTATAAGGACCGCGGGAAAGTCAGGACACAACCATCTCGTACTCCGAGTCCAGAGACAGTAAACCAGCTATTTTCCGAGAACATGGAAGAACACACCATCGACTTCTTCTGCGACAACGCGCAATGGCGGTTCTTGGCACCAGTATTTCGCGAAAAGCAGTTTAAATACGACTTTCACCCCAAGTGTCCAATGCCATATTTGACACCATCGCTAGACAGAAAGGCCGGCCACAAAGACAGTCACTTCAGTGTGGTAGAACAGCGGTGTATTCATAAAGACCATCTGAAGAAAGGCTCGAAAACGGTAAGTTTTGATTAGCTGATCTTTAGTCGAGCGATGTCGTACTTACTGACCGATTTGCTAGCGCGTCTCGCTCGATCAGAATGGGCATCCATTAGTCGCCATCAAGCAGCTCAGGAATGTGAATTGGAGCGAGAAAGATTTTCAAGCTGCTGCGGAGACCGAGGCGGATGTGCTGGAGATGATTCGAGACTTCAATCACCCGCATCTGATAAGAGCAATTGCCTATTACACCAGAGGCAAAAAGCACTTTCTTGTTTTCCCATGGGCCGACGGCGGAAACTTGCGCGATTTCTGGGAAAGCGAGCCTCCCCGAAAGCTCGACGGAGAATTCTTCAAGTGGGCATTTGACCAACTCTGTGGGCTTGCCGGTGCAATGGAAAAGCTACACTCAACTCGGAACACATGTCGACACGGCGATTTGAAGCCGGAGAACATTTTGTGCTTCGAAAACACCGGCCATACTCACCCGCGTACCCAACCATGGCTTGTCATTGCCGATGTTGGCCTTGCCAAAGTGCACAACCAAGCAACCCACTTGCGGCACGAAGCAACGAGAACTGTTAGCGGAACAGTCATGTACGAACCCCCAGAGGCTGTCTTGGCAAAGAATGAGCCTCGTTCCAGGAGATACGATGTTTGGTCTCTTGGCTGTATATATCTGGAGTTTCTCATCTGGATTTTGTTCGGCAAAGACCAACTTACGCGGTTTGGTAACGACATCACCTCGGCCATTGACGGAAATCGCAAGTTCTTCGAGATCAACACTGGGACGGCCGTAATCAAGCCTGCTGTCCAGAAGTGGATTGACTCTATCAGAACAGACAGACGCGTCGAGGGGAACACGGCGGTAATGCGTCTTTTGGATCTCATTTGCAACAGACTTCTCGTCGTGGCGGTAGGTAATGTCAATGCATCCTCTTCTGGAAGCGGCACTCAGACTCCAGACGTCCTTCTCGAGGCTAACGGCCCTGGGCCCGGAATCATTCGTACGTCTACCAATGGCATGAATACGCAAGCCCCAGAGAATCCCAACTATCGAGCGACCGCCAAAGAAATGGATACCAAACTGAGAGCTATATGGAAAGAAGCTTTGGGGTCCGGAGACTCGAAACCGAAGCTTCAGTGGATTAACTTCCAGTCACCAAGCTCAGGAGGACCAGGAAGATATGGAAGCACTCTGGATCCATCTCAAATAGGTATAGGAGGTCGCGGCCGCGTCAATCGATGAGGTGAAGAATAACTTTCCTAGGTCCTCAGTCCCCTCCAATAACCAATGCTCAGGCAATAGAAGAGTCGAGTCCGAAGTTCGTAAACGATAGTGGATATTCAAATAAAGATGTAAGACCTATGAGATTTGATGGCGACTTAGAAGTTCTATTGTACTGACAACTTCAGTACGTGCGTATAATTGCCGTTATGTAATACACTATGGCGGTTGCTGATGTTTACGATTCTTGATACAGATGGTAACAGCAGTTCTTTTGCCATTGCACTTCGACCGCATACTGATATTGTTTCGCAACAGTTTGTGAGTGTCTGTAGCAGCTGATGTCGTGCGGCTTCAATTGACGTTGTGCAGACGGTAGGTTCTGTTCAGTCTCAAAGCTGTTGGTAATTACTGCCATTTTGGACAATTGCCTTAACAACATTCTAGCCCGTAAGCAAATGAATTACCCCCGCCCCACCATATTTTGGCTTGGAGAAGGCATTGTCTGACTTGGTACACTCAGTTGGACGATGAGTGGGAATACGATCCTGATCTGGAAATGGCAGCGCGGGCTCCTGGTAACTTTGCACTACTCGAAAGTCGACCAGCAACAAAACTGTGTACTCGTTGTAGTGGCATCCAGCTGTGGTCATCGACGTTCTCATTCTCGGATGATCCATCTTCTCTGGCGCAAATTTCTGGCACTTGCGACCTTTGTCGTCTACTGTCGATGGCATTAGAGGCTCTGATTCCCAGAACCAGCGGTGCGGTTCAGTTTGTACGGTCCTTCACCTATCTGATCACAACCACGAGACCTGGACGTCCCATTGCCACGTTTTTTTCTGATTCAAGTATGTAAAGGATGTTTCAAAAGCTACGTTGGAGTTTGATAACTGACCTATGTGGCTAGCACCGGCACTTCCCAATGTCCAACCTGGGTTTCCGCTGCTTTCTTCCCCCAACAGTCCAGCGCATATCAAAATACTGCTGGAATGGATCCGGAGCTGCGATGAGACACACAGCTGCTGTACTCAAGATCGCACGTTTTTGCCTACGCGAGTTATCGAAGTCGGAAAAGAAGGCTCAGACGACTGCCGTTTGATTTGCGCAGCCCGGGGTCAGACCAATCCAGGGAGATACTTGGCTTTGTCCCACCGCTGGGGCTCCTCAGATCAGCATCACAAATTCCGCACTTTGAAGGAAAATCTTGAGTCGTTCCAACAAGGTATCAAGTTGAAAGAGTTACCGCAAACCTTCCTAGACGCCGTCAAGATCACGAGAAGTCTTGGGGTTGAGTATCTTTGGATTGACTCACTTTGTATTGTTCAAGATGATCATGACGATTGGAAAATGGAGTCTCGTCTGATGGAACGCGTCTACAGCTCTGCATACGTCACCTTGGCAGCCAGCTGCGCTAATGACACACATGACGGCTTTCTGAAAGAACGGCCGTGGAGGCATTGCATCGAGATGAAGTCCGAAAGAGGCCCCTCATACTACGTTTGCAGTTCAGTGGATGACTTTGGTCCCGACGTCGACCAAGGCGAGTTGAACCAGCGAGCTTGGGTACTGCAAGAGCGTGTCTTGTCTCGACGCACAATCTACTTTACCAAGAAACAGACATATTGGGAATGTGGGCAAGGAGTGAGGTGCGAGACGATGACTAAGATGACAAAGTGAGCCTACGTCTTTTTAGCTCTTCAAACGCGTGAGCTGAACCAAGTTTAGTCGAAAAGCCTCATTTCTGGGAGACTCTGACTTTCCTCAATCAATTGACAATCAGCCTAAGGGGATGAAGATTCAACTCTTTCAGGACCTCTACGAAAAATACTCGGAACTCGCTCTTACATCTAACACCGACCGACCTGTCGCAATAAGAGGTCTTGAGACAAGGTTGATCCGCACTCTCAAGACTACGGGCGGCTATGGAGTGTTCAGTCGCTTCTTATCTCGTTGTCTCTTGTGGCAACGATCGCGGCGACACCTGCGGCGTATTAAGTTTGACCACGGTCGTGTGCCAACATGGTCATGGATGGCTCACGATGGCGGAATACGATACATGGATGTTCCATTCGGCGGCGTAAATTGGGAGAATAGCATCGTCTCGCCTTTTGAGAACCATCATCCCCACGACAACGAAGAGCAGAATGACAGCGAGCTGCCTAGTGAGATTGAGGCTCCCTCTTGGGATCTTTCCGATGCCCTGGACCTAACGGTGAAGCTGGACGATCCGGATCAAACATTCGATAAGCCCTTGAAGTGCATTGTGTTGGCAAGAGCCAAAGATTCGGAGGATGAGAAGCAACAGTTGTGTTACGTTCTTCTCATAAGCGGTGTTTCTGACAGTGGGGCCGAAGATGTCTACGAACGAGTTGGGGCAGGCAAGCTTCGAGGCGAACAGATTGATTTCAGCAAGGGCAGCAGAAACATCATTCTCAGATGATGTTTGTTGTTGGTTTTAACTATCCTTTTCTATGGTCTCAGTCAACACGCAAGCCTTTTTTCATCTTCATCGTACATGAAAAACCATACACAATCATGCCTATCTCTTTGCCCACATCGTCAACCAACAAGTAAGTGTCAACGTTTTGTGTCAGGACAGAGGTTCGATATATCCCACAGTCAATTGTCCGTATTCCCGGCAAACCCGGACCCTTCCCCGGATACGCTTACAGGTCGGAAGTCATCCCGCGGAAGCCTCTCCGACTTATCAGCGCAATCCGTATCTTCCGCCTTCATCCGCCGCCCCCAGAGTTCCAAATGAGGGGGGTTCGTCCACAATCACACCTTATCTCCCAGCGGGGTAGGGAGAATCGTTGGAGAGAGGCCGTCACGCGGTTGCAACGTGCCGCCGTTGTCATGGGATCCCAACGACCGTCTTTAGAGTTCGACCGTAATTGGACAAGCATTCGCCGTGCCGGGACGAGACCTGTCAAGCCGATAAGCGGGAACGCCTCCTCCCCCCCTCTTTCCGGGGTAAACGGCGCCATCTTACCACCCCTCCCCCGCCTCGGTCTAGATAACTGACGATGAACGAGTCGCAATTCGTATTGGTTTCTGGGTGGGGACGGTGTGCCCTTGATAACTATCTCTCATCGACTGGGATCCATGGCACGTTACGGTTGAATGCTCGGCTGACCGTTATCGTTTACAAAGGGCATCGCAGTCAGCTTCCTTCTTCGGAGATGTCATGCATGAATCTCAATTGACCAATTGACTTATATGAGGGACTCATTGGACCGGAATGCAATGCCAATGTTCCCCCTCTTCTCTCTCGCAGGTCTGCCTCGTCCAGTGACATTCGTGATTCCGGAGAGGGCCATTGGGCTCAACTGACCTCGAGCTGAGGTTCCTGCACTTCCAACCAGTCCCCAAAAACAACCAAGCTGTCAGGATGACGCATTCAAACCCGACACAGACGCCTGCCGCCATTGTCGGCGACGAGAAGCACCATGGAGTTGGTGTTTCCGAAGCTGCGGACGACCTGGAGAGATTCCAGCGCGATCACCAATTTGATCCGAACCTTTCCCAGGAGAAGTCCGACATGGTCAAGAAGGCTCTCGAAGACGGCGACTCGGAAGAGATCATTGCTGCCGACGCCATCCTCACAGAGGACTCACCTTACGAAGAGGTCAGAGCCGCAGTTCGCAACACCGATGGCGAAGAGATCGCAAACACAGTCCGCGCATGGGTTCTGGGCATGATCTTCGTGACTATCGGCAGTGGTTTGAACATGTTTCTCAGTATGAGGTACGCTGAATCAATGCTTTCGCTGTGCCACGATAACAAACGACTGACTTATCTGCGCTGCATAGGAGTCCGGCCATCAACTTCCCCTCCATCATTGTACAACTGCTCGTTTACCCGATCGGATGCTTATGGGCTAGAGTCATGCCCATGAAAGTCTTCAACACGTTTGGCGTCCAATGGAGTCTCAACCCCGGGCCCTTCACAATCAAGGAACATGTTGTCATCACCCTCATGTCGAACGTCTCCATCGGCTACGCCTACAGCACAGACGCTCTCCTTGCTCTACAAGGCAAGCCTTTCTACGATATCAATCTCGGATGGGGTTTCCAGCTGCTCTTCACCCTCAGCTCGCAGCTGATCGGCATCGGGCTCGCTGGTCTCTGTCGCAGATTCCTCGTGTGGCCATCGGCGATGATCTGGCCGAACCAGTTCGCCAACACTTCCTTGTTCTATGCTCTTCACGACAAGAGCAAGAGCGATGGAACGCACAGCAATGGTTGGATGATCAGCCGATACCGCTACTTCTTCTACGTTCTCGGGATCATGTTCTGCTACTACTGGATTCCGGGTGTTCTCTGGCAGGGGTTGTCCGTTTTCGCTTTCATCACTTGGATCAAACCGAACAACGTGGTTTTGAACCAGCTCTTCGGCGGCTTCACTGGACTCTCGCTGATTCCCATCACATTCGACTGGACGTATATCTCGGCGTATCTCGGAGACCCTCTGCTCTCGCCTACGCACACTCACATCAATGTTCTGATTGGTCTCTTCACCTTCGTCATCATCCCGACCATCGGTATTGCATACACCGGCGCGTTGTTCTCGGAGTATCTGCCCATCAACACTTCTCAAACTTACGATAACACCCAAGGCAGCTACAACGTGAGCAAGATTCTCGGCGCGGGCTACGCCTTCGACGAACAGAAGTACAAGGAATATTCGCCCCTGTTTCTGCCCCCCACCTTTGCTCTCAACTACGGTCTGTCTTTTGCTGCGTTGACGGCAGCGATCGTTCATACCGCAATCTTCCACGGCAAAGAGATCTGGTACCGACTCAAGACAGCCCAAAACCAAGAGGCCGATATTCACCTGAAGCTTATGAAGAAGTATAAAGATGCGCCCGAGTGGTGGTACGCAGTGCTTCTCGTCATCGCGATCGGTCTCGGACTGGCCACGGCGGAGGGTTACGACTCTCAGCTTCCCTGGTGGGCTTTCTTCGTTGCGAACATCCTGGCCACGGTATTCGTTGTGCCAACCTGCACGATTCTCGCCATCTCCAACTTGCCACTGGCTCTCAATGTGCTGTCTCCCTTCTTGGCTGGCTTCATGATTCCCGGAAAGCCCATCGGCGTCATGATCTTCAAGGTTTACAGCACTATCACGCTCGGCCAGGCGCAGACGTACTCAGGCGATCTCAAGATGGCTCACTACATGAAGATTCCGCCGCGTATCACGTTTTGGTGCCAGGTTGTGGCCACCATCTGGGCTGTCTTCGTTCAGATCGCGGTGATGAACTGGACTCTTGGCAACATTGAGGATTGCTGTGCGCTGTAAGTCTTCGTCCTCTCTCACTCTCTCCTTTCCATCGTCGTGCATTGCTCCTCATATCTGACTTCATCTCATAGCCATCAAGCGGCGCACTTCACTTGCCCTAACGGCAGAGCCTTCTTCTCAAGCTCGATTGTATGGGGTGTGATTGGCCCTCGCCGAATGTTTGGTGCAGGCTCCATCTACGAAAAGTTCAACTTCTTCTGGCTCATCGGCGCCGCTCTGCCCGTCGTTTTCTACGTCCTCATTAAGGTCCTCAAGCTCAAGTTTGCCCGGGTTTTTCACGCTCCGGTCATGCTTGGCGCCATGGGCTGGCTGCCACCCGCCACTCCTCTCAGCTTCTCGAGCTGGGCCATCGTCGGGCTCATCTTCAACCACGGCATCCGCAAGAGGTTCCATGGCTGGTGGAAGACGTACAATTACATCACGGCTGCGGCGCTCGACGCGGGCCTTATCATCAGCACGATCGTCATCTTCTTCGCGATCACGCTCCCCAACGTCACGATACCTCAATGGTGGGGCAACGTGGACGTGTATGAGACTCTGGTAAGAAATCCCACGCGCCGCCTCACTTTCGCAGAGCGCTTGGTTCTGCAATGCCTCGTTGTCATGTCACACAGTAAAGATCGTCGACTAACTCTATTGCCTCGTGAACAGGACTCCACGTATGGTGCCATCCTCAAAACCGTGGGGGAAGGCGAGACTTTTGGCCCTTCCAGCTGGTGATTGAAGGATCGTGTAATCACCCTGCATGATGATGCAGATAGCCGCGGTTAGCGCAGGCAGCATGCAGAGATTTTGCTGCCCAAGATTGCTACCCGAGCAACTCATTTCCCAGATGCGTGCCAGCATCGATCACTTGTCACATCGTTCATTGCCAATCACGTTGCTATGATTTCATGAAGAATTGAAGATGGTGTAGAGAGAAGAGAGAAGATAACTCTGCGTGGTGTTTTTCATTATCATTTGTACAGTTTTGTAGTGTATCGTTGTTGTCGTTAATGGCAGAGACCCGAGAAAAAAAAAATCATAAACAAGTCTAATTGTACTCCGTTAATGCCTGGCGGATTCTTCGTTATTTGCTTTGTGTGAATGTGTGTGTGTGTGAGTGTGTTTGTCGCCGCCGACAGTGAAACATGCAATCGTTAATGATGATAGTCGTAAGAAACATTGGAGCCGCCCTCATTCTCTCGCGAGCCCGAAACCTAGATCAATGCAACGAAGTGAATCCCTCTCCAACCGTGCCAGTCCAAGACATCTTCCAGTCCATTTTGATCATTCTGCCCTGGCGGTCGCGATGTCGTAGATTGATCCATCGGGTTGACGTTGACTTCGCGACCGGGGGAGATCGATGCGCTGCCGGTAGGGCCTTGATGCTCCGTCAATGTGATTGTCGGACATTTTCCTCGGCAGATCTTCACCCCTCGGCGGCGGCGGCGGATTTCGATCCCGTTCCCGTTCTCTCTCTTCCCTCCGCGAGTGTCTCCTCTGTCGAGAAGCATCTGAGCGAATGGAGGCATTGTCGTCCATATACCGTGACAGGGAAGACATGGCCGGCGCCGGAGCCGGCGGGGGCGGCATGCTGTTGAATTGCTGGGGAGAGCCGTGGTACTTCGGCGGTGAGTTATGATACTGCTGCGGCGCCGGCGCGTGATTGAACTGCGGCGGCATCGGAGGAGCAGGCGGAGGCGGGGGTCCCATCGAGTCCATCGGAGGTAACGGCGGCGCCGGCGGAGGCGGAGCGGGTTCCGCGGCGTTGTGATTCACGGCGAGCGAGTCACTGCGGCCGTGACCCATGTGCTGAGACTCCCTGCGACTGTGACTGACGACGAGAGACTCCTTGCTCCTCATCGACTCCACGATTGAGCCGTCGGGACGGAGAAAGGCCTCCGGCACGCCAGGAATCGGCTCGCCCTCGCTTTCACCCTCGGGCTCGTCGTCATCCTGACCGCCGTTTATGACGCTCGCCTCCAGCTTCGCGCCCTTCTTGCTGACCAGCTTGCCCTGGCGGTACTGCTCGAGCGCCCTCTTCAGGACGTTCCGCATGACCGCCTTGTTCACATTCCTGCGCACGCGGTCGAAGTAGCGGGTGACGTCGCCGACGATCATGACCTGCGCGTCGTGGTCGACCTCGAGCACGTCGGCGTAGTTCGCGCGGGAGTTCTCCTTGACGCGGAACTTGCCAGGGCGCAGCTGCATGCCGACCGGGGAAAACGGGAGCTTGTCGAAGGGCGGCGTGCGATCATTCTCGTCGAAGACGTAGCCCTGCTGGCTCGAGTCGATGCCGGGCTTCTGGAAGTCGTTCTTGGTGGGGGTGGAGATGGGTCTTTTCGACGATCGATTGGGTTAGCGAGGCGACTCAAGTCAGTAGTGCTGGAGGGGGGAGGGGTAGGTGAGAAAAGCAATGAAGTTGCAACGGGGGATGACGGTTTTGAAGATGCTTACACGCAGATCACGTAGTGCGGAAATGTGTCGCTATGTCGAAGGACAATGAAGCGAGTGTATCCAAGGCACTTCCACTCCCACTCAAACTCATGCGAGTCCGCCCAGAGGAACTCGAAGACATCTCCTATCTCTAGGCGCGCCGCGGGGCCAATGTCGTAGCCCTTGCGAGCTGTCGATTGTCTCAAAAGTCAGCAAAAAAACGTATCCAAGTGTCGCATGGCAGTAAAGAAGAGTCCAGCTCGGCCTGGAGGCCCATAGGCGTGGATCTCTGCCTCGCGCTGTGGTGTTTGGACAACTCACCCAGAGGGTGCTCATACGAGCTTTCATGCGTGCCTACTGACGCATCGTCTCCGTTCCCCGAGTCCTTCCCCGAGTCTTTCCCCGAGTCTTTCCCCGAGTCACTCTTAGTGCTCTTGGTACTCTTGCTCCTAAAAGTCGTAAATTCACGGTTCCCGATCACCATCTCTTGCCACATCCCAAGGAACAGGAAGAAGAAGAGGGAAAGAATAGGAAAGGAAGAAAGGTTTGTCTTATGGTTCAATGTGCCGCTGAGAGGTCAGAAGCTCTGGCGGGGAAAATGGAAGAAGGATGATCGGTCATTGTAACAAGACTGGACTGGACTGGGTCGGGGTCTATGACTGGGGGGGGGAGAGAAAGGGAGGTGAGCCCGTGGGAATCGGACGCGAATTGAGCCAATGCAAGGCGAGGAGCCCAACCGCAAAGCACGCAGCCGAGTCTGGGGCTGCTGACTGGACCGAACTGGCTGACCGACGGCCGGGAGACTCAGGAGAGCAGGTGAAGAGAGCAGGGAGGGAGAGAGAGAGGCAGACGCAGAGCAGGGTGAGGGAACGAGAAGGGCGGTCTCGTCGACCTGCGGCCTGTTGGTAGCCAGTACTGCTTTTTTCCGCCACGTCGCTAAAATGGATTCATGCGCGGTGTGTGATGCCCAACCTCCACCGCCATGCGTCGGCCGTCATGTCAATGGCTCGCGATGAGTTCCTCGTCCCCACCAGCCGCATTTCCAACCAGACGTGAGTTGTCCCAGGGCAAACAAGGGCTTCTTGGAGGTTCCAGCGCGGGTCGAGGGGACCCGTCACCGCCATTTCGGCGCGGAACATTGGCCGGCCATCCGGGGGTCGTGGTTCGGTTGATCAATCATTCCTGTTCGCCTTATCTGCTCCGGGAGGCAGCATCGAAACTCGTGACTATGGAGCGTGAAGTGGGCATGGAGTTGCGGGCTTTGCCTCATCGAGCAGCTGCTTGAAATCTTGATAGAGTCGAGAGGTTGGCATCAGAACATTCGGAGCTGGTCTGAACGTTGCTGGAATCGTTGGAGGGTGCGGGTGCTTCCGCGGATCTTTCTTGTCTTACCTGGCCGAATGAGGGGTTAACGCGCCTAAAAATAACACTAAGGTGATTTTTTCAGGGGATTCCGGCAAGATCCTGATCGGAGAAAATGGATCTTTCGACCAGCAACCGAAGCAACAGTCGAAGAGCTTCCTCGAGCCAACATCAGCAGAAGCAACTCGGCACTCTCTAAAACGTCTTGAGACATGTTCTTGAAAGTTTAGCTCGCCGTTCGTCCACCCAGAATTCTATGGTTCGGTCTCGTTCGGCCCAGGGGTCTGGGACACACTACTGTGCTCTGCAAAGACCAGGATCCTGCTGTTCCCCAACCACTCATGATATGCCCGACATAAGCCAAGTTAGCCAACGAACGACTTCACTGCTCTCACCGTCAAGTGACAAGACGAGTTGGATTTTGCCATCCAGTTTTTTATTCGAGAAGCCCCGAAATCTTCAGAGACCCAGAATGACTTCATTTTCCATCACAAGTGGGCCTCAATGAGACATTTTGGTGTCTCCGGTGTTAGTCATCATCATGAGCGACGCGTGAATCCGCTCACCGTGAGTCAGTCAGCTCGCTGCCTCAAGCAAACCCGTCTCCCTTCGACTTTCACAGTGATTAGGTCATCTTTGAGCAAGTAGGACATCAAGTTCCATCACATTCCCAGTGAAAATATGTATTTATGAAAGAGCACCGTCCAGATTTGTCCGAGGACCACCGCTGACTTCACTCAGTAAACCACAGGCTTCAGCTCCGTCACCGGTCTCATCGCAAACATGTGCCCCGCACCTCCAGTACTTCGCTGAACCATCACGTTACCTCTCTCGACCATGTTCCTCTCATATACTGTCAACTTGTTGATCTTGTCGTGAGATTGAGATGAGTTGGATGAGATCTCAACAAGCGCATTGAACAAATCCGCAGCATCCTGGAAAGCGGAGTTGGCACCGACTCCTCCGACCGGCGACATCGGGTGAGCCGCGTCTCCCATCAAGGTAACCGGCAGGCGAGCGTCTCCGGTGGTATCCTTGGCGTCAATGAGGTCATTCCATGCTGCTGTGAAGTGTTTCTCCGTAGTCGTGTGGAATGCCAGCGTGGAGGCAGAAGGCTCATGCTGCCTTTCGAGAAGCGCCTGCACCGACGGATGCCAAGACGAAGCAAGAGTCCGCGATTGCTGAGCTGATTCGGTATGATCGAACTTGAGCAGAGTCTCCTGCGAGTGTTCGGTCATGTCATTGCGGAAACAGAGAACCCAGTAGACGTAGTCGGCCGGAACGTTGAACTTGGATCTCACATCTGCCGTCATGGCAGTGTCGAACTCCATGTTGTCGCAGAACAGCTTCACTGGGCTGTCGCTCGACTGTCCAATGAGTGACATCCCCTTGAGAATCTCCGGAGGAACATGACTTCCCAACTCCGGCGTGAGGAAAGTCTTTCCAAAGACAGCTCGACCTTCAGTATCCAGGACGGTGAAATCGGGCATCAGTTGCCGGCGGATGGCCGAGCGGGTGCCGTCAGCACCAACAAGGACGCTCCCAGACTCCTTGGATCCGTCACCGAAAGTAACCACCACCCCGTCATCAGAGGTTGCCTGGAAGCTTTCGAATTTCTTGCCGAACGAGATTTGGTCCTCGAGACCTTCGAGCAAGATGCTGCGGAGTACAGCGCGATCGATGTTATACGCTTTGCCGTCCTGAAGCCCTTGCCGTCCAGCCCCCGTCTTGGGGGGAGGACCAGGAAGCGGCTGTGCCCACTCGGTAGGCTTGCCAGTGGTGGCGTCGAGACGATTGAAGCCGGGCTTCATGGGTGCCGAGGTTGCTTCGAATGCTTGCCACATATTCTCGGGGAGCAGCTTCTGTAAGGCAGCAGCACCGTCGGGAGAGATACGGATGCGGTATCCCTGGGCGCGGAAAGCAGCTGAAGTGTCGCGCTCGAAGACATGGAATGGGATGGGTGGGGTGGCGTTTTTGAGGCTTTGGGCCAGAGAAAGACCTCCCAGGCCGCCGCCGACAATTATGATGCGGTTCTTAGATGCAGACATGTCGTTGATTTCAAGGAATCGCTGATGAAGCTGCTGAAATTTGATGGCTGAATGAATCTGAGTGAATGAGGAGGATGCCGAGTCGGTTTGGTTGTGTCCAGGAATTGGAAGTGAGATTCAAGAAGATGTTTGAGGCTTTATATATGCTGAAATCTGAATCCTCAAAAGGCTGTTGATCTCTGGACACTCTGTGAAGTCGGTTCATCTATGGAATTTCAACAAAGACCGGAGCCGGTCCCGAAAGACCGTAGGATGTGGCTGACGAAATCCTTCCATTCGGGACCGAGCGACGGCGCTAATCCCCGAACATCCAGCACTAGACGGCCCGTGCCAAGCCGGAGGAGGCATGGGCTACCCGGAAATGCCTTCAAACATCGAACCGGCCCACGAGCGTTTAGGCAGCAGGTCAAACTCGCTTCTGCTGCCTGGGATGATCAGCTCCTCACAATATTTTGACATGACAGACTCCACATGTGCGGAATCACTTTGCCGGTGATTGATCATGACAACAGCCCAACTGAGAAGATAGTCGATGGGTCAGAAAGCCACACGCAGTAGGAAAAGCATGTTCAAATATGACATTGCATATGAGAGCTTCATGCTTGAATACTTTCAAGTTTATCTAACTCTCTTAATGGTACTGTTTAATCACAGTACTTGGGAAGAGAGTGATTGGACTCAATTCTAATTTCTCCGAAGGAATGATCGAAGTGAAAAGGCTTGACCGAAATCCAAAAGCCGAACTATATCCCATACGCCTCGCATTCTTGCGAGGAGCGTGGAGAATGAAAATGTACCCAAAATTCGTTCCGTCTCAAGCCCTTCGAATACGAATCATACGGCACCGACCCCATATCTCACTCTTTTCCGTTGAAAACATCAACTCGTCATCCAGAACAGCTCAACACCAATGGTCGCCCTTAACGATGACAGTCCAGTTGTCCCGATGGGTTACCCGTCCATTGATTCTTTTGCCTCTGCACGTATCAAGAATCTTCGTCGCGCCGTCCGCAATCTCACCGAAGGATCTAAGTTCTTTCGGTTTCGAGTCCTGCGTTTACCTCGTCAGCGGCCGGTGACTTGGAAACACCATATTCGTCCGTCACGATCACGCGTCTTTGACAACTGCTTACCTCGTTACACCACCAGATCGAACTTTTATAGGAGCAGCTCACTTTGCCGCACGCTGCCGGGCCGCCTCCACTCATAGGGTGGCCTCCGACGACCTTAAGATAGCCAATACCGGTGAAGATAACTTCCCGTTTGGCGTTCTTGACGTTGCTGGCATGGTCGCAGTACACCCGCGCGCCCAGAAAGTCGGCCCGCTTGGCCAGAGCCGGCGATTCCTTAGCCGTCTGGTTCAACCACTCCATCTCCTTGAAATCAGGATTGATCTCGTAGAGCTGGCCAATGACTTCCTCGACAGTGCCGTTGAGCAGGAGAGTCTCGCCCCCGGGGGTTGCGGCAACCTCCCACTGGGGAACGAAAACATCAAAGCCGGGGATAGGTGCCTCACGGGCAGAAACCTGGGTATCCAAGTCAGCTCACCGTATCCTTTCCGAGTAGGGGTGCGAATTCTTACCCCAGCCGCCATAATGGCAGGCAACAAAGCGGACAGACAGGCAAGACGCATGTTGATGGCCTTCAGGTAAGACATTCCGAGACATGGAATATTTGTTAGAACGAATTTTTCAAGTTGGAAAAAGGTCGATGTTTGTTTGGTCAGGTTCCTTGCGAAAGGTTTGGACTCGTGACTCTCTTTGTGTTGTTACGCTGGGTACCTTTGTAGTTAACTGTTGAGCCCAACGGTTGATGCAGGTCCCAACGCCGGAAACAGATAATTGCTACCGTGCCAAAATGGTAAGCTTGAACTTAGAGAGCCATCTTTCTGACGCTAGGTAAATCACTGCACATAGCCCCCGCCAGGGCTCGCCCCATCCAGCCTGCTTCTAAGCTTGCATGCACTATCGAAGACCTTTCAAACGACGTAGAGTTTGGAATAGAAACAGAAACCCCAAGAAGCTGTGATTTCAACGGGTGTCCGATTTTGCTTTGAGCTCTCCATCATGTACTGCAAATTGGATTACGTACTAGGGCTGCTGTTTAATGGGAATTGCAGGCAATGGCTCGGGGTTGTGCTCCCCTCGTCAACTTGATGGCATCTCAATTTGGTCTGATTTTGACTGGTACATCTTTCCCTCCTCCTTCGTATGTGTGTTGAAAAGCGCCGAGCATTGTTTGCTGCCCGGTTTCTTATCCCACGACGCCGACATTCGCCTACCAGGAACTCTGGATCTCGCATTGTCTTCAACTGTCTTCAGCTATCGTCGCGATGATTCGTTCATGTATTCATCGGTGGATTTCTCTCTTACAAATCAGCATCTCTCATCAAGGTCTTGCCCCCCCTTTAACCTTACGGATGAGGTTATTCGCAAGCGACGCATATATGCCGCCAGGAAGCTTATTAGAATAGAGTTATTCTTTCAGAATATTGGATGTTCAACGTGTACTCATTGGGTATAGCGAGCCAGACTATTAAGGGTGGCTGCATTGTGTTGCGCAGAGAATTGCATTTGTGGTACATGTATTCCTCGTATGAAGCGCCTCGGGTCTCTACGTACCGTAACTGTACAGAATCGTACATGTTACCAGCACACGACAGTTCACCTGCTTTTCTCCTCGATAGAAATTATTCCTTGTTTCTCCTGTAGATCCAAAAGTCTGTGTATTCTTGTCTCACAAACCACGAGTTCTGGACTTTCCAATTCTCTTGGGGTCGAGTGGCTGTAACCTGCAGGAATCTCCGTTAACACAACCTGATACCTCCGGCGAGGGCTCACGAGTTCGACAAACCTTGTATGTAAGGAAGAAGCTCGGAATCACCTTGAAGATTTCTAGCAGGCTAATGTTCTTGCCGATACACGTACGGTGGCCTTTCCCAAAGGTAAACGTAGCTCCGTTCATAGCCTTCAGGCGATCATCAAACTCATGCTGAGACTCGTGGGCAGCTCGGAGCCAACGTTCCGGTCGAAATTCATCGACATCCTGGCCAAAGACGGCCTTGTCTCGATGGACCACCCACGGCGAGGCACCGACAATCGTTCCCGGAGGTAAAAGGGTTCCATTGGCAAGCCTAAGTCCGCCCTCGGGTACAAGTCGCTCCAAGATCAGACCGACCGCCGGGTGAAGTCGCAATGCCTCGGAAACAACTGCGGCGAAATAGGGGAGTTGCTGGCTATCCTTCCATGAGACTGGAACAGACAGCCTGCCCTCGGCGTGAGCTTCATCGAGCTCGGTCATAAGTTTGGCGTATACTCGTGGGTTTCTAGTCGTGTAATACAGAATCGCTCGCAGTGATATCGCCGTCGTGTCCGACCCAGCAAACATATTGGTGATCATGTATGAGAGAACCTGGGCGTCGTCAACGACATCGGAATGAGTTTCTCTGGCTCTCAAAAACTTGTCGACGAAGTCCAAGTTTCCTGGCTTGCTTGGTGTCCACTTCCGAGTCTCCTCCGCGATCAGTCGCTCTTGAAGTCTGGCCTTGGCAAAGAACGCCACCGGGCCGGTAGAGTGCGTGAACCGAGACAAGATTGGGTTCTTCTTCAGCCAACGATCTAGCCAGGGGAGCTGCCCGATAATGGCGTTATAATCCATTGTCGTGTTCAAGGAAGCTATGATCCCCTCAATGTCGCGTCCTTCGTTCATAAAGCCGAACGGCTTGCTACAGGTGAGCTCGCCAATGACATCGAAGGCGTAGTATTGAAACCACTCGAAAAGAGGTACTGGGAGGCCTTTGCTTGCGTATCGCTGATCCAATTCGGCGAAGAGAGATTCAATGGACGAGTCGACCAGTGGCTCGTAGTCGGTCAAGGTCGTCATCGAGTAGGCGTTTGCAACGGGTCGCTTAATGCGAGCGTGGAAGGCGTCGCTCAGCGTAGTGAACAATGTTTGGGTCGCCTTGCCATTGACCAGCTGCTGTTGGACGGCATAGAAGCTGCTTTTCGGAAATCCATTCTTGACACTGTAGACCTTGGAGACGTCGGCGGGGTTCCTGATGCTTACCACGCGAGGCCCCAGTCGGACATTATCTCCGTACTTGTCATGAAGCGCTACCAAAGACACTTGATTATCTCCTTTGCCCACATTGTAGGCACGGAACAGGTTGCTCAAGCCGGCGAGAAATGGTCCAGGAATCTTCGTTACGCCGGTCGACAGGTAGTTATTCACCAAATGTATGACGGCTAGAATTGTTGCAGCACATGCAACATAAAGTATGTCGATAGCCATCTTGTGAGTGCTGCTGCAATGTCACCTCAGGCTGGAATAGCGATCAAAATGAGTCCGTCTCTCGAGGGAAAACGCGGGTTGCTGCCTTTTCAATGTTGAGTGGCATTTCAACTGCCGAAAGTTTCATCCTTACCACTGATCTTAACAACACATCCATGAACTCCGTTCCCCCGCACTTCATGGACGCAGGCACCTCTTTGACCATATAAAGCCACACACTCAGCTTGGAACTTACGGAAAGAACGTTTCCGAGTTAACATCTTCTCGGAACCTGATCGCGCGGAGGGTTTCCGAACTTATATCCATGCGGTCTGAAATGGAAGTACTAAGACCCGAGGGAGCTAGATCGCTGAAATAGCAGTCATAACGCACTCACAACATTTGTTCTACGTTGTTATGCGCCATGGGTGTCAAAGAACCGAGATTACTGATGAGATGCACAGTTATACACGCCCACCGGCCCGAGTACACTATTCGCCATTAGCAGCAGAAGCTGTTTACCTTCGAAATTTCATGAACACATTTACGCCAGGTTTTTTACCATAAACCTGTACAACCACAAGTCCAAAGTTCCCGCATGCGAATTCGAATACCAAACGATACCTTAGATTATATGTGAGTCCAGTTCAAGACCAGAAAGTGAAATTGCGGATTTTGAAATGCTGGGCATCTCCAAAATTACATGGAAATTACCGTAGGTTGTTACAATTCGTTATGTTACTGAGTGAAAAAGATGAAATCAATACCGGTAGCCTGGCAGAGGCTGTGAATCACATCACATGCACGAGATGTAGCCGGGACGATTGGCGTCGGGAGACTTTTTGGTGCTTAACACACCACTTCACAGGTCTTCACGAAATGGTCACGATTCAGAAATCAAACTCAGTTAAGAGGGGATTGATAGTTTTGGGGAAATAGTTACTTATGTGGCTGTTCGAGAACCAGCTTGAAAGTTGAACGAGGGAAAATTAATTATATCGAAAAAAGGGCTTTTGGGTCCGATTTTACATTTGAACCTGCACCAATTTGCGTAAAGAATGATACTAAAAGAGATATTGCAGTTTTCATGAATAGCTTCTCACTTCAGCCACTTCCTGCATCAATTACTCTGATGGTTCTCCTTACGTAATCCTTATTGCAAAGTGAAATCGCATTTTGGTTGTGTGAGAGGTTTCCACGCCGCAAGGCGGCAGCGGATACGCAACCTCCAGGCATTAAACACCTCCCTAAGCAGGCTAGTGATCAGGGATACGCATATGACATTATTTACAGCAGGCAATCGTGCTCAGCTGTTTGCTTGCGCACATGCAAGCCATAGATACTGACCGTTGCTTTCTACCTATCTGATTGGTTTCTGTGCCACGAAACGCCCGCAGAAACCAGAGAGAGCTCAGGGAATTTTGATGCGACCCTTGTCTTTTAGCAAAGTGAGCCCCTTGCTCTGGTCTCAGGCAGCGCCCGGAACGCATGCCTCTTTAACATCAGAGACATTGGAGTGTTTATCACAGCGTTCACCCCTCCTACTTGTACAGCGTAACAGTAGTCCCGATGGCTTCGATCCAGTCTAGCATCCCGTGAGCCCTCATGTCAAGCATGTCGTGTCCAACATCCAGCGACCAGTCCTTCGGACCACGGGTTGATCCCGCGTGCCGCTCATTCGACTTCACATTGGAATTCGAGGACATCTTTTTTGCGTGTCTGCCATCGGCACTCCTTGTTCTTCTCGCGCCATCACGCATTGTGCCTCTTCTTCGCAAGCCAGCCACCTTTGTCGTTCGATCCAGACTCTTGGTCGCCAAATTGGTACGTCTTGATTCATCTCTGATATTCTAGGGTCTTTGACAGCTATCTGATGACCACAACAGGCAGTCCTTTCTGCAGTGCTTGGCTTACAACTCGCGTTTCTTGCTCTGCGAATCCAAATCTCCACATTCAGGACATCTGCCTCCCTTGGTGCCGATGTGCTGGCCTTCATTGCTACACTCACTGTTGTGGTGGTCTCAGTCCTCAACCACCAAAGGTCGCTTCGGCCTTCGACTCTAATCAGCGTTTATCTCTCCGCATCCGTCGTCCTTGGGATTCCAAGGGTCCGAACAATATGGCTGCTGGGGAATTCGGGTCCGGTGCCAATTGTTCAGGCATTGGTTTTCACTTTGACCTTCACTGCGCTCGTCTTGGAGTCGATCGAGGCGAAGAGCAGTCTATCCGAGTCCGGTTTCCAATACGAGAAACTCGCCACAGCTGAACAACGCAGTGGCTTCTGGGCAAGGACTTGTTTCTCGTGGCTGGCGAATACCTTCCGTACAGGCTACTCCAAAGTCATATCCCTCGCTGATCTACCTGGGCTTGATCCCAGCCTGGAAAGCCGACTTTTGCACAAAAGCTTGGTCGCTGCTTGGAGCAAATGTACGTGCCATGGGAGTTGCTGGATGACAGCAGCTGAAACAACATGAACATGAATGTGCTAACCCATTTAAAACAGACGATCATCAAACTAAACATAGCCTTCTAAAGGCATGTTTAAGGAGCTACTTTATCCCATTTCTGACCCCCGTACTCCCTCGACTATGTATCACAGTCTTCACCTTCGCCCAGCCATTCCTCATCAATACGACTGTAACCTTCGTTGGCCAGGACAGACCCGACAGCAACTATGGGAAAGGCCTCATCGGCGCTTGGGCGTTGGTCTACCTTGGGCTCACTGTTAGCAGCTCGATATACCAGTACCACAACCTTCGTTTCACCACCAGACTTCGTGGAGGCTTGATCGCTCTCATCTACCAGCAGACAGTACACACAAGAGAGGTCGACACGGGCGAGATTACTGCAGTTTCTCTCATGGGAACCGACGTAGAGCGCATCTACATGTCTATGTCTGCGTTACATACGGTTTGGGGCTCGTTGCTTGACATCGCCGTGGCCAGTTGGCTTCTGGGACTTCAACTCTCGCTTGCCTGCCTTGCGCCCATCGTGCTTGTGCTTTGTGAGTAGTTCCAGGTACAAATCCATAGACCAGGCTAATCTGATTCGCGCAGGTTTCATCATTGCCATGTCGAGGATCTCGGTGGCCACAAAAACAGCGCAGGTTCAATGGATTGAAAAGATTCAAAAACGGCTTCAGGCTACTACGACAATGCTGGGTGAGATGAAGGCTGTTAAGATGCTTGGGCTTAGCCAAGTAATGTCAAACAACATCCAAAACCTTCGTGGCGACGAGATAGAGACTTCGAAGACCTTCAGAAAGCTTCTCGTGGCAACATTGCTGTACTGTGAGTTCTACTGAATTCTTAACCATGGCCATGCCGTGCCATCAACGCTAACCCAACGTCAAAGCTCTCACGCCCATTACCCTCGCCCCAATCGCGACTTTCGCCATCTATGTTATTATTTCGGTGTTTTGGAAGAATGAGACACTGCTACCTGCCCAAGCATTTACTTCCATTGCTTTGGTATCACTCTTGACTACCCCAGTAGTCATGTTCATACAGCTATTACCGCAGGTTATCCAATCCTTCGGTTGCTTTGATCGAATTCAGGCTTTCTGCGAGGGTCCAAATGATCGAGTTCCGGAATCAACCACTTCCCGGTACTCAACCACCCAGATATCGGAGGCAACAGCAAACGCAGGGGCTGACGAGCCTGGTGTTCTGAAAAGCCAGGTCATTGCTTTCGTCGGAGAGAGTTTCGGTTGGAAGAACGACCAGCCGATACTTCACGACCTTAATGTCGATATCGAGAGAGACTCTGTCACGGTCATTGTCGGCCCTGTGGGAAGCGGGAAATCGACCTTTTTGAGCGCCATTTTAGGCGACTTGATCGCGATCTCTTCAAACGCCAAGACAGATGCTGCAGCTAAGCAAGAAAGGGAAAGCATGGCGTTCTGCTCCCAGACCCCATGGCTCGAAAATGGAAGCATCCGAAAGAACATACTTGGGGTTTCGTCATACGAAGAGAAATGGTACGGCAGCGTCACTTCCGCCTGCGGTCTCGACGCCGACTTTCAGGCTGTGCAAAAGGGTGATCTGACTTTAGTCGGGAGCAAAGGTGCAAGTCTCAGCGGAGGCCAAAAGCAACGTATTGTGAGTCTCATCGTCAGGTACTGCCAGCTATGTTTCTAACTTCTCATAGGCATTGGCGAGAGCTGTCTACTCCAGACGAAGGGTCGTTGTTCTTGACGATGTGTTCAGCGGTATGGACGCTCGTACTGCTCATCACATCTCTATTCGCTTGCTTGGATCCGACGGTCTCCTCAGGAGGCAGCACTATTCGGTCATTATCGCGACTCATAGCCGTAAGTTATCCTGCCATCTTTCCGTCAAGCCCTGATTTGAACTTTCTGACATCATTGGCGATCCAGACAAGATCATGTCGCTTGCGGACACCATGATCTCCCTGGAGAATGGTAGAATACAAGAGATTGGACGCCCTGTGATGCTTGTTCAGGGCAATGGATACATCAGTCGTCTTGGACTTCAGTTGCGTTCGAAGGATGTCGTCGATGATGTATCAGACTTTGCTATCGCTGATTCCTCTAACAGAATGCCAGTCAACTCGGCAGATGCAGAGGACCCGAGTTCAATGTCTCATAATGATGTCAGGCGCAAACACGGAGAGAAGGCCGTCTACCAGTACTACCTCAGAAGTGCAGGATGGAAGGCTGTGACGTTTTATGGTGTCTCTGTTGTTGCTTGGATGTTCTTCTCTGAGTTCTCCAGTGAGTCTGACCGGAAAGCAAGAATCTACGCAACAGAAAAGCTAAACATGTATCGAATTAGCTGTCTGGGTCAAATGGTGGTCCGAATCCAACTCAGCGAAGGCTAACCAAAGTGTCGGCTACTACATGGGCATTTACGCCATGCTCGGGGTCTTGGGCACCATCGGAGCTTCCCTCGCGGCTTGGTTTGCGTTCCTTGACATCATCACCAACACCGCCATGAACTTGCATTCGGATCTCCTGAAAACAACCCTGTCGTAAGTTGATGATTCCATTGAATCCATCCACAGAGATCAAGTTTTGTTGACAAGACTGACACGTTTCTATTCAGAGCAACATTCAGCTTCTTCACGAAAATTGACAATGGAGAGATTCTCAATCGGCAAGTTCCCCTGATCAGAGCATTGAGTGTAAATGCGATATACTGACTTTTGAGCAGGTTCAGCGAAGACATGCAACTGCTCGACATGGACTTGCCCTCAAACTTAGTGAACTACACTTCAAGTCAGTCTTGAATATTTCCATGATTTCTTTATTGACTGACGTGGCTTAAACCAGCTTCTGTATCGGCCTTGGCTAAAATCATCATTTTGGCCGTCTTCTCTCAGTACCTCGGAATCACTCTCCCGTTTCTCGCGACAGTCCTCTATTTTCTCCAGCGGTTCTATCTTCAGACATCCCGCCAAGTACGTCTGCTCGGAATCGAAGCCAAGGCACCTCTATACACCCACTTTTCCGAATCAGTCGCCGGTGTCTCCACGATCCGTGCCTTCGGCTGGGAGAAACAATACCAAGAGCGGAACTATCGACACATAGACTTGTCCCAACGACCCAACTACACCCAAAGCTGCATACAGGCCTGGCTGTCTTTTGTACTCAACCTCGTTGTGGCTGTTTTGGCCGTCACTCTTGTGACTATTGTGGTAATATGGCACGACAAGTTCAGCGCGGGAAGCGTTGGTGTGAGTCTCGTGATGGTGATCGGCTTCAGCGAGATATTGTCCCGCTTGATCCAGAGCTGGACTAAACTTGAATCCAGCGTTGGGGCAGTTTCAAGAATCAGACACTTTATGTCAGACACCGAAACTGAGGCTACTTCTGGAAGGAGATCACCGCCACCACAGTGGCCGCTGGCTGGGTCAATCAACTTCTCTGGCGTGGTAGCCTATTATGGGTTGGTATCTTTGTTATGACTGCTAATTCCTTCTCAGCTAACGGCCCTTAGGTCTCATGCCAACCCTGTCCTCAAAGGAGTGTCTCTTTCCGTCCAAGCGGGAGAACATGTCGCTGTCTGTGGTCGTTCAGGTAGCGGCAAGACATCGCTCATTCTCAGCCTTCTCCAGATGATAGACATCAAAGAGGGTGCTATTGAGATTGATAGTGTTGACATTTCGACACTGGTACACACCGAGCTGCGGCATTGTATCAATGTTGTATCCCAAGATCCTTTCCTCATGCCTGGAACCATCCGCTTCAACATCAACCCGTTCGGACCGGCGCTGGATGATGAAATCTTCATTCGAGCCCTTGAAAGAGTTGGTGTTTGGACTCTGGTGCGTGAGCAAGGCGGATTGGATCAGGAGATGGACGTCAAAACCTGGTCAGCCGGCCAGAAGCAACTACTCTGCTTGGCAAGAGCCATGCTACGGCATTGCAAGATTTTGATCTTGGATGAAGCGATGAGCAGGTGAGGTTTAATGAATTTTGGCTGCCGATGGTCGGCTCACGCTAACAGTCTCTGTAGTGTTGACAGTGAGACCGAAGCCGTCATGCAGGAAATCATTGACACAGAGTTTCCTCACTGTACCGTTCTCGCTGTGATGCACAGGCTGAAGCACGTCACCAGTTACGACAAAGTTGCTCTTATTGGCGATGGACAGCTTCTCGAGTTCGGCGAGCCAGCGGCTCTAATTTCTGGGGAAACCCTTTTCTCGGAGTTGTACCGGATGAACTCGGTCTAAGCTTTGTGCCAGTATCAGGGATGTTTCGGTCACTTTTTTTATGGCCAACAAGAGAGATACACGGTTGAAAGATTCCAGTTGTCTGTTTCAAGGTCTACACTTTCTCCTCCAGTATCGGAGGGTCTGCCACAATCGTTTTCTCCTTGCCATCATCAGAGAGTCGAGATTTGGCTTCTCGTTTGCTCAAGTACACAATCAGCAAAATAACGAAGAGTTGTGCAACTGTGGTTCCAACACTGCTTCTGAAACCAGTGATCCATCTAGGTGCGCCAGATGCAGGGAACAATCCGACTTGCGCCCCAGCCATGATCCCCTGCCCAATCGCGTTCATGCTCGCTGTTACGACAGCTCGCTCTTCGGCATCGTTTGCCATGATCGTAGTTGCCCAGCTCATCGACATCGGCGACATAGCTAGCACGTCTTGTTAGAAGGAGGACAATCCAATATTGTGAGGCCACTTACGAGAGATGAACCCCTGAAGCATGAAAGCCGCCAAGCGTCCGCTTTCCCCGACGTGCCACACATTCAGGAGAATCATTCCGACCAAGACCGGGATTGTTGTCGCAAAAGCCGGTATCCAGAACTTTCCGAGCCTGTCCGCGAGTATCCCGGCGACAAGAGCAGCCACTATCGAGATCGCGGATACGATCGTTGGCAAGGTGTTGACTTGGACGATAGAATAGAGCTTCGGACTGTTTGCGCGGAGATATAGCGAAAAAGGCTGGCCTCCCGGGAGAATATTCAGATCAAAGAGAGTCCAGAGTGAGACGAAAGCATAGAAATGCCATCGGCCTAAGACTCGTTTGAAGATACTGGCTGACAGCTGGAGTTGTGGCGGCGCACTGAGTCCTTCGACCCTTCTTTGCGCAATAGCAAATTCAGCCTTGCTAAGAGTCAATGGCTTCTTGCGGGAAGGCACGTCTGGGAATACGAAGAAGCCACTATAGAAGATTAGCTCGACTATTTGGGGAAAGGGGTAGGGCCCATGTACTCACAAAAAGGCGATACCAAGGGTGATGATTCCGTCAATAATGAACAGCCACCTGGTTGGGATGTCAATATCAGGAGAAGCTTATGCGGATTCAGTCGTTACTTACCTCCACCCAGACATCCCATGAACTCCATTGAGGTTAGTGTATGCCGCTGCTTGGAGATATCCGGCGAACATTGTCCCCAGAGGACTACTTATGAAGAACAGCGCGATTCTCCTGCCCACTTCACTTGGTCGATACCAGGACCCAATGACGTAAATAGTGCCCGTAAACGAGCAGCACTCAAAGAGGCCAACCAAGAAGCGCAACCCATAAATAGCCTCAACGTTCTTCACGAACGCTAGACACAACGTTGCCAACCCCCAGCCGAGCTCCAGGGATGGAAGCACGATGTTTGCAGGATACCTCGTTAGGAAGTAGCAGCATGGTATCATCGCACCACAGTAACTCGCCCAAAATGTTGCCGTGATGTAGTTGAGCTCGTCACCCCACAGCCCAATTTCTTCTTTCATTCCGCTTTTTTGGTTAAGAGTCAGTAAAGGTTCGTTGCTCGATTTGATCAAGAGTTCGTACCTGACATAAGCGTTGGTGAGAGATTGTTGATCGAGATATTTGGTGAAAAATGACAGACAGCCGAATATGAGAATGGATAGGTCAAGCTTCAGCACCACTAACTTTTCCTCGCTTGGCATACCAGCTCGGTACCATCCTATCGAGCTCAAGAATCGGATCCAAAGATTCTCCTTGGTTGGGGTTGAGGTCTCAAGCTCACTGCCATTGGAGCTGACCGGCTCAGCCGCTACAATGTCTTTCCCAAACACTGCCATAGTGAAAGTCTATGTTGAATGCCGACACGAGAATAAACCAAAATCGAGACTTCAGACCGGTTTGGAGAATTATCATAAACACGGAACATCTAGTACATCTAGGCTACCGCCTGGGTCTCATCGATCACGCAAACAAGCTGCAGTATTACGAGAACTTGAGGGGCCGGCGTCGGAGATACGGTCCTTGTTCCTCTTATTCCTCGATACACCCCATGTCCGTTCATATTCCGCTCTCATCCTGGCCCGGACTGCTTGCTTTCATGAGTATTACAATTACTCTATCAAATATTTCCCAATTATTCAGTTTAAGCCAAATCCGTGATTTCATATACGAGATAACTCATTATTGTCCGGACAATTCAGAAACAAGTAATGGAAGATATTATCTATCGCGGGTCTCGGTCTCCCGTGGCGATGTGGATTGAGGGAGACCAGGGATATGGTGCAAGACTCCTGATTATGGCGTTTGGTGAACTGCAACCTTACCAACGCGACTAGGCTGGACCAATTGAAATCGACGAAGATTGAACTTCAGGATAATCAATGAAGAACCCACGCCGGGTTGTCGACAGATTTGGACCTAAAATGTGTCGCAAGAGAATGATAGCGGTTTATTAGGCACATATCTCTATCGTGGGGACGCGCTGTTGCCTGTATGGCGACATCATCTCGTAATCACGTCATCGTAGCCCTATCGCCAAATCATCATGCCAGTAAAATCTCACAGTGCACTCGATACATAGCTCAAAACATGCGTTGTTGTAATTCTGTTTTCGCATTGAATTGATATCACAGCTGTCTGCGTTTCACTCCGTAAGATGGCTTCGACACTCTCTAACGCCAGTGGACTCTCGCGTAATGCAGACGAGAAGGGGCAGGGCTCCAAGAGACAGATTCTTCTCAATGCCTTTGACTTTTTTGGCCCAGGCATGCTTTCACCTGGTCAGTGGAAGGTGTGTAAACTGAAGCGGCCCTGTCTTCGTCGAAGCTTCGTAGAAACTAACATGATGTCAAGAACCCTGCTGATAGAGGCCTGGAGAAGTTTGACATCTCTTTCTGGGTCGAATATGCGAAGTTATTGGAGCGAGGCGGCTTTTTTTCCCTCTTCCTGGCGGACACGCTTGGTGATTATTGCCCGGTGGAATACACAAACTTGGATACTGATTGTCGTGTGTAGGCGGCTATGAAACGTACGGCGGGAGCATTGACGAGACAATCAGAAGAGCAACACAATATCCAGCTCTAGATCCATCAATTGTGAGTTCAGAACTAAGAAGGCCGTCATCTTACTATCAAATGTTGACGTTCAGCACAGCCTATATCCGCCATGGCCGCAGCGACCAGCAAGCTCTCTTTCGCCATAACCAGCTCGACTTCTCATGAGACTCCGTTTCTTCTGGCGCGCCGCTTTTCAACGCTGGACCACATCACCAAAGGCCGCTTTGGATGGAATATTGTCACTGGATGGAAGAAGTCCGCCTTTCAAGCTATTGGCCTAGATGATGCCATTGATCACGACTTGAGATACGAGAGGGCCGATGAATATCTGCGCTTGCTTTATAAGTATACGCTTCGCCAAGAAACCAAATAGGATGAAGGCTGACCTCTATGTGTGCAGGCTTTGGGAAGGTTCTTGGGCTGACGACGCGGTCGTGGCGGATGGACCAAACGATACATACGCCGACCCGAGCCGAGTGCGCACCATCAAGCATGAAGGGCCGTTTTATAAGCTGAACAGCAAGCACATCGTGCCGCCTTCGCCACAAAGAACACCCTTCCTGTTCCAAGCAGGTACGTCCGAGGCCGGCATTAACTTTGCCTCAAACCACGCCGAGGCGGCCTTCGTTGGAGGGACAACACCAGCCCAGACAGGTCCAAAGGTGGCCCAGCTTCGCGCGGCATTAGCAGCAAAAGGACGCGACCCAAGACGCTTCAAGGTTTTCATTAGTTTCTGTCCAATCATCGGCAAGACGGACGAGGAGGCTCGACAAAAGCTGGCCGAGTACAAGAAGTATGCGAGCGTTATTGGTGGCCTGGTTCAAGTGAGTGGTGTCACGGGCATCGATCTTTCCAAAGTTCCTCTCGATCGGGAGTTGAGTGCCGCAGATGCGGGAGAGTCCAGAATAAGGACCCATCTCGACTCTTTCGTCAATACCACGGATGGAGAGACATGGACTGCGAGGCGCGTGGCTGAGTTCGCGTCCATTGGCGGGCTTGCACCGTTTGCTGTCGGAAGCCCGCAGACGGTGGCCGATGAGTTCGAGAGATGGATCGACGAGGCGGACATTGATGGCTTCAACATCGTCTCGGTGGTGACTCCGCAGAGTTTTGAGGACGTCGTTGACTTGCTTGTGCCCGAGCTTCGTCGTCGTGGGTTGTACCCCGACATATCAAACGGAGAAAATTCGGAACATTTGACAGCGAGGGAGCAGGTTTTTGGAGGAGGGCACAAGTCTCTCGCTGCTGAGCACGTTGGGAGTAAATACAAGTACGATGTCTACCAGGAGGACCAGCTCTGAGACATCTGGCACGCAAGCATGCGGCCACGAGCCGAAGTTCAACCCCTTTGACGGGAATTCGTCGAATCAACTATCATGGGAATATATACCTCCGTCTCAACGGCAGTGAGCAAAGGGTTTAGCCGAATGGGTCCGGCGGCATTGGCATTCGCCGTGCCGAGCCACTCACGGCGGCCGGGTACACTTCGGCCGGCCAATTTGTGGAGCCCCGTGGGCTCCGGCGGCGTTCGGACAGGGTTCCGGAGGTCGCGACTTTAGCCTAAATGCCCCAAGTGGTTTGCTTGGGGTAAGCCGTTGGAGCATCTGTCCACGCGTGACTCCCGCAATTCCGTCGTGTTTTCCGACGCTACTCCGAATCAGGAGAGTTCCACGGCCTCGGAGCCGTCAGATGAGATTCAGATTCTGAGATCTCGTGATAGATTTGGAGCGGATTGAGTTCAAGCTTAGATCCAGGTCTTTATTGCGAAATTAAGTCTCACGCCTCAATACCCGTACCTTTTTCCATCCCTCACCTTCAACCTCCTCCCCGCCTTCTTCGACGGCGCTTTGGCATATTCCTCGAAGATGACAGCCGACAGCATCCCACTCGATGTGGAAGGCTTGATAAGCCAGCTTACGCTGGAGGAGAAGATTGATCTTCTGGCGGGTCAGGGATCTTTCCGAACGACGGGCCTCCCTCAGCGAGGCATCCCGGCTCTGATCGTCAGTACTCGCAGATGCTCATGTACGGGACACATTACTGACTTTGAACCAGACTTCGGATGGTCCCCATGGCATTCGCGGTCGACGCGCTTTCCATCGAGTGAGTAAGATGAAATTTTGATCAGGCAATAGAAGCTTGAAGCATGCCCGTGTTGTCTTGATCTAGGCTGATCATGAACTTAGAACCCGAGCCCCATGTTGCCTTCAGCAACTGGCATGGGAGCAACTTTCAACGCCGAGCTTCTGCACAAGGTCGGGAACCTCCTCGGGGAAGAAGCCAGAGCTCGAGGCGTTCACGTCCTTCTGGCACCTACCATCTGCCTCCAACGTTCGCCGCTATTCGGTCGCGGTTTCGAGGCTTTCGCCGAAGACCCCTTTCTCAGTGGCATCCTAGGAGCCGCCTACATCAACGGCGTACAAGAGCGCGGTGTCGCAACCAGCGTGAAGCACTATGCCGCGCACGACCAGTCCGACAACTCCATTGAGGACAACGTCTGTATGACCCAGCGCACGCTTCGGGAAGTCCACATGCTCCCGTTCCAACTCGTCATGCGCGACTCGGATCCCTGGACATTCATGACCTCGTACAACAAGATCAACGGAATCCACGTGAGCGAGGATCCGTTGCTTATGAAGCAGATTCTGCGCGACGAGTGGGGTTTTAAGGGGCTAGTAATGAGCGATTGGTTTGGTACTTACAGTACTTCCGAAGCCATCAACGCCGGTCTGGATCTGGAGATGCCCGGTCCGACGCAGTGGAGAGGCAAGTGCCTAAGTCTGGCCGTCAACAGCCGTAAAGTACCGCGGACGGCCATCGACGAGTGTGTCAGGAATGTTCTCAACCTCGTCAACAAGGTCATGGACACGAAACCTGAAGCGTACTTCTCTGCTACGAATACGCCGGAGCAGCAGGCTCTGATTCGGCAGCTCGTGGCGGAGAGCGTTGTTCTTTTGAAGAACGACAGAGGAGTGCTTCCTATTAAAGTGTCGGAAAAGAGGCGTATCGCATTGATCGGAGACCATGTCAAGAACCCGGCCTTGAGCGGTGGTGGAAGTGCGGAGGTCGAGCCTTACTACTCCGTGACCCCTTACAACGCCGTCGTGGAAGAGGCTGGAAAGGAGAATGTTTCTTATGCCCTGGGATGTCACTGTGAGTCGCTTGTCTCGTTCTTATGTCGATCCAGGCTGACTCGTTTCTTCCACAGCTTTCAGATTCAGCCCTCTTCTGAAGAATCTCAAGCCCGCGAACGCTGAAGGGTTTGGTTGGTCAGTCGAGGTCTTTGGAGAGAATCCAGACGAGAAGCCTGACGCCGAGGTCTTGCTATCAGCCACTGCCGAGAAGGAACTCATCGATGTTCCGGAGAGTTTCCACGCGACCCTACCCAAGAAGTTCTATGCCAGAGCTCGTGCTGTCTACACCCCAGAAACTACGGGTCCTTTCAGGTTTGGCTTCAGCACGTCAGGCAAGGGCAAAGTGCGCATCGACGGGAAAGAAGTCATTGACCTCTGGAGCAACCAGCCTCCCAAGACGGGCCCTACACCCTGTTTTAACAGATTGTCTATGGAAAAGTTCTGCGACACACATCTGACTGAGGGCAAGACCATCGACATCGAGGTCATCCAGGTCAACGAAGACCTTTCTGGCGGTGTCGGCACAGCACTGACACTTGCGGGCCGAGTCGGCGGTTTCGAAATCATCGATGAAGACCTCGCCATCAAGGAGGCGGCGGAGCTGGCCAAGAAGGTCGATGTCCCCATAGTAGTCACGGGTCTGTCGTCGGACTTTGAGTATGAGGGCGCCGATAGGAAGCACCTGAGACTGCCCGGCCGGGTCGATGACCTGATACAGGCTGTTCTTGCTGCCAATTCCAACGCTGTGAGTGTCAATCTACAGGTGCTTGTGGTTGTAGATAGTATATCCAAGACTAACAACTTCTCAAGGTCATTGTTACGCAGTCAGGCTGTCCCATTGAGATGCCATGGGAGTCTCAAGCGTCCACACTCGTGCACGCGTGGTTCGGCGGCCAGGAGACCGGTCACGGCTTAGCAGACGTCCTCTTCGGCAAAGCCAACCCCTCAGGCAGACTTTCCCAGACATTCCCAAAGTCCATCAAGCACACACCTGCTTATCTCAACTTCTCAAAGACCGACTACGACATCGTTTACGGGGAGGGAGTTTTCATCGGTCACCGCTACTACGAGGTAACCGACCGGGACCCTCTCTTCTACTTTGGTCACGGTCTTTCGTACTCGACTTTCGAGTACTCGAGACTTCAGGTGCCGAGCACTTTTGAACCTTCGGTAGATTTCAAGATGAAGATCTCGGTTGACGTGACGAACAAGGGCCCGTATGACGGCGCGGACGTGGTTCAGGTCTACATCCACGACCCCGAGAGCACTCTTCAACGGCCTGCCCGAGAGCTCAAGGCGTTTTCCAAGGTGGTTATGAGAGTTGGCGAGACGAAGACTGTTGAGCTTGTCCTTGATAAGTACTCGCTGTCATACTGGTCGCAAGAGAGATCGAAGTGGCTTGCGGAGGCGGGAGAGTACGTGGCGATAGTCGCATCGAGCTCGAACCCCAAGGACGAGATCCTGCGGGCCAGTTTCCACTTGCCGCAGACGTTTTTCTGGGAGGGCGTCTAATAGATCTGATGGAGAGTTTGGTGCCCAGGCTGCCTCACATCACCATTATATGTGCTCATTGAGACCTTTTAGACATGTATGAACGATAGAGTTGAAAACTGTGCCTTATCTTTCCGAATTATGTCTTCCAGGTATGCGACGCGGTGTTCACCAAATAGCATCGATGCAGAATATCAAACATGTACAACCTCGAATTGCGTGCTTGAACATCAGCCGACTGTGGAGATAATCGGTCTCAATAGCAGGCGTCAAAAGTCTGCAGGATGCGAGCTCGACATATCTCCTCATTCACGCGTCATCTCCAACTTACATAACCAGTCGTTTGACATCGAGATATGAGATGGTATGGCCATTGTCGGATTTTATCAGAGCGCGATTCTGAACATTGATGTTTCACAAACATCATCGCATTTGCGTGAAAGCATGCGCCCCTCGTAGACGTTGAACCTACCCGATACCCAAGACTCATCATGTCCGCAAAGTCAGTCCGAGAAGGCGGCCCAGCCCTCAAAGGCCCCTTCGACTTCCCCTCCTCGCCTCTCAGCCGCGCATCCCGCCAGCCCCTCCTCCTCGGCCTCTTCCTCAACCTCCAAGACATCAAAATCTCCACATACCCCACGAGCAACACCTGGACGTTCGACTACAACCTCGACCTCGTCCGCAAAGCCGAGGCCCTCGGCTTCGAGCTCGCCTTCAGCCGCACCCAGTGGCTCCCCAAGGGCGGCTACGACGGCGAGGCCTCCCTCGACGCCTTCGTCGCCCTCGGCGCCATGGCCGCCGCGACACAATCCATCCTGCTCATCTCGACCATGCACGTCCTCTACGGGCCCCTCCACCCGCTGCACATCGCAAAGTACGGCGCCACGCTCGACCACATCGCCAAGGGCCGGTGGGGGATCAACGTGGTGACGGGCCACCGGGCCGTCGAGCACGAGATGTTCGGGCGGCAGCGTATCGAGCACGACAAGAGGTACGAGATGGCCGGCGAGCTGTTCGACGTCGTCAACAGCCTCTGGGGCGAGACGGAGAACCTGTCGTACGAGGGGACGGTCTCGCCCTGGAGGCTCGAGAACGCGTGGGTCACGCCGAAGCCGCGGTTCGGCAGGCCGATCCTGATCAACGCGACGGGGTCCCCGGCGGGCATCGACTTCGCGGCGCGGTATTCCGATTTCATCTTCGTCACGTCTCCCGGGACGGCGAATATCGAAAGCGCGCTGGAGACGTTGCCCGCTCACATCGCTACCATCAGGGCGGCCGTCGAGGCCGAGGGCCGCGAGGTCAAGATCCTGATCAACCCCATCATCGTCTCGCGAGACTCGCCAGAGGAATCGTGGGCGTACGCCCGGAGCATCGCCGAGGGCACCAAAGTGCAGACGGGGACGAAGAAGTTCGGGACGGCAAATGGGAATTATGATAGTGATGCCCACGCGTGGAGGGGGCGAAAGGGGCAGCAGGAGAAGCAGGGGCTCAATCTCGGCGGGAATATCGAGATCATTGGGTCGCCTGAACAGGTTGTCGAGCAGTTGGATGCGTTGCACAAAATTGGCATTGATGGTGTCGTTGCGAATTTCTACGATTTCGCACCGGACTTGGAGTACTTTGGGCGGAAGATTTTGCCGTTGATCAAGGAGGCCGGTCTCCGCGTCGAGTGACGAGAATGAGTGCCATCATCTCATCAAAGAGTCATTCTCTATCCTGTTCGTGATAGTCAGCGCAGTTTTGCCTCATCACGCATGCTTGTATCAGCAGCGGGTGAATATTCGACGCATGCGTACACGATGCAGCGAAGATCACGTCTCAGAACCACCATCAAATATAGCGTTCACCCATGATCCTTCGGCCCGAGATGTCATTATCCGAGATCGGTTGCTCTTCTTTCGTTCCCATTTCATCTATCTCCAAACGTTCCGTTAAGATGCGTCTCTCGCATCACAGAACATCCAGTGCCTCAATCCACAAGACGCCACAGAAACCATCCGTCTCCATACCGCCGGCGATCCACGCGCGGACCTTGCGTCATGTGGCTGATTTGACAGATCGATCACCGAATCCTGACATCCCCAGAACCAGTCCTTCTCCATCCACGATCTAACCCGGAAGAGACGCCCTATCTGCACTCCGCATTCCCATCAAAAGCTTGATCTTCACCTGGCTCCCTTCGGTCTCGGATTCCTCCCCGCCTCCCCCCGTCCGCCTTCCAGAACACCAGATCCACTCCCATGATAAGCTTTCTCGTCGAAACCAAACGTCCGAGAGAGGGAGGGAGAGAGAGAAAGAGAGTAGTACGACCGAGACATGCCTCCCGCCGTGAGATACGGCAGCAAGGAGGCAGAGAGAGACATCTGTAAGACCTACCCAGAGCGTGCCAAGACCGCGTTTGACGACATGGCCTAGGTCGGATGCGGAATTGCACACACGTCTAGAAGGGAAAACGAAAAGCAGATGCCATGCGGCGAATGGCAGAACGCATGTTCTAGGAGGAGAGAGGGGGAGGAGGCGACTATGTGCTAGAGGAGGTGAATGGGGTCGAACCCGCGTCGCCGGATCCGGGGTGAGACATCTACCGAACGCATGTGGGAAGGGACGCCTCGTAGCGCCCAACTGGTGTCCTACCTTGAGATGTTGCGGTTCTTTTCGGTGGGGGATATTATTCTTTGAGGACTTCCTCTTTCTGTTGTCGCTGTGCTCCCCTCTCCCCCCGTTTGTTCTCCTCCATCACAGTCCCTCCTCTCCTTCACCTGGTTCCTGTGGGATATCCGGCTTGCATCAGCCACACAGGTTTCCTTCTCCCATACGATCCGAACGAAACGACTCGACCGACTACTTGACGAACTTTCGGGAGGGAACACTAACAACAACACGGCCGATCTGGGAACCCCGTCACCCAAAAGGACGGGCACACAACCCGCCGATGCGTAGGAGGAAGGACGAAACTTCTCGCCAATGTTGATCTGGACCACGTCGCCCCAGGACATGGAATCAATCGCCGACAGCACCGACCCGTCAGCGGCGCCGTGGGAAGATGCCCTGCCGCCGGGCTCGCTCGAGAGCCGGTCCGACCTCATTCTCGTCATCGGCATCATCATGACCGTGCTCGCGACGGTGTTCTTCGCGCTGAGGGTGTATGTGAGGGCGTTCATGACGAGGAAGTGGGGGGCTGACGATACCCTTCTCACCTTTGCGTTTGTAAGTCGTAATGATGCGGGTTAGAACTGGACGCAGAGGAGTAGGACTGATATGAGGTTGGGTGCAGTTTGCAGTGGTGTTACACAACTCCATGCTCTGTGTTGGTAAGTGACATCAAATCACACATCGCAGGCCATTCTGTTTACTAACACTGCTTCAAAGCGACGAGATTCGGCCTCGGCAAACACGTCTGGATGAACTCGGTCAAAAACCTCCTAAAAGGCCAAAAGGTGCCAATCTCCATCCCTTCACACTCCCACCAGCACCTCGTCTAATAACCCCCTCCAGATCGCCCTCTTCGTCGTGATAGTCTACCAAGTCGCCTTCGTGACCATCAAAATCGCCTTCCTCCTGCAATACCGCCGCGTCTTCCCCCTCCCGAAGGTCGAGCTCCTCTGCAACCTCGGCATCGGCTTCCTCGCCCTCTTCGGCATCTCTCTCCTCGTCTCCGCCGGCGTCACCTTCGACCTCGTCTACAAGTACGGCTCGCTCAACGCCCCGATCAACATCCTCGGCTGGTTCCTCGCCAACGCCGCGATCCACCTCGTCACCGACATCGCCATCTTTATCCTCCCCGTCCCGCTGCTGGGTCGGCTGCGGATGAGGAAGACGCAGAAGCTCGCTCTAATGGCCAGCTTCGGTCTCGGACTCTTGTGAGATGAACTCCGTTATGCTGGCAAAAATGAGACGTGGAATGCTAACAGACGTACAAACAGAACATGCGTCATCTCCATCATCCGCATCGCAACCCTCCCCGCCACCTTCGCCAACCTCGACCAGACGTACGAGGGCACCCCGCACATGGTCTGGTCCATCGTCGAGCTCTCCGTCGCCGTCATCTGCCTCTGCATCCCCACCCTCCGACCCCTCCTCTCCCACCCGGGCTCCCGGCTGTACCTCTCCCCCGGCGACAACACCATCACCGGCAGCAGCGGGCCCTCCTTCATCCACGTCGCCTCGATCCCGCCGACCCAGCACTCCTCCGACGCCACCGCCCAGCCGCGCCTCCTCACCGACCGCGTCTCCTCCTCCATCAGCTGCGAGTCCGACGTCGTCGTCATCCGCAAGCCCGTCTCCAGCTTCTGGCAGCGCAGCCGGCAGCAGAGCGAGAACTCCAACTCCACCCTCGCCGCCGCCGGCGACGAGATCGAGCCGGTGCCCGTGTCCGCGGTGGTCATGCGCACGCCCACGATCCCCGTGACCATCGTCACGACGGCGTCATCCACGGAGATCGACATGCCCGTGCTCGAGGTGAACGGGGTGGCGCGGCGGCAGAGCGAGGCGACGACGGTGAGCGCCGGGGGCACGGGGGCGCCGAGGAGGACGAGGAGTATGAGGAGTAGCATCCACAGCGACGGGAGCTCTGCGTTTGGGGGCGGGGGAGGGGGAGGGTTGATGAGGGGGCTGGGTGTGAGGAGGCATATGAGCATCGCGTTGACGGAGAGGGATTCGGATGATGATGTGTATTATTTCGGGGTCGGCGATGACGAGGTGGACCGGGAGTGTCCGACGCCGTTGAGTCCGCCGCCGAAGAGTCGGCAGTCGTTGTCGGAGAGCCGGTGAGCTTTGGGGTTGGGAGGGGTTGGTGTTGCCCTGTGTATTACTACTATGTCTTCAATACAATGAGAATCATTGATCACACCGGCTTCTCAACATTTGGATACGGTATGTAGGATTCTATGTGACGATTTCATATTTGTCGATTAGAACCACAATTGAGGATAGGAGCCAACGACTACCCATAAACAGACCCTATCTGAAAGGAAGGTTCAACACAAGTCTTAGCCACATGTTTACTTACATTTCCTTCTCTTAATCTCTCTAAGAGCAATCTAACCGACCTACCGATACACTTTCATCTCTCACTCACAGCCGACTCCAAGTCCCTGCTCATCTCATTCTAATGTCTACTGAATGCTATGTTCCATCCACAAATCAACACACTTGGAATAAGTACTCTCATGTATACACACTGACTCCAGATGTGTACTCTCATATATACACACTAATTCATCCTCAGAGCTCATAGCTCATCACCCCTCTCACCAGCTTACGTCATCCAAACACCACCTCCCGCTTCAAATCGAGAACGAAAACCCTCACCTTACGCGGCCCATCTCAAACATCTCATCATAAGTTTCACAAATCACCCATCCATCTACACGTGTTCATCGCCCCCCTTTTGTTTTCGCTCATGTTTGATGAGGTCGTAGAAATCATGCGTCCCTGTCTGATGTTCTCTTCAGACCCCGGTCGATCGGGAAGTCAACCCACACACACCACCGCCGCTCGGAAGTCTGGCACGAGGCAGGCAGGCGGACCCGCCTCCGCGCAAACGACGGGCCGCCCCGACATTCGTTCATGGAAGTGTCTAGACCGTCTGGACTGCCCAGAGTGTCGGTTCATGGGGTGAGGGTTATCAGGGGTCGTGCTAGAGATCGTCGTGGTTCTGCTGGGCGTCATGCTAAGAGAAATGTTGGTCTGGATGAGCGGCTCCTACCTAGCTTACTGCTTGCTGCATACAAAGGCATGAACTTCACGAGAAGCAAGATGGTTTAGGTTGTTTTTGAAGTTTCTCATTCAATTTGGATATCTACCAGTCGTAGAGTTCTAAAGCAAGAGAAGAGAGAATATGCCACGCTCGAACATACAGACCTGTTTCGTTCGTTTTCCAGGTTGATTACAATTGAAAAGAAAATCCGAGCCGGTTCCTGTGCCAAAAAGCCTCCCTGTCGGGGGCGCTGTATAACGTTCTTTTCCCGTGCCGAAAATGCATCGCTAAAACCCATTCCCATCCAGCCTTTATATGCAACAGTGGGAGAAATGAAGAAGAAGAAAACCCAAAGCAACGCGAGAGGAGATAAGACCGCCTACACGTTATGATCTCCGTTGGAGGTCATGGTGGCTTCGCTGCTGGCCTTCTTCTCGCTCTTGCCTCCAGTGTTGGACGCCACTTTTTCGAGGACAACCCTCTTACGGAACTCGAATACGGTGTCGTGCTTGTTGTGGATGGCATGGCGGACACGGTTCTCGGAGCGCGTCATCCAGATGTTGTAGGGCGCCATGCTGGCGGGAAACAAAGGCAGGTTGAGGCTGGACTCCATGAAGGCGTAGGGGTCGCTCTTCTCGAAAGAGCAGACGATGTCGAGCTCAGAGGCGACCTGTTCGCAGTACAGCTCGAGGGGCAAGTCGTTGACGTCCTCTCCGAAGGGGTTCTCGATCTCGCGGCCGATAAAGAGGATACCGAGGATAATATACGCGGCGGCGACAGTAGCGGGGATCGTGATCCACTCGAGCTTGCCGACAAGCTGGAAGGGGAGGAGCATGACGTAGACCCAGGTGATCTGGCTGATGGCAATGGTGTAGGCGATGGGCAGGGGCGTGGTGAGAACGCGCTCGGTACCGGTCATGATGTCGTTGAGGAGAGCAACGTTGTTGTAGGCAATGGTCTGCTGCATCGGCACCTTAAGCTGACCGTCTTCGACCATTTTGTCCACAAGGCAGGCGATGTAGCTGAGGATCTCGAGGGGGAGGTTGCCGAGGGGGCGGGAAGCCTTCTTGATCGTCTTGCGGGGGTTGCTGGCGGCGAAAGAGACACCGAGATACTCGCCCGTCTCCTTGAAGATGTTCTTCTTGCGGAGAGACACCTTGTCTGGGTCGGCGGCGGTGGCCTCCTGGGCGAAAGTCGACAGGTGGGCGACGAGGTGCTCGAGATCCTCATAGCCGGTGTAAGGCTCGAAGCGAAGCTTGTGCTTGAGGGCGACGGAGAAGGCGAGAAGCAGGTTCATGCAGCCGACCTTGCGCAGCATCGAGACTCTGGGGTCGAGACCCTCGGGGTCACCACCGTGAATCCAGAAGACGCGGCCGAGACTCTGGCATGCGAGGATGAGCTGGGCCCAGTAGCGGCGACCCTCGGCGTAACGTTCGTAGGCGGTAGAACTGCGGAAAGAGAGACCCATACCGACGACGAAACCCAGAACGGTCAGCAGGACGGAGTCGACGGCCATCTTGGTCTTGAGCATGTGGATGCAGGTGATGCAGGCGGACCAGAGACACATCCAGAGCAGGGGCACGATCATCTTGGGCAGAATGCTGCCGTGCATCTGCATGAAGAGAGGCCATTTCGAGTGCTTGAGGATATCACGAGGACCGGTGAAGTAGTCGTCCAGGTCGATACTGGTGTTCTTGCGGCTGAAGGGGTTAGGGGTGGTCGCGCCGGTGGGCGACATGGCCTCGTGAAGCTCGGTGGTGTCGAAGTTGGTCATGCGCGGCTTGATCTTGATTTCGTCGGGGGGCTGCTGGTGGTTGAGGTTGTTGTTGTCGCTGGCGGCATTGTGGCCAGGACCGGCAGTAGGAGCAGCCGCATGGCCGCCACCGTCTTCACCCATATTGTGTAAAGGAGGAGGATTCTCTTCTGTGTCTACTGGTATGCTGAGTACTGGAACGTCGTGGGCCGATATTTTTTGCTGGTGCATATCCGTTGGTGTAAGACACGAACGGGAAAGCGGGAGGACGCGGAGAGCGGGAGATAAGGGAGGACCTCGATAACGGTTGGTCCTGCCTTGTCCTGTCGAGTGCCCGTTGATCGATGTCGATAACGAGCGAGGGATGGGCGGTCGAGAAGAGCTTGGGATAGCTCGGCGCGGGAGTCGAGGGTATATGAAGCGCGAAGCCGAAAGGAGCTAAGGAAATTCGACGGGAGGATGATGAAGGCTGAGGCAAGGAGGGGTGTTCCTGGACCGGAAGGATGGGATGATTACGGGATTGAGAATGGTGTGGGAGGACAGGCAGGCACAGGGCAGGGTCTTTTGGTGAGAAAAATAAGAAGATGGTGTGGTGGAGGATGACCAATGACTGAAAAGGAAGTGATGTGGTGAGCGAGCGACTGGGGAGGTGAGAGAGATCTCGTATGGATGGAAAGATGGAAATTGGGAGACGAAAAAGAAGAATAAGAAAGTGAGAAGAAGTGTTGTTTTCTTCAAGAGAGGAGGACCAAATAAAAAATAATTATTAAGAGCTGGAAAGACTGGATCGCGTGTCTGAGCAAGAACCAGAAAATACAAAATCAAGGAAAGTGCTCTGCTTCCTGCTCTCCTGAGTCCTTCCTTCCCATCAAAGAGTGCAACTGCCACCAGGTCACCAAGCAAGCAGGCGCACCTTCCACAGTTCTTGGCTCCTTCCCGCCCACCACACACCACCTTACAAAGTGCCTCCTCTCTAAAAGTACGTACCTCTGTACCCCTTGGCGCCTTTCCCTTCTTGGCCAGACCTTCCCGCTGCTGGATCGTCAAACGGCCTGTGCTCACCCGGTCTTGGCCAATGAGAACCCCATGTTTCCTCTGTCAGTTCAAGGGGGAAGGAGCGCGGCCAGCCCCGGGGAAGGTGAAGGGTGCTCCACAGAGATCCACCTGCAAGCCACAAGGGGCAAGACCAGTAAGAACCGGTGGAAAGGCCAAGGGGGCGGAGCTGAAACAGGGGCCATGCGGCTCCACTTCATCCAGAGGTGGGCCCCTGCTTTTTGCCTCGATTTTTGCTTCCATCAACAGCTTCCATTCACCACCACCATTTCTGATTCTCACTGCTCTCTACATGGCTTCCCAGACAGGCCCGTCGTAGCAGCAAAATGCATGCCAAGGGCTCGTTTGTTGTCTTACGCTCGCCTGTCAGCTGCACCGTGGCCGCTAGCATCCTCAATGCGAATACTGTAGCCCAACATTTGCGTCGATTCAGGGGACAATCGAGAGACCAATGGACCTCCGACAGATCACGCACATATCACAAATTGGGCGCTGACTTGCAGCTCATCCTCCACTCGCCAGCAGGCTGACGCCCTAACCAGGGCCATCCGAACCGCCGTCGACACGTGGAGGCGCCCAAGTTGATCGCTTGATGCTTGGGATTTCCTGGTTTCTGTTCCTTCCACCGGCCTCTCCAGAGTCCAGAATCATAAATCGAGTCAACATGCGAGCGTCCCACACGCCGCAAAGCCTCGCAGAAAATAGCAGCTCACCCGATCATTGGAACCAAAAGATGGAGCCCAGAGAAGACGATGGACTGTTGACAGCCGGCATTGATTCGCCGGCCCAGTTTTGATCGAGATTGATTCGTTCCTCGACTCGTGTCTTGGCACGCGACGCTGCACTGCGCCTGTGTCGGGTCACTCTCATTCTCACTCTCACTCTCACTCTCATTCGTCACCGTCTCTCACCATCACTCTCATACGGTGCGCACCACAGAGTCACAGGCTACGACATCAGGCAATTGTCCGGTATTGTCCTCATTCTGAACACAGGCAACAGGCCGTGTGTCCCCTGAACGCAAACCATGGCCGCCATGCTTCAGGTACACCCGGACACTGTGGTCCCTCAAGGCCCCGTTCACGGGTCCCCTCACCGTCTCTTCATTCAGCCCTCACTCCGTCTGTGAGCCTTCACTCTCCGATGGCCAGCCCGTTCCACGTCCAGGGCATCAGAGTTCCAACGACGTACCGATCGTATTCCACGGGGCCGCGAAACGAAAATCCTTCTCATTCAGGCCTGCACCCGCTCGATAATGTCCGCACAAGGCCAAGTCCTGAATGAGGCGACATTGCCTCATTTCATACGCGTGCAAAACTCATCACTGACTGGGTCTTGGCATCGTCCCTTAATAATCTGAAGTTTTCAAGCTGGCATCCAATGTCTGACACTCACACACTGAAGCGGGAGACTCAGACGACAGCCACCAACACACCAGTCTGTCCAACCGCTAAAACAGCCGGGATGGCTTCTGCGGTTGCCGCTGGACCACCTCGCGGGGTTTAGTCTGGTGCGGCTGTCCGCGTCAGAGCGGCCGGCACTTTCGCGCGTCGTCGACAAAAAGAATTCTGCAGACGCCTGCCGTCTGCGTTCTCGATGCCGACGGCACAGCTCGTGGGTTCTGTCGTGGATAATACGCGGCTTCGAATTCGCGGCCTTGACGAGGTTTCATTCGGACTGCCCACGAGCATTGGCATGGATCTGCCTGTTGCCTCTGCTTTCCCACATGCCGACCCCGAACACTGTTTCCCCGAGGGAGAAGTCTGATGATTCGATGACGCGCGAGAGACTCTGTTTCTCCTTGATTCATGGTGGTGCCAAGCATCCACACTTCCCCTGCATATTACCTTCGACCTCAGTCTCAATCACCAGAGATTCTCAGATGGTGACAAAATACCAAGACGCGGTGAAGACCTCACACGAAAATTCGACCTCTCACAGAACAGACCGGCAAGCGAAATACCCCAAGGCTGACTCGCGTCTCGATCTCGGTCAATAAACAAGAAATGATAGATTGCACCCGCGTCTTCCATCCCCCCAAATCGACACTCATCCCCGTCAATCCCTTTATTGACATTTTTTCCCACGGGTTGATGGACTGGAGGGTCCTGTGGTGGCGAAGCTTCCTTGGCGAAATGGACAAGACTCCACACCTCTCTGCGCGAGAAAAAAGGACAAGCGGAGAAGAAGAAGTCATCGAAAGAATGGAAACGGCTGCCTGTTCCAATTTGGGGTCGCTGGCGGTTCTTCCGTCAAGTGGAACCCCCTTTTTCCCCGGCCAGGCAGTCTGTCAACGGTGTTTGGTTCGATTCTCGCCTGCCCATGTCCCCTGAGCGAAAGCTTGAACGGTTTTCGATGGGGACACCGTCCGCTCAGACGTGACAGCGGATGGAGCCGGCGATCGGGGAGGGCAGCTTTGCTCCAGTCTTTTACGTGCACCGTCCACGGTCGCTTCCGTTCTCCTGGGTTCGTAGACATCTCGCCAGCGATTTTGATGTCGTGACTTCGTGCTGCGGCTACATCGAATGCGAGAGCCCGTGGCCGTACGTTACCTATGGCTTTCGCAGAATGAAGCGTCACGACATGCCGTTCTGTGTAAGATAGCCACACCTAGTGTAGCGCCTGCGAGCGCGACCCAGTCAGTCCGTCCATCCACGGAAACCAACATTAGGCGCATATCCGTGCATCACATCGCCCAGGCTTGCAACATTTCCAACAGCCAACAATTCTTAGCTAAGAACACGCTTATATCAGCCGAACAAGAATCCACAGGCCGTACCCTTTGTCAAAGTCGCGACGGCTCCAGAACTCGGCACCTCTCAGCCTCAATCGCGGCGAGCCCTGCCGACCGGACCATTCCTCGTCTGGATGCGCCGCTCCGATGCTAGCTGCGCATACACGAACGGTCAAAGAAAGCAAAAGAACACGGTAAAGTGTAAAAGTAGTTATTTTGGTGATGAGCTAACTACTCATATCAGCTCAGCCTCTCTCACCTGTCCGTAACAGCACGCAGCAAGACGACGTCATTTGCGGATGGCTGTGAGGGCGCCGGGTAGATTACCAATTTCACAATGGGCCCCGCGGGTTCCCTCCGGACGGTGGGGCTTTTTTTTTTTGTGCCTCGGCCGGGGACGGGAGGCCGGTGGGTCCCGCTTTTACGGGGCGCGCGCCGTCCGAGGTTCCGTGAAGCTGGTTCTGGATTTTCTGAAGTGTTAGACATACCACCCAACAATGCGAAGCCATTACTGCCAGTATCATTACTGTCAGAGCTTGCTACCAGAGTCTTAACTATTCATTATATTCTTCTGTGAGGGTCGAATGCTTACAGGAAAAGATCGTCACGCTCGAAGAGAAATCCAAAACACCACATTCGAATAGAGTTTCGTTTTCATCCCAGAACATTGCAAGTCCCGGACTGCTTGCTAGCAACTGAACAAGAACTGGATAGCGTAGGGAATAAAAGTATCAAATTAGTATATCGTCGCAAACCCAACGCATGGGAAATTCAGATACCCTGACACGGGGCTAAGATGTGGGCGCCACCACTTGTGTACGTTGAAATAGGTGCTGCACATCATATCAGACCGATAATCATGAGATATGAAGCCTTCAGCTTTGAAGTGAGAATTGTGCCAAGTTCTAATTGCTAGGCCTCAAAGCCCGAGACCATCCCGATCAAGAGTCGAATTCTAGAGCAACGAGCATCGACGATCACCTTCAAGCATTGTTACCCTGGAGCAATTCATGGCAGAGCGAGTCACTTCAGGACAGAGGAACACAGGTTATAAGAAGAAGAAGGAGTGACTTGAATTCGGCAAGCGAGTGACCTAAGATTAAGACAAAAAGACAGAGAGCTATCCATTAAGCAGGGACCCCACAGTTATATATCATGATTAAGGAACTCCCAGATCTGCCCAAACCATGGCGTTGTAGTTTCGCGTAGTGTTACATGTTTCGGAAAAAAGGGCGAAGACGAAAAGCGGCTATGTGTTTGTCTTTTGCAGGTCTTGCCAAGGCTTGCAGGGTTTATTTCGTCGTGTCATTCCTGACTCTGCTTCTTTCTTCTAAGAGCACTCCTCGCCGGTGTAGGGGGCGAGCTGGAGCTCGGTGTTGACGCGGTTGAAGACGCGGTCGGCGGTGGCCATGCGGACGATGCCCTCGAGGTCGTTGGAGTTGTAGAAGAAGCGGGTGTAGGACTTGACGTTGACGTCGTCGTTGCCGGAGGCGGTGCAGTTGAGGGGGACGCCGACGGGGAGGGAGGCGCCGGAGGTGCGGCAGACGAGGGGCGCGAGCTTGATGCGCAGGACCTGGGACGGGGTGAAGCCGTTGAGGGGCCGGGTCTCGGCCTCGAAGGGGGCGGAGAGGGCGACGGTCTCGCCGTTGGACTGGAAGACCTGTCCGGTGGTGAGGTTGATGTCGAAGAGGGCGGCGGGGGCCGGGTCGCGCTCGTTGCGGAGGTTGAAGCGGTTCGCGCCGAGGGTGAGCTTGGCGCCCTGGATCAGGCCGGGGGAGGTCACCTTCAGGCAGACGTTACGGGCGAAGATGGGCGAGGCGGTGGGGGTGGCGGAGGAGGAGACGACGGTGGAGGTTGCGGGGACGGTGGTGGAGGAGGGGGTGGTGGTGGTGGAGGGGACGGAGTCGATGATGGACTCGGAGGAAGAGGAGGAGCTCGTGGCCTCAGCGGTGGAGGTGGCCTCGGTGGTGGAGTCGTCGGTGGTCGTCAGGATCGGGAACTCGGTAGAGGTGCTGACGGTGACGTTGGGGGCTCCGGTCACGGTCGAGCTGAACTCAGAGGTGGAGGAGTCGAAGATGGTGCTGGCCGTGGTGCTGTTGGGGAACAGAGTCGAGGAGCTGACGTCCACGGTGGTGCTGTTGGGGAAGATCGTGGAGGACTCGGTGGCGGTCACGGTGGTGTTGGGGAAGAGGGTGGACGAGGGAGCGGCGGTGGTGGACTCGACGGCGGTGCTGTTGGGGAACAGGGTGGAAGCGGAGATGTCGGTCGTCGTGCTGTTGGGGAAGAGAGTCGAGGTCTCCGTGGCCGAGGTGATCGTGACGTTGGGGAAGGTGGTGGAGGAGATCACCTCGGTGGAAGTGGTGTTGGGGAAGAGGGTCGAGGTGGCGCTGGTCTCGGTCGCGGTGACGTTCGGGAACAGGGTGGACGAGCTGCCGACGACCGTGCTGGTGGTGTTGGGGAACAGCGTGGAGGAGGGGACGCCGGTCGTGGTGTTAGGGAACACGGTCGAGGAGATGACGTCGGATGTGGTGGTGTTGGGGAAGATGGTGGACAGAGTGCTGGACCCGACGGTCGTGGTGGTGTTGGGGAAGAGAGTGGACGAGACGGACTCGGTAGAAGTGACGTTCGGGAAGAACGAGGAGATGGAAGAAGTCACGTTAGGGAGAGCAGTAGAAGAGACAATCTCGGAAGAAGTGCTGGTGATGTTAGGGAAAGTCGTCGATGAGACGGTAGAAGACTCAGTAGAAGTCACGTTAGGGAAGCCAGTGGACGTCTCAGAGACGAACGTGCTGGTGGTGTTGGGGAAAAGAGTGGACGAGATCGAAGTCGACTCGGTAGATGTAACGTTAGGGAAACCAGTGGACGTGGAAGTCTCGGAGACGAAGGACGTCAGGCTGGAAGTGGTGTTGGGGAACACAGACGACTCGGAGATGGTGGTCAGAGAGGTCGAAGTGGTGCTGTTAACGACAGGAGGGAGAGAAGTCGTGCGGGTAATGAAGGTGGTGAAGGTAGCGTTGAAAATGAACGTGCTGGTCAGCGAGGTGGTCTCCTCGACAAACTCCGTGGAGGTGCTGCCGACCTCGGTCGTGGCGGTCACGGAGGTGGTCACCGCGGAGACGACGTCGGTGGTGACGACGGCGGTCGTGGTCTCGGTGCTGGTGGCCAGGACGGTCGAGGCCGGGTCCGCGCTGCCGCTGACCGTGACGGTGACGACGTCGGTGGCGATCACGGTGGCGGGGACGCTCGTGGTCGTGGTGACGGTGGTCGTGGCCGAGGTCACGGTGCCGGGCGTGACGCCCAGGCAGGAGCAGGCCGAGGCGTAGCGCTCGACGGAGCTGCAGGCCGAGGCGTAGGTCGGGAAGGCGGCGGGGACGACGGTGCTGGCCTGGCGCTTGTTGACGACGGCGATGGTGGCGTCGATGGTCTGCGTCTCGGTGGTGACGGTGACGATCTCGGTGGTGCCGAAGGTGAGGGTCCGGGTGGAGGAGACGACGACGGTGGTCGGGATGACGATGGTCTCGGTCGACGCGGTGATGGTCTCGGTGGTGCCGATGACGTTGGTCAGGGTGGTCGAGATCACCTCGGTGTCGACGACGGTGCTGGTCAAAACCGGGCCCGGTCCTCCGGCGCCGGTGACGGTCACGGTCTCGGTGATGACGCCCGTGGTGGGGACCGTCACGGTCGCGGTCGCGGTGCTGGTAGAGCGTCAGAAAGAGGGAGATGTGCTTCAGGGGGTTTGGAAAGCTTACGCCGTCTCGGGGAAGACAGTCCTCTCCAGGAAGCGAGAGCAGTCCGCAGTGCCGCTTCGGGTCGGGAAGGCACTGGCCGCGATAGCTGGGGGAGTGGAGTGTTAGTCGACGATCTTATGATCTGTAGAGAAGATCTGCCCAGGGTGGGTAGACATGGGGGTAGATGGGACGATGACCTACCTCGCAGACAGTTGTCCCTGGCGCACTGAGCGGCGCTCAACCCGAAGAGGGAGGCCAACACGGCGGTGGTGGTCGGCTTCATGGCTGCTGCAACTGGAGGTCCTCTAAAGACTGGAGCTCGGTAAGCTTCGAGTTGAAACGAAGGAGTGAGTTGACTGGAGCTTGTCGAAAGAAGGAGATGCAGGAGATGAACTGCGCTGATGAGGATGGAGAGAGAAACATTCGACAAGAAACGGCGAGCAAACTGCGAGCTATATACCGGTCGAACGACGACATATTGACATACATCGCGAGGAGGAAACCCGAAATCAAGGACCGGCTGTGAACCTCCATTCCCAAGGGATGGGGGCGAAAACCGGTATCCTCGGCCGCCAACAATATGGCGTCTTCTCTGGTCTGAGACTTCCTCCGTCCCTTGGACTCATCTCGCGATTGCCTCACCCATATTGCCATGCGGTAGGTACTGTCATGGTGAGATGCCAATACCAAAAACGGTTGCTTCTTCCTGCTGGCCCATCGAGACAGAAGAAATCCATCCCTGGCCCCGCGCCGGGTTGCTGTGCCTTGCGGTAAAAGAGTCGAAGCTTGCGGACGCTAGTGAATATGGCTTTGCTAGCTCCAGCGTGTCTGAATCTTGCGTGTGTGCGGGTGAGCCGCCGCCGAAACCCGTTCCCTCAGCCTCTCGTCACCGAAAGTCAGATAAGCATCCGGTGATGATGATGAGGACCGTCGAGTGAGTGGGGGTTGAGGGATGCTTGCCCTTGGAACCTGCAAGTCAGCCAAGGCACTCGCGTTAGCTACCTAACTAGCCAACTGGGCGCTGCTTCAGGTTGAAAGTGCTGCAAGGAACCCGTTCGTGCTGTCTGCAAGGGTTTCCATGAAGCTGTTGTCTGAGATGCGGACATCGGCTCATGGCACCGAGGTGGACTGGATCTTGGCAGGGACGCCGCGAGAAAGGTGATGGGAAGGGAGGAAGGGTTTCCAGCCGCGAGGAGAAACTCGGTGGCCAGATTCCATGCAGCTCATTGGTCGCAAAAAGAAATGTTGGTCTAGAAGCATGCAGGTTGCATATGGGAAATCACTCAAAAAGCAAGCGTTTCGCCCGTGAGGAGCGGCGATCCGGGAACACCTGTCCCGCGCTGCACGTGCGAGTCACATTTGATGAACATGTGTGTGTGAACTCTTCAGAAAGCCCTGCATTGCCGGTGGCTCCAGAAGAGAAGACGCGTCAAGTCCTAGATGGCGTTATTCCGAGTCGTCTCAAAATAGCTGAGATATTGGGAGATGGTGAGAGAAATAGTGGCTTGCAACTCCCTCCCTGTGGGATGTGATGCTCACGAAAACACCAGAAACAGAGTGCAATGCCAAATCGACGAACCGGTCAGACGGTACCAGCGTGCCAGTCGGCTAGTAAGCTTCTTTTGGCGATGGGTGTACCCCGCCAATTACAACCTGGTAGATTTCACGTTATCTGATGCAAAAGTCTGTCGTGGAGCACAAACCCCGTTCTCATTAGTCTGAATTCCCGCGAACGCCAGGCTGAATCCTTCATTTCGAGTTCTCTTACCGGATGGATACTCAAAACCTCGCGCCGAAAGCTGAATCGGCGACCCCATAACTCCAATCGTGGCTTCAAGTCAAAACACTATGAATATCCAGCATGCGAACGGCACTCGCATTCCAGCCTGACCTCACTGCCGGTGCCATCACAAGCGTTCAGCTCGTGGCTTGTCTTGCTGGAGAACAAAACCATGAGGGATGCCTTCAAGCCGTCATCTCCGTCTATCCGCGCGAGACACGTATGAATCCTGCGTGTGAGCTAGACTCGAGACGTACCGGAGGTCTCACACGGAGCGGTCTGCCACGACATCCCGGTCGTGGTCGGAATGAGCTTAGAGCTGCGGCCTCGCTTCTCCCTCCCCCGTCTGTCACCTCCGAAAAGACTTGCAAGTTGCGCTTGTGTCAGATTAGACAGGCGACGGCTCATGGACGCATCTAGTGCCATGTCGCCATGCATACCGAGATTAGCATGAGAAAAACAACCATAAACGTAGATGGCAAGCTTCCGACCCAACGTCCGGGCTGAGGTTGTTCAGCGGGCATGATGAATCACTCCCTTCCTCCCTTTTGGGGACCATTCCGTTCGGAGATGGCTGGCTGAAGAAGACACAAATAGCTCGCCTACACCGGTTGCATTATCGATTAAGGAGTAAACCTCACGGCCTCATAGTGAAGATGTCCTTAAATAAAGTGCACAATTCTTGGGATATCTGATATCCCGTCTAATGACAATGTCTTGGCCCATCGTAGTAATTCTCCTAGGAATTCATCTGTCACAGCTTGAGCTTGGCACCAGCTCTCCACCTTTCCACCCTAGATCTCACGCAGCTCTCAGTTGGAGTCTTAGATCGCCAACACCGCGTTCTGGTTGGCCGTGATTCGGAAGTCAGACCGGCCAGGCCATGTCCGAGACGGCAGTCAAAAGGGAGAATATGTCTCTGCACATCGCGCGAGTTCCACGACCTTCTCTGCCCACGACACACAACCTTAATGGCGAAATAGTCTGCCTGAAAGACACGCTCGGTCACGTGAATCAGCAGACTCGTAAGCTCTGGCTTGGAAGGCTTTTGGCGGTGATCACGGGTGCTGAGACAAACAGCTTGACAATCATTAAACACGGAAAATTCGCCTCTGACAGCTTTTAATCTCACCGCTAGTATCATACCCCTTACCGACGTCGTCACAATTGCGCAAGTATTGGTCTCTCAACACTATTGAATCAGCTGCCGCTTCAGTTCTGATTCTCAGTGTCATTGCTGACCCTCGTAATTTCGAACACGAGGTTTGCGAGGGCATGTGAAAAGTGGTCAGATGTCATCATGGGACCTTCAACTAGAAAAGGAGAGAACCTTACAAAGTTGCTTATAAGTAGCTACTGATGCTCTTTCCGTGAGGTGGATATGGTATCCTCCGCCAAACATCTACTCCCTCGTAGCTGTCAAGACTGAATCTCGTTCAAAATCACGTTACATCTAATTGTAAACGACCATATTTGGTTTATTCTCGCTGCACATTACCACTGCGAAAGGTAAAGATCTCATTCTGGCAAAATGAAATATCATGTGACATTCCACGCCTACGAGACTGACAATTCAGAAAGAAGGAGTTTGCGGGAATGTGTGTAACTCTTTTCGCGATACTGAAGGTATCAAAGCCTAAATTCTGTGTCGTTTCGTTCGATTTGACTAAGTGAAGAAGAAGCCTTAATGAACATTATAATGAGTACTTGCGGCTGTCTTTAATCCAGCCTGTCCAAGAAGCAAAGAGGTTAGCGAAAAGGGGGAAGCTCGTAGAAAGGTTCGTTTTGGAAAATAGTTAAGTAAGATTGTAGCTAAAAAGAGGGTATAATATTAATTACAATAGTTGTTACAGTTAATAGACGGCATTAAATAACTCGGCTGTTTCCTCATAGGGGGCCTACCTCCTTAAATACTGTAGGAGCCCATTGTATTGCCTTGTGAGAACGTTATCGTCGGCTTAGCGAGAACAGCTAAGTCTACGTTGGGACAGGGTAAACGTTACTCGAGATGTTGTTAGTGACAACCAACCATGGCTGATCTGATGTCTTGTATAGTAGTCCCACGGGATGTGATGCCCTAGGGGAGGGTAGAGGGGGCTTCTAGATGAGGTTCTAGATATTGGCTAGGGGAAATTCTTGGAACGCCGCACCGAAACCCCGTTTCCGCTTCGGTGTCGGGTATGGGGTATCGTTCTCCAGCTGCGAAATTTTCCCCCAATCACGCATTCTTCTATAGCCTCTCTCGCAGCGATTTTCGAACGTATGCATACTTGTCATCCTTAATCTGGTCATCAGTAGCAGTGACCTGCGTGAAGTCAGCTCAAAGAGAGCAAAGATAGCAACATAGCTCTCAGCGGAGCTAAGAGACCGGCTCAGGGGTGGACTGGTGAATGCGGGACTAGAATCACGTCCTCCGCACCCACGATGTTAACTCAGAAGAGACTCAACAAATTGAAGCGATTCAATAGCATCAAAGAGGTTATTTGACATCCTCCGAAGACAAACGTCGCAGGACCCTGGGGTTCACAGCCCGGCACCTCGGGTCGGGTGGGCCGGATCTGGGTTCGTCTGATCACCTTGCCGTGGGTCTTCCAAGATCTAGACTATGTTACAGGCTAACATAGATGCTTGCCTTTGGTGGTATTGACAGGTCTGACAGGATTAGAGCCGTCATTTACGGAAGGAGAAACAACAATCACTAACCGATTTGGAAGATAGATCAATATAACCACGACTTGGTTACGGGTACGGGTACCGTCACCTCGTGTTAGCATTGGTGGTCGACGGAGAGCTGTAGGATTCCGGTGGACTGCCCGGCCTAACAGTGACACAATATATGCCCCATCCCACCCCCTTAGAGGAACCATTCATTAGCCCCAATCTAACTCTGACGGAAGATATATCGATCGGGGGTCGAAATCGGTCACTTGCATCGTTGGTTCCTCTTTGGGTAATTGGAACGGAGTCCCAGATAACATAAAGGGCACTATCTCCGGACATAGATCGTGTCCAGATCGTGAACCGCGATTAGGATACCACTTAAGGAACGGAGAGAACCAGCCGTTGAGCCAATCAAGTCTCGTTAAGAATGCCAAACTTGCATCCCATCCCGCCGGCTACTAGCGGGATCTTAACCTAGTACAGCTCCCACCTCACCACTACACTACGATATGATCTACCCCATTGAGTCAAGTCTAATGGAGATTCGTATTCCTCTTGGACATGACATGTCATGACTATAGGAACAAGCCATGTTCGCAACGAAACGAAAGAAAATCTGTCCGTGTCCTCATCTGTTTCAACTCTCAAGAGCATAGCTCGTTTTCTCAGTCACACACATCCCATTTCTCTTCTCCCGTATCAGGTTCATCTTCAACCATGAAGGCCAGCCTCCTTTTCTTCTGCTCCCTGCTTGGGCTGGCCCTCGCGCAAAGTTGCCCTGACCCCGGCGTCAATGGCTTCGCCAGTGCTGCGGGCGGCACGACTGGCGGTGGAAACGCCGCCGCCGTCACCGTCACCAACGCCAACGACCTGAAGACCGCGGCCAAAGCCTCCGGTGCCCGCGTCATTATCGTGAAGGGTAAGATCGACACCCAGGGCGCCGTCGACGTGGCGAGCGACAAGACCATCCGCGGCCAGGACTCCACCGCCACCATCATCGGAGGCTTCAACCTCAAGGGTGTCAGCAACATCATCATCAAGAACCTCAACATCCAGGCCGGCGGCTCCGTCGACACCATCGCCAGCCGCAACTCCCACCACGTCTGGTACGACCACCTCAACATCTGGGACGCCGGCGACGGCCTCCTCGACATCACCCAAGAGTCCGACTACCAGACCGTCTCCTGGTGCAAGTTCTGGTACAGCAGCAAGACCGGAGACCACCGCCTCGCGAGTCTCGTCGGCTCCGGCGGCGGCGACCACCCCGAGGACGAGGGCAAGCTGCGCGTCACCTACCACCACAACTGGTGGGCCGAGAACGTGGACCAGCGCATGCCGCGCGTCATGTACGGCGAGGGCCACATCTACAACAACTTCTTCAACTCGCCCGGCAACACCTACTGCGTCGGCTTCGGCTCCTACGGCTCCGTCCTGATCCAGAACAACTACTTCAAGGACGTCAAGAACCCGCACCAGTTCATGTACGACGTGTACGCGTACTCCGCCGCCTCGGGCAACGTCTACGACAAGACCAGCGGGGCCCAGCAGACGGGCAAGCTCGGCAGCAGGAACGTCGCCGGACAGGAGTGGGCTACCGCCGCTCCCGTCTCGCCGCCGTACTCCTACTCGCTGGACTCGGCGAGCGGCGTGCCCGACCTCGTCAAGAAGTGCGCCGGTCCCCGGTAAGGCAGCACTTCTACGGCCCAGGCAACTTGCAAGACGCTCTCTCCCTATGGCGACGACTGTTCTGTCCTATGAGCGGTTAGTGTGGCGGCAGCGTCAGTGCCGGGCCGACATCCTGCTTTGGTGTGTGTGTAAGGCTCAGAATGAGCGATATTCTCTGTACATATGAGATGGCCGGTGGATTTCAAGCAACCCATATATGCTCTAGAGAGACGATGAATCCCCGGCCTTATTATCTAGTCACTCCTTGTATATACTTGTCTTCCCTCTTGCGTAACTGTTAGGCATCAACCACTCCTACAGGCCATTTCCACTGCCTCTTGAAAGATGCGTCTCTTTCAGGTATTTGATCTAGTGGTTTGGCGCGATACTTATTATCTTATAGTTCTTACTATTAGTAAATCAGCTGGCATCCCGGCGTATTCACTTACAGCTGAAAAGGCCTCGAGTCTTAGAGTAGTAATAACTCAGGCTACTATCTAGAAAAGGGAGTGTGAATTAGTAAGACAAACAGGGTTGTCTCATAGACTCGATTCTCGTATAGGTCTTAGGTTTAATTGTTGGCATTTTCCCAGCGATAGAATCGTAAAAGACATTCAAGGTATCAACATCACCCGTTTATCTGCTTTCCCTAGGTCACGTACCAGTCGTCTGTTTACCAGAGAAAACATTTTAGGACTAACTGGAGGTTGAGAATAAGTTCTCAGGATGTCAAGCGCTTATAAGTTGAGAAGAGAAGCTTTTTTTTCAGTTGGCTCTGCGGTTCCCATGTATCAGAATCTGCCATCAACACATCTCGAAGCCTCTACACCGAAGCCTCTACACCGAAGCCTTTCTCAAATCTCAACACCCGGCGCGTATTGCTACCAGAATGAGACCAACGAGTAACGAAACAGGCATTGAAACCCACATCCCAACGATGCCAACTTGCGGAGTTCATGCGGGGAAGCGGGGTTCGTTCCGCGAGCCTTCAATCATCTCCAACTGCTTTCTAAGCGCAGCGCGGGGGGAAACATCTGACTTCGACAGTCTCTCACCCCTGTTGTTTTCTCCACACGAGTGCCGACCACCCAGTCGCCCGGCGCCGCTCATCGCGGTGTTTTGCAGCCGAACTTCTCCTCTTTCACTCCTCACGACCGACTCCAAGTCTCCCTCGCCTAGGACCCTGAATTCGACAACGCGCCGACTGCTGCCACGGGCCCCGCGACGTGCCATGTCGAAACGCAGCTGGTCGGATGCCAATGAGGGCATGGAGTTCATGACGGTATTCTCACGTTTGCCACCTTTCTCGGGACGCAAGCTGACTTTCTGGCTTTTAGTTGTTGACCGCGGGCAATGGAGAAGGGTCTTTCCCACAAATATCCCGGAAAATTAAGGCCTGTGCTGCATGCCGGAAGCACAAGGTTTGCACCATGATTCTATCGCGGAGTGAACCCCTGCTAACACGTACGCAAGATCAAATGTTTGATGGATGAGAGCGGTCCACCATGTCGTCGCTGTTCAGAAAGAAACTTGGGCTGCGTGCTGGGCAAGAACTTGCAGAGTATCATCGATGAAAAGACACAGTCAGTTTTCCACCTTTTCGCGCTTGAAAAACTTGCCACTGATGATCCTGCAGATATAATGAAGCTGTTGTCCAAGACATCGAGAGCCTTCACAATACCCTCAAAGAAATCGCCAAAAAGGTCGGCTTGCCAGAACCTGCAGCGCTTCAAAGCACAAACCTACGAGGCTCAACAGACTCGCCATCGCTGCATGGCCGTTCAGCGTCGACGACGAACGGAAACGGGTACCGTCTCGGTGTATCCGGTCAGGATAACAACCATGGCCCCTCCTGCGACAACTCACCCAAGATCTCCCCCGAGGACGAGAATCTTCCACACGTACCGATCCACTCACTCTATGCGCTCACAAAGTTGAGAGCTCTGAGATCACCAGATGCACCTGAAGGTCATTCTACCGCCCTCGACGACTTCATCGCGCGCGGAGCACTACGTCTGGACGATGCAGAACGATTATTTCGACTATACCGCGACCGGCTGGATCCTTTCATGTACGGCGTGGGGTGCAAATACCAGCAGCTGGAGGAGCTGCGTCGAAGAAGTTCCATACTCACCGCCGCCACCCTCACTGTCGCCGCTCTCCACGACCCGCAAGCCAATGGCATCTACGGCGTCTGCAGCTCCGAGTTCCGCCGTCTCACCGAGAGATCGATGTTCGACCGACGGGTAGACCGCGATTATCTGCGCGCTATGTGCGTTGCATCGTACTGGCTCAGCGATGTGTCGTGGATGTTGTCAGGGTACGCCATTCGTCGCGCAGCAGAATGCAATTTGCACAACAGCTACACTCGCGCCATCGAAGACAAGAGCGAAGAAGCTGCCGACGGAGCCAGGCTCTGGTATATACTCAACATCTGCGACCAGCACCTCGCGACATTGTACGGAAGACCTGCGATCGTCCAGGAAGACTCGTCCATGCAGAAATGGGAGGCCTTTCTTGCGTCGCCTGTCGCAAATGAGCAAGACAAGCGCTTGTCTAGTCAGGTTGCCCTCTTGGGTATCATAGGGAGCATCCGTGAACTATTCGGACCGGACAAGGGACAGCCAACACCAAGAGCATACGTTCATCAGATCACACAGTTCAATAAGGAACTTGACCATTGGTTAAATCACTGGTTGGGAACGATACCAGGTATGTTTGAGCACAACTCCTCGTCCTTCGTTAGCTAACAGTCTCCCACAGAAGAATCCGAGCACATAGGTCGCTTCCCACGGAAAGGGGCCAAGCTGCACTTCCACTTCGCAAAACTTCATCTCTACTCACATATCTTCCGCGGTTTGTCTGGAGACAACCCGATACCGTACCACTTTCTTGACTGCGCTGCAACCGCCATCTCTGTCGCCACTTCGACTATCAACTTTATCTTGACTGATCCGGACATCGCGGCTGGGGTGGTTGGAATGCCGTCTTACCTGCACTGCATGACGGCTTTCGCATGCATGTTTCTGATCAAGGTGGCAGTTAAGTACGGGGGAGACCTGATCGAGCCAGACCGTGTCTGGGATATGACAACGAGTCTCGTGCGGCACTTTCGATCGCTTCCCGCAGGGCGATGGCACTTGGCTAACCTCATGGCGCCGGGTCTCGAGCGTATGGCTGCAACCCTCAAACGCAGTCAAACGGGAGAGCTCAACCACTTGACCGAGACATTGCCTGTAGGCAATGGGATCAATGGCGCCATCGATCCACAACTAGGTGCTCCCAGTACTGACGGAACGTTCATTGGTTCCGAGGGTGAATTCTTTTTCGATTACGATATGAGTTTTGGACTGTCGCCGGTGTTCAACTTCGACTTGTCGTCCCTGAATACTGAGAACCCATCGATGGCGCCTCAAGAGTTCTCCAATGTCAACTATCAAATGGCGCAACCCAACACTTGAGGACTCGGATGTCATTTGCAACGACATATCTCCAGGAGAGCGTTGTGTTCGACAAATTCAGGCGTAATGAGGGTCGCTACTGCATGATGCCGGCGTAAAAGATGGTCAAATTTGTAATTACATACCCTGAATAGCCCTAGGCTTGTATTCCGCCTCCAAATATTTGCACTCGTCTTCCGTCAACTTGAGCTTGAGCGCCTCTACCGTCTCCTTAATCCGCTTCTCTGAGTTCAACCCCACGATGGGCCAGCACCCTTGCTGAAGCACCCAGGCCGTCGACACCAGAGCCATGCTGACGCCCCTCTTCTTCGCGACCTCCTCCACGCGGCTGACGATGTCCAGATTCGCGTCGGCAAACCAGGCCTGTGTCTTCTTATCCGTTTGGCTCCGCAGCGACGTGCTGTCCGCGCTGTCCTTGGCCAGCGGCTTTGCGAGCATGCCGCGAGCGATGGGCGACCAGGGGATGACGCCGACGCCGGTCTCGCGGCAGAAGGGGAGCATTTCGCGCTCCTCCTCGCGGTAGAGCAGGTTGTAGAATGGCTGCATGGAGATGAACTCGGTCCAGCCGTTCGACTTGGCGATGTACTGCAGGCGGGCGAACTCCCACGTGTACATGGACGACGCGCCGATATAGCGGACCTTGCCGGACTGGACGACCTCGTGGAGGGCTCGCATGATCTCTTCGGGCGGCGTTTCGCGGTCGAGGCGGTGGATCTGGAGAACGTCTGAGGCTGTTAGCTTTGATCTTGCTCCATTTGAATGTCGGACTTACCGATGTAATCCGTGCCCAAACGCTCTAAGCACTTGTCTACTGCATGGAACACGTGTTTCCTGCTGAGGCCCATCTGGTTGACGATGGGTCCGTCGTTGATGCTGGCTGGCCTCGAGTTGTCGTCCATGACGGGGTTGAAGATCTTGGACAGGATGACGACTTTTTGACGAGGGATGTTGAACTTTTTCAGCGCCTTGCCGATGACGAGTTCGGAATGGCCGTTGGAGTATGTGTCGGCAGTGTCCCACGTGTTGATGCCGTTGTCGTATGCCGCCTTGAGAAGTTCAAGGCCTTCCGCCTCATCGAGAACCCAAGGTGAGCCCTCCCATTGCGAAGTTCCGAAGGCCATGCATCCGAGGATGATCTTGGAGACCTTCAGGCCACTGTTTCCGAGCCTGCAAATTGGATGTTAGCATCTCTACCACGAATTCGTCGTTCAACGAAGTCAATGTCCAACAAAAGACCGTTCAGATCCAAGTGAGGGGTCAATTCCTTCGCTCGCTCTAGATATCGCAACTCACCTTACGTATTCCATATTGTCTGATGTTAAGGCAGAAAAGAAATCTTCTTTGATGCCAAGAGGATTCCAAACTCAACTGAATATTCTCAATTCTTAGCACGACATCGGCACAAATACGGACGAACACTCGCGAGGTTCTACTTTATCACTCATCACGTCATCCCAATATCCCCTCGTTCGCGCTTCGGCTTGATCTCCTCCGCTCGAAAACTCCCGAACCCCTGCCTCCCCGGTGCCCCACCCGGTGCGGGGGAGGCCCCAGCCGGAGCACGGCCGCGAGTTTCTGGTTGCACCGGCTTTCTCGCCGATGACCGCATTGGGGATGCTGCATCGGCGATCTCTCCGACCCAGCACCCAGAAAGCCTGCCGCAACGCATTTCCGTTGCTGCATCTCGTCGGATACATTCGGCTACTTGCTGCAGGAGATGAGGGGACTCGTTGACGACGTAATCAGTTCTGGGTGCGAAATCGGCTCATCAAGTAGGTAGTGAGGGGTTCGTCAGTCGTGAGTATCGTGGCTACATCACAATAGCCTCAATTTCCTCTCAGTAGTGTCTGTATTCATTGTACCTGAAATCGCGAAAACATGTCAAACGAAATCCTCATCACGGGCGCCGGCGGCTTCGTCGGCCAGGCCCTCGTTTCCGCCCTCGTCAACAACAACCCCGCCAACAAGCTCACCATAACCGACGTCGTCGAGCCGCCAATCCCCGCAGACGTGGCAGGGGAGAGCGGCAGAATCACGTCGCTGAAGGCCGACCTCACCGACCCGGCGGCGGTGTCGTCTCTGCTCTCGAAGCCCTTCGCCGCCGTCTACCTCCTGCACGGCCTGATGTCGGGCGGAGCCGAGGCGAACCTTGAACTGGGGTACCGAGTCAACTTTGACTCGGTGCGGGCCGTCCTCGACCACCTCCGCATCAACTACCCCGGCACCACCGTCGTCTTCACCAGCTCTTGCGCCGTGTACGGGCCCCGTCAGCCGGTGACGGAGAGCGGTGTGGTGCCGAAGCCGAAGACGTCGTACGGAACGCAGAAGCTCATGATCGAGCTGATCCTCGAGGATTACTCCCGCCGTGGGTTCCTCGATGGCCGTATTGTCCGCCTCCCTACTGTTACTGTCCGACCTGGTGCTCCCTCTGCAGCAGCCTCAAGTTTCGCGTCTGGCATTGTCCGTGAGACGCTCAAGGGTATCAAGAACGTCTTGCCGGTCAGCCGTGATCTCGAGGTCTGGGTGTGTAGTCCCGCGACGGTCGTCAAGAACCTTGTGAAGGTGAAGGACATATCGAAAGAGAAGTTTGGAGACTCCAGAGTGGTCAACTTGCCCGGCATCACAGTCACCGTGCAGGAGATGCTGGATGCTGTGGAGAAGGTCGGTGGAAAGGAGGCTCTGTCGCTGATTGAGGAGAAGAAGGATCCCGCCATCTTGGCAATTGTAGACACATGGCCGGCTCGCTATGATGTCAGTCGTGCTTATGGACTGGGCCTGGATCCCGATGGAACGTTTTTGGAGGCTGTCGAAGCTTTCGCCAAGACGTTGCAAAAATGATCGTAGATCGTCTGCGCCAGTATTTGTAGACATTTACGCCCAGGGGCCATCGATTATCCTAATGAGATGAAGTGCACTTGACGCATGGTCCCTTCAAATCATGTCCGTATGCGTGTTTTCATCATTACCCCAGAAATTGGGCCCATTATCCCTGTTCGGCTAGAATTCGGAGATACAAATGCAATACTCCATAGTAATGTTGTAAAACTATGAGTTTACAGCAATCACCGCTGTTTGTCTTTTCTCACGGGTTTTCATGCAGTTAAAGTCATCAAAGCAATTGGTAAATAATGTAAAATTTGCAAAGAGGTATCTTGCTCAGTTATCCATGAACTCCGTTCTCACAACTTGGCTCTGGCTCTTCTCAGGGGCTTCTTCTGCCTGGACTGCGCCTCAGACATGACCATGTAGTCCACATCCAAGGTATTGACCATCGCAGGCGTGGCCTGACTCAGGCTTGTAATACCGCAGAGTCGCATCGAGGTTTCGATCTCATCTTTGAGGACTAAGTAGGGAATCATCAGTTAGTATCAGGCTCCACATCGAAGAGGAAGAACAACAGCTTGAACTTACTCTGCGTGAGATGCTCAACTCCTTCTTGGCCGTAGACCAGGGAGTACAGGTATGGTCGGCCCACGCCCACCGCAGTTGCGCCGAGCGCGATGGCCTTGAGAATGTCCGAGCCGCGCTCAAAACCACCATCGATGTAGACTTCGAGTTTGTCGAAGACCTCTGGGCACTGCTCTCTGAGTTCTAGCAGGACAAGGATCGAAGCTTGCGAACTGTGAGAAGATATCGTTAGTCATTGATTGTTGACATCTCAGCAGCATCACGAAGCCTCAAATTCACTTACCCATCAAGCGAGCGACCCCCGTGGTTGCTAAGGAGAACACCATCTACGCCGTATTCAACAGCCAAGCGGACATCGTCTGCGGTCTGAACGCCCTTGAGAACGATCGGTACGCCACTCGCCTCCCGGATCCACGTGAGATCTTCCCAGGTGATTGACTTGTCAATGTACTGAGCCATGAGACGTCCCAGTCCGCTGCCCTTCTTGTCCTTGCTGCTCTCGGCGTTGCTGATGGCTGACCGGATTGTGCCTGCCTGAGCAGCTCGTTCGTCGGCCTCTCGCTTACCCGGCACTGGCGCATCAACCGTCACGAAGATAGCCTTGATACCAAGCGCCCGAGCGGACCTGAGAATCTCGATGGTCTTGTGGCGTTCGGAGTTGATGTAGAGTTGGAAGAAGAACGGCTGATTGGCAGGAGCCGCGTTGACGATCGACTTGAGCGTGTACGATGCGTTGCTCGAGATCTGACCCAAGATTAGTTACAGAGACCATGCCTCTACGGCATCTAGTGACTTACACATTGGATGATACCTTCACTGGCTGCTCCACGACTCAGAGCAAGTTCTCCATCAGGATGTACCAGCTTGGCCATAGCTGCAGGAGAGATGAAGAAGGGAGCTGAACTCTCAAAGCCGAGAATGTTGGTCTTGAAGTCCACATGTGACACGTTTCTCAGGATCCTGGGTCGGATCATGATCCTGCGCACGAGCTCCTTGTTCTTGGTGTATGTGATGAGATCAGTAGCGGCGGAAGAGTAGAACGCCCATGTCTTCGGCGTCAGCGCCTTGGACGCTACTACTGTGAGATCCGGAGCGCTGATGATGGACTCCAGAGGCGGGATGATATCCTCTTCCTGCGTTGATGACGGTGCCTGAGCAACCTCCGCCGGTGCCGTAGCTACGCCATTCTTGCCTCTTGGCTGTGATGCCGCAGCCGGCACGTCCGGAGTGGCATCCTTCAGTATGCCAATGAACTTCTCCTCCGGGAGCTCTTCGAGAATATCCGGAGCGTGGACTTCATCGAAGATCTTGGTGGCGTTCGAGCCGGCGCACTTGAGCAGAACTGGAGAGAGTCCAAGCGGTGAGACGAATGACTCGGAGCTGACGACGAGGAAAACTTACCTGACGGACCTCCAGGATGCTCGCTGATAAAATCGGTGATATCCCAAACCTTGGAGTGCACAGCTATCCAGCAATCCGCCTTCGTGTTGTGTTTGCTGAGATCATTGAGGCTGATCACGTTGCCTTCCTGCGCCTTCGCTGCCATGGTGTGTTTCGGGGATGTTGGGTGTCTCAAGTCGGTGGTCGGATTGCGCTCTCTACGTGTGTCTCTGCCAACACAAGTTTCCTCCCCTCGTCTCCAAAGTCTACTTTAGTCGGAGTAAGAGATGGTACAAACATATTGCTTGTCAAAGTCATGGAAAAGCAAATTTGACAAGTCGCCACAATGCCTGCCAAGCCCCATCAGCTCCAGACCGCGCTTTCGCAAAACCGCCAGCTCGGATTGTCATCACAAATCGCGACGTGCCCCGTCTTCCCCGACGGCCGCGCTCGACACCCCTGTCGCCTCCGCATCGCCATTCCCCCATGATTCGGCTTTCTCGCCGATGTGGGCCGGTTACAGAGGCGTTCCGGGTCAGCTCCGAGTGTGCTGATTCCCAACTCGCTCGTAATGAAGTGCTGCTTGTCTTACGTATCGAGAATTGCAGATGATTCAACTGGACAAAGTCGTTCCCAACAGTGGATTCTTCTGGCCAGTTCGAGCTGCGAAATCGGGGCATAACCCGACATCAGGACATTCTGCAAGTTAACCATGGGTTCTCCGCATTACTCTCCGCATCTTCGGAGTTGGAGTCTGGCTGTTATGAGGGGTTGGTTTCCAGTCAGGATCGCAAAGTCACCCAAACCCTCACCTTTAAACGAAGTGAGATTTTCCCGATACAAGGAAACCAGCTTATCATCCTCATTCAAGACACACTTTGGTTGTATTGTCTAATTGCCCAGAACCTTCACCATGCCTTCAAGTACCATCGCCTCCAAGTCCAAGCCCCTCCCGCCGGGGGTTTACACCCCTGTTGTTACCATCTACAAAGCCGGCGACCCTCTTCAGCCCGTCGACCATGACGCCATGTACAAGCAGTGCCAGGCGCTTGTCGGCGCAGGCATGCATGGTCTCGTCTACCTGGGCACCAACGGCGAGCTCGCCCTCCTGACGGCCGACGAGCGCAAAGCAATCGTCCAGACCGCGGCCCGCGCCGTCAAAGATCTCCAGAAGCCCGACTACCCCATCGTGGCCGGCATTTCCGCACAGTCGACTCGCGAGTCCATCCTGAACGCCCAGGATGCCGCGAGCGCCGGCGCCAACTTCGCGCTGCTCCTGCCGCCGAGCTACTGGGCCAAGGCGCTCTCCAACGACGCGATTCTGGGGTACTACCGTGACGTCGCTGATAACTCGCCCATCCCGATCGTCATTTACAACTTCCCCGGCGTGACATCTGGCGTGGATCTTGACTCCGATCAGCTCACGACTCTCGCGTCGCACCCTAACATCGTGGCCGTAAAGTTGACTTGCGGAAACGTGGGTAAGCTCACGAGGTTAACGAGCAAGTTCGCCCACGAGCAGTTTGGTGTTTTCGGCGGTAGCAGTGACTACCTGCTCCCTACACTGCAGGCGGGAGGAAGTGGCTGCGTGACAGGAATGGGTAACATCTTCCCCGGTTCTACGTCTGCTGTATACGACTTATGGAAGGCTGGAAAGGTAGAGGAGGCGCAGAAGCTGCAGTACGACGTGGCAAACGCGGAGTGGGCTTGTAAGAAGGGTATTGCTCTGACCAAGTATGGCGCATGGCACTTCCTCGGTCGTGACATTGGCATCGCGGATGAGTCCTCGTGGTACATGAGGAAGCCGTATCTGCCGCTAGCTGACGCCACTAAGAAATGGGCCTTGGAGACATTAGGAGTACTAGAGACGACGGAAAAGCGAAGATCATGGAGTAAATAGTCCAAGAGCGAGCATTCTTTGAGTAAATCAAAATCTCTCCAACTTCAAAACGTATTGCGCTGTCTTTGTCCCTTTTCTCCTCATAATGAGAATGGGGTGAATCACATCGATCACTCCAGTCCACAGCATCAAACAAAACCCAGAATCAGAGCTGCGCAGCATCTAAATAGGATTGGATCATTTTGCAAAGGAATCTGTTATAAATGGAGTTGGGACTGAGTAAATTGAATCATGAATTCATGATTCATCTATCTAAACATTAAACCCCCAAGCTCATACTCCTTGAACCCAGTCCTCAATATTGTCAACCCTAACATACTTGATGTACTGGCGATGGAACGTAAACGCAATGTGAACCACCGGCTTTTCCAAGTCCACAAAAATGCTTGGGTAGCTGAGCTCACGGTTTGTCTTCTCTTTCGAGTTATTCGTCATGCAGAAACCATCACCCTCCTCCAAGACTCTCTCCTTCCATGTCAAGCCTTCATCGCTCGAGATGCCCACCGTCAAGGTCTTACGGGGTGTTCCCCAGATAGCCGTCTTGCCGTTGACAGCCTCTTGGTTCGGACGCTTGTCATCCTCGGGCGTGATGTCGTCGTACAAGCCTTCCCTCTTAGCCATGTCCGGCTCCGCGGCAGAACGGTTGAACACAATGGCTAGGTTGCCTGATGGTAGGCGAGCCGCGCAAATACCGCTGTTGGGATTCGGCAACGACGTCGGCTTGGGTGCAGCCCAATTCAAACCATCGGGAGAGGTTGATCGGTAGACATTGTCTGCCCAGCGGCTGCGGAAGAAAGCAACGTAATCTGTGCTCTTCTTGCCAGGTGCAATGACGTTCATATGCACTGAACCGATGCTGTCAGGAACAACATTCTCAGTCCACGTCTGACCGTCGTCCTTGGAGTAGAAAACGGCGGAAATGTCGTTGTTGCCGATCCATCTTTGCCCGGGCGTTGATCGGCAGTGAAACACAGGCAGAACCCAGGTGCCGTCACCCAGTACCACCAAGGGCTGGCGTACAAATGCCCCGGTAACACCTTTGAGAGGGAACCGCGGCTCAGACCACGTCACGCCGTTATCGTTCGACGTACGAGCCATGATGTAGCAGCCATCTTGGTTACCGGCGTCTTGTGAAGTGTGGAACAGCCAAATCTCGCCCGTCTTGGGGGCTCTGAAGAGCACGGGGTTCTGGCAGCTGCGGTTGGTGTCGGACGAGATCTTCTGCGGGGTGGACCAAGTGTTGGAACCGGGCTCTTGGCGAGACAGCCAGATGCTGATGTCCGGCAGGCCTTCCTGAGAGCCGCCGAACCAGACGCACAGCAACGTCTTATCTCGGAGTTGGAGAAGGTTGGAGGCGTGCGACTGGATTGTTACCGCAGGGATGGCGGCGGTGTGAAGAGTTGGAGACGACATCCTGGAAGTCAAACCACCAGGACGATTACTTGAGCGAAGAACGTGGGGTCGTTGTTTGGTTGATACAGCTTTGCTTTCCCCGAGTATTCTTTGGCAGTTGATCTTTCCAAAGAGTTCCAGTAGCATCAGACCCTGCCCGAAAGCAGTCGGTTCTAAGTATTCGCAGATTATGCCAAGTTGTGACTCTGATGCCCCGCGTCCGTTGTTCCCCGCTTCCAACTTCACTCGCGACTCAGGATTCCACCCGGCCCAAACTCCGGCCCCGCTATTCCATCTCCCGGGAAGCCCCCGTTCTTGTGCTTCTTGTGACACGATGCGAAAGTAAGAGGCTAGGACTGGTCGCCGAATTTCCCAATCCCGCCTAGCTCGCCGGAAACCTGGGGTTGCGAAGAAACCCCCTGATATCGAATCCGGGGAGAGTGGGATATGTGGGTAAGATCACCTGGCAAGATTATCAAACGATTGCAATTCGCGGCCTTTCAACTGGATGATCTCTCGTCGCTCCCGGCCTTCTCGCCGATTTATTGCATTGGTCTGCTTTCTCATGGTTCCCCATGCAGTTTGGCTTGAGTGAACGGCTGTGGGTTACGCGGGGTAGTTCGGCTCTTGGTATTGCTGGCGCCTCCTCCCCACGGGGTGGTAAGTTTGTTACGGATGCAAACAGACTATTGACTCAGGAAACTCGGATATATGATACAGCCAGAGCCATCACTTTAACTTCCTCTCTGACACAAGTGATCGTTCGGTAGTCTGTCCGTCAACGAAAACTTCAGCTCTTCAGTCCCTTCACCACAATCAACACTGAACGTACTGCGAAAATGGCGGGCGGAGGTTCGTTATTCGCCTCTCCCGAGTGGAAGAAGGACCCTCGGGAGATTTTCAACGCCAAACTCCTCTTGCTGGGTATCACGATCGCCTTCGCAGGATGTGCATACGGCTTTGACCAGGGGAACATCGGAGGCATTATGACTTTCCCCTCGTTCAGGAAAGCCTTCGGATTTGACACGATCAGTACGGAGGAGGCAGACAAAAGAGGTAAGAAACGACACCAAAAAAGCGTCCTCGAAACAGAGACTAACGGGAAAGAATAGAGGGCAATATTGCAGCAATGCGTAAGTGGACTTCGTATCTAACGAGCCTTATACAACCCTAACATGAACAAGTGGCTGCTGGTGGTACCGCTGGCGCGTTGCTCGCAGCACCTCTATCCGACTATCTTGGACGCAAGAAGGCAGTTACATCCATGGCTGCACTATTCCTAGTCGGCTGTGGAATGCAAGAGGTTCCGAATCTCGACGTTCTCTACGCTGGTCGTCTGCTGGCTGGTGTCGCTATCGGTGCAACTTCTATGGTGAGTGACCCATTGGGCGGTCTACGTTGACTATCATAACTAACGACAACTCATCAATATAGTTGGCTCCCCAATATCTCGCCGAAAACTCCCCCAAGTCTATTCGCGGCTCTCTCACCACGTCTTACAACCTCATGATCATCCTTGCTTTAGCGATTGCATTCTGGGTCAACTATGCCGTTAGTCTTTGGCCCAATCAAGACCCCAACAACAACATGGCTTGGCAGCTGGCTCTTGGCATTCAACTCATCCCCGGATTCTTCCTCTTCGTCCTCATTTGGTGTAAGTGGTCTCCCGCATGCAAGGTGACACACGAAGATTCAGAAACTGATGGTTGTAACCAGTCGTCGTTGAAACACCTCGAGCGTTGATCGCGAAGGGAAAGGATGAGCGTGGACTGAAAAACCTGTGCAAGTTGCGAGGCCTGCCCGCCGAGCACCCTTACGTTCGGCAAGAGTACATGGAAATTACAGCTCAAGTTGAGGCTGAACAACAGACTGCTAAGGGTAAGTTAGTTCGATCTCTGTGGAATGATTGGCACTAATGGAGTCCAACAGGAACCAACTACCTCGTTGTCATGAAAGACATCGCCACGAACCCCAGCAACCGTCGTCGTCTCTTCCTTGCCGTCACGCTGTTCTTGTTCCACAAGCTCACCGGAACCGACTCGCTCAACTACTTCGCGCCTCAAATCTTCGCCATGATCGGTGTCCCGAAGGGCTCCAGCTCTCTCCTCACGACCGGTGTCTACGGTGTAGTCAAGCTGGCCACTACGATCATTTACGTCACTGTCATCGTCGACCGCGTTGGACGTCGCCTTCCTCTCATCATCGGCGCGACCATCCAAGCTACTTCCATGCTTTACATCGGACTGTTCATTCGCTTTTCTGACGTCGAGGCCGGAAGCGGAACTACTCCCGGTGGAATCGTTGGTATCATCATGATCTATCTTTATGCCTTCGGATGGTCATTCGGACATTCAGTCGCGCCGTACTTGACTGCGTAAGTACTATTGAAGCCCGACGCGAACAGGTTCAATCATGCTAACTGATGAACAGTGCTGAAATCTTCCCTGCTCGTATCCGGTCTTTCTGCATGTCGTGTTGCCTGTTCACCAACTGGATCGTCAACTACGGCATTACGTCTGCTACTCCCCACATGCTGCGGACCATGGGCTATGGTACTTTCTTGTTCTTCGCCGTCATGACCTACATCGGCGCCGTCTTCGTTTGGTTCTGCTTGCCGGAGCTCAAGGGCCGTAGTATCGAGTCCATGGACGACCTGTTTGCGCACTCCCTTTGGACCATGTTCAAGCGTGCTTACCCGACGGAAGATGAGAAGGTCAGACACGATGTGCAGGAGAGGCTGCACGACAAGGAGCAAGGCGACGACAAGGATATTTCCCACGTGGCTATGGTCGAGGACAACAGCAGGCGGGTATGAGTAATTCGCAACCATTTCGCAGTCATAGTGCCTGCTGCTGGGTTGCCGATTGTGTTGGATTTCAGTGTCCATACAAGGAGGAGGAAGCATAAGCGTGCGTTGCTGTAGTTTTGAGTCATGAAATACCCGAAGATCGCAATTTGATTTGCTCAACTGTCTGTAACTATGCTTGCTTCTGTGTGTTTTTGGGTTTTCCAAAGTGAAAAGAAGAGTAACAGCAGAAGAAACGAGTCATTTAAGATCAGCAGCCTCTCTAAGAAATATCGTAAACAGCAGACGCGCAAGCCGTTGCGGTCTGGAACGTTGATAACATCGCGAATAGGAGAAAAGATACGACGAGATAAGACAAGACAATATTGATCCACTTGATCTCATTGAGCATCCTAGCGAGCGAATTAGATAACAGTTATTCAGATGACAAGATCTCGGTGCGGAGTCAAGGGCCGATGGCGGGCAGCATCAGCTCCAACGCGGGGAAGAAGACATTCGCCGACGGCGTAGCACTAGAACGAAACAGGCATGAGACCCGTTCATATCTGACTGGCAAGTTCCGCTCATTTCTCCCTGCAATCCACTTTATCGTGCTTTCGGCGGTCCTCTTTTCCCTCTTGACATCGAAGGACCCCTACGTCACGCCCATTACGCCCAACGCGCCGCTGCATAACTTCAATCATCAATCGCCATTCACGTTAGACTATTCAGAAAACGAGCATTGCCATGGCCTCCGCTTCTCAGACCGAAACGCGCCGAAGAAAGGGGTCCAAGCATGATAAGACTGGCTGTCTAACGTGCCGATATCGGTGAGACCTCACCGAGCCCGTTGGCCCGTGGTTCTGGGTATGTGATTCTGACAATCTCGGAGCACCTAGGCGCAAGAAATGTGTCGAAAACACGTTCCCTGTTTGCGGGACATGTTCGCGATTGAATTTGAAGTGCATCCGGGAATCGATTCGCGATGTCGTACCTCGGAAACCACAGTCTAGTCCGCCTCGAAGTTCAGTGCCGGATTTCCCACATCAGCGGTCGCGATGTTTTCCGCTATGCGCACCAGCACCGACCGCAGATCAGTACGAGCCGCCACAGAAGCGGCAGGTTATGCGGTACTACATTGAGATTCTCAGTCAATACTTGACGGTAAATGAGCAGTTCAACTCTTTCCTCTCAGGTGAGTGACGAAAACCTGTTGCCTCAAGGCGCAAGACTTAACATGATCCAGCATTTCTTCCTATGGCGATGGAGTCATCTGTTCTGTATGATGCACTTGTTGCTTTTGCATCCGGCCATCTATCCCTCAGCGATCATTCATACAAGGTCGCAGCTCTTGAGGCTCACTCGACAGCTATGGGCAACCTGGCAACGGCTCTCAGTAACCCCCAGAACGACATCACCTGGTACGAAACCAAAGTGGCGACCTGCCTCGCCTTCGTGATCGGGGAAGTCTGTGTGGGCAGTTGTCACGGATGGCAGACGCACTTGCAAGGCGCGAAGCTCATGATAGAGTCCGCCACGGCAGACATGAGCTCCGGCGTCACACTCCGCGGGCCAGACGTCTTCAAGAAGAGCTCCGAAGGCCAGTGGATCTTACGAAACTTCGCATATCACGATATCGTCGGAAGCGTTACTCTCAGGCGGCGACCTCTACTGGACTGCAGTTACCTGGACGGCATCACGGATGTCGTCGATACTTACTTGGGAGTCGCGACTGAATTGCTGCGCTATGTCTCCACACTCTGTTGTCTCGACGAGGAGACGAGAGTTGATCCGGACTTCTCTGACGATGAAAACACCGAGCGAATGGTGCGCTTTCACCAAACTTGCTCCGAGACCGAGCAGGAGCTGCAGGGTTGGCGGTGTCGCCCAGACGCTGCACCGGAATTGATGGCATTGGCCCACGCTTTCAGGAGCGCCGTTTTGATATTTCTGTATCGACTCGTGCGAACCAGAAGTGAGGGCGAATCGTTCTCCCCTGAGAAAGACGGGCTTTCGGCAGTAGGGAGCTGGGATATTCTTCCCACCAAGATTCGCACGCAGATATCCAACATCCTCAGGCACGTCTCCGATATTCCAGTCGGAAGTCATGCGGAATCTGCAATTCTATTTCCTTTGTTCCTCGCCGGCGGAGAGGCTACGGAGGATCACCACATGGATGCCGTCCGAAACCGGCTGCAGTTGACGTTGCAGAAGCGGCGGTTCCAGAACATCGCTCTATCGTTGGACACTCTTGAGGATCTGTGGCATAAGCGAAAGACGGAGGATGGCTCTCAAGTCGACTGGACGGAAATCCTGGACGCGTCCGGAGAGCCTTTATTGTTGACTTGAGGCAAGCCGGCAAGGCAGAAATCGCCGAACTCTTCAATCATATCCGGAGATCCAGGACCATGGGTGTGCGCGAATTCTACTAGCCCGCGGCCGACAACCTTCCGATGCGTGTCATTCTGAGAGTAACACCACGTTCAATGAGGCGGAGCACGACATGGGCATGATGATCGAGGTGTCAGTTCCCAACGAGATGCGCGCGCAGCGCCAGAACATGCAGTACCTACATCAAGTACGACTGTATAATGCCGGTAAGAGAACTACGGGGATGGCAAATGCGTTAAATATCTGTAGGGTTAGGCTGAGGTCACGTGAATGTTGCCTCCAACGCCGCCCCCAGGTTCTTCAACATATCGGTTCTTCTTGTAGATCTCTGCTTTTACTGGCGCTATGACATTTACGTTTATTGGCAGCGATGTTGCCGCGGACGTACTCTGTTGAAGACAAGTAGCCTGAGTACGGAGAAACGGAAACATTCGAGCTCACGCTTGCGTCGCCGCCTGTGACGAGTGCAGTTAAAGCCAAGGTTGGATGAGACAGCATAATTACCATGGGCAAGTTGGAGTCACGTTGCGAAGTGTTGGAACGAAGGGTTTCTTAGAACCTCCATCTCTGTGTTCATGAGTTTCACAAGCAGAGTGGGAAACTTCAGAGCTTGACGTACTTTGAATGGGATTCGTCACCATGTGGGAGAACGGGAGAGTCTCCAGACTCCAGACTGGCTCTCCAACTTACCTCTTTACCGAATTGAATCAATATTGTCTAATAACAAACCATCTTGAACCAAAATGGGCGAGAGTGATAATCAATTGCCGTTTGAAACATGCTGTGACAAGTCCAAATACGCCACTGGTCTAATGGAACAACCATAAAACTCCCCGATAAGTCGTCACGGTCAGCGTTGGAAGCCATTACCCCACCTCCCAGCCCCTCAACGCGAGATACGCCAGATACGCCCTGCAGATAAGCCATGCACGAGCTCACCGAAGAATGAATCATCGGTCTCTGGAATGAGTGTTCACAGTAAGGACTCAATGAATTTGAGCCGATAAGAACCGCCTGCATTGTTGCTTTGACGTTGATAAAGTTATCTGACCTCGAACACACTGACCTTTGCGGCTTCACCTAAGTCTTATCGCTCACGATCACATGAAACCAATCAGGTTCATATACAGGCTTCGAACAACTCCAACATCATCTTCTCAAGACTCAAACATGATGCTGCTAAAACGAGTAGCGCCGACCTCCATGCGCACCCTTTCGCGAGTTCGATCGGCCACGATGTCGACGACCTCTGTCGTCCGAGCGGCTTCCTCTAGCCACGAACTGCCCGCGATTCCAAGTGCCGTGCTTCACCGAACATTGAAAGCTGCACCGCCTCAGGTTGTGGCGGCGAACGGAAAATACCTGACGTTCTCAAACGGGAAGTCCATCTTAGACACGACCTGCGGCGCGGCCGTTGCCTGTATCGGCTCGAACAATCAGCGGGTGAAGAAAGCCATGATTGAGCAGTTGGACAAGTTTGCGTATTGCAACTCAATGTTCTTCGGTCACCCCATCGGCGAACAGTTGGCAGACGAGCTGGTCCGAGGGACAGACGGCGCCATGTCCAAGGCCTACATCATGTGCTCTGGTATGTCTCTCCTAGCTTGATGGCTGTTGAAAATCGTTACTCACTCATCTCTCAGGGTCTGAGGCTATGGAAGCAGCTATGAAGATGGCCCGCCAGTACTTTGTCGAGATTGGTCAGCCTAAACGCGTCAACTTCATCGCTCGGGAGGGCTCTTATCACGGCACCACCCTCGGCTCGCTTTCCATGAGCGGGCACGTCGCGCGCCGGAGCCTCTTCACGGACATGTTGCTTCCCAATATTGGCCGAGTGTCGGCTTGTAATGCGTATAGAGGCATGAGAGAGGGGCAGACAGTGGGCGAGTACGTCGAGCAGCTGGCGGATGAGCTGGACCGAAAGTTTCAGGAACTTGGCCCCGAGACTGTTTGCGCTTTTGTTGCCGAGCCAGTAGTTGGCGCGGTAAGTCTATGTCAGCCAACATCTCATACTGTTGCATCATGCTAATTTAAACGTGTCAGGCTTTGGGTTGTGTGCCTGCGGTAGAAGGTTATTTCGAAGCGATGAGAAGAGTCTGTGACAAGTACGGAGCTCTTCTCATACTCGATGGTGAGATTCTGCAGGCAGCCAAGTTCTCATTGAGTACCTGCTAAAGTCTACCTAGAGGTCATGTCAGGAATGGGCCGCTGCGGAACGTTGCACGCGTGGCAACATGACGGCGTGGCTCCTGATATACAGACGATGGCGAAAGGTTTAGGAGGTGGTTACGCGCCCGTCGCGGGCCTCATGATAAACCACCGCGTCTCCGAAGCTCTCACAGACGGCACGGGGTGAGTGACATGTCATCGCCATGCATTTTCGCTCTACTGACGCCGCAAAAGTGCCTTCTCACACGGCCACACGTACCAGGGTCACCCAGTGGGATGTGCTGCAGCATTAGAAGTACAGCGAATTATTCGGGAAGATGACTTGGTCGCCAATATCCGGCGACAAGGGGCCCTTTTGGAGAAGCTCCTACACGAAAATCTAGATGATCATCCATATGTGGGTGATATCAGAGGTAGAGGCTTGTTCTGGGGTGTAAGTATCCAATAGCTTTGCATCACGTTCACTATCTCACAGCGTTCCAGATCGAGTTCGTATCGGACAAAAGAACGAAGGAACCATTTCCACGGTCAGCTGATATCGCCAACCAAATCCATCTCAACGGTCTCAATGAGTTCGGGATCAGCTTATACCCCGGCAACGGCACGAAAGATGGAGTCCTGGGAGACCACGTGTTGCTTGCCCCTGCGTATACCAGCACTGAGGAGGAGATCAGACATATTGCGGAGAGAACGAAATATGCTATCCTGCGGACATTCGAGACCTTGAAGACTTCGTAGGTTAGTCTTTGATTATGAGTACAGACATCCTTCTTTGGCCAGTATGAGGTTTGTGGACAGATTTCTAAGTCCAGGTCATGTCCTAGGTCACTGTTGTACATACCCATCACTCCCAGGAGGAGCATAATTTGAGTTTCAGTTGATGACTGTCTGGCAAAATTACATGCAACGGTCACGTACTTACTGTATAGATTGTCGTTTTGGTCCGAAGAACCAAGGCCAGCAGAGTACATTGGAGACGTGCAAACTCTTTCTCATGATTGGAGCGCAACTTATGATGTTATCAACAAGCTGAAAGTAAGATTTCGAGGTCCTTTTAATGATAATAAGTCCGTTACACGACCATTGTTCAGAGGCAGGCATGGTAAAAACGTCGAGGCCAATTCGTAACTGTGCTGGCTGAACAGGAGGCGCAGGGCACCTATCGTAAGAACTTGAGCTCGATTGGTGATCATAGATCTTTCGGAAAACACGGTAGCTCAAGAAATTTCGCATCAATATTCACTGGTGCCACGCAGCAGTTGTTGAGACCCGTTTCTTAGCCAGTCTGCTCATAGATGATACCTTGCTTCAACCCAGCCACCATCATCGGACATGCTTTGCTTCTCCAGGATTTTTTATTGTCATGCGTCTCTGCCTTCTTGTATTGGATTCTTCTTTTAGAATAAGTCAATGCAGATTCTCCTCCCTAAGGATTTTGCCAGGTGAGCATACGAGTGGGATTTCCCGTTACCTGACCCCTGGGGTCATCGGCGTTTCTGGAGTATATCGATTTCAAATACACAGCTTTGTAATCAGTTCTCTTGTACCAGGTGGAAGATCAAGTTGTGATATCTATAGTCTTTGCGGGCGGTGTGGTTCAACGCCTCTTCTATCAACTTGGTGACTGCCGCGTGCCTATGCCGACTTCAAGTACACCCAAACACATGTTGCTACGGATTAATTGTTCAATGAATCGACATGTCGTTCACTGCCTCGGAGCCATCCACTATCCCGTCCGTCTTGTCTTCCGCGCGCCCCGTGGGAATGTCGTTGCACAGACCCCCAACTATCGGCACGATGCCGACGGGTTCCTCCTTACCACAGGTCCCCGAAGTAGCATCGGTGAAACCTACCATGCAGTCCTCAGAACACCACACACGCGACCGAGCAACCAATGCGGTACCGGCAAATAGTAATCCCCCATACCAAGAGATGGAATGCGATGGCATCGGGCCCAGCTGGTGTCATGTAAGGTTTCATGCCGAGATGGATCCGGTTCTTGTTTGCTGGTCGGCAGGCCACGACCCACGAGACGACGTGTCATGGTTTGCGGCTCGTGTTCTTCGGATGGGTTTGGACGACGGTTGAGAATTGCATCCGTGCTTGATAATCCCGGGGATCCGTCCGATCTCGAGCTATTCCAGTCGGCAATACAATAGAGTTGGGGCCCTACATAGTATGGTGCCGCTGCGAGTGAACATGTCGGCCGCCCGATAATGCGGGGAATTCTGGTGTGATGATTGACGTAAGGGGGACTACGGCCCGGCTGCGAAAGGCCTCGTTCGAAGAAGTTTAATGTGGATTCGCCAAGGGTGATGGGTTTCGGTAGTTGTGAATTTCCCATCCGTCCGAAGGGGGCATTCGACGGAATCTCGATCAGTGGGCAAAGTCGCGCCGTCTGAAGGTTTTACCTATAAGAAAGGAAGTGCCCGGACGAATATTCGAGACGGTTTCTGAAAGAGGCATCCCGAAAGACGTCTACTTCTCTTAGAAAGAGCATCCCTTTGCAACGAGTCTTTGACGATGGCCCCAAGTCGCGTAGACAGCGACTCCGAGACTCCTGTTCCCGCCAAGACGGCTTACGGGCTCAAGACCATATGGCCCGAAGCCTACGACCTGGCCGGATCGAACTTACCATGCCGTCTTGAAGGAGAAATCGGCGATTTGGTGGTGCTGGGCGAGATACCCAAGGAGATCGACGGCACTTTCTACAGAGTCATGACGGACCCCTTTGTTCCTCCGCACCCCGGCAACGTTCCCCTAGATGGCGACGGCAACATCTCCGCGTTCCGGTTCAGAGACGGGAGGGTCGATATGAAGATGCGCTACGTCGAGACGGAACGCTACAAGCTGGAGAGGAAAGCGAACAAGGCTCTCTTCGGCCTCTACCGCAACCCCTTCACACACCACCCCTGCGTTCGCGCAGCCGTCGACTCGACGGCGAACACCAACGTCGTGCTCTGGGCAGACCACTTCCTCGCGCTCAAAGAGGGCGGACTGCCGTACTCTGTCGACCCCCAAACACTGGAGACTATCAAATACGACCCGTTCGGGCCGCAGGTCCGGGCGAAGACCTTCACGGCGCATCCCAAGGTCGACCCCTACACCAACGAACTGGTCGTCTACGGCTACGAGGCCACGGGCCTGGCGTCGCTCGACATCGTGATCTACTCCCTGGACAGCCAGGGCGTCAAGCACGACGAGCAGTGGATCAAGTCCCCCTGGTGCGCGCCGATCCACGACTGCGCCATCACGCCGAACTGGATCGTCCTGGTGCTCTGGTGCTTCGAGGGCGACGTCGAGCGGATGAAGAAGGGCGGCCACCACTGGGCCTGGGACTACGACCTCCCCGCGACCTTCGTCGTCGCGCCGCGCCGGAGCACGACCCCGCTGCCGCCGGGCTGGGGGCCGGACGAGCGGCACCGCGTGTACTCGTGGGAGAACTGCATGCTCATCCACACGGGCGGGGCGTGGGAGAGCGAGGACGGCGCGACGGTGTTCCTGGAGACGACGAGGGTGCACGACAACGGGTTCCCGTTCTTCCCGACCGACGACGGGAGGCTGCCGGCCGCGGACCCGGCCGCGGACTACGTGCGCTGGAGTCTGGATCTGTCGGCGCCGAATAACAGCAAGGTGCCGGATCCGGAGGTGATTCTGGACATGCCTGCGGAGTTCCCGCGGCTTGATGAGAGGTTTCTTTCAAAGGCGTATAACTACGTCTGGATTAATGTCTACATCGACGAGAGCAGCGATAGCAAGGGACACACCATCGTCAACGGGTTGAACGGCCTTGCGATGCACAACTACGCGACGAAGAAGACGGAGTATTTCTACGCTGGGGCGGGGTCGTTTGTCCAGGAGCCGATCTTCGTTCCGAGGAGCGACGACGCGCCGGAGGGGGATGGGTGGGTTATGGCCATGGTTGAGCGCAGGGGGGCGAACAGGAATGAGATCGTCGTGTTGGATACGAGGGAGTTTGAGAAGCCTATTGCGGTTGTTCAGTTGCCATTCCATGTCAAAGCCCAGGTTCATGGTAATTGGGTTGATCAACGCAGGTTGAAGGGGTGGAAGAAGCTGGCTAGGGATGTCGAGGTTGAGCCTATTAGTGGACAAGGAGCTCTTGAGCCTTTGTAGTCAGAAAACATAGCAGTTGAATGAGACGTCGAAATGATTCCCATCTCGAATAGATCTGTCTTTCCCGGTTATCTGTGACATACTAAGCCGACGTTGTCTGAATATGTGAGGACTAGATCTCGGTACAAGATGTTTCAGCCAACCGCTCATCGAAATATCACCTTCCACTGCTAAATGCATGTCGGGGGATATGAGAAACATGTACGCAGCGTGAGAAGAATCCAAGGAGTTCAAGTACGGGTAAAAGTAGGGTATCGTTATTGTATTCGTCGAACACCACACTAGCATAATCGATGCGGTATCCAATCTCACGTGCGAAGCATCAAAACGCCCAGTCAACTGGCTGCAAAGGAGGTGCATTAAGATCTTTAGTCCCCAGCGACTCATGAAACACCACGCTATGCTCCTCCATCCACAACCCCCGATCCTCCCATTCCTTCCACCTCCTCGTCCAACACGAAATGTTCTCTTTTACGGCATGGCGACCCAGCTCCCGCAGAAGAAGACGATGCTGAGGCAGACGACGCCGATGATGGGGCCGGTGGTGAGGGGCGGGGGCACGGGGATGTTGGAGAACTGGGCGACGATGCGCTGGGTGAAGTTGCGCTCGGCCTCGACGATGGCGAGGGCGGTGAGGTTGCCGCAGGCCTCGTTGAGGGCGGGGTCGCGGATGACGGAGGGCAGCTTGGCGATGGCGGTGTCGAGGACCTCGGCGTTGAACTGGTTGCCGTTGGGCGAGGCCGCGAAGAAGGTGGCGCGGTAGGTGCTGTTGGCGCCGATCGTCGACAGGTTGGCGATGCGGGAGTAGTCGGCGCACGACATGACGGTCGAGGGCGGGTTCGCCGCGACGGGGGCGGCCTGGCGGACGACCACGGCGGCCGGGCCCGGGTTGGAGTTGATGGCGTGGCCGAGGGCGGCGTTGGCGAAGACGGCGACGATCGCCAGCAGGAGTTGGGCGAGGAAGAAGTTGTGCATCTTGACGGATGTGCTTGTTTGTCTCTTTACTTCTTTAGATGGAGGTGTTGTTGACGATGTATATTAACAGCCAAGTCGACGGACAGGGATGAAGTTCGTTTAACGAGAGGACTGCGACGAAACCACTCAAAAATGCACCCCAAAGGTTAAAAGTGGCCGGCCACTGAGAAATGAATGATACAGCTACAGAAGAAGAAAAAAAGGTCAAACGGAAAGGAAGGTTGTGTCAAGAGGGAGGGAGAGAGTGGCAGCGGACAGTAGCAAAGGAGGATACAAGGAAGGCTGCGTCGTTATATGTGCCATAAATGGGGTGTTCTTGTCAGTGCAAGGGGTCGAAGCGTCTGAGACGAGATGACACATTTGGGGACTCGGATCAGACGGTCTGGTGTCTTGGGTGAAGCCACACCAAGAGCCGCCATCAGCGCTAGTGAGATTTTGTATCTGTTGACGATGTTTAGTTGAAGATAAACTCTGAACGAAGTGCTCCTTTCTAATCTTTCGAAATTGAGCTTGGTGAGTTGATGGCTTACACCAAGTCGAACGATATCTGCATAGTCAAACACACAACATCGTCACCTGCAGAAGAAGAAAAAGGGGCCGGAAAACACCACGAGACTCGCTTCTTTAACCGCTGCACAGACCAATCACCACGATCAAAATGTGGTCCGGCTGTGGCCCCCTCCTGTTTGATCCTCGCCTCTGGCACGACGGTCGATGTTTTTGGTCGCCGCTAGCATGACGAGACCAGGGGAGTCGAACCAATCTGACGAGAAAACCGCCGGCTTGGAGAACCGATACCAAGCTTTTTTACTTGCCGTCTCCTGGTGAAGCCATCCGTGTCAGACGTGGAGAATCGAGACTCTGGGCTCAAACCTGACGAACCACGGCTACGACGAGAATGACACTTGACTAGGGTGGCTAGGGCCACAGCTAATCGGGCGCCATCGAGCAGTAATTAATTAATCGGTGTCCATGAAGGCAAGGCTTCTTCTCTTATTAGTATTCATTAAATCATGTGGATGGTTTATCCTTCGTGGTATCTATCGGGGATGTCGATTCCGGGCTCAATCCTCGGAACTCGGCCTCCAATCCTGCTTCATGTCCAATTCCCATCCCGTGGCCAACTCAATTCGCCCCCTGTGATAAACCAGCTTGCATCGCAGCATCGATCGCCCTCGCCGCCCTCGCCTTGCCCCCGTCCTTGGTCTGCGGCTTCTGCATCTTGGCCGCCCCGAGCCCTCCCAGGCTCAACGGCTGCACCTCGACCGGCTTGATGCCGCACTTGATGGCCATGCTCGTGAAGAAGCCCCCGACCGGCCTCAGCTCGTCCTGGAAGACGGCCACGTTCGTGAACGACGTGCACTTGAGCCCCCGGAACAGCTTCGCCTCGCACCCGTCCGCCTTGTTGCCCATGAATATCCCGCACTGCGCCGTGCCCGGCAGGTCGTAGCACTGCCCGAGGTCGCCGGCCGTGAACTGCGGCAGCGCCGACGCGTTTTTCGGCAGCTCCATGTCCACGAGCTTCGCGCCGCTGCGGCAGTTCTTGACGCCCGGCGAGCTGCCGAAGAGCTGCACCGTGATCGGGATCGGCGGCTTGTTCTCGTCCCCCGCGGTGGTGGTGTTGGGCCTCGTCACGTCGACTTGGTCGGCCGTCGCGACGGGTTTCGGGGGTGACGGCGGGTTTGGTGGTGGATCTTCGCGGTCGACGACTTGAGGCATCGCGAGGGCGGTCGAGGCGAGCCAGGCGGCCACGAAGGCGGCTCGCAGGATTGCATTTGACGCTATTCGCATTTTTCTTGATGGTTTAGGGGTTGTCAAGACTGAAAAGTTTGACGCCGTCGTCGACGCCGGACTCGAGCTTTGGTTCTTGACGGCGGCTGATTCATGAGACGACGGCCTGATGGTCATTTGAACGCCAAGCTGCATCACCCGCGTTTCAGACCGTTTAGTAGATCCAAAGCACGGATTTCATCATGAAACACCCCGACTTAACCATCACGAGGCGATTTTCGGCCGATCTGTATCAAATAATCGAATTAAACAGGATAATAATGCTTCAACGTTATCATCCGTAGACCCTACGCTGACATATGCATCAACTGGTAACTGGCAACACCCAGGTATCTGTATCTAAATGTGTATATCTCAAAAGAACAACCCCTGCGCCCCAAGCCCACGCTTTGCCATGAACCGCCCTCAAATCTACTAACCGCTCTTCAGAATCGAGGTCGTGGGAGAAACCTCGCTCTTCTGCTCCGCGTTGAAGATGGCGCTCTCCACCGCCGCGGCCACATCGATGTGGAAGAACGGCCTGTTCATGCCCTGGATCGCCGCCAACCTGCCGTCCCCGCGACCGGCCACCGGCGCGGCGCCGTCGCCCACGTTCTTGCTCGGCGGCGAGATGACATCGTCGTGGCGGTGCTCCTCCTCGTCGCGGCTGCGCTGCGAGGCGATGTGCGGCGCCTGGTTCGACCCGGCGTCGACGGGCGCGAAGCTGAAGATGGGCTTCCACCGGCCGATGCCCTCGTCCCTGACCGAGGGGAAGCCGAAGCCGGCGGCCGCGAGCGCGCGGCGCGTCCAGCGGTTGTTCACGTTGGCGAAGTGCCACTCGACGACCTCGGGCTCGGCGTAGTGGTCGAGCTGGTTGCGCACGTCGATCAGGCCCTGGATCGACGTCACGTCGATGTTGTTCACGGCCGAGCAGTCCAGGATGATGGCGCGGAGGATCGGGCGCGTGTCTTCCATGTCGATCTTGGCGCCGCGCCGCGGGCCGGGGTCGTTCCAGGGACGGTCCTGCGTGCCATGTTAGTGAGTTGAAGTGTTGAGTTGACGGGGTGAGACTTACACCGAGCTTCTCGTACCTGTCGAGGACCGTACGGCGAGCGTGCCTCATGACGAAATCGACCAGGCCGTCCATGTAGTGTGCCTGGTTGGTGTAGTTGAAGCCCTCGCCAAAGCGGTACACGAAGACTCCGGGGTAGGGAGTCTGGACGTCGATGATGGGGTTCGAGGCGTCGTTCTTCAGGAGAGGCACGTAGGCCTCGCGCGAAGGCAGGTCGATTGGCTCTCCCTGGTCGTTGAAGGGAACCCCCTTGCCGGCCGTGTCTTTGCTTGCGCGGTAGACCCTGACGCGACCGAGAAAGTGGCCCTTGGCCTTGGCCAGGCGCACCAGCAGGAGCGCCGCCGATGCGCACATGGTGAGGTAGATGCCCTTCTCGATATCGGTGAAGATCGTGAGGATGACTCCCCCGAAGAAGATGAAGACTTCCAGAGGCGAGACCTCCCAAAATTGGTAAACGACCTTGGGAGGGGTGATGAGATCACCGACGGCGTGGATAATCAGACCCGCGAGACTCGCCATCGGGATGTAGAAGAACACGGAGGTCAAGGCATACAGAGCCAGAAGCACAATCACGGCGGTGAAGATACCAGCGAGCGGAGTGCGAACGCCGGCCTTTGACTTGATGGCAGTTCGGGAGAAGGAGCCGGTGGCAGGGTACGCACCCAAGAAGGGGCCGAAAAGGTTAGTGAAGCCGACGGCGACCAGTTCCTGCGACGGGTTGATGACATAGTTGTTGATTCTGCCGAAGGACTTGGAAATCGCAATATGCTCAATAATCAGCACGATGATGGTGACCGGCAGATCGGGGGCCACCGCCGAGAGAAGCTCCGTGTCGATCTTCGGCGCCCCGGCGTGCTGAAAGCCGCTAGGCACCTTGCCGAGAATCTTGAACTTGGCCTTCTTGGCGTCCCAGTTGACGTGCCGGTTGACGAGCCAGCTGATGAGGACGTACAGGAGGATGACGAAGGCCATGCGCAGCGTCGACATGAAGAACCAGAACTTCTTCCGGCCCGGCTGGCGCTCCGACATGAAGTTGCAGAAGAAGCGGATCGCGTACAGCAGGAAGAGCGCCGTGAGGCCCATGGCGGCGTCGAGCTTGGCCCGCGGCAGCGCCTTGAGCGTGTCGATGATGACCATGTACGTCGCGCCGCGGGTGTTGACGCCGGAGATGCCGAGGAGGGCGGGGACCTGGCCGGCGGCGATGGAGATGGCGGCGCCGGTCATGAAGGAGGTGATGGCGACGAGCGGGATGAACTCGACGATCCAGCCGAGGCGCACGAGGCCGATGCCGAGCAGCACGGCGCCCGAGATGATGGCGAGCGCCTGCGCGATCTGCGGCGCCTCGTACTGCGGGTGGGTGTCCTGCACGCGCAGGACGATGTTGCCGACCAGCTGGGACATGACGGCCACGGTGCCGATGGTGATGTCCTTGGAGGTCGCGAAGGCCCAGTAGAGCAGGAAGCCGACGAAGGAGGTGTACAGGCCGTATTCCGGGCTCAGCTGGGCGAGGAGGGCGTACGCCATGCCCTGCGGGATGACCACGAAACCGACCGTGACACCTTTTCACGGGATGTTGTCAGCCACGAGGACGGGGTTTTCTCTCGGCGGTGTGGGGTAAGGAACGTGAAGGGTCAACGTGAAGGGTCCACGAGGGACACCCTGCGCCGCGAGATCTTGTGTAACCACACACGCATGTGAGCGAGGGGATTGAGACATACCTGCGATGATGTCTCCCAGCAGCCATGTGGCATTGTAGTGGAAGATCCAGGACCAGAAGGGGAACAGAGACTTGATGTAGGCGAGCGTGCCCGGGATCGTGGGCCTGTGGGCTTGGATGAACTCGGCGACGGTGGGCTCCCGCTCCTCGTATTGCTCGACCGAGTTGAAGGAGGCGGCGGCGGACTGGACGGCCTCTCTCGGCTCGTTGCGGTACCGGGCGTCGGGGTCGATGCCGAGGCCCTTGGCCAGGACACGTCCGGCGTTCGGCATGTTGGACGGCGAGCTTTTTGTGCAAATGTGTCTCCTAGCAGGTTGATATTACCGGCGACCTAGAAGATCAATTCCACGCTCGTCCGAGAAACAAACTGGCTGACTGAGCGGCTGGAATGACGGGTCATCAAACGAAGAAAAAAAAAGACCGCGGGACGAGGAGGACCTGGTTCGGGAGAGTAAGCAAAGAGGGCCGACATTTGCGCGCGCCGGGCCAGGGAAACTTATATGCGGCGACATACGAGAGCAACATGATGATGTATCCCTCTTGGGTGTGGTCTCTTTCGAAGCTTGGCCGCGTCGCCAAGGAGCGTGGCTTCGGATCGTCCTGGCCTCGCCAAGGGCTCGATTGGAACCCTGTGATGTTGCCTTCCCACATGCCGCCCGGGGGGTGTGAAGCGTGAAGGATGCCGATTTCTGACGACATTATCAATCTTTATGGCGATCATGTGGTTGACCATCTTCCATTTCTTCAGCTGGTGAACATGGTTGCTTCCAAACCTTCTCTGTTGTCTTGTCCCCGGATTCCAGTAGAGCCCAGCCCGCTGGGTCAGCTTGTTGTTTTGGAGGCGTATTTTGGTGAAGTGCGTCTGGCCGGAGGGACATGGAGGAGATGGCGGGGCGGACAGACGACCACCCCCAATCGTGGGACGAGCTAATAAGGGTCCCGTCCAGTTCTTAAAAAGTGTATTTGTGAAATTGTACTCTCCGTCAAAGTACCTGGACCCTGGAATGCGACTGTTCGGCCACACGAAATAGAGGTCTTGCTCGCCACGGGGCTAGTCTGGTTCCTCTCTCGCCGGCCGGCCGGGGGTCTGACTCTGTAGAACGTGGGGGCAAGCGGGAGAGGAGAGCTGTCAGAAAAGTAATTCGGCCATCTAATTCAGCGCGTGCGCCGGGCAGACCTTGATTCGGCATGTGCCGTGTGCAGGCATGGGATGGGAAACCAACGGATGTTCGAGCCGCTTCATAGCTGCAGATACTTGATAATTGCGCGGGTTGTTGGCGAGCTGAGCAAAAGCTGTCAGTCTGTCTGCTTGTTGCTCGTAGTATGACTTACACGAGATATCAAACCAGACGGCGTCTGGGGCTGATCAGTCCTATGGCGTTCTAGACCAAAGAACTCGTGGATTGGGTGTCTGGGACACTGGGAGAGATCGGTTGTCGCGGGCTGCGAAATTGGTGCAGTATTATTCGACTACCGAAAGTCGACCGAGCTATGTACATGTCGACGAAGCTGACGGTGGCCTACCGGCGCTTCTCCGCGGCATGTGCCGTTTACTGTTTGTGCTTCTACGCTTTCTCTTTCTCGCTTTCCAAACTGCCGGGTCGAAGCTCCTCCTGTTAAGCTTAAATGCGAGCGTTTAACTGGCGTGTTTATCCGCAATGCCATGTGTAACATAGACAGTCCTCTATGTGACCCAGAAAGCTGCCGAACACCCGAGATGGGCAAAGAAACGACGAAGAATGCCACTCTTCGATGATCACGACTTCTGGCGTGTGGTGCCTGTGACACTAGTAGCTCTCCACGGCCAGCCCACTCCCCCGAACCGAAGAAAGGGCCAGGGATGAAAGTACTACCCAGAAGCGACTCTTGTCTCGTCCGTTTCCCTCATTTTCCGGGGCTGGACGAGGGGAGAAGACATGGGGGAAAAGACCAAGTCGTGCTCAGCGACGGGGTGTGGTTTGTTTGGTGGTGTTGGAGAAATGAAAAAAGAATTGGGGCCCGGGAAGCATATTGGACGATGGTGTCGAGCACGCCATTCTTGGCGTAAATGAGACCAACATTGCATGGGGATCCTCCCTCGTGTGAAATCGGGGAAAGGATCGCATCCGCGCCAAACAAAAAACAACGAAGAGGAAAAAAAGACGAACATTTCATTCGGGGGCCATCTCCTCTTTCGTCGTGGTTCACCTTGGCATTCTCGTCCTGACCGGGTTCCAGGGAACCGCCAATGGGTGTAGAGGCTTTTGGCATGATTGCAATCTCATCTTCGTAGCCTCTGCTTGCCGACCATCACGCAAGAAGATCAACCGTTCAAGCCCTTTCATATCGCCTCCCCCCTCGCTCTCGCGCCCGCGCCCAGACGTCTTTAGTCTCTCTTCGCGATGCTTAAGTCGTGAGCTTGTGTTGCTTGTTCGGGCTGGGCATCGCGGAAAGGACTCAGCCAAGACGATCCCGGGCTTCGGGAGAGAAACTTTAGGCAAGGCACCAGACGGGATGACACTTTCTTGGTGTTTCTTGGTCTTTTCTTGGGTTCTCTCCACAAGGAGCAACTTATCACGCGATGAAGGAGGGGAAAGCGGAGCGCGACGATGGAGCGAAAGCTGGATCTGCGAGGCGAAGATTGCGCGGGCTGGAACCCATCCAAGGTTGATTATGTCTTGGATGCGTGTTGTTGACGAGTCACTACGGTAAAAAGACTTTTTACCCATTGTCACAAATGAGCATGTACCGGGGGGCCGCCACGGCGAGACTTTGTGACTATTACGCGAAAAGATCGAGGCATCGGCCTGAAGAAAGTGGGATGTGTGACTGCACCCCCCGGCATTAGCACGTCCCAGCTGAACGGGAGAGACCTCGAGTTAGACATGCATGCCGATATGTGTGAGGCCTCTGTGAGCGGTGCGATTTCGGGAAGCGGGAGTAAGCCATGAGGTTACTCTCGTCCTTTCAATCGGCGCGATGGTGGTGGCATGGACATGGATCGTACCGGCCGAGAGGTAAACACTCGACCACAACCTGTTCAAAGTGCTTGGTACAAGAAAGCTCAATTTTCACGTCTGATGTGAACAGAATGGAAGTAGCGGCAATGGCATTGAGTCAGAATTGTAGTTTCTAGCAGACGTGGCCTAGACCTTGACGCGATGGATTGCCAGAGCACCTCCTGACGGAGGCTTGAGACTTGGTGACAAGAGTCAATCGATGCTAGTCAAGACTCGCGCATCGATCATCGCCAGTCCTCGCATACTCCTTCCATTCCGGAGATGCAAGCTTCTCAATAATGGATCCGGGTGGCCCCTTCCCGGTCGGCCATGTTGCAGGGCCAGAAGCTTCAATGGGACGGGATGATCAGTAGATGGATGCACCGATGAATGGAAAGTTGGTCTGGGTTCGTGTGCATGTACCCTCCCTCACGCGAAGCACACCCTCCACCAAACACTAGTAGATGTCTCACGAGCCAGGTAGGAATAGACATGCTCGTGCTGTTTCGGTGAACCCGCTTATTTGCTGCTGAAATCTTAGTTCGGCACCGGTTAGAGTCTGCGGCCATCTAGACCCCCACAATCGAGATCAAAGGCTCTAGAACTACTTACAATGGCTCTGCGACATGAAGCAAGCTACCACAATGTTCGGCGAGTAACCAGAATCGATAGTCATTCTCTTTTCGCCAGGCTAGACGACAAATCATGCAAAGGGCATCATGCAGAACCTCGCTCCTGTTGCCCTGTTTCCTCGAGACCGCGTATGATATTTGCTTCTAAGGTCCATTCGAAGAGTAGAAACATGCAGGCGCTAGATCAGTAGCGACACTTGGTGGGAAATCCCAACGCCGTGGTTCCGGGCCTCCATGCGAAGGGAAGACAGTGGCCCAATACTGGGACCCAATGATGGCTGCGACGAGGGCGACACAGCGACACTGAAGGCGCATGTCCTGGCAGCAGTGTTCTAGAAAGCAGCGCTCCGCTTGACCTAGTTTGACCTGCTCTAGTCACATATAAACATGCCAAGCAGCCGTGTCGGTGGCTCTACGAGCACGTCATCGCTAAGTCTCATTTCGTCTACACCATGCAATGAAACTAAACGTGAGGGCCGTTCTGAACGGCCTTACGGGTGTGGGTACAATTCGTGATGAAAGGCAGTAATCTTTTGGAAAGTGAGCCTCCCGAATGGACATCCGGAGGTCTGTCTCGAGATCTTCGACGTCGACCGTGGATGCCGATCTTGGCGGGCCGCTCCGAGCCCGGTCTCCGTCCCGGCGTCGGGTCTCGGTCTCCGAGCGGCGACGCGGTTACCCTCTTTTCCCCACTTCCCACTTCCCGCCCCTCCCCGAGCGGATTTGCACGCTGTCATTATCGAACAACCCAATCCCACGCATCCAAATCGTCGAGACAGTTCGTAGCAGCCTGAGATTTTGACAAACTTACGACAAAGGACGCATTTCTACGTCCAAGTTGTTAAAGGCCGGGCCAAAATACTCTGACGAGAACTGGCAACGCCATCACGATGACTTCCGGATCACGCCACCTCCGCATCGGCGTCGACGTTGGCGGAACGAACACGGATGGCGTCGTCCTGGATCCCTCCCGGGCGTCAGAGCCGGATAAGGGTATCGTCGCGTGGCACAAGTCGCCGACGACGACGAACCCCAGCGACGGCATCAACAACGCCATCGTGACCATGTTCGAGTCCTCTCAGATCCAGCCGGGAGAGATCGCCAGTGTCACGATCGGGACCACTCACTTCGTCAATGCGCTGATCGAGAGAGACGAGTCCAGATTGGCTCCGGTCGCTGTCATCAGGCTGACTAGCCAGTTCTCGAAGCACGATCCGCCTTGTCTGGACTGGCCGGACGACCTGCGCGAGCTGATTCTGGGCCACTATGCGCTGTGTAAGGGCGGGTTGGAGGTCGACGGCGGACTGATCTCGGATATCGACCCGGAAGAGATCAGGGCGCAGTGTGCTATCATCCGGGAGAAAGGGATCAGGAACGTGGTCGTCAACGGCATTTTCAGCCCCATCGACACAACTGAACGACAAGAGGAACGAGCTGCGGATATCATCCGCTCGGAATTGCCCGGATGTACCGTCACTTGTTCGAAGGACGTCGCCAACCTCGGCTTCCAGGAGCGAGAAAATGCCGCCATCCTCAACGCCACGGTCCTGGACTTCGCCCGCAAGACTATTAGGTCCTTCCAGGAGCCCATCAAGAGGCTGGGTCTTCACTGCCCCGTCTTCATATCGCAGAACAACGGCACCATCTTGTCCGGAGATATGGCCGCCAACCTTCCCATAAGGACGTTTTCCAGTGGACCGACCAACAGCATGCGCGGAGCAGCCTTTCTAGTCCAGGACCAGCTTGACGAGGCCGTCATGGTGGTTGATATCGGCGGCACGACTACCGACGTTGGTCTCTTACAGGCAAACGGGTTTCCCCGCCAGCAGGCCGCCTTCAGCGAATTCGCGGGTGTTCGTCTCAACTTCTCTTGTCCAGACGTCAAGAGCATCGGCCTGGGCGGCGGATCCATCGTGCGCAAGAACGACGGAAAGCTGACTGTTGGACCGGACAGCGTGGGATACAAAATCAAGACAGAGGCACTTGTCTTCGGTGGCTCGACTCTCACGGCGACGGACTGCACAGTTTTGGCGAATGACGGGAAGCCTTTTCCATCCATTGGCGACACCAAGCTTGTATCGGGCGCACTGGACACAGCTGGTCTGTCGGAGTTCACCACCATCGTCCAGAGCAAGATTGAGAAGGTCATCGACACGATGAAAACATCTCCGAACGACATTCCGGTGCTACTTGTCGGTGGAGGCGCCGTCATCGCACCAGATGAGCTACGGGGAGCTAGCAAAGTACTGAAGCATGAGTGGGCGGGCGTTGCCAACGCCATCGGCGCTGCTATTGCGCGTGTTAGTGCTACAGTCGATACAGTCAAGTCAACAGAGTCTCGGACAAGTCAAGAGATTCTGGCTGAGGTGGAGAAGGAGGTTAAAGAGAAGGCTGTCACTGCGGGCGCGATTCCTTCGTCTGTGCAGATTGTTGACGTTGACACGATACCGTTGGCTGTGAGTACAAGATATCACACCGGACAGAAGCTCAGGCTGACACTTATAGTACATTGCCAACAAGTCACGTTTCATTGTGCGTGCGGCGGGCGATTTCGACTTTTCTCGGACTGATCTTGCGTCGATCCCCATTGGTGATGAGGCAGACGTCACCCACAATGAGACAAACTTCACCCGCTCGAAAAAGAGCTCGCGGACCAAGACCAAGAAGGAAGTTGACGTACTGACTTACAAGCCAGTTGTCAAGGACCGCACCTGGTACATCAGCGAGACTGACCTGGACTGGATCAGCATCGGCTGCTACATCCTTGGGACCGGCGGCGGTGGCTCCCCGTACTCGCAGCAGATCATTCTCCGCGAGAAACTTCGCAAGGGCGCGGTGGTGAGAGTCGTCAACCCCAACGACATCCCAGACGAGGCTCTCGTCGGCTGCGGCGGTTACGCAGGATCTCCTACCGTCGCAATCGAGAAGAAGATGGCAGACGAGATGCAAGAAGCGCAGGAGGAGATGTACAAGAACCTGGGCACGCCCGCGACGCACATGATCGCCGTCGAGATCGGCGGCGCGAACGGCCTGCAGAGCATGATGCTCGGCTCCAGCACCAACATGAACGTCCCCGCGGTCGACGGGGACTGGATGGGCCGCGCGTATCCGACAAAGTGGCAGACAACGCCCGTCGTCTTCAACGAGCGCAGTCCCATCTGGACCCCGGTCACGATGAGCGACGGCAACGGCGCGATCGTCACCATGTCCCGCGCCTCCTCGGACAAGCAGGTCGAACGCGTCATGCGGGCTGCCCTGGCGGAGATGGGCTCGCAGGTCGCGGTCGCCGATCCTCCCGTCACTGGAGCCGAAACCAAGAGGTGGGTGGTTGAACATACGCTTTCGCAGTCGTGGAGAATCGGTCGCGCTGTGGCGAAGGCGCGGAAGCTCAACCGCGTCGATAACGTGGCCGAGACTATTATCGAAGAGTGCGGCGGTCCCGGTGCAGCCAAGGTCCTGTTCAAGGGCAAAATCGTGGGTGTCGAGAGGGTGCTGAGGAAGGGTCACGTATATGGCGAATGCATAATCGAGGGTGCGGATATCTCTGGATCGGACGAACCGGGCCAGCATGGCGTGCAGGAGTTCAAGGGGTTCGTCAAGATTCCCTTCAAGAACGAGAACATTGCTGCCATCAGGACAGCCTCGGCAGCTTCGGGGTCTGAAGCAGCTGGGAAGGAGAGGCAAGAAGACGTCCTGGCTATTGTGCCGGATCTCATCGCAGTTATCGATGCACAAAACGGCGAGGCCATTGGGACACCCGAGTATAGATATGGCTTGCTAGTTATCGTCCTGGGTATTGCAGCGAGCGACCGATGGACTGGATCTGAGAGGGGTATCGAGATTGGCGGTCCTGAAGCATTTGGTTTCTCTCACTTGAAGTACAACTCACTTGGCAAGTTCGTCAAGCCCAAGAGTGTCATCGATGAGTATGACCCGAAGGCAAAGGATAGTTGCATGTGCGGGAAGTGCAAGGACCTGGGCTGGTAGAAAGCGATGTCTGCTACACATCAATGGCGGCGTCATGTACATGTTCACTGTACTCTAGAGAGACGTTAATAATTCGAAAGACCTGGTACATTCACCTAGAAAAGATCTATTCTCAGGAGAAGTGACATCTGTCTAGTTCAGCTGGGCCTACTGACTAGTAGAAAAAGTCAGGTTCAGCTCAAACGCCTGCCGAGCCCTCCAGCAGACGGATATCCGCCAGAGAAAACAGTTCCAAAACACTTCAAAGTTCGGACAAACTGTCCGCAGGACATGAATCGACAGCCCTGCCAGACTTTTGCCCGCGGAGCTATCACCCCTGTTCTCGGGACTAAACACTCAGCCGCTGTCAACGGCCATCTCGCCGAAGACGTTGCCGAGATCGATTCGTATAGCCATGCAACGTCTAAGTGAATTTGGCCGCGTCTATTATGCGCGGCCGGTGCAACTTCGAATTGGTCCGATCGTGAGGAACTCAAAACTCGGTCTCGCAATGCAGCATCAAACTCAGCAATCGTTCGTCTTATTACCGACTTTGAGCATCTTCCATTATGGCATTCTGGAAATATGCAGATCGCCGACATGAGAGGACTCAAACGGGAAACGCCCGTCACGATACCGGGCGAAATGGGGTGGCAAACGTCATGCCCATCCATCACGGACCAAACTCTGCTGACTCGGGGCGGGAGGAAACACCAAGAAACAGATCAAAGTCTAAAAACATCTGTTCGTTTCCGATTTGAAACGAAATGCCTTGGGAAGAAGGGAAAGTCAGTGCCGTTCGCCCCTCGAGCTGCCTTCTCCTGCAGACATTAGCCTGACAGCGCTAAGATCTCGGCCCAAGCGGGTGTTCGATCCATGCAACGGTGGGAACCAGTATCTTATTCGATTGCCGCGAGAGATACTATCCTCATTCCAGATGTAGACATCATTGATGTCGATTGATACGTGGTTGAAAGACAAAAAGAATCGTGCTTCCAATGGCGTGCGCTGGGCAGGGGATGAGATTCCTTCGAGTTCAACGGCCGCAACTCCCGTGCGCCATGATGCCCAATCGTCGCCTCAAAATGGACATGCAGGACATCCTGAAAAGAGCTCAGAGGAAACCTTACTCGGACTTGAGACCAATTTAGCTTTGACATCCTGTCACGTGGTACCAGGGACGGCCATTTATTCATGTTGATACGGATGAAATTTTGGGTAACCTGCAGGAGAAATCCTCTTCCTGCGGACTCTAGTTTTTTTTCTCACCGACGTCTCGGAAACTGAACAATAGTCAGCAAAGATGTGGGCTGACTTGTGGTCTTTCCATGGCTTCGCGGCGATCTTTCGCTGGCTGCTCATGCCGCAAGCCCATCTCCCGTCGATATCTCACGCGGCTTCGGGAGCGGCAAAATCGGCTTCGAATTGGATATCCGGCACCTCCGACTTCACAAACTCCGCAAACGTCCTGGCGGATGATGAGTTCAACCCGCTACAGTACGTCGACCCTCTCATCGGATCAGCGAATGGCGGCAATGTCTTCGTCGGAGCGACGTTGCCGTATGGCATGGCCAAAGCCTCGGCGGACACCAACAGCAGTTCGAATCAAGGAGGTTTTACACTCGACGGGAACCCGATCACAGGATTTTCAGTAATGCACGATTCCGGCACCGGTGGTTCACCGTCACTTGGGAACTTTCCCCTCTTTGCATACACGACATGTCCCAGCGGAGTCATCAACTTTTGCACATTCCCAAAGAAGGCGAGGGCTCGGTATGGACAATTCGAACGTAAGAACGTCGACGCGAAGCCAGGATTGATGAACATCACCCTGAGAGATGGAATCCGAATCGAAATGACAACGACGCAACGCACATCACTCTTCAGGTTTACGTTTCCCCAGCAGGGGCAGCCGCTCATCCTCCAAGACCTCTCGGATCTCCAGGATTCCAGGCAAGACAATGCTACCATCAAGGTCGACGGGCGGACAGGAAGGATCACCGGCAGTGCGAGATTCAACCCGAGCTTTGGCAGCGGCAACTATGTCCTCTACTTCTGCACCGACTTCCAGGGCGCCGAAGTTCTCGACAACGGAGTTTTCGTGGACAGCCGAGCTAGTGTTGGTGTTAAGAACATGACCATCTCGCGATCAATCAATGGTTATCCGTTGCCTGGGGGTGCCTTTGTTCGATTCAAGTCTGCGAGTCAACCCATCACAGCCCGCGTCTCGACAAGCTTCATGAGCACCGAACAGGCATGCGCGCACGCCACGGCGGAAATCCCGGACTACAACTTTGAGCGCGTCTACCAGGAGGCCACAGCAATTTGGAAGAAGAAACTGAGCCCGATAAAAGTCACCACGGACAGGGTGGATGAGTCGTTCGCGAGGAACTTCTACAGCGGCATCTACAGGACGATGGTCAACCCCCAGAACTACACGGGCGAGAACCCGTTGTGGAAGAGTGGTGAGCCGTACTGGGACTCGTTCTACTGCCTGTGGGACTCTTTTCGCTCTCAGATCCCCTTCCTAGTGATCGTGGACCCTACCGCCGTCGCGGAGATGGTGAGATCTCTCATTGATACCTACGTGCACGTGGGCTGGCTGCCGGATTGCAGGATGAGTCTTTGCAAGGGTTTCACCCAGGGTGGATCGAACGCGGACAACGTCTTGGCTGATGCCTATCTGAAGAACATCACGGAAGGCATTGATTGGGACAAGGGATATGAGGCCGTTGTGAAAGACGCCGAGGAGGAGCCATTCGACTGGAGTGTCAACGGACGAGGTGGCATGGACAGCTGGAAGAGATTGGGCTACATCCCGGTGCAAGACTTTGACGTCAAGGGTTTCGGAACTCTCACTCGAAGTGTCTCTAGAACGCTTGAGTACAGCTACAACGACTTTTGCATCGCGCAAATGGCGGACAAGATGGGAAAGAATGAAGACAAACAGAAGTATCTCGGATCAAGCACCAACTGGCGCTACCTGTACAAGCAAGACCAAAAGTCGGCCTTCTTTAACGGAACCGACACCGGATTCAGGGGCTTCTTTGAGCCCAAGTATCTCAACCAGACTTGGGCTTACCAGAACCCACTGAACTGCAGCAACATCGACGCAGCGGCAGGCGCATGCTCTCTACAAAACAACGGCGGGGAAACATTCGAAAGCAGTCTCTGGGAGTATGGATTGTAAGTCCTCAGATAATTCTCGGCAACCTCTACGGGCATCTGCTAAACCCTGACAACAGTTTCGTTCCACACGATCAAGCAACTCTCATCAACACTTACGGCGGACCGGACGCCTTTGTCCGAAGACTCAACTTCCTCCACGATCAGAATATTACCTACATCGGTAACGAACCGGCTTTTCTCACGGTGTTCCAGTATCACTACGCCGGACGTCCCGCACTATCTGCGAGGAGGGCGCATTACTACGTACCGGCCTTCTTCTCTCCCAAGCCCGACGGACTTCCTGGAAACGACGACAGTGGTGCGATGGGTTCGTTCTTGGCTTTCACCATGATGGGGCTCTTTCCCAACCCAGGGCAGGACGTCTATCTCATTACCCCGCCATTCTTCGAGAGCGTTGAGATCACCCATCCGCAAACCGGAAAGACAGCCAAGGTCAGGAACGTCAACTTCGATCCGAAATACCGAAGCATCTACATCCAAAGCGCCACCCTGAACGGCGAACCCTATCGAAAGAACTGGCTGAACCACAGCTTCTTTACCGAGGGAAAGGAGCTGGTGTTGACGTTAGGCAGAAGGGAAAGTGACTGGGGTACAAGGATCCAAGATCTGCCGCCCAGCACCGGGGAGTACCGGGGTTTTAACAGGACATTCCCCTCCAACCGGACTGCACGGAGGACAGAATCCAACTATGAAGGAGATTTCGGGAATGCTGGCGTAAATCTGGGTGCACTATAGATGAGGTCTGGGGACTGGCCACATGTTCATGAGCTAGTGTTTTGTAGTTTGTGTTGTTGAAATACCTTCATATTCCTTTCAAGCTATGTGAACCTCTTGGACATATTGAATCGACGAGTTTAAGTCATATCTGCTCTGATGATTTGGTGGTGGGAATCCATGAGCCACGTTCATTACGTGATTTCATTTTCATCGTCAACGCAGCTTGAATACTTTGTCTTCTCACACCTTATTGATTCAACTGAACAATATGTCATGAAACAGCTATAATCTTCAAAAGTGTTCCCAATGTCTCCCTCGAATAGCCTCATCCTTCTAAATGCCTGTGGCAGAGGGAGCGCCGCTTGGCAGAGCACTGCCGCTTGGAGCACCGCCGTCGCCACCACCTCCACCACCCGACCCGCTAAGAGAAGGGCTATTTTCGGTGTCAATGCCGATAGTGATGTATCCAACCATACCATTGCGGATGTCACTTCCATCCAACGGAACAATGTCGATGACCGGGTTGTAGCCGTTAGCGAGACCTTCGGAGTACACGGAGTCTACGTCGTTTGTCGTCCTGTTGATCTCGGTATGCGATACATAGGGCTCCAGCGCCATGATCTCCTGCGAGACAGTCTCGTTAAAATATAGCTGTCCGATCGAGTTCGTGTTGCCTGTCTTGACCGTGCCGTTGTTGTGGAGAACCCAGTCCGTGAAAACTAGGGAGAAATGGTTAGCTTCATGACCTCATATTCAGATCTTACAGCAAGCAGTCAAGTGCTTACTTTGAGCGTGAATATGGATGGTACGTTGGATATAAAAGCCGGGGAATACGGTCTTCATCTCCATGACACCTTCGTCGTTCGTAGGCCACATTCCACGGAGCCACGTGGTGTCATCCGTGTGCAGGTCTGTCGTCCCAATCTCAAAGTCGGTCACGTTCAGAGACTCGAGAAGTTCGCGAAAGTCCGTGTTCGGGTCACGGCCCGTGAAACTCGAATAACTTCCCGTGGCGTTGCAGTGCCAGAACGCGACCAACGCGTAAGGAAGAGGCTCACAGGTAGCCATATCGAGAACACCAACGTCGAGAAGGAGAGGGACTCCGACTTGGTCCTCGCTCATGTCTTGTCGCAAGGTCTCTGACCTGGGCCAGTAGTACGGTCCAGCGGTGACATCGGGAGCGAGGACGCATGTATCGTTCTGCAGGTTGTCGTAGTAGGGGGACTCCGTGACGATGGTGTAGCTGTTGCCTGATCTCCGGTTCAAGTTGGATTCCTGGCGGCGTTCGAATCTTCGTTGCTTGAACTTGGCAGCTCCGGAAGCACACCGCTTCGAGAGATCGGCGTGTCTTTTGATCACCCCGGGAGCAACCTCCTTGTGGGCAAAGGCCGTAGAGGCCAGTATGGCCACGGCTACAGAGTACAGTTTCATTGCGAGCGGCACAGAAGTTTGGATGTAGAGCAAGCTCGGATGAAGAGGTTATGAGTATGATGTTTTCGTTTACCTTCGTTCCATGAACCACGAAAGGTTTTGTAGTCCTCCGGATGAACTCCATACGGACTCCATCTCAGGAACTTGTTGAGCTGCTTCCCCTAAACGCGTCACTTAGGTTGAACTAGACACCAGCATTTCGACTACAGCTGCGTATGCGTATGGGGAAGGAACGACGGCAACGAATCATAGCATACATATTACCAGTCTAGACCAGTATGTGGGATATCACCAATTTAAAAATTATATGACCGCCCTGGCCCTATGTTCGTGGAGGCTGACGAACGTCTACCGCGGACCCCACAAAACTCGGGATGTGGGAGCTTTGTAGGGGAGCACCGCCCCGAGATCAGCGTAAACAGAAGCGAATCCGAGGGAAGAACAACTTCCCTTCTGTGATTAGTGATACGATGTGGCATCCATGGTGAAGTTACTGGACACAATGCGCCTGAATATGCGCGTACTCTTCAAATCTGTCACATCTCTCTATAAGACGGACACTGTCAACGAGTCGTCGAGATAGATGCCATGCGTTGATGCAAACATGAACGTTGAACGTGAGGCCCAGAAACATATATCAAGCAACTCGTCTGAATAGAGACCATTACTTTGGGTTCTGTAACACTGCCTACAGTAAGATTTACTTTTACTTTTTCAATAAAGGCAAGCTTTTGGGAGTTTGTTTAGAGAGTTACAAATTGCAGAAAACTGTCCTGGATTACCGTGCAGCATGGGTTTCGTCCTCAAAGACAGTTATAGTCGGCTGGAGATAGATGACAGAAGACTAGGTTTCTACCCGCTTCGCCTCTCAGAGCCAGGGATCAATCCTCCCTTCCATGATGCTCATCAAAAGTGCAACGCCTTTTCCGTGTAAACCTCATGCTTCTTCGTGGGAATGTCATCGAACAAAGATGCCTTGAGGAATGCCTTCCCGGGAACAGCTGGCGATGTGGTTTTGACAGGACTATAGGGTTGTCAGCAAAGTACCAGAAGGTGAGCCATTATATGTGCGTTACCTTCCACAATTCTTGCAGAAGAATCGCTAGATCCAACCCGTCAGTTTCTCTTCTTCGCGTTTACCCACCAACAGGTGCTTACGTGTACAATGTTTCCGGAGTCTGTGTTGTGGTCCAGATATTCCGAAAGAGTCTTCTGGCTGTCCTCAAGCTCCATTTCGCCGTCCTCAACGAAAAAGTTCATTGAGAATGCTTCTAGGGTTAGTGGAATGCTTCGACGGAAGGATACTTCGCCTACTTACGACCACCAGCGCGCTTGCAGTTTGCACTTGAATACCGGCAATTAGTAGCTGAACCAACATGATTGACATGGGACAGATGACTTACCAATGGCAGACAAGAACTTGGTCTGGTTTCTCCTTCAAGGTGACCTTCACTCCACCACAGTTGCAATGACCGGTAAATCCCGCCATAATGGTTGATCGAAGTCCTGCTTAAACTCTTCGGCTGTTATGTTGATGTGGTCGCGTTGACGTTCCTTCGATGGAGACTGCCTTGATTTGACTTTTTCTGTGCCGCAGTTCGAAGTAGATGTACGATGCTCCGAAATACTCGTGAACCAAATAAACTGCTCGGAGGGCAAGGGGCGGTAAGGTTTCCAATCTTCCGATGATGAATCAACAATTGGTAAAGCTACTGAGTCATGAATGACATAATTATTCCGAGCTCTTTCACTCTTGACATTGGTGGGCGAGAAACTTGTGTCCTTTGGGCTAGCTCTTGGCGGGGAGTGAGGCGGGGAAGGGCCGGCTCGCAGGGAAGATGTGGATATCTGGACATCGTCCGATGTCTTCGCCAACAGCGCTAGCATCGGAACCCCCGCGGAAAACACGGAAAGTTTATGAGATTTGTTCCGTGCTTGTTCATAGTTGGTTAGATTCGGGGAGTCGAATGCTGTGTCGATTGCTGAGCGGGAGGAACTGAAATTGTGCCTAATCATACTGACATAATGCCTTGTCTTTTATCACAAGAACCGCAGTTCTCTTATTGATTACCCAACATGCTGAATAATGTCACTCAAGTCCAATCGCTCCACTTGGACCCTTCCCAGTAGACGTTGCCCTCGTGTTCGAATTGAGGCCCCTCGGCATCAATGATTTGCCCTAACTCACAGCGCGAATATTCAACACGCGCCTGTTGGATGTAAAACTCATCAAAACGAGATGAAAGCGCCTCCTTCAAACTGCCCACGTTCCCTTGGGGATGAAGAGCCTTCCACGGCTGAGAGCAAGTTGAGCCCTTGCATGACTTGAGAACGAACAATAACGAATCGAGTCTTGGAATGAGCTTATCGAGAGAGTGACCAAGAACTGTAGTTCGTGCTGCCAGAGCGGCCTCATCATTATGCAAGAGGTTGTGCAGCTGGCCAGGGTCCGTCTGAAAGGTTGAGTGTTAGTATGCGCTGACCACCAAGTAGAACTGGGCGGAACTTACAGTCATATCGTAAAGCTCATGTTCGTTGGTACACCACACGGAGTAGTACAAGTTATAATCTTCTCCGACAACTCGCAGTGCCTTGTAAGTGTTGTTGAAGATTCGCTTGGTGTCGTCGCCGTTGAATCCGAACTTGCTCTCGGTGATGGCCCAGCCCCAGTACTCGACGTTGACATGTTCGCGGGTGAGAGGCGACTCGGCGAGTTCTTTGGTAGACAACGGAATGGGGGCGCCGTCGAAGTCGGCTCGCAGAGGCGCGCCGACAAGTGAAAGGATCGTTGGCACAAGATCAACATGGGCAGTGACGGCCTCTGTGACAACCCCCTTAGGAACGCTTGGGCCACGAACGATGAGCGGAATATTGATGTCCGTCTCATATCCACATTCCTTTCCGGGCTGCAAGCGGTGCTGGCTGATATGGTATCCGTTGTCGGTAGTGTAGAAGATATAAGTGTTGTCGAGGAGACCGTGCTTTTCCAGTCTGTCAACTAGTCCATCGACGAGCTCATCAACAGCTTGAAGCGAACGAAGGCGGCTGCGGTAGTGCTCATCGTTGTACTCCACGTTCTCGTCCGTCAGCTTGGGTTGCCGACGGATCCAGTCTGCCCCAGATGGCTTATCAGGATTGAAGTTCTCCGTGCGAGGAACCTTGGCGTCGGAAAAGAGCTTCTCGTGTCTCTTGGCCGCTATGGGGAAGTTCGTGCGAAACTTGTCATCTGAGACTGGAACGTTGTCCTCCGGACCTTTGACAGGCAACAGAATACTAGAGTTCACGTTGCTGTGAGGCGCAATCGGCGCAATACCTAGGAAGAATGGCTTGCCAGCTTCGACGGCATCGTCAAGAAATCCGTACGCTTTCTTGGCAACCAAATCGGTAGAGTACTCTCCGAGATGATTAATCGGCTTGTCGGTGTTCCTCTGGAACGTCGCGTTTAGATAATCGTAGGTATTAGGATCAAGAAGAAAGTCCTGACCGAGTTAGATACACTTAAACAAGATGATGTTTGTGGTTGCGGTGGTTGTTTTGCATGCATGTATGGGGGAGGTGGGAGGCATCATACAGATCCGTTCCAACCCTTCAAGTGAGGACTGTCATAATTCCAGATCGTGTGGGCATTGAACATCTTTCCGGTGTAGAAAGTGTTGTAACCGGCATTCTGCAACCAGATCGGCAAGTAATTCTCGTTGTGGCCATTCTTGACAAAAATCGGGAACCCGCCTGAAAATCTCGTCAGTAATTTGCTCATCAGTGTGGGAGGTTTATCTAGTCGTCCGATCTGGTGGGCCCAGTTGATTCAAAAGACTTTCATACCGTATGGCGGGTTGAGATCAGTCACATTCGTATTGTGAGCCAGTTTACCAGTCCACAGACTAGCTCGAGAGGGGCAGCAAACTGCCGTCGTACAGAAGTGCTTCTTGTACAGTGTGCCCTGCTCAGCAAGGCGCTTCTGAATGAGAGGGATGTAGTCCAAAGAGTTCATGTGAAGGTCCTGGTCGTCGGTGAGAACGAAGACGATGTTCGGTCGGGAAGATGACGACAGCGCATCCCGGTGTGGCCCGGCGAGGGGAGCCTGGGCATCACTGGCTGCGGCGGAAACATTGCCTGATAGCAGCAAGCCGATCAAGGCCAAAGCGGATGACTTGGGGAGCATTTTGGCAAACCTGACTCAATTGACTTTAACCCAAGCTCAATTGACTCGAAAGTTTACTCAAAAGTCAAAGATGGGACGTTATTTTCCAACCTCGAGATGTGAAACTGTGAAACCCTCTGAACTGACTAAGCCCCCGCGAGCCGATCCGAAGACCGGCTCGCCGGATGTTGGCTGCCGTTTGAATGGCCGGTGTACCGGCGCGAGTTCCGATGGCGTGCTCCGGCCCCAGTATCGCAACAGAGAGATGCCCACAACCCGTCACCGAGAGCGGAGAAGTATGTTTCTGTAGCAATTCCAACCGGCCGACCAATAACACGACAGCTTCTAAAGAGGTATTACCGGCGACTTGTTCGTCCGAAGAACTTCCTGTACCTGAACGTCCCCTAGTTGCTCCGCGGAAATACTGGATATGGATTCGCAGTTTCTCTTGGCTATGGATGTCGTTTTTGTGCCTAAAATGCGGTGACATGAGATTCGCAAGGGCTCGAGGCGGCCAGGTCTTTGACGCACTAACTCTCAGGCTAGACAAAGCTCAACAACACTAACGTGGTTCTTTGTCATATAAATGAACAATTTTGATGGTTGACTGAAGCTCTAAGAAGTTCCGCATCTAGATCTTCAACTAATCCTGTCAGAAACTATTAAGTTGCGGTATCAAGAAGGCGGTTTCAACTAACACCGCCATCAGCCTTTGGTACATATGACAATGTGAAGATGTTGGGTATTCATCTAGATCCTTGCCACGTTGGTCTAGCCATTGGAGCTCACTTCAAGCAACCAATGTGGAAGAACTGACATGCATTCCTGCAGAAGCTCCTTGTCGCGGCTGTCGAGCCGAGGGCTGAAAAGGGTCTGGCACTTCCGACCCCCGCGATGATGCAAGACATACAGCCGATGATGGTATTGATATCTTCGTTGTTCTGTCTGACGGCAGTCGCCTTAACAGATGCTTCTTGGTGTAAACTGGCACCTCAGCCATTATCTTACGGGTTCACATGTAGTAATGCGACGATCTGTGAACAGAAATTGGGTACCCTTGGTGCCTGGGCAGAGTCCCGTGTATCGAATAAAAAGATGTAACACATCCATACCGCTGCAACCAAGTTCTTTCTACAGAATTCGGCATTCCTGTTTGCCCATCATCTTCACGACGATGTCTGCGGTAAAACCTGGCGAGCTTCCTATTGGGACACCATCCGACTCGTCGGATTCGGTCAACAAAGCCGGACCTAAAGAATCAGTCACTTCCGCAACTGTTGAGCCGCTTGGAAAGCCTCGGCCTGAGAGAAGATTCTGGTTTCAAAAGAGACAGAATTACGATCCCTCTGCTGTTGGAACCCAAGTGAGAGACCCATTCGATAGATACGGATTCACATTTCTAACATAAAATTCATAGCCCAGTGTCTACGATGATCCCGCATTAGCTGCCCAGTATCAACCGCGTAAAGACTGGTCAGTGGCATGAATATTTGCTTCATCAAGTACTGATTCTGGATAGGGAGAATATTCACCGCTTCAACCCTTCATCAAGATGGACGTGGGCCGAAGAGGACGCAGTTGTGCGAAAGACAGACTGGAGAATCATGATATGGGCTTGTAACATCATCTTTTCTGCCTTCTTTCTCAATCTCGCGCTTAACATATGATAGGTATTATGTTCATTGGCCTCGAAATTGACCGGGCAAACTTGAGCCAGGTAGGAATTCCTCTGTTGTGCGGAGCTTGAAGGAAATATTGACATCACGCGCAGGCCTTGACAGACAACTTCCTGAATGACCTGGGAATGACGACGAATCGTACGTACAACGAATATCGATTCTGACAAACTCATTGAGGAGCTGACCATGATCCAAGATTACAATATGGGCAACACCGTCTTCTCATTGTCCTTTCTCTGTGCCGAGCTCCCCTCTCAGCTGATATCGAAGTGGGTTGGACCTGACCGCTGGATCCCCGCTCAGCTTGTCCTTTGGTCTCTCGTGGCTGTTTGCCAATTCAAGCTCAACGGCTACACATCTTTCTTGATTTGCCGTTGCCTACTCGGTCTGCTTCAAGGAGGCTTCATACCCGATGTAACTGAGACCCTGGAAGCCATGTACAAAAGACCTGTCGCTAATGTTTGTGACAAACCAGATCATCCTGTACCTGTCATACTTCTATAAGCATGCCGAGATGACAATTCGCCTCGGATTCTTTTGGATGGCAATGACTTTCGCAGACATTTTGTGCGCTATTCTGGCCTTTGGTATTCTTCACATGCGAGGCGTCCTTGGATATGAAGGATGGAGATGGCTGTTTCTGATCGAGGTGTGTATAAGCTCAGGAACCAAAGACTCCGTTAAAGACACTCACAACGGTTAGGGGCTGTTCACCATGTGCATCGGCTTTCTCTCGTTTCTCTTGATGCCAGCAGGTCCGACTCAGACCGCGAGCTGGTTCAGGGGTAAAGCAGGATGGTATACTCCCAGGTATGTCTTTGACCGGACTGAACGTTCGAAATTCTATCCTGACGGCTGACTCGCTTCGTTCAGAGAGGAAGAGATTATGGTCAACAGAATCATTCGTGATGATCCGAATAAGGGGTCCATGCACAATCGCCAGAGAATCACTATCAAGTTGTTGTGGAAGAGTATGTGCGACTACGACCTATGGTATGAGTACCCTTCTTCTACTTGAAGTGTCGAAACACGTTGCTAATCTCGATTCCCAGGCCCATCTATCTCATCGGCTTCACATTTCTTGTTCCGGCCACTACTCCAAAGCAATACCTTACACTCTCACTCCGAGGGCTCGGGTTCGACACTTTCCATACCAACTTGCTTGTCATTCCTCAGCAGGTTCTAGGCAGTAAGTCTCGCCACAAATTTCTTGGAGACCACGCGTTAACATGGATCATCAGCTATCTCGATGATGTTGCTGCTGTGGGTTGCGGAAAGAACGAAGAACATCCTTGCCTGGGCTGCTTTCTCCCAGGTCTGGATGCTTCCGTTCCTCATCTGGCTTCGAGTCGTCGATAGTACCAAAACGTCAAAGTGGGTAGTCTGGCTCGTCATGACACTGATGTTGACGAAACCAATGCGTAAGTTCACACTTCTGCCAGAAGGCTTCAGCGTGGACGTCGATACTAAACGCCTGTCTAGCACATCCAATGCAGGTAAATCTTGTCTCGCGGAACTCCAACGCCGTCAGATCGCGAACGGTTTCCGCTGCGCTTTACAATATGACGGTCCAAGTCAGCAATATTATCGGCAGTAACATTTACAAGGCCGATGATTCACCTCACTACCGCCGAGGCAACAGTGTTCTTATTGGTATCGTAGCTTGGAACCTTATACTCTATGCGGGCGGCAGGATCTACTACAAGTGGCGCAACAGAGTCCGGGCTGAGAAGTGGGAGGCCATGCGAGCGGATGAAAAGGTTGCCTATTTGGACAAAAATGACGACTCAGGAAGCAAGCGATTGGACTTTCGGTTTACGTACTAGCACACACAAATGCCCTCTTAGCTGAGGGCGGAAACTGTCTGGATTTCTGAGGCTGTCTTGGCGGAGCACATATGACGACGGGTCTGGTCTTCCGCGACAGATAATGGGTTTTCACGCTCTCAATACCGGATTGAAACAGTCTTGAGTAGAAGTCTCACTGAAAGCCTCTGCATTCAATTAAAGCCCCTTACTTTGTAGAAATTCAATAGACAAGAATGTTTAGTTAGATCTAACTTTTATCTACCTTACCCATCTGTTCATGTTCTGCCACTGGGCAAGTCTACACCACCACGCAACACAAGGCTGATACGAACATATTACGAACACGACGTCGACGACAACATGGACAGCAACAGTAGGTACAACAATAACAATATCGACAGCAGAAAGACAACAAGAACCACAACACCGGCGACAACGATAATAATTCTGTGTCGACTTGCCCCGGGATGGGTTCGATTTGGTCTCCCACCCTGTCAATCTTTCCTTCGTTTTGACAGTACATGTCAGAGTCATCCTCTTGACAATGAGACACACTGCAAGAGTGGCACCGAAAGTTACCAAACTTTTTCATTCCCACTCATGGCCAGTCCAAGGCCATTCGACTCAGATTGGTAAGCATCTGCTTTCCAGTTGTGCTCCGGAGCCCACATCTCCTGGACAAGCCCAACACCAAACAACCTAACGCTTTCAGGTTTTAAAGCTGCCTCTGTTGCTTCCACCACACGCGAAAAACTCGTACCAAGTCTCAATGACGCGTCTAAAGGGTTTCTCGTGTCATCGGGTGTTGTGAACTCTCGAGGCCACGGTAAAATCGACCTTCTCATCCCCTCTCATTCGAAGCTCAGGCCCGCGGCCGAGGTGCGAGGATGTCCTTAGATATAGGTCGACGTTGGGCTGTCAGGGTCAGCGTAGTTCTGTACAACGAAAGTGACGTCTAGTGAATGTCGGTTACGAACAAGGTGGTAGAAACCGCTTCTCAACCAGTCGTGATTCATCTCCTTGATCCAGAGCCAATCAATCGCCGTTCTTATTTGCCTTCTCTGCGGCAGTAATGCCTCCAACAGCACCGGCAATGATTCCACCGACGATGAGAATCGACATGGCCAGCACGAAGATCCAGTATCTCCTCCACCACACCCGCCAGTTCCTCGAAGATCTCGTTTCTGCGGACATGGGGATTCCCACATCTATCGTCGATGGTCGATTATCAGAATTGTTTGGCTTGACCTCCAATATCGAGAGTTGTTGCCGATGACCGCTCTCAAGTGATGAGTAGTCCGTGACTTCCCCCGGCCAATTTGCACGTGAGCTCGGCATGTTTGTGGTAACGTTTTGGGTAATCCCCAATTATGATCGTCTTGATGGGAGTTGCTGATACTCTACAGACGTGAGGGGACGTCGATGGTATGAAGCCCTAGGGGAGCACGAGAACGGGGTATGACAGAGAGAAAAAAATGATTAAATGTGATAAGGGATGCCACGTGTGGGTGAGAGAGGTATTTGAACGACCTCGTGGCGTACGTTCTCCCCGTTATACAACACGTGCGCTACTGCATGTCTCCCCTGTCATTTCGTGTTTCCCCGAGACAATCTCATGATTCCATACGTTTTCCAAGGGATGGGAGAGACACTGTCTCAGAGGCGATACGCAACCCAGACGTGTGGGCAGCGTTGGGATTCCGGGTTTTCAGTGTGAGTAGTAAAAAGAAACAATGCCGGTCAATGATTCGTCGAGTTTAAGCCAATCAGGTAGAATAGTGAGATCTTTGGCGAGAATTTCTTGCTCTTTGAAGCTGACACGAAGACTACAGCTAAAGCTTTCACTCCACGTACATTTGACTTATATGATCCTCTACATCCGGTCGTTGCCGGCTTCTAACAGCAATCAAGTGAACTAAAACATTTAAAACTCAAAAATGCTTTTCAAGCTGATCTCTAGCTTTTTCCTATGGTAGCGAGCATTGGGAAGACTTGCGTGAATGCCACGCTGCACCCCTGTACTCAGCTCATGCAACAACCGTCCCATGTCTCAGTTCTCAGCCACTGATTCTTCTCGTGCGCGTGGTTCGCGTCTAGCGTTCCCAGGAGAAGCAAACATCGAGGCTTAGTGCGTCAATGTTGTATTACTTTGGAACCGGTCCCGAGCCCCTTTTTGGGTGAGAGCGGTGGGCTCCTATCTTTCTTCGCAGAGGTTGACGACGACAGAGGTGATTGTAAGGTTTGGAGACATACAACTCTGTGAATCCGTACCTCAATTTCACTCTTTCATGTCCGTATACCTTAAGGCTGGAAGTCTGATTCTGTAGTTGATGGATACAAGCTGTACAGCAAAACGGCAGTAGTATGGCACATCACCGTTAAGCTGACGACATACTGCCGTATGGATGGGCTGACTGACGCCTTGTCTGATGTTTGTCCGATTCATCTTGATCGCAGATACATCTCAGAAACCATGCCGTCTTGCAGAGTTGAGCTCATATCCTACCCTGTATTCCGAATCAGGCTCATCGAGCATCCAGCTCCTGTGACTGCATTCAAAATCGGTGCTTTGGACGTCTAATCGGCCTTATCGTAACTCCGCAGCTGAGCAGTCTTGGCATGTAAGTGTGCTACTGAAGGCCAAGAACCTACTCAATCAACAAGATCGCGGGAGCAAGATAACAGTTTTTAATGTTATCAAGGGGACTTTTGCTAGATATAACCACGTATTTCTTTGATCGACTGTAGCAACTCTTGACATCGCGGTCGCATGCCGACAGTCCCATGACACAGACTTGGGCTCCGGGCTTGTTTTCCATTACCAAAGCCACCGCACCATCGCCGACAACCCGACAAAAATTACTAAATGCGGGGAGAAAGCTGTCATTCCGCATGCTCTGAGGAACGGGTTGAGATGTCGCAGTCTGGGCCCTCAGTCACGCAATCGCCGGCGGCAGGGCTTATCTGGACCCAAACCCGGCTTTGCTCCAGTTTTTCCTCGTCCCCGATGCTCCCCCGCGACCCGGAGCGTGGCTCGCTCTCACCGTTAAATGTTCTCATTGGAGACTGAGCCCTTTAGCCGACGGGATCTGGACTGAATGGCCAGGCGAGTGAAGGCCCGGTGGGTTTCGCCCAGACTTTGGCGTCCTTGGAAAGTGAATGCAATCGGGCGTAAGCGCGGGATGGTGCTGCCAATCTTCGAGATCGCGACATTGAACATCACTCCATTTTGAAGGGTTTTTCTCGGTTCCCAACTTACCTGAATCGTACGGATGCATAATGTTACGTTTGGTCGAAGACTTACGTATATATCCTAGAACGCCGGGACGTTCTTCGCATCCTTCCACTGTTCGTAGTGACTGATCTTACATGCGGATCGTCCCCTGGCCTTTTCAGCGACTAGCTTCTTTCAATGACATTTCCTCGCCTTCAACGTTGACGAACAAGCAATCATGGGCGAAGCCGCTTTAGCGACTTCAACTCAAGGAGAGTCTCTGGAGCAGCCCATCAACTATGGGCCTCCTCAGGAGGGTATTTTCAAGCACATCTCCAAGGTCATTCCATACTTCCGCAACGCTCGCAATGTCCTCGTGTTCAAGCTGGATGTCATGCTACTGGCATGGATGTTTCTTGCAGGCATCATGAAGGAGATGGACCAGTCAGCAACAACACAAGCCTACGTTTCGGGGATGAGGGAGTCTTTGAGCCTGTACGGCAATGAGTTGGTGGAATTCAATACGTTTTTCTCTATCGGATATGCGCTTGGTCTGGTTCCCGGCCAGTTGATTCAAACAAGAGTGAGTCAATCGCACTTCATCAGCAACCGTATAGCAGCTAAAAGGGCGCTCAGTTCCGACCGTCGATGTTTCTCCCCTTCTGTGAGATGAGTTGGGGTCTTCTGGTTCTCTTGTGAGTCTCTCAGGTCGCCTGCTTACCATAACCGCTCAACTAACACGCCGTTTGCAGCACTTACATGGCACCCAATGCACAAACGATCTTCGGCCTGCGATTCTTCCTCGGACTCTTTTCGTCGGCATTTTGGCCTTCTGTTGTCGCACTCATTTTCAACTGGTATACCCCTGCTGAGTTGGCCGTCCGCGTCGCTTGCTTCACGGTTTGCGATGTCGCCGGAGCCATGTTTTTGGGAGCACTTCAGGCCGCCCTATACCGCAATATGAACGGCGTCCACGGCCTGGGCGGATGGCAGTGGCTTTTCATCATTTCTGGTGCAGTCACCGTTGGCCAGGGTATGATTGCCTTCGTCACTGTTCCGGATTCTCCTGCCAACACCCGCGCCCTCTACTTGACCGACAACGAGAAACGACTTGCGCGAGAGCGTATGGGCAACTCGGGCGTCAACACATCCAAGCGCATCCCGCCCTCTGTTCTCAAGGCCAAGCTACGGAAGCTTATCGTTCACCCCATAACCTACTTTTACCTCTTCTCATTTGCCTTCAGCGCCTGGGCTCACCGCGCCAACTCGTACTTCGTGCTCTACCTCGAAAGCATTAAGGATTCTGCGGGCAACCGCGTTTACGACACGTATCAAGTCAACATTCTGCCCATCGGAGGCTACGCGCTGCAGATTGTTACCAACGTTGGTCTCAACTGGCTCTCCGACAAGAAGCACTGGCGTTGGCAAATCAGTGTCTTTTCTGCCGCAGCTCATGGAATATGTCTCGCGGTATTATGCGGTTGGCCTTCAGATCACAAAGTCATCCTAGCTTTCTACTTCTTGACTTACGCAACAAATGCTGGCAGCCCTTCGCTCATGGCATGGATGGCCGAGATTCTACGCAAGGAGCCCGAAGCCCGTTCCATTATTGTGGCAATGACGGTCACCATCGTTTACGTCGGCCACGCTACCATTCCCCTAAGAGCATTCCGAGTCGCCGATGCCCCGAGATATCCGGTCGGTTTCCCGTTAACGACTTCTTTCACTGTCGCCACTATCCTGGTACAGCTCGGTATGCTGTGGTGGGACAGACGCCATCCTGAAATGGCTGAGTATGGCTACGAGCCGGCCGTCAGCGGACATGGAGCTTCAGATGAGGAAAGTCCGAAGTTGGCAGAGGCAGATACAGTTATCGGCGGTGGCGATGCCAAGTCAAATCAGATTGCTGGATCTAGAGAGTTGTAAAGAAGTGCTCATTGTTTGAATAGCTTGGTTAGCCTATGAGCAAAAGAAAAGTCTTCGCTTTCGTCTAGCTTCTTCGAAAGTAGTTATCGCAACCTACATGTAACAGCTGTTGACTTCCTCAGCTATGATCAACATCAGCTTACATTCAAATGGCTTCGCCGGCAATGCGCAGGGCTCCCTTGAAGTACACATATTCTTCCTCTAGCGCTTTCATTATATCAGGACGTTTTTGCTACTGTTAGAAAGTAAAAGTGATAAAGGAAGGCCTTCCGTCTGCGTGAGTATAGCCCGATGAAGCAATGGCAACTTTAGGAGACATCTGTGTGAATATCACCATCTAATTAATTACTCCCTCCAATAAATAAGATCAAATGCGCTCAACAACAATCAAACGCCTTCAGGACAGATTTAAACCTTCTAGCTTAGTTTCGTGAGTATCTCGTTCTGCAACTTAGAGAATTACTCAAACTGTTGCGGACAGCCACAACTGCCTGAATTGCAGGAGCGCGTTTCCCTTACCCGAGAAAGTAAATACAAATGTCCGGTCTCTTCAATGACCAATCCTGCATCAGAACGCCTCCACAATTGCTCATATGTTCGTCAACAAGTCCAGTCGTCATCACTGCCGTAGGAACCTGACCGATGCTGCCTGCCGGCGCTAAGTTACGGTCTAGATTATGCGAAGAACTCGGTCGTCTGATATGCAAAAGGCAAATCTTTCCAACCGAGGGAGGATTCACCGACCCCGCAGCTACGTCTTTCACCTGTTTGAAGACCAGAAGCCTGAAGATTTTAGACATTTGCATGCCACCTGTGCGTGATTCCCGAATCCTGTGGAATTGACATTGGCAGCGGGCGCACAACTGCCTACATGCATGGCCATTTCTTGGGACGAAGTGTAGATGGCAGCACAGAACCAAATGAGGAGCGTAAATGAGCCAAGCCATAGACCCGAGGGATTCCTGACTCGTGAAACAGAATATCGTGGGAGTGTCGTCAGCCGATTCGAAAAGCGCCGCTATACCACATGGCATTTTCATTGGCATGGCAATTACCATTCAGTTGGAACAAGGGGTATGAGAGAAACAAGCTTTGAGGGGTAAGAACACAAATCCACACCACCGGTGGTCTGTCGCCATACAGGATCTCGAACAAGCTTAGGAGCATTGGCACGTTCGCTGTTGTGAGGAAGGGCATCCCAGTTACCCGGCGAGAAAGTCGATAAGAGATTCCCAGCAAAGTTGCCCGTAAAGTGTAATGTTTTCGCTTCTGAACCGGATAGGCCAAATTTCGCGCAGTTCATCTATGAACGCCGGCATGCCGGATCGACAAGAGGGGGCGGGAGATGTCCCGCTTGGGAACCTTGGGAGGCTAGGAGCTATCAGTTCCTTGTCACAAAAGCTTAAGTCGGAGAGCTTCGCGTCCTTTTGAAAGCTTCCAGAGCTTCGCTTTCTTGGCTGCAAGGATGCTGATCAAGATGATCTCCGCGTTCAATGTTTATTTTCTTTGCATTTAGGTGAGCTTAGCCGCTGGCCGCTGCGTCGTTGCAATCGTGATGGCCTACTCAGTCTCTCTGCCACTACGTCACTGAGATCACAGCTACCATGAGGCTGTCAATTACTTTGGTATTCTTGCTTGCGGCGCTCGGTCTAGCTGTTCCCTTTGAGGAATGCAAGCCGGGCGCAGGGAAAGATCCAACGACACCGAAAGGACGCAAGCCGTCGGGCTCCAGTGGACGGAAACCATCGAACGGACGCGGAAATGCCACTACAACTGTGAACGGACGGCACCGTAATGTTCTCTACGTGACAAACTGGAGCATATACGGTGCTGGCTACAACCCAGACAACGTTCCTATCGACAAGATCACCCATGTGCTCTACGCCTTCGCTGATATACAGCCGAATGGAACCGTGTAGGTCGCTATGATTGTGGATCGTGTCGCGCTAGCTGCCCGCTGCTGACTCTGCCAGTGTCTCTGGAGACCCATGGGCTGATACGGGAAAGCCCTTCGCCAAGGATAATCCGTCTGAGCCCGGTCACAATGCCTACGGCTTGGTCAAGCAGTTGTACATGAAGAAGATGGCCAACAGACAGTTGAAGGTCATCCTCTCCATAGGAGGGTACAACTGGTCTCCGAAATTCACGCCCGTCATCGCCGACGACAAACTGCGAGCCAACTTTGTGGCCTCCTCCGTCAAAATGGTCGCCGACCACGGATTTGATGGGCTCGATGTTGACTACGAGTATCCCAACACGACCGAGAAAAGTAACAACACCGTCAAGCTTCTCTCCGAACTCCGCAAGGGTCTTGACCAGTACTCAGCCAAGTACGCCAACGGGTATCACTTTACTCTGGGATTTGCCGCGCCAGCCGGACCTCAGAACTACGCCAAGATGGACTTCAAGGGGATGGACAAATCATTGGACTTCTGGTCCCTCATGGGCTTCGACTTTGCCGGCAGTTGGGAGAACACTACCGGGCACCAATCGAACGTCTACACCAGCAAGAAAAATCCTCTGAGCACCAGAGCCAGCATCGACCAGGCCGTCAATGACTACACCAAGGCCGGCATTCCAGCAACGAAGATCAATTTGGGCATGCCCCTCTACGGCCGGGCTTTCAATGGCACCAAGGGTATGGGGAAGTCTTATCGCGGCTTGCCGAATGGCACGTTGGACCAGGCCGGAATCTGGTCTTACAAAGACCTTCCTCGACCAGGATCGAGGGTCATCTGGGACAATGTTGTTAAAGCAACCTATTCATACGACAACGCCACACAGCAGCTTGTCTCCTACGACGATCTGAAGAGTGCCCTTTACAAGCAGGAGTACATCAAGAAAAAGAAGCTAGGGGGCGCCATGTTCTGGGAAGCCTCTGGTGACAAGTTGGGAGATGAGAGTATTGTGCGCAATATGGCCACGTGGATGGGCAAGATTGAACACTCGAAGAACTTGATCTCTTATCCGGTGTCGAAGTACGATAATATAAGGAACAATATGAAAGGCAGCAACGCTACGAACACCTCTGGTCGGAAGAAAAGCCTCGCGGCTTGGCTATATCTTTCAGGACATTGAGTGATATTCTGATTGGAAACGTTTTGAAGGAGATTGTCTCAGGGACTAGATTGAAGGCCCCTAGAGGGTTTCGATTCTGTGTACATACTTTACATTATAATGCCAGCCGCTTTGAACTTCTCAAATGCTTCCAACCAACCCTCGATTGGGTCTCTCTCCTCCAAGAAACCTACGGAACGTAGTCTGTCGAGGCTCAACTGGCGATCAAAAGACAACCAGCATCCCACACTATCAAGTTGCAAAGCTCCCGCACCTACACCTGCAGCAGCAGCTTTCGGAAAGCCGTTATCCTGAAAGATGTGCTTGTACTGTTGAACATATTCACCTGGCTTTAGTGCGCTATCGTCGCCTATCGGACCTACACCCTTCAGGCCAAACCATTCGGCAAGAGCTGGCCAAATCTTTCTGAACTTCGTGGGCTCTTGGCTGTCGGCCATGTTGATGATTCTCCCGCCGCATTTATCTGCGTTCAATGAAGCATGTATGGCAATTCGGCCCAGGATGCGAGAGGAAACGGGGGTAAAAAGACCATCATAACCGCCCTCGTTGCCGGGAAATGGAACTTCCACCAGAGATTCTGAGTCATCTCGTTCTTTGTGATTGTGGGCGAAGAGAGAAAGGTACTGGGCCCAATGCAGGGCTAGGGACCATCCCGATCCATTTGGTGTAAAGCCAACGACGGCGTCGGGACAAATCTCTGACCAGGTCCAGCTTTTGCCTTTGCTGGCCTCAGTGAATATTTTTCTGAACCAAGGATAAGCGACCGTTTTGGCGTAGTCCTCGGGTAAGTTGTCTGCCATTGACTCCTGCAGCGGAGCTTTGAAAGTCCCACCAGGAACATAAATACCGTAACCCTGCCCATATTAGTTGAATGAAGGGATGAGAAGTGGTTGATATGTACTCTTGTTCCTCCTGGGTAGATGAAAGACTCAAGTCTAGGCGATAGGGAGGTGATGGCATTGACTACACGTTGCATCATGCCGCAATTGGTCTCTCGCTCAAGTATGTGGTCGTCGTTGACTTCCTTGAAGACTTCAGCCATGTTGAGGTCAGTAATCCTCCGAACTCTCGAGTCTATGTGTTTAAATGCTTACCAAAGTAGAAGACATGCGTTACATCCTCTATTCCAATAACACTTTCTCTCAGCTCCTTCGATAAATCATCGGCTGTCCCATTGAGCAGGTTGACTCCGGACACAATCTGTAAGTCCGGTCGCTTTGAAGACTCTATAGGCCAGTAGAATTCCGACTCCTCCAACGGGCGGTTGATCACGGCGGTGACCTTGTCGAATGATCCTTCTGAGGGATAGTTGGAAAGCAATTGCTCCACGGTCGCCCAGCCGACCAGGCCAGCTGCACCGAAGACGATTGCGTGTTTTCTTGTCGACATGTTGGAGACACGTATCAATTGAAGTTGTGGGATATTTTAGCTGGTACCTTAACCAAAAGACTCAGACTACTCTTCGACAGTTAAATAGAAAAGTGCAAACGTCCAATGGAGTTCGCGAACTGAGACTTGCCGACGCTAATAGTGACACACGATGATTCATAGTGGAGAGGGGACGGCGTTTCGTCGCTAGCACGCCTAAGCCAAGACTAATGCAGCTCAAGTCCGTCACACAGCATGCACTAACTTCCATTCATGATCTGCAGTAAGAAACACCAAAATCTGACAGTCTATTATGTGCAATATTCTGTTGGAAATGTGGCGGCTGAGTATCTCACGGCAACATTGCTCATACCTAACCTTTGCTAGCTTCTTAAATTTTAGTCCTACCACCGACCCTATGCTGAAAAGAAACTCGATCGCCTCAATTCTCTTACCCCAAGAACAAGTCGGGGACAAAGTCCTTGGATTACCCAGTACCGCAGTAGTCCGCGTATTGCTTCGAGCTGGACTCCGGGTTACCCCACCACTGCGATGTGGTCAGTACGCTTGTTTTGAGAGGAAGATGTTGAAAGGAACAGCTGACGTACCGTTGGAAAAGGAACCTCTTTGCCTGAGCCTCCAGCAACGGCAAAGGTCAGAATAAACATCATAACCTTCGCTCCAGCGTCAAGACCTCCGCCAACAATGTAGTTGTACTTGCCATACCAGGCAGGGTGGCGTAGGCGCATGTACCATTGTGACCAGAGACCAGTGGCAACTTGAGACCAGATAACAGACGTCGTACCGGATGTCGTCTCAGAAGCGTTGTGGAAGATAACGGGCGTGACAAGCTTGCGCACTTCCCAGCCATAGATGGTCTTGTACTTGCGAGAGACCAGCCAGAGTGCGACGGGAATGGCTGCTCCGATGACGATGGACAGCGGAATCCTGCAGTTGGAATTAGAAACTTCAGAGCTGTATTTGGTTTGGAAAATCTTTGCGGGGACTCACCAGCCATATCCATCTTTATTGAAGCCATAGACGTACTTGGCCAGAGACCAAGTAACGGCAGTGGTGTTGAGAGACTGGATCTTTCGTCCACTCCACTGATCACAATATTAATAAGTCGGCGGTCGAATCCATGGTTATTGGGATAACTTACAACTTGATTTCCAATGGGGTCGAGGAGAATCTCTCGCCTGTTTGCGACGATGGTGTCCATGATGACATAGTTCAGAGCGGTCCCGAACAGACTGCCCCAAGTCTGGAGAAGAAACATCGTTCTCCACGGGATCTTGAGATACTGTGCCATCTTCAGATCAGTGGATAGAAATACCGAAAGCACAGTGACTTCGTGGCTAAACATGGAGAAGTAGAGATTTGCCACCGGCTTTCCGGGCTGGAGAACACCGCAGAGCATTTTGGAGAGATTATTTGTCGCAACACTGGTACCGAGAAGGCCGTACAGACACAGCGAGAAGGGGGCAACAATGCACCCGAGAAGCTAAGTCGTTAGTTAACGGTTGAGGATCTCTCCATGGGGTAATTTACAATCGCGCATACGTAGGCCCAGGCATCCAGAGTTGTGTGTCCTTTGATCACCGCTCCGAGGCCGGTGAAGAATCCCACGAGAAGAATAGCAAGATACCACCACATAGGTACGTCCTTGTAGTTTTCTTGCATGACCTTGTAGTGGGGGTCTGTTTCGGTTTTCTTCCAAGCTTGAATGAGCGATCGCTTAACACTAGGCCGAGTCAGTCTGGCGGATACCTCAAATAGTCGTTCTTGAAGAAGAACTCACAGTGGTCCGTAAAACAGAGAGATGTGGGTGATGAGTGCCCCGATAGCAGCCATCGCAGCCATGTTCGCCCAGACGTTTGACGCCGTCAACCGCGGGAGGCCGTGCTTCTCGAGAGCGTACGTATCCAAAATGGCATTCTGGCCAAAGACCGCTGTCTGATTGTAGACCTTCCCCGTCTTCTCGTCGAACATGGCGGTGGACATGAAGGGGAACTTCTTGGCGCCCCAAGCCCCTCCATAGTAGAGACTAAAGCACATAATGTAAGAGAGCACGATTCCCACCCAAGAGTTGGCTTGCTGCAGAAGCGGGAGAGACATGTATCGAGACGTGATGTACTGCCAGTCGAGCGAGAAGTTGAGAATTCCCTGGCCTTCGTTTGACGATATCCCTCCAAAGATCGTCATCAGCACCTTACGGGTTGGGGGCGCGGCCTTCATCGAAGCAAGGCAGGGGATGGAGATGCCGTTCAACCAAGGCCAGATGTAAGAGGCGATGGGTTCCCATATGAACATGCCAATGGAGGTGAAGCCAAACATACGGAGGCGTTCTTTGTTGCTGCCTTTCGCGTCGCGGTGAAGGGTTTGGTAGATGGAGATCATGGGTAGACATTGCCACCAGACCATTTCGCTCGCTGTTTCGCGTCAGAAAGTCACATGCCCTACTGTAGTATTTCACGACAGCACTTACGATGAACAAGGATAGAACGAAGTATGCCGACTAGACCGTATCCAAAGATGGAAGCGGAGAACACAGTCAAGATAGCGGTTGCAGCATCGGTGCTTCGATCGTAGAATCTGGCGTGTCCATTAGTATTGAAAGAGGTTCTAGCCTTCATGGGAGACGTCTTTACAATCGCTCAGCACCGAACACCTGGACGATGGCGGCACCATTGCCACTAGATGTGGACAAGATCGAAGCGACCGCATGCTCCTTCAATCCAAAATGGCCAGGATTGACGAAGTGGACCACCGGACCGAGCCACTTCGCCTGCGAGGGCAGGTACTTCTCGACGTGATGTCGGCGAGGAAGCACGACAGACCAGACAACGCCAATTACGTAGGCCATGAGACACAAGAAACTGAGGGTTCAGCATGTAAGTAAACGATGCGTTTTTCCGAGCTCGGATGTGATACTCACACTGAAGCGAAGGAAACATCGACCGGCTTATAGAAGTAGCTGGGCTGGTCAGTATCATTGATGTCCACTGTACCGCTCTGTTGCTTGAGACGTACATCTGGTTGATGCAGGCCGCAAGAGCAGTGAGACCTGTTCATTGTCAGTGCGAAGAACAACTAAGTGGCTCAACCTGACTTACCGGATCCGATAATGAAGGATCGAAATGTGCACGCAGCATCGCCGTCATCTTGGGTCGAAACAACATATCTTGCAACATCGTTACCGTCTCGGATGACCACGCCACCATTCACGAGCTTCCTTTCGTCTTCTGTCTCGTTTCTCTCGGTGTCCTTCAATCCGTCGTCGGACTTGTCCCACTTATCATCCTCCGGAAGCCGGGCCGCGGTCGATGGTGAGTCGTCGGGTGCCGTATTGGGGGCTGAAGGCGTCAGGATATCATCCTCCACTGCGGTGGCAGAGGTGACGGCAACCTTCTTCGCGTCCGCCATCGTTCTTCTCCTGGAGGTTTGAACAGGCTCTTCGGGAACGGCAACCTTCGAAAACAGAGTCACAGCGAGATGCCCATACTACTCTACCCTTTTTATCATTCATGCAGGGTTATCTACCAAATCCATTCTGCGGTGACCCGCAATCCTCTCTTATCACGTCAACGCACCAATCTCTGGTTGTGCCTGTCAAAGCCGTTCAAAACCCACGGCTTTAACGCAGCCAAGCCAATGGCGGGGGCAAGGACAGGGCATCTTCGAGCCTCGGGACGTCCCAATCTCGCGGGGTCTGGCCCGAGAAGCAAGGGCATTTTTACGTGATGTCGGGGATGCGCCGACTGCAAATTAAAGAAGCCGATGTCTAATTGGGGGGATGATGGGATTCCTCCACGGTCCAGGATGAAATCTTTGAATGACGCGAGACTTGCCCAGCCAGTCGCCATTTTTCTCCGACCCACAGACACGGGCCCGGCTCCGATATCTCGGGATGAACATGCCCGATGTTGACTTGCCAAGGGATTTTGAGATGTATGTTTACAGAATCGAAAGCGAGACCGAGTCCACGTGAAAAGAAAAGGTTTTGCAGACCAGAACAAGTTACGACTCTGATTAAGTCTACTCGCCCTTAAATATGATTGCCTTAGCTGAGGAATTGCGATCGCGTCCAGGGGGCTGAAGACTGGGCAAGGTACGGAATCACTTGTTATGCGATTCTGCTCTCGCTCGAAGGTTTCGGCGGTTGCATATAATTTCTGAGACTCTCGGCCGATAGTCTCCATGTTCTTCCACTCCGCGAACACCTGTTCCTCGTGATGAACACAGCGACTATTTCAAGAGACCAGGGATGCTTTGGAAACCTAACATACGCCCCGCTGAAAAGGATCGTCGGACCCGACATCGGCAACAGACCCTCAGCGGGATGAAGATTCACGTGGTCCTTGACGGCGCAAATCTCATATGTACCAATGAAAACAACGAGATTGCATAATGTAATCGATTTACGTCCATCGCGATGCTTATTGTCTGGAGCAACCCCAGCATGTCAGCAAATCCCACGTGCTCGGTACAAGCACGTGTGTCGCACATTTGATCAGGCAGATTCTCTTATGTGACCATTGGATATCAAAAAGCAAATGACCCTTCTCAAACGGCGCCTTGCAGCATTGTTTGCTGTTAATATAAGAATTGAGAAAACGTTCACTCGATCTCAAGACACTTCATTCTCACAAGACACGAGGCAAGTCGGTGAGATCCTGGCGATAACAGAGTGGATTCAACTGAGACGTTGCATCCATCATCCAAATCCGCGAACCCCTCTTTACCCAGTACCCGGTCGACCCCTCCCTCATACGACAATGTCAGTCGATTCCACTTCAGTGAGCTGCATCAAGATCCAAAATGATGTCCAGAATATTTATACGCTCAATCCCAGCGCGCGGCAACTAGCAGCACATGCATTCATACCTGATGCTGACATAGCTTTGCACTGACAATGAGATGCAGATGCCGTCTGACGCAACTTCTCGTGTGCTCATGTGACTAGGTACATTTCTCTCTCACACAACTTCAAAGTTATGAGCAGGACATCTGACAGGTGATGGCATCGAATGACAAGCTGTGGTCCTCAGCAACTGACCACAAGCAATCAATGTCACACCACAGGATTACCTTCTTAGAGTCGTTGGTTAAGAATTCACACCGAATGACGGGCATCAGCAGTCCGGTTGATGGCGGTAAGACGCTGGCCGTGAAATCCATGCGCGAATCAATTTTCTACCCCTGCCACCCCAATGCAGGCCGGGAGTTTGACAGCTTCAGCTGAAGGAAGACCTCCGAATTTTACAACGGGAGGGCAGATATCCCATCGTCCCTCACGTAGAGGTGACTCTAATCATGGTTCATCTCATCCTCTTTGACGCGTCCCTCATTCAGATGGCGTAAAGTCTGCTTCCAATTCAAACAATCTCACCAGCCGACATGTTCATCAGCTCATCGTCAGATTCTGGAGTCTTAATTGCCGACATTAGTGAGGAATACGTGGCACTGCCACTCCATTCCCCCACCTTTACCCAGCAAATCCGCAGGGAACTTGCCTTTCCGCCATGCCAAATCCGCCGCTCATCCAATGAGACAGTGAAGCGTCTCGGATCCACGTCTTGAAGAAAACGTGGGATCGACGAACGGGGTCCCGGCATTTGCGCGTAAAATGTTGCCGATTTGAACCGTTGCAGAACCCCCTAACCGACCTGTCAAGCGTGTCCGGCCGGGCCTTTGATATTTGTTTCTTCGCGACCCATTCCTAGTTTCTTTTCTTACACTCACCCTCCGCCTTGTGGCTTTTCTATTTAGAATCCCATTAATCGCGGCGAACATGAGCAGTCCGACCGCGACCGGCCAAGCCACCTCCGCCGCGGAGCGGCCCGCTGCGGCGTCTGCAGCTGCCGGCTCCCCATCCGCGGCTTCCGACACAGTGCCCGCGCAAATCGAGGCTCAGGTCATCGAAGTTGCTCCTCAAGTGGTGAGGAGCTCTTATTCCACGGCCAACAACCAAGTCACATCTTATCCCATGCTGATGCCTTGCCGCTTATTAGGAGGAGGAAAACGACGATGACGCAGACTCAGCCGTTGGTGATGGGTGAGATGCCATGCCATCGCGTGCCTGAAAAAATGAGGGCTTTGTTACTGACTGGCTGGTGAAGACAAAACTCCACCGCGTCGATCACGTCTAGCATCCTCGAGTATCGTACCATCCAGGGCCGTAGATTCCATAGCGAACGGCACGATACCAAGTACTTCACCCCCAACGACGATCAGCAGTCGGAATCGGTCGATAGTGAGTGATCCCAGACTTTGCTTGTGAGCCACTCACTGACACGCCGACAGTTACTCATCACTACCTGAACATTCTTTTGGACGACAAGCTGTACTTGGCACCGATCGACGAGAATGTCGAAGTTCGTATTGTCTCGCCGAGCTGATGATGCCGAACTAACCCCTCGGCAGAAAGTACTCGACGTGGGAACCGGCACAGGTGCGCAAACAACCCTTTACCTTGATTCGCGCAAGCATGGCTAACAAACAGACAGGCATCTGGGCCATGTAAGGGAGCCAACAAGCAGACCCAATCCTCACACTCAAGCAGGCACTGACGAACGAACCAGGGACTTCGCCGACGAGCACCCAAACACGCACATCACCGGCACCGACCTCTCCCCGATCCAGCCCGCCTGGGTACCCCCGAACGTCCACTTCGAAATCGACGACTGCACCCAGCCCTGGACCTGGGACCCGGACACGTTCGACTTCATCCACATGCGCTACCTCTTCGGCGCCATCATCGACTGGGGCGCCCTCTTCAAGGAGGCCTACAGGGCGTGCAAGCCCGGCGGCTGGGTGCAGTCCGGCGAGGCCGAGGTCGAGTTCCGCAGCGACGACGGGACGATCCCCGAGGACAGCGCGATGGCGTCGCTGTGGTGGAAGCTGTACGTCGAGGGCGGGGCCAGGCTCGGCCGGCCTTTCGACGTGATTTCGAAGGATTTGCAGAAGAAGAGCATGGAGGAGGCCGGCTTCGTGGATATTGTCGAGAAGACTTTCAAGGTTTGTGCGACGACGTCGATGTCTGAATTCGCGCTGATGTCTTTTGCAGTTGCCTGTCGGTGGCTGGCCTGCCGATCCTAAGCTTGCCGAGGTTGGGCGATATGTCCAGCTCACGATGGAGAACGATATTGAGGGTACGGCATCCTCGTATTTGTCCCTGACGAAAGAACGGAGCTAATGAACTCGTGCAGGTTACACGCTTCTCATGTGGAACAGCATCCTCCAATGGCCCAAGGATGAGTATCAAATCTTCTTGATGCAAATGCGCAAAGAGCTTCGATCGAGAAAGATTCACAGCTTCATGACGGTCAAATACGTCTACGGGCGCAAACCGGAAGAAAAGGCTGCGTAGCATGGACTGAGGCCTCTGAACCCATGTTGATTTCCGTTGGCAATGTGGTTTCCTCGTTTGTCTGGACATCTTCTTTGTCTTGAGCTGCGCGCGGTGCAACATGTTTGTCGTTTCCACGAAATCTGCAGGTTATCTGAATGTAGCGAACAAACAACATGAAAGTCGAGTTCACATCCCAGATCCCAGAAGCTTTCAACTCTGTATTACCAACGAGTTCGGAGTTTTGATGCAAGGGACGATGGTGAGGTGGTAAACGAACCACTCAGGCTGTAGAAACTGTCTTGATGCCAACAGTCCAACTTCTCTTCTTAGTCTTGTAGCACGACCCCAACATAACATCATAATCCAAAACTTCCGGGCTACAAAAGACGTCACAATTCTCGGTTTTCTCTCCCCCCCAGACATCCGAGACTCACGACAACAGCATCTTCTGATACCCGTCAACTCAAATCACAATGAAGTTCTCAGCCGTCCTCTCCCTGCCCATCCTGCTCGCCGTCGGAGCTCTCGCCAGCTTCCGGGACAAATGCACCTTAAGAGACTTCGATCCCACCAGCGACGGGAACCCCACCCTGTACTACGAATGCCCGCTCGCGAATCCCACAGCGTGGCCGTACAAATCCTGCTCCAAGATTCACCTCAACGACTGCTTCGTCAACGTCGTGGGCAAACTCTGGGTTAGAAAGAAGTACGTCTCCAACTTCCACAACTCTGAAAAAGCATCATCGACGTAAGATACTAACTGGTGGACGTGTCGCAGTGGCGCTTTTGGCAAGAGCTGCAAGGATTGCTCCTACACCCACGACTCTGGTGAACTCAAGTGCTCCTGCGAGAACGGAGGCGGCGGTCACGGCGATTTTTACGACGGTTACAATAAGACCTCGATCAACGTTGGTCAGTTCTACTGCTTTTTTTCCTGTTGTGATAAGTATCGAAGATTTTCTGACGATTCTATGCTCGCAGATGAGGTTCTTCGGTTTGTGGACTCAAGCAAGGTTGGCTGTCACGGTATCATGCCGGGAAACAACTGCGGCCGGACCTAATGAGCGACAGAGTCTTTCAAATTGTCAAAGGGAGGGTCTTTACCAGGAGACCACTTCGGGACTTCATGTCATCAGTTGAGAACATCGATTTTGCATCCTTAATTCGTACCTCATACTAGTCACCGCATGGGAGCACAGATCAATCCTGAATGCACCAACCGCGAACATTAACACCCTCGTCTCATCCAACCGTGATACCCATAGCAGAGACGAAAGCCCTTCAAAGAGCCCCGACAGAAACCCCCACACCAACTCATCCCGACCACCCACTCATCACTTGCTCGGAACCGTGCCGTACACATCATCACTCCAATACTCGTCCCCCTGGTCCCGACACGTCTTCAACACGCACCTCTTGAGACTGCCCCTGTTGTCCGAGTTGGGCGCCGTGATGCGGTACGCCTCGCCGGTGGCCTTCCACCCGTCGCTGACGCTGCCGCACGTGTAGGCCTCCCAGTCGCGCACCTCGTACTCGGTGTGCGCGACCGCGTACCACACGCAGACCGTGTCGCTGCCCTCGCCCTCGCACGTCCACGTGCTGCCCGTCTCGACCGTCTCGGACACGGAGAAGCCCGCGCTCGTGAAGCCGCGCGGGTCCGATATCGACGCGCTCCACCCGATGCTGTACGACTTGACCTGGCTCTCGCCCACGCTGCAGGCGTTCTTGCCGTCGCAGGCTATGGGGACCTGTGAGGCGCATTTGTTAGGTGACGTGTTTGTGGGCATGGAAGGTGGAGGGAGAGAGGTGGGGGTCACGAACGCTGAGTTGTTTTTGGAGGTACTTTTGCTTCGGTTTTCCGTCCCCTTCCTTGCGCGTCTGGGTGTTTGTGAAGCATGGGGTTGGGAATTGGCGGGCTTTGAGAGGCGAGGTGTCGGCGGTGTGGTCATCGAGTGGCATGGCCGAGGCCATTGCGGAGAGGAGGAATGAGAAGAAGGTAGCTGACGGACGCATGTTGGTTCGGATGGAGCTGGAGATGATTATGTTGTAGTTACTGGCGGCTTGATGGATCGTTCTTTGGGACTTGTGTAGTGATGATGAGTGAAGTCTGTGTGGGTGACGAGGCATGAATATCGCTTGTGACGCCAAACCTCTCTCTTTTACATATCTCACGATGTGCAAGGCGTATTGCTCCTCGAGCTGCGTAATGTGCTTCCGCATGCAAGACAATCTTCTCACACAGTCAGAAGACTCTGAGGCTTGAGTTACATCCGACGAGTGTTTGCCTTCTCATCTACATCGTCTGCCCAATTCAGGCAACGAGCGGCTCATGCATCATCGCTCAAACCCTTTAGAGATTTACTTTACGATACTACTATCAACCCCAAGACATATTCGTCTTCCCGTACAACTACAACCGGGCGTTATCCAACAATCCGGTCTCACAGTTCGCACACGAGAGACTGACGTGATGTGTATGTTTTGAGGTGAGCCCAAGACATCGTATCTTGTAATCGGCCATACGACCGTCTCATTTCCCTCCTCCTTCGGGCACGGTGGAGGCTGTGGAGGATTTCGGGGTCATGGCGGGAACGGGTGACTGATGTGCAGTCTCAGTCTCACACGGCCTTGGCGTCAGCATGGAGGAGATCCTTCTCCACGCTGCTTGCAGTTTCTTCGTAGAAGCTTGTTTCGACTCAGCCTTATGAGAATGACGATGATATGCTACGTGAACTTAGAAAAAGGACTCACTCGTCTTCTCGTGTTATGAGATACTCGTTAAGAAGCAACCGGAATGCGACATAAGAGGTCGTGTGAGGTAGAAGGAGAGCAAGTTTAAGAAAGAAGAGAAATGAAACAAGACCTGTAAAAATAATGCATCGCTCAGATGAAGAAAATGAATTGCTAATCTGAGGCCCCGTCTAGTCGAATGAGGCGATGTCATTGCCACTTCTCATGTAGACAACATTCAGACTCATGGTTAATGAGCTCGCCACATATCAAGGTTATGAGTCGTAGTTGCTACATGAGACTCAAGCGTGGAGGCACTTATATCATGTCCATATTGCCGCAATGTGGTTCGTACAAAATGGACGCTGGGAGCATTAACGCGAGTACTGGCCAGGATTCTCATTTTCCTATCATCGCAATATAGTTCATCAAATACATACATAGCATTGAAAGTAATCTAGCAATTGAATATTTCCTCCGTGGAATCATAAATATCACGATTCATCATAGGAAGAGAATGAAAAAGAAAGTCCTCGCAGTTGCGAGAGTGACAAATTAATCACTCCTTTGCCTCGGCGTTACCATAATGAGGTACCTCCATCATCGATAGGGAGCTTGACCAATCACAGCAACCCACACCCTATCAAACCCCCAAATCTGTTAAGGAATACATCTCACCCCCCTCACCCCTCCCTCACCCACCAAACCGATTCACAAACAACACACACCTCCACCCCGCCTCCGACAAACCCTCCCTCCAGCATCCCCGGAGCCGCTCCGCGTCGTACGCCCGCCCGCCCGCAAAATGCCCCGCTCCGAAGAAGCCGCAATGTTCTTCGCCGCCGTCTACTCCGCCGTGCAGGAGATCCCGCGCGGCCGGGTCACGACGTACGGCCACATCGCGCGGCTCATCGGAACCCGTGAGTCCCCCCGTCGTTCTCCCATCTCACATCTTCCCTCTTCACGTCGTCTTTACCGCCCCCGCCTCCTCATCCATCGCCAGCTACCGATCACCGGGATGAAAAACCATGCGAGAGAGAGAAAGCAAGACAAAAACACCGACTAACTCCCTACAACAGCCGAACGTCCCCGCCAGGTCGGCGTCGCCCTCAAACACCTCCCGACGGACCCCTCCCTCCGCCACAACCAAGACACGGTCCCCTGGCAGCGCGTGATCAACAGCAAAGGCGCCGTGTCGCCTCGGTACGTTCAGATCTCAATCTCTACCTGCCTTCCTTCCTTGTTCACGTCTTCCGTACAATCCTACACTCATTCACAGCCCTAACCTCGCTTCCTCCCCTCTCCCCTTCCTCTCAGGCTTCCGAGCAGAGACACGTCCAACTAACGCCGGCCGACACAGCTCCCAACCCACAGGCGCCCGGAACCAAGCCGACGCCCTCCGCGCCGAGGACGTCGAGGTGACGCGGACGGCCCATGAGTTCCAGGTCGACTTTGAGTCGTACGGCTGGTTTCCCGACGTATTACCATCTGAGGAGGGGGAAGCCGCATGAGTTGATAGCAGTCGAGGACCGCCAGTGCTTTAGTTTTGTGATCCAGTCACCAAGGGTATCATGATGAGTACCGCCTGGATGGATAAAGACACGAGACATCACGATGAACGGCTACAAAATCAACTTCTAAAAGCTTTTATTCAACCGACTCCGTCTGGTTCGGCGCGCACTAGGATTAGCCAAGGTATATGATGTATGCTTATTCCCCAGAAGGTCTCCTCCCGTCTCAAAAGTAGTCTAACGAATGCCTCCCAGGCTGCCCTTCCCGGCCCCCGACAACCGCACGACCATCCGCCTGTAATCCCTCCCTCGTGCCGTCATCAGAGCACGTCGTTGGTCTTGCTATTCGTAGACGAGTTATGTAAGAGAAAATAATTAAGATAAGACAGAAGAAGTGAAGGATGAAAACTTTGTCCGTGATGCATGAGCAAAAGCCGCGCAGTGGTATTGAAAAAGAAAACAACAAAGACATCAAATACCCTTGGTAGAATGACGCAAGTACGAGCCGCCAGTCTGAGAAACTCCTGCCCATTTTTTGGGTTTCGCCATGCGTACGGGGCAATCATCTTCGGCCAGCATAAACGTGTCGCAAATGTAAGAATACAGCGTCGCAAAAGGGGTAGTAGTAAAAAGTGCCAATACGAAGGATTCAAAGAACTCCCCTGCCCACAAAAGAAATCAGTGATTTTGCTGTCACGCCTCGCGAGGCGCCTCACGAGGCAAACGAATCCAGACGGGTTCGGCCTTCGTGAGAGGTAAAGCCCCAGCAGCAGGGCTTCGCCTAGAAGCAGTTGAGGGAGCCCTTCTTCTTCTTCTTGGACAAGGCGTTCATGCGCTCCTCCAGCAGGCGCTGTTGCGCCTCGGCAGCCTGTCGCTTCTTGCGCTCCTCCTCGACGGCATGGAGACTCCAGCGGTTGTCTTGCTGGGGTGTCGGGGCAGGACGGTCCTTGAGCTCCTTGATCTCGCCCTCCAGCTCCACGCAGCGTTTGCGCCAGGCATCGCTGTCGGCCTTGACCTTGTTGGATTGGCGCTCGAGGTCGGTGAGCGCCTCCTCGAGGGTTTGGGTGAGTTGCTTCTCGGCCTGGAGGTGCTTCTCGATGGTGCGTATACGGGCTTCCTGGTCCTCTTGAATCTGGTTGACCGAGCCGTGGTTGTCCTTGCTGGCAGGGCGGTTTCCCTGTGTCGGGGTGCTGGGCACCGTTCCATTCGGGCCGGAGCCGGGTAAAGGGGGAAGAGGAATGGCGGGCGGGGGAGAGGGCAAAGAGGCGGCTGAAGCGCTCTTCCGCAGCGGCGAACTGATGGAGTTGGATCGCTGGACGTGACCGGAGTTTGAGGCCTCGTCGATCTTGACCTGTACATCGTTAGCTTCTGTGCTGCGTCGTTGTGGACAACAATGTCTTACCTGAAGAGCGGCATACTCAGCCCTGAGCGCCTCAAGCTCCGACTCGGCCTTGAACTTAGCAGCCTGTGCGTCTTCGATTTGGGCATTACGCTCTGTCTGCAGGGTGGACAGGCGGTTGTTGGTCATCTGCACCTGGTCGAAGTTGCTCTGCAGTTGATCCTCGAGCTCCTCCACCAGACGGGAGTTCTTCTTGTTCCTGTGCTCCAGGTCCGAGATCTTCTTACGAATAGCGGACAGCTGGTCGGGAAGAGGAGCGGGGCTCTTGATGGGCTCGCCTTCGGCGGTAAGCAGATCGGTCAATGTCGACTTGGCTTGCTCTAGCTCCTTCAAGATGTTGTCGTTGATAGTGGAAAGCTCGTTCACGTGCTTCTGGATCTCGCCAGACTTCTTCTGTTCTTCGCCCAGGGCCTTCTGATCGGCGATGAGGTCTTCGATGCGCTCTGTGATCTTTTCGATGCTGACGTCGAGACCAAGAGCAAACGCGACCTGAGTAGCAACCTTCATAAGGTCCTCCCGGGCGTCGTTCAGCTCGCACTCGAGGACTCGGACATTCTCGGCGTGCTCGTTCAGGAGAACGGCGACCTGCTCCTCGTAGCCCTTCTGCTCCAACTGCTTCATCTCCTCCAGTTCCTTGGCGTGGTTCTCCTGGAGCAACTTCATGCCGTCTTGATGAGTCTTCAGGGCTTGCTCGTGAGCAGCGATTTGGTTCTCGAGGTTGGAAATAAGGCTCTGCTGTGTCTTGGCTTGCGTCTCGTGCAGGTCGCGGGCCTTGATGGCCTCCTCCAGTTCAGTCTTCGTGGCTTCGTGGACGGCCTCGAGCTCGGAAACCTTGGAGGCGTTGGCATCGATAGCCGACTTGTACTCATTGATCTCGTCACGGAGGGCATTGACGAGAGTCTCATGCTTCTCCTCAATCTCCTTGACTTCTTCAACGCTCCGCGAAGCAGATTGCTCCGCAGCCTTGGAGTTCAGCGCAATGATCTGAGACTCGAGCTCCTCAATCGTGTTCATCATCTTGGTCTCTGTCTCCTGCATCGTGTCGAGGGCGGTCTGGTGCTTCGTCTGCCAGCTGGACAACTCGGCCTGGAGCTCGACAATCTTCTTGTCGTTCTCCTCTGTCGTTGCCACGTCCCTGGTGCTGACATCGGTAACCTCGGTGGATGCCTCGGGAACAGCCGCAACAGCGGCGGCGGTAGCTGCGGCAACGGCCGTCTCTGAAGGTTGCTCGACAGTGGCCTCTTCCTTAACAGCTGTACGCAGGCTCTCGAGCTCGGCCATCAGCTTCTTCTCGGTAGCATCGTGAGTCTCTCTCATCTCCTTCATCTGCTTCTCGCTAGCCTCGAGCTGATTCTTCAGAGTGGACACAACAGACATGTCCATGGGTGATGCCTGCAAACTGGATCGCTCGCGAGTGAGGCCGGAAATGATAGTCATCTTTGTCTCGATTTCTTTCTTGGTCGACGCGATATTGGCCTCGAGTTCCTGGATCCTCTCTGACCGCGCATGCAGCTCGTGCATTGCGGCGTTCAGGTTCAGCTCGAAGTTCTGCATGACGTCGGGCTGCTCTTCGAAGTTCTCCGCAGCGATGTTACGGAGCGAGGCGAACGATCGGTGAGCGCGATCAATGATCATGACGTTCTGGCTCGACTTGCGGCGGATGACGGGTTGACCGCTTCGTGGCGAAGTGACCTCGAGTGCCTTGGCTTGAGCGACTTCTGTCTTCAGCTCTTCGAGCATATCCAAAGCCTCGTGGTGCTTCTGTTCAAGTTGAGTATACTTCTGAGCCAGCTCCTTCTCCGCCAATTCCTTCTCAGCCGCGAGTGTCTTGAATTTCTCGACCTCTGTGGTAAGGAGGTCCTGGTGCATGAGATCCTCGGTCGAAGTGTGTTCGGCGTCGGACTCTCCTTCAGGCTTGGCAGTCGCAGTCTCGGCATCAGAGGGGTCGGCGTTCGCGGGTGAATCCATCGCAGAGGACAACTCTGACGACAGTGATCTAGATGAGAACTGGCCGTTCTCCTTGACGTCGCTCGACCTCGCGTCCGAGAAGAAAGAAGGCGGTCTTGTAAGGTTGGGAGAAGTGACAGACATCATCGAGTCTCGCACCTTGCGCTCAGGGTGTCGCGACTCGTCGATAGCATCCTGGAGGTCGGCCAAGGTGCGTAATGCCTCCTCATACTTGGAGTTCAAGAGGTCAAACTCGGTGATCGTCGTCTCGTGTTCGACGCGCAAGTCGAGAAGTTCTTGAGTGACGTTCTCGAGCTTGTCCTGGACAAACTTGGACTGCGCGGGGCTCGGTGGCGGGTACTCGTCCTTGTCGGCGTTGAGATTTTGCTCCTGGGCGTCGGGCGTCCTCACACCGGCCTTCTCGCTGGTTCCGTTCCTCTCGCTCGAGTCCGTCGCCTTGCCTGATGATGACTCCTCTTCAACACCTTCGGGGATGACGTCGCGGCTCATTCGGCTGACATGAGAGTGGCTTCGGGAGTGGTCGGCAAACTGTCGTCGCGCCACACCGTTGGGGCCCTCTGCGTCAGGCTCAGGAACCTTGCTGTCGCCTTGAATATGGTCCAGTTCGGTGAGAAGAGAGTCCAGCTTTCCGAGGGACCGTTGGCGCTCAATGACCTGCTCGAGTCTGTCGATTTCGCGCTGCATAAGCTCGGCATCTTGATCAGCCTCGGCAAGTCGCTCTTCCAGTGTCGAGATATAATCTTCGCAAGAAGCCTCATTCTCCCTCAAGCGCGAGATCTCCTTACGGAGCTCCACGATGATCGTCGCATTCTTCTCTTCTCCGGAGGTGTGGCCGTCGAGCTTGTTTTCTAGGTCGTGGAGGTAGTTCTCGGTGCTGGCCTCTCGGTCCATGAGCTTCTGTAGTCGTGCCTGCAGCTGAGTGTTGATGGTCTCGATATACGTGCACTTGGACTCTTTTTCCAACAAAGTCGCCTCGGTGTTTGAGAGAGTGCCGCGGGTGTTGGACAGGGACTGCTCGAGGGTCTGAATCGTCTTTTCGTATTCCAGAACGACTTGTTCGACGGCGGCGGCAAAGGAGTTTGAGCGGTTCAGACGCTCCGTTGCAGTGTCGCCCAGCGACTCCTCGAGATGGTCGTTCTCGGCCTGTTCGTTGTCGCGGGCCTTAGCCATCTCGGCAATTAACTTCGCGTGACGTTGACTCAGGGTCGTGTAGTTTTCTTGGGCGTCCAGCAGCTGGTTTTGCAACTCGACCTCCCTCTCGTTCTGTCGCTCGGACCGCTCGCCTGCAGAGGCTATGCGTCGCTCGCCCCCTCCCCGCTCCGCACTACGGATTTGTTCCCGCAAAAACGCGACCTCGGCCTTCAGACGATCAATGACTGCCTGCTTGTCACCTTCTTCCACCTGCTGGATCCGGGGTTTACTCTGGATAGCTCGGGCCCTCTGCGCATATTGGACGGTGTTTAGTGTCTCGCTAAGATGGAACTCAGCCGGAGTCACGCAAGCAATCATGTAGGTGATGGCATTTCCGCCGAGTGAGTCTTGTAGAAGGCGGGTGAGTTTGGAGTCACGGTAGGAGACGTGCGATCCAGCCTGGCGCGATGACAACTGAGAAATGACCTTGCCGAGCGCGGCGAGTCCGGCGTTGATCGAGATACCCTCCTTGGCGCGTTCACCTTGGGCACCTGTGTTCTTGAGACGTTCACTGCCGGCCAAATCGACGAAATGGAGCTTGCTGTCCGTTGTCACCCAGGTCTCAGACCCCGTCATAGCTTCGATGGGGACGGAGAACCGCTTGTCGGCACCATTAGAGGCCTGCAGACCGTTCTTGCGTTGTACCAAGTTCAGACTGAATACGGCGTGGGAACGGGAAGACCTAGCATTAATGGCCGTCGCATCTGTTTGTCGGAGGGTCGAGCCGAAATTCAATGCCCGCATGAGGTCTTCTACCGAGTTGATCTCGACTTGCCGCAGGCCGGTCAGAATGATGTTGCCCTTGACGTCTTCGCGAATCGTAACATTGGTGCGCTCATGCTGTGGGACGTGGTCCGGGACTAGGAGATCTCGCAGCTGTTCGTTGTAGATTTCGACGTATGTGGCCTTCAGGGACCAGTTTCGTTCGGATGACGAGCCCGCCGCCCCTTGGGCCGAATATCGGTTGGGTGTACGCAGTTGAGACATGGAGCCTCGGTTCGCCTGCTTTTTCGACCCATCTAGCTTCTCGAACAACGCTGTCGCCGCTCTGGGAATGACACCTGGACAGATATTTGTCAGCTGACGACCTATTGAGGCTGGACGCGCCTCGGGGAATACAAGTTCGCTAGAGAGAAAGGCGGTGGAACTTACCCATGATCTCGACGTCGCTCTGCTCGTTGGGCCCTGACGTGCCCATCGTGTACGACTTTCCAGCTCCTGATTGTCCGTACGCCAGGAGCGAGACATTGTAACCCTGAATAAACGCGGTGACGCAATCGTTCAAGTATTCCCAGATACCCTCCTGGTCCACGTCGGAGCCGAAAACGCGGTCGAAGACGAACAGTTTCTTGCCTTGGGGCGAGTCGATGGCGATGTTCGTATTTGAGGTGACCTGGACCATGGACCGTTGAAATCGTTGGGGGATTAATTCGTATCCGGGGTCTGTGGGCTGGAGTGCTGGCCGAACGCGCACGGCTGTGTTGGAGAAATATTGGTGGTTAGTGGTGTGATGTCCTGTTTGCACGAAAAGGGGGGTAGGCGACGCGACGTCGGGTCTGGCGACGAATGTCGATGCCGCCGGGAGGCGAACTTACCGACTTTGACGGCGGTCCGGGCATCTTCGTCAGAAGCTCTGCTGCCGCCGCCGTGCTTGCTGGTCATGCTCATGCGGCTATTACTTCTGGGCGTCGGTCGCACCATTGCGCTCATCGGTCTCTGGGGCATATGGTTCCCGGGAGAGGCCGGCGGCGAGCTGGCCATGATGGGAGAGGAAAGAAGAGGAAAGGCTTCTCTCGATCGGCACGGGAGGAAATCGTTCCTCCTTGTATAAGGTTAGGCGCGCGAGGCCAGAGACAAAAGGTCGACGAACTGGGGTGTCGGGATTGTGCAGTCCCCAGGTCAGACCCTGTGTCGTTGAGGGTATGAAGCACTGTTCAGTATCTGGTGCTGTTGTGCCGATGTCTCAAAAGTGTAATCGGATCGATGTGGGCGGTGGAATTTGGGTGCGTGGAGGGTTCCCGTCGCGGAAGCGTCGACTTCCATGCACTATTCTTATGCTTCGTTCGTGGGTACTCGTTGTTTGGGAATGTCGTTCGTGAGGTGCAAAGGAGCGGATGGGGCAGCGTTTTCCTTCACCGGGGCATCGGCAGCGCAGCAGTCGTGATGGCTCGGTGCAGGACGTGAGGACGCAAGCGTCGTGCAGTCGAGAGTCGAGAGGCGAAAGACAAACAACAACGGAAAGCAAATGGCTCGCGGAGTCGGGTGCTGCGGTACCCAGTGCCGTTGCGTTGCGTCGGGTTGCGGAGCGAGCTCTGCGTTGTCCGGCGTTGCTTGGGAGCGCGAGATTGTTGGAGATGTTCGGAGGATAGGGTAGCCCGGGATAATTGACTGTTTTGTTGCGCGGCGTGCCGTCCAGTCGAAATGGATTGGGGGGGGTTGTCCAACAAGTCAGGGGTGTGTATGGACGAGGCGGAAGAGAGGATCTTTCGCTGGGCTTGCTGATGTGTGTGCCGTGCGGTGCCAATGCCAACGTGCCAGTGCCTGTTGTTCCTGGCTTCGTGGCAGAAAATAGTGGTGGACAAGTGGTAGACTGGACCGGACTGGACCAGCCTGCAGCGGACTGGCGTGGTGGTGGACTACCTAGCGTGGAGCGGCAGCAGAGCAGAGGCCAGAGGAGAGGAGAGCAGAAGCAGCAACAAGGGGCTACCAGGCCAGGGGAGTCGACGGACGGTGGTGGTGTTTATTTCGAAGGCCCCGACAGGCGTGGATGGGTGGAAGCGTGGATGGGCGTGGACAATTGGAAATGACCGGGGTGAAGCACGCTGGGTGGATGTCTGGCAAATTAGAAGCGCGTCGGAATCGGCCTCTGATTGGGAGGCGCGCAATGTGACGGATGCGCCCGTTCTCGCAGTCGAGCAAGCGAGTCGTTTGCTGAGCCGACTCGGGGATGAGCTGGAGGGTCTCTTGCTGTTCTGGTCGTTTTGCGAGGGAAATATCCCGGGCGATCGTCGCTGTCGCAAATGCCACGATGCTGCCGAGAGGAAGTTGAGGCCGGGGATGTTTTGGGCAGGAGAAAGAGGAGAGAAAAGAAGGCCGGAAGACAGATGGAAGAAGACGTGGACAGCACCTCGAGAGAAAAGAGGCAGGAGGCGAAAAATTGGTCAATGGCGGAAAAAACGACCAACGAACCGTGGATGACAAACAGGAAAGAGCAAAGTGGTCGGACTTGCCTCGCCTCACCTGTTTGTTTGTTTGGTCGTCGATGCATCAAGTCGACAATGGAAGTCAGTGCCATTATTATTAAGGTGCCATATTACTGTACGGATAAGCACGGGAAGCCAGCAATAAGGTGATGAGGTGCAGCCTGCGGGCATCGTCACTGCTGCATCGAGTCTATTCAGAGTTACCAGATGGAACCCGTTGAATCGTCTGAATCACCACCAAAAGATGTCGATAATTCGTAGTTCATTCTCCCCTAAAAACACACCAAATCACTGATCACTGGCACCAGGCGAGAGGAAATGGCCGAGAGTCCGGCGAATACTAAGGTACTTGGCGATAGGTACCATGGTACAGGGTTAAGGGTCCAGGCCAGGGATGGCCATGCATTTGAGGGGGCCGTGTTATTCAGGGCCGTTCGCCTTTTGACTCTCAATTCGAGAGTCTCAAATAATTAGTAGGCATGAGACATGTCAACGGGACGGGTATGATTCCATATCTTTGCAATCCAAAGGAAGAGAGACAGACGCTAACATAGAGGCCACCTCGTCACTGAGTCCTCCAAACGACGCAGACACACACGTTTCCGTCGGTTAGGACCGTTTTGTTCTTCATCAGGGGGTGAGATTGGGGGCTACCTTTTAAGCCCATTCAGGACCATTCAGCGACGAGTAGGCGGTCTCGAACAGGAAGAGGCTGTTTTGGTGCCGGATTTCAGGACTTCTACGGATAAGGGAAAACACCATTCTATCACTTATTGAGGAGAGAGGAAAAGCAGAAAAAAGAAGAGAGAGACCACTTGGACCACCAGACGTGAAAAAGCCGGGGTGCACGCCAGGCGGGGCATCCGGGTGCGCTCTAGCCCGAATCGGGCATAGCGGCTGATGAACCCCGTTGCACCAGTCAGATGTTCAGCAGAAAAGAGAAAGAACTGCAAACCGCCGACCGCCAACTGCCTGCCCTAAGATGAATTCGGGGAAGCACCTTCTTGCCCAGTCTGCAAGGCACAGGAACAAGTGAGAGAAATCCGAGGCAAGCACGATGCAGGTACAGGTATTCATACAAATGGAATGGGCAGTTACCAGCTGCATCGTGCCTTCCTCTGCCGGACACATGCTATGAGGTACGTACCCTCACCGGCCTCCACACCGGACGCAGGGACCAGCTTGCCCCCAACTTTCCCTTTTTTTTTTCCACGAACCCACCGAAAAAATGCGTCCACCCTTGAGGTGACTTCGACTTGACACGAGCCGTTGAAGCGACAACTGCCCAGGCCAAAAAAAAAAAAACAAGCAGCAACTTGAGTGAAACGACAAAACAACACTCTCCATCCTTGTACCGGTACTTCGGGACACCGTCGTCGCCTGGACCCTTTTTTTCGGACATCGCCAGCCTTCGGGGTCCCGTCTCTCGGGTCCTGTCCCTTCTCACAGGGCAGAGACACGTTGCGAAGGGAGGGAGATAACGCAGCAAGATTTTATCATCAGACTCGAGAAACGCCTATCGCGCTTCTACGATTCCCATCCTGCAGATCCGCGCGGCCGGTCGGTCATTAATCACATTCCAGCAACCTGAGGACCGCAGAAGTACTCCGTTCGCCTGCATTTGCACTTGAAAACTCGTCAGTTTTCTGCGCAGACGATAATTAATAACATTTCTTTTTCCTCAGAACCATGGCCGATGCCCGGGCAATTCAAACACGCCAAATATCACGGGAAAATCCACAATAGGCCTTTCGATCCATCCATTGGCTGCTATCCAGGAAATATTGCATTCTCGATGCCTACTATCCGTCAGCAGACTACTACGCCAGCTGGGCCCGAAAAGCCGGCTAGAAATACACTTCCGGCCGAAGTCCCGTCTCACACATCTACCGGTTCCTGAGACGTGACAGCTATGTACCAGCCATACATAGCGAACCCAGAATGGAGCCACTTGACTTCCGCGGGAAAACCGATCTGGCGGGAGCACAGCTGGAGAGCTGAAGACAGACGCTGTACGAGCTCGAGCTGAGACTCGACCCGAGAGACAATGGAGGCGAATGACGACTGTGGTCAGCCGCCTTGTTCACAAGCTTCCAATCCAAGCTCGGCTCTGAACCTTTTTGCTTGATACCACCAACCAATGCCTCAGACCAAGTTCCAATATCCTACCCGATTGCTGTTACCAGCCAGTAGCACCACCCGAGTCTGTTCGTACTGGTAATTGGAACCAAGACGCCAGCTTGACGAACCACTGCGCATCCAAAGACTGCCCCGGACAGGGCCCATGATTCGTCTTCAGAGTCCCCATTATCTTAGGTGGATGATTAAGACGAAGCCGGATCAGACCATCATCTGCCGTCTCGAGGCATTGATCGACCTTCCCGCCAATATCACCCAAAACCTTATGCGCCGCTACTACGCGGTTACAGTTTGCCAGCGTAACATCCGCGTCGCCATCCTATCACCAGATTCTCGCCAGTCGCCTGTGGAGGAGGAACACTAACGCCGCTACATCGGCTTCGAAGCCTTCCAGGAGCTGACAAACGTGCATTGCATCCTTCCACGAAGAAATCCTCCGAATTCTTGCAGCACGACTTGAACTATTCCAAACTCAAAACTGCCAGCGTTCCACCGTGCGCGAGGGCAGACGCAGAAAAAAGGGGTCTCGCTCGCTTGCCAATCCTATCATCCCATCCATCTGCGATGTTTGGTCCTCCACCAGGTCTGAGGCCCGACGCCCAGCGGCTTCTCTGAGACTCTCGGGATGCCGACAAACTGTCTTCCGAGTCTGAATTAGAAATGATCGGTTCATCTTTCTTCTCGGGTTTTCTTCCATTCCCGCCACTACTGCGCCGCGGAATCCGGATCCAAGGCTCCCAGCATCCATCGTTTCTGTCACCAATCGTCAATCGCGTTCGAATCGGATTCTAGAATCGCCGCTCAAGCAGTGCCCAAATCTAAGACCATTCTACAGTCTTTGCATCATCAACCCGCAGGACTTCAGCGCAAATGATCTTCAGTACGCGATAGACTTCGTTCCCCCCATCCTTGCGAAGAACTTGGTTTGATAACCATACCAAACCCACGTGGGCCAACTGCAAATAGCAGCGTTCATCCCTATTCTGTGGGATATATGCACGTCTTGCTATGGCCCCCAAAACCTCTTGCTTCGCGGAAGTGTAGCACTCTCAGTCCCGCGACCCAGTTGCCACGATGAACTTCTCTTTCTTACGCACCAAACCTCCATATCGCATAAATTGCGACACATTCTTACGCGGTCGGCAAGAAAGATTTGACTTTCGAACCACCGGGAGACCCTGATGTCGTCGACCGAAAAACCTGCATATTCCTAGCTAGGTCGAGCGGAATACCCTCCCGCTCAAGCACAAGCCAATTCATCCACATGAGTTGGTGGCAACGCCCACGAACGGCCTGCCCTTTTCTTAGCTACGCGTTCGCGCACGACACGCAGGGTTGTGGTGGCTTGCCGCCGTCTCTTCTTCTCTTCGACCCGCCGTTCTCATCTTCCTCCACAATATACTACCGTTCCTGTTTCACCATGCACCGCCCATCTCATCACCACCGCCCATGCGAACCTGTTTTTGCTGAACCTCGCATCCAGGCAGCCTTTCGGGATGACTTGTTCGCTTGTCGCGGGGTTCTCTTCTCCCGCTGGCCGGCTTTCCGCCTTGTCCACAACGAACTCCGCCGTGCCACACATGAACCCAAAGATAGCAGCAAATCTACTTGCGTCATACGAGGTCGAACTCTTCATGTCGATAAGGCGCGGGACGATCGGTGACCGCTAAGACCTTGTCAAACGAGAACCACGGCACAAATGCGATGGCGGCTTGCAGGGCGTCCCTAACGCGGTTCCGGCCGCTCGCCTCGTACCGCCCATGCAGAGCGGATGAGATGCTGACTGCATACGCCCGGTAGTACGCGCAGCATGCATAACTTGACATCGACAGATGCGGCACAGTGATCGAGCCCGGTGCCACCGGATATCCCGCTTTGCATCTCTAGCCTCAGCCATGTTGTGCGGTGACAGGCGAATGTCGCAGTGGTCGAATGCTCTCAAGTATCACGCTTCCAGGGATCGAATCAACCCGCACGGCGCGATGTTCATCCAGCTGGAACAAAACCTTTCGTCTTGGGTGTTCCAGGCAGGTTGCGGTCTAACCATTTTTCAAGGCGGGAGAGCGCTCTGGTTATATCCTCATAGGCGCGCTCGGTTTCGTTTCGATCTTCTTCCCAAGTTTGGCTCCATGCTCGCATGCATTCATGTTTCGAGGATCATTCCCTACTCGTCGTACACGAGAGTCATAAGCCTCGATTCAGTCTATGGATTTCATCGAGTAAGTCGGAGCCAACGTGCCCGGCAAGTGGGAGATCATTCACATTCCGGTTCCCCGGATATTTGGAAGCTTGTTTGTCGGGCAATCATGGACGTGCCCTGATCGGCGTTTGCTTTTCGGTGAAAGCGCAGTCACGTATCAAAGTCGAATGACATACAGCTCAACCTTAAACCTCGTCATTTCTTTTCGGACTCGGTCAGGTCGAGTCGTCAGCCATTGACAGACTGCAATCTGTGAAGCCAGTGTATGCTGGGTCTGTCCGACAGGACATGTGCTTGTGTCTGGTCAGCTCGCACTCAGATGAAGCGCGATATCGTGATATCACCTTCGTCGTACTCGTCGTTCGCCGGCATCCAGACGAGATCTCGTCATTTCAACCCGCCGGTTATCCATTTTTCATGGAAAATGATCCATAAGGTCTCATCAGTCGTTCGCGGGACGCATGTACGAAAACCCACGTCGTGCGCATGTGGCGCCTCGTTCGGCATCCGGGTCGAGCTCATTGTAATGTTAGTCGTGGCCGGCTGCGCTGCCTGTCCGTCCGACTTGAGCTATGAATGGGCTCACGTATCGGATCATGTTCGCCGAGAGGAGTCTCGAGCCAGAGCACTTCCGGAACGAGGAGTTTATATCATATCTGATTTTACGGGGCCGGTTGGCGCGCCGATATGGAGCCATTCGGAGTGATCCACAGACGACCGAACTTCTCCGCTCCGGATTCTCCACGATGTAAACTCCAACCATCAACGGAGCAAGTTACCAACATGATCATCCCTTTTTTTCACCATCGCTTAGAAGCTTTCCGCTGTCGGGTAGACCTTCTGTCTGTGTCGGAAGCACCCGAGAACTTATCTTCTAAACCCCTCTTAATTATCCCACGTTCCCAGCAGTCAACACCGTAACAGCGAATAACTGCAAGGCTTGACTGTAAGGTTACCAACCCAAATTCGGACTCTCCACGGTCGACTACCAACTAACTCCGCCAAACCAAGATCATCCTAGCTTTTGGGCCTTGCTTCCTTGATTCTCATTGGCCCCGAAGCTTGGCTCGACGGAAACGACACCCCGTGTTGGGCAACATCGACGCCAAGCTCTCAAACTCACAGTCCTCGACGAGTCATAGGCCCTAGACAGTCCGCATACCGCTCCAGTACACGCGTGTTTTCCGGGTTCTGAGTAGATCAATCACGTAGCACCTCCCGGGTTAACTACACCAGTTTGCGTTTCAACAACCTGAGTCTCCAAACTCAAACCCGACTAATGACGGGATATCCGCCCTACAACCCTCCAGGCGGGAGCTGGGCAGTTTATAGGATGAATATGGCCCGCTTGGCATACTCTTGCACAGTCTCCGTCCGCCATTCCACATACGCATGCTTTACCATCACTCGACATCACAGCATTCCCCGCTCGATGTTTATCCACGCAGACGGGGCCCAAGATTCTTGGCTGCTGCCGTGGCTATACCTCCAGAACGACGGGTCTTGACGAATACGCAACCGCAACACCGAGAAACGCGATCGCTGGGCGGGGGACAACCTCGAAGGAACGGCGTACGTCTGTAAGACGGAGCCACCCTCCGCGAAACGAAGAAAACGCGCATCCTACACCGGATCGATCCGAGAAGTGCACCGCTCACAGACCGAACCCGCCAAAGTCCCATAAAAACCAACACACACAGAATGGCCGACAACATAAAAGGCTCCCAGGACCTCTCGCGCGAGGAGGCCATGGCCATCGCCGCCCTCGCGACGGCCGGCATCTACAACGCCCTCGAGATCTACGTCCTCATCCTCTCCACCTTCCGCCAGCGCCGCGGCCGCTACTTCTGGTCCATGGTCGTCGCCAACACGGGCATCTTCATCCACGCCATCGTCTCACTAACACGCTACCTCCGCCGCTCCGGCACCGTCGTCCCCGGCGCCTTCGCCCTCGTCGCCTGGGTCATGATGGTCACCGGCCAGTCCGTCGTGCTGTGGAGCAGGCTGCACCTCGTCGTCTACAACCGCGGCCTCGTCCGCCTCGTGCTGGGCCTCATCGTCGCCAACGGGTGCGCGATCCACGTCCCCATGGCCGTCTTCTGGGTGCTCTGCTGGGCGACCCCGCCGGACGCGCAGGCCGGCTGGATCGAGCGGTACGGCGTGTACGAGAAGGTCTCGATCGTGCTGTTCACGCTGCAGGAGACCTTCCTGACGGGGATTTTTGCCAGGCAGGGCTTCTTCAACCTCAGGCCGCTGTTCGCGTTCAAGACGCGCTCGGCGCGGCTCATCTCGTGGTACCTGCTGAGCCTGTTCATACTCGTCTTCGTGCTGGACGTCGGGCTCGTGGTGCTCGAGTACACGAACAACTTCGTCTTCCAGACGTCGAGCAAGCCGCTGGTGTACAGCATCAAGCTCAAGGTGGAGTTCACGGTGCTGAACCGGCTGCTGGCGTTTACCAAGATGAACTCGTGCGATTGTCACCACCTGAGCGACGGGCCGGGGAGTTTCACGACGGGGATGGTGACGAAGGATAGTAATACGGCGGCGGCGGCGGCGGCGAAGGGACAGGCGGCGGTGGGGAGGGAGGGGGAGGGGGCGAAGCTTAGTGGGAATGGGAATGGGAATGGGATGTCGCCTTTGCCTGATTCTGAGAGGCCTGATCATATCTTTGATGGGCAGTAGCAGGGGGAGAAACGCCGTGTGTTTGGTTGTGTTTGGGAAAAGCATTTTGTGGGCGGAACGGCGTATGGAAGGGCGGCATGGATTTGATACCCCTTAGAGATGACAGCTATGAGGCGATTTTAGACAGCGAAAAGGCGAGGTCATGACTTTCTACTTCTTCGGATTCTCAGCAACAAGTTCCTTTCAGATGAAGGCGCTATTGTGTGTCCGTGCGGATAGTGGGATCAGATGCCAGGCGAGGACGCAGAGTCCATACTGGCACGATTGCGTGTAAAGTGGGAATACTTAATGACCACGGCTGAAGGCAGATAATTGGCGCTCAGTATCGTCCCGTGAAAGACGACCCGGTGCGCGCCCAGCTCTGAAAGAACTTTATGGCGGTTTACTAATATGGTGTTCTTCGATATAGTTATCATAATATTAGCACTCTAGCCTTTTCTATCTCTTGATGAAATAAATGGATGCAAAGAGTAGTTGAACTAGTATTGACAGGCAGTATCATCCCATTTCACCGCAAGTTGAACTTTTGAAATATAACGGAGAATACGATTGCTGAGCTGATGAAATAAGACAAGAACAGACTTGCCGCGGTCCCGTCTCGGCTGCGACGCTGATATGGGAGCATGATGAACCGGTCTTTGAACGTTTCGCCTCGACAGTCATGAACCCCGGAACCTTTTTTTAAGGTTGTTGACGGCAGATCCTTGAGTACGGACGAGCGAGCCCCCCTGCATGATGCAGAGTTGATTTTGTTCTGCGCTGTAACCCTGCATCCGACAGGTTTTCTTTGTCATCCATCACGTTGTTGGATGGTAACCCCGCATGCCGGGAGTTGAATGTTCGGCATCTACTTCGGAAAGTGAGCAAGTCCTATAGACTCGAAGCGTTTTGAAGAACTGAAGGGCGTGTTTGTGGGCTGTTGGGTATTAGCTGGTTCAGCACGCCGGAGGCTGATGATGTTACTGTGGCTGGTTTCGTGGTTGCATGTGGTGTCATAGGTCCTTGTGTATTCACTCATATTGCTATCGCTATTAGACTCTCAGAAAAGCCAACCAGCAGTACCTCTACATACTAAGTGTATCGAATCTGACTGAGGTTTTGAAGTGTTACAGATTGTTTGTTGAGTGTCTACTATAGGATGAAGTTGGTTCAACAAAAGTTAAGCTCAGCTCTTATCGTAGTACTTTCGTCAATCTGAAGTTATCTCACTATCTGGTCCCCTTTTCTATCAAAGAATGTACGTGTCTCATTACATGTTGAATGCTATGAAGACACCATATAAACCCCCACAAACGATACATCAACAAAAGAATGTCCCGGCTCCCGAGCACTATGTTCTGTTCATACTGCCTACTTCGCTCCCAACTGTTACGTCTCGACTTCCACGACCCGACGGACGTCTTCCGAGGTTTCGCGAAACCCAGCAACGCCGTAAACATTTATTCGGCATTAAGGCTTTAGTTGACTACACAAACTCTCATCAGCGTCATTGAAATTATACAAAGCCGAGATTCAACTCGGGATCGTAAGGGAAGTAAAACGTACCCCGCGCGCAACTCTTCTTGTTCTTGCCGCAGATCATCTGGAAGGAAGGCACACACACGTTAGCTTTCTGCCCAGGCCTGTACACATTAACGTATCTGGCGAGGGATTGGAGAACATACGTCCTTTCCTGTGCGGCACGAGTACCGGACGCATTGTCTGGTCATACAGCTGAGCGGGCAGTTGGCGTCGCGCTTGGCAACGGCACCGCCGCACATGGGACTGCCGCAGGCACGCTTGTCGAGGCCGAAAATGTCGGTGAGAGGCTCGTCGTAGACCGGCTCGTCGACGGAGGGCTCCTCGAGGGCGCTCCTGTCGTTCAGGTCGTTGGGGAGGGCGGTGGCCTGGGCGGTGAGGGCGAGCCCGGAGAGGAAGATGAGAGCTTGGGAGAACTTCATGGTGATGGGTTGGGGTGCGAATGGCTGTGTTGGTGTGTTTTGATGCTTGAAACTGCTTGATCTGGGGAATTGGGACTTTTCTCTGTAGAAGGAGAACAGCGTTTTATAGACGTCTTTTCCATGTTATTGGGATGGTTTTTCAAATTCAAAACTGAGACCTTGTGTATGCCTGGATACTTGCGTTCGCCCGGCTAACGAGAGAAAAGGAATTCGTACGCCGAATGGTCCCAACTTCCAAATACTTCGATGTTGGATTCCCGACTTTCACTCAAAATGAGCGGTCAGAACACTCTTGGAAGTCTGTCTTACGAAGTCGTAGAGTTCCTTGTTACACAATTGTCTTCGCGTTTCTTGAAGGATCCATATGCCTAGAGAAGCTAGGTAGCCACCAGCCAATAGCCTTTACACTCAGACGAGTGTGAGCACAGCATTCCAGTTCGATCCTTTCGACTTCCAGATACTATCTGTGGCAACTCCTTCGTGGATCGCAACATCCAGTATCCGTATGTTGCACACTTGGGCCTGTTTGTGATGAAAGATCTTCAATCCGCAGCAGATGCCACGTGACAGATTATTCAGACATCAACGGCTGACGTTGAAAAGCGTCTCCGCATTTGGGACGGAGAATACGGAGAGTGCGGAGAATACGGAGAATAAGGGAGGGCCGAAACATCGAGCTCCGTACTGTCTTCCAATGGGATGGTGACGAGCATGTATCCCCAAATGTTAATGATCATCCCGCTCTTCTCACGTCAGCTGGATGCGTATCACCCACCGCCTGCTTTTTGTTCACGGCGAGAGTCTGGTGACATTATACATACACGCTCTCAAAAACACCCAGAAGTTTCTGCTGATGGGTAATTATCACCGTTATCGTCCATAGGAAGTAGATTATTGAGGCCCTTGGGAGGAGAATGGTAGCAGAGAAGACCTCATGAGCAAGGAGCAGGTCATGTGCAAGTAGTCGGCTTAGTGTTCGCTACGTTAGTAGTATCATTAGATTCATCAAATCGATGTTTTCAGTTCAATCGACACTTTCATCTTGAAGTTGCTAGTCTGACCGCTCGAAATCAGTAATTGCAATTGCAATTCGCTAGGTAACACAATGCAGCAACCCTTATCCTCCTGACTCCATTCGAAATCCCGTTATACCCAGCAAATACACATTTCTCATTCCATTCAGACTGCCATGGCTCTGCCGATTTACTAGTGTAGTAGGGCTAGGTCAAGAAACTGAGCACCGGGGCTCCCGTGAACAGTGTCTTCGGAGAGCCACCACTTTTCAAGCCTGTACCTAGGAACGTGTTGCAAGACAACGTTCTCGTCCAAGCCCTCGCTCACCAACACGTCAACCATCGACTCCAAGCCCAACATCTTGGCAAAGGCCATGGCCTGTGGTCCGGTCTCGGGCGTGTCCAGAACAGCGCCGTTCTCCCTCAGCAGGCGAAACATGGACGTGTCCTCCTTCATGACGGCCACCACAATCGGCGGCAGCACCAAACCCGCTTCCCAATGATTCACGTCGGCCCCGTGGTCAATTAATAACCGAGCCATCTCATACCAGCGCAGTGCCGCGGCTTTCGATAACTGGTTCGGGTCGGCACCGTGCTCCAGCGCAAGCTTGACATTCTCCGCATTCCCGGGCTTGACGATGGCCTTGAGCCGGTTGCGCTTGTACTCGCGCGCCTCGTCCGCGGGCATTTTGTCGGCTTGGGCGAGAAAGTGCCTCAACATGTCCGTACGCCCGCCGACGCCGATCTCGTTGCAGATGTTCCCCGTGTCGGAAGCGTGCACTTTGGCCCACCAATCGTCCCGGTCTGAAAGGAAAGCACGTCCACGGAGGAAGTTGCTGGGGAAAGGAGTCCTACCGACCGCCATTTGGACCAGTGTGAATTCCCACATCCGTCGGACGTTCTCTGCGTCGAATTCCCCGGGGAATTCGACGTGTTCGAGGGCGTCAACTAGGTATTCGAAGATCTCGCAGTGGCCCTGCTGGGTTCCCAGGCTGACGTGCTCCAACGCGTGCGCGACGGTGGGCCAGATTCCGCCTCCGTTAGCCCCGTGTACGATGACGGGCTGCGAGTGAGCCAGGAGTTTCACCATCTCCAGGTTCCCGGTGAGTGCGGCGAGACACATGGCGCAATGGTCCAGCGAGCCGTGGGCGATGTGGTGTCCTGCTCGGTATTCTTCCGCGTTATCGATGAGCAGCTGCCGGACGACGTCCACGTAGCTCATGTTGACAGCGCCGAGGAGGAGATATCTGCTCATGCGGAAACTTCCGAGTGTTTCCGTAGTCCCAGCGTTGAGAAGATTCCGAATATCAGTGTGCTCCATCGTACCGAGAATGCCTTTCACGTGTTTGTCCATTGCGGCAGGACCGTGCTGGCTACTCAATTCGCATAGGCGCTCTGCAAGTTCCTTAACTTGGCCCCTCAGGGAAGACGGATCACCCTCCTTGAGAACACGACGAGTGATGTACTCGTAGCAGATATTGAATCGTTCTTCGGGTTGGCTGTAGTCAATGCTCCGGTCTCTGGCGTAGACGCTTTTGAAGGTATCGACAAAAACGTCCGAACTCATGATCGCTTCCATGACGTAGTCTCTAGAAGATCCTGGTCGGTGTGGTGTTAGTGATACATGACGAGACTGACTTGAACACTGAATGCCGTCATCGACTTACGACTGACGCATTTTAGTCGCATGGCACGCTTGAATGTGCGGACGCTGATTATTTCAAGGAAAATGGGCTTCAGCAGCTCGGGTGGCAGGTTGAATAGACCCATGATAATCGAATGAGTTGAGGATGTTTATCTTGAACAGGCGCGTATGTGGGTGTGGGTGTCAAAGATAGCCGCTCCCTGGCCTCGGACGAAAAGCTACTCTTGACTCAACACGCCCTGTACGTTGACTAATGCTATGTCCCACTCCGGAGAGCTCCGAACTCGCTTAGGACTTCTCCGATTGGACGATACTTATATTCTGCATGCGTGAAGACAACATCACACAATGCTAAGGATAATAATTGAACAACAGAACACCTGAGTCGGTGTACTCTGTGGAAAAGGTTAGGCTAGCTACTGACAGCCGGTGGGAGGCTTCCAAATCTACTGTAAATAATCCAGATTTGAACCATGACACTCCCTACCGTCCATGTATTGTGGACGCCTATCGTTCACTATCAGTACTGTCCACTATGTGATGTGCCTTGCTCATAACCAGGACATGGAGTGATGCTGTTTACTCATATAATAGTTGAATATGCGTCTTCTTCATGCCAATATATATAGAGGTCTCAGACTCAGCTCCTGGTAAAAACATCAGCGTCTATGACCTTAGAACGTAGCTATCGACTTTCCCCTCCGTTCGATCATCATCCAAACCTGAATCTTTCCCCTCAAAATGTCACCATCTTATCATTCGAGCTCGCTGTCAAGTCTCTCAAGTTCAACTGCACATAACGGCGACAACATCGAAGTCAGGCTCAACAGCCACCACAACTTCAAGATCTATGGCTGCGGAGCACCAGTTCATGGAGAAGTAGTCATCACCCTGCGTGAGAGCACATCTTTCGACTTTGTCTCGATTCTCTTGATGGGGATTTCCAAGACTTGCACAGGAACCGCCATGTTCGACCGTCATGTTTCTCATGTCTTCTTGAAGGTCAACATGCCCATCGCCGAATCGGCATACCCCACGTCACGTACATTCGAAGCAGGCCGCACGTATAAAATCCCAGTCGACTTCGTTATCCCGATGCACCTCACCACCAATGCTTGCAGCCACAAGACGCAGTTCCGCGCCGTCTACGATCAGCACACGCGCATGCCTCCGTCTATGGGTTCATGGGGCAGAGACGATCTCTCTACAGCAAGGGCCCGCATCGAATATACCACCAAGGCTTACATTGTCAGGCGACAAATCGGACTGAGCTGTTGCCCGGCGAAGGTTATGGAGGCGAGTCACCTGATCAGAGTCCTTCCCGTCTCGGTCGAAGATCCTCCGCTGCACGTTACTACACAAGATGAGACGTATACCCTTACGACGTCTCAAAAGGTTCGCAAAAATATAGTATCGGCTAGTCAGGGCTTGATCACCATTTCTGCTCACCAACCTGCTGCAATTCGTATCAGCACGGATGGAGACCCAAACTCGCGGAATACCGTTTTCATCAACCTTACTTTCGACGCTGTTGCTCCTGAGATCCCTGCTCCAAATGTGAGCCACGTCTCTGGAAAACTTCAGGTCACAACCTGGTTCAGCAGTGTCCCCATGGAGGCTTTTCCTAACCTGGCCGACAGCCGACGGTCTTTCGCTACCCAGCAGCAGTACGCAAAGTCTATTCCTCTGTTCTTCTCCAGCCTCGAGAACGTTACACCCTGGTGCGCGCAAGAACTCGGTGTCCACGAGGCTGAGATTTGTTTGAGAGAGCACTTGCGTCCTGTCGAGGAGGCTTCAGAACAGAAGATAGAATCAGAAAGTAACCAGCCCTTGCGTCGCCACGCAACCCTACAGGTTCCTTTCACAATCGCTGCCAACAGCAGTATGCTTCTCCCAACCTTTCACTCTTGCCTCATCTCCAGAACTCATTCTATCAAGTTGAGAGTTCACTTCTCGGACGCCAAGTTTGATCTCCACGTGCCAGTACAGGTCATCGTCGAGAGGTCCGAGGGAGAGATTTTGCAAGAAGCTGAGCCACCTTCTTTCGATTTTGGCACGACACAAGGGGAACAGGACCCTCTGCAACCGAGGACCATGCGGCAGCCGGCCTCCGAGTTTCGGGGTACCAGCGTTCTTCCGGGTTATGCGGGCACCGGGAGAGCCTTCGGCACTGCTTCGAGCTGACACCGCTCGATTATGTCTCAGCTGTAGCCGCGGCCGGTGGCGAGATGTAGCGGGCCTGAGGCGAGGCGAGCGAGATGTAGAGGAAGTTTCCCAAGGCGAAGGAGGCTGATTCAAGGGTCAAGAACAAGCGAGCTACACTACTTGCGCTTATCAATCTGTAACAGTATATGAATTCTAGAAGACGCTATTCTACTGAAGCGCCTCACAACTTCCTCAGCCGAACATAACAATTTCGCGGCTTACGTGTCAACTCGTCTACCGCTACATTACCAGACAGCTTCTCAGGGGTCTGGAGAAGCTCAAAGTGCCAAACCAGCATCGTGAATATGATCTTCATCTCCACATACGCCAGCCGCCGGCCGAAGCACCCTCTGAGCCCGTTGCCAAAGGGCAGCGTCGGGCCAGCCGTCCCGTCAAAGACATCCTCTCCGTCTATACTCGTCAGCCACCGCTCCGGACGAAACTCGCCGATATCCTCGGGGTTCCATCCGCGCACACCGCGCTCCCGGACGGACTTTTGCGAGCTTTCACTGCGTAGCTTGTCATCCACGGGCTGTCCGACCTCCGTGATCGTGGGGCCGACCCCGAGGAAGAGAACCGTCGTTCCCTTTGGCACGAAGCGGCCCAAAAGAGTCGTGTCGCGGTTGCACTGCCTCTCGATGACGGGAATTGTGCCCGCCAGACGGAGGATCTCCTCAACCACGGCATCGAGGTAGGCAACCGTGTTGTGGGTGATTTCGTACGGGGACGGCGCCCGCGACTCCTCCACGGCGCCGGCGTGGACGGCGCGGAGAGCGGCGCGTAGTTTGTCCTGGACTTCGGGCGAGGCGGTGAGGAATTTGAGCCCCCAAAGTATCGTCGTGCTCGTCGTGTCATGGCCGGCTATCACGAAGCCCAGAACCTGGAAGTGCCTGTTAGTTTTCGTGCTCTAGCATGAGGTAGTTGTCGAGAGACAAACCTCGTCTCGCATGGTTGAAGACCAATAAATCGGATCACGGCCCTCCTTTGCAGCAAACTTGGTCTCTCGGCTAAGCATCAGGTCCACAGCAGACTTGATCCATTCATCTTCGTCGCTGCCGTTCTTTGACCTTCCCAGAAGCCTCTCAACGCCCTTGTCGATCTGATCCTTGATGTACGCGTGGCGCACCCGAGCAGCAGCGGTCTCCGACGGCTGGAACTTCTTCAAGTACCACCCGAAACGGGGTCTCGGAAAGTCGTAGACCTCCCCGATCGCCTTGGACGTCTGGTACGTGGCCTGAATGGTCTCATGGGCTGCCGCGCGAGGGAACTCTACGGGTTCGTCTTCGCCAACCGCCTTTAATAACCCCCTCAGCGCCTTCAGGTCTGCGTTCCTGGCAGCCTCCAGTTGCGGATGGATGGCTCGATGGGGAAACGCGCTCCCGAAACTGAACTCCAGCACCGCATCCATGGCTGCGTCGTAGATGTCGTCGAGGGCAGTGAACGGCCGGCCGTTCGACTCTCTCGATTTGAAATCCCACAGCTCGACCAAGTTGCAGACGCTACGATAGATGTTCGGCGCTGCGACGGTGTGCAGAAACGAAGGGGTCATCAGGTCCTGCAGTAGACGACGGTGGGCCTTCCACTCCGGCCCGGTCTTCATGTTGATGTGGTGACTGGGCACGGCACCACCGAGTATCTCGATGGACCAGTCCGAGCGGTCCCACTCGCCGGCGCGGCGGAGGAAGATGTCCTGGGCCTCACAGAAGTCGGCCAGAACGAGGAAAGACTTCCCAAGGGGCTGTATGAAGATTTGACAGAGGGGGCCCGGATGGCGCTTCGCCTGGGCGATCATCCACTCGAGGCCGCTGCCGCCGGTCTGGTTCTCTCGGATCAAGCCCGGCAGGTCACCGAGGATGGAGGTTACCGCCTCAGGGTTATAGGGGACCCCGGGGATGGGTTTTGGGAGAAGATGACGGTAAAGAACATAGACACCGGCTGCCATGGCCATGGCAATGGCCATGATCTCGAGGCCTCGGCCGGCAGATGAGGTCGCAAGGTGTGAGAAATTCTGTGTCTCCATTCTAAGGGAAGGAATTGAGTGCCTATTCATATCTGCAACTACGTTCGACCTGCGGGGAATCTTTCTAAGGTATATATATATGTGTATATCATCGCCCCGTGAGAGAAAGTCAAGTATCAACGGTCACTTCGATGCGTAGAACAACCTGTGGCGTTCTTGTAATGAACCCGCGGATTCCACACGTCGGAACCCGAAGGGCGCGAATGCGGTCCCGTGCTGACTAACTCCGTGGCACCAGTGTCTACGAAGAAAGACGTTGGATGTTGAGAAATCATAACTATTGACCGAAAAGAGATATATTTATTGTGATTTCTCACGAATCTCATTTTTAAAAACACTATGTGCAGAAGTCATATAAAGATAGGAGTACGCTTATTATTAGGGATAGTTGATGTTAAGGAGAAAGAAAGTATGACGGTAAATATTCAGTACCTATCTCACGGAGTGGTGATAATGGTGTACTGAGGGACACCACTATTCACATATTTGAATCCAGTTGCAGTGATAAATGCATATACGGATAATTAATATTTCATCACGTGAGTCGCGACTGGTTCGCGCTCAGGCCCCACCCTGCCAATCTGCGGCGAGCGCGTGCCCCACCTCCGACTTCGAGACGCGATTGTGATTTTTGGCCGTCATCGATGCCTTGTGGCGCACAGAAGACAGAGTCAAGCCCTGCGACCCGAATGTGTTGCCGATTGAGGCCTCGAGATTTACCAAAGAAGACATGCCGGCTGAGATCATCAGTCTGCTTTCCAGTCCCTCGGTGGGACCATCGCCAGCTCCGGTCGCACCAGCGCAATCCCGACCAGTCGAGCAGGCCGCTACTGTCGTTGCGGCCGCCTTGACGTACAGTGACGATGTCTTCGATCTGACAGCCGACTCTCCGGAGCCAATACCCGACTCAACGAGGAAGGCGACGCTCCAAGATGGCCAGCGCAAGTCGACCTATTCTCCTAGGAGCATTTTGGGCTCAAAGAGAGCACGAGAGGAGCATCCGGTTATTGATCCGCCTGTCTACTTCATGTCGGATGACTTTGACTCTACGGTCGATCTAGACAGCAGTCTTCCCCCTAAGGGAGGCACAGGTTTTGAGGAAAGAAACTTTAAGAGGCCGCGACTGTCTTCGACCACCCATGGAGGCAACGAGACTGCCCCTCTGAAGCAGTCTGGAGCCCTGCGGCGGGCTCAGGTTTTAAACGACCCGATCGAGTTCTCGAGCTCGCCCGGCCTCCCGCCAAGACCAACAACCAACTCGACAATGGCCAAGGTCTCTCAAAGTATCGAGTCCGACGACCCATTCGCCTCGTCACCACCTCCTGTCCGGCCCGCAGTAGAGCAGCAGAAACCCTCCACCACCACAACCACCACGACCAAGCCTGCAGCAGCAAGCGTCAGTCGCATAGAGTACGATTTGACCTCCGATGCCGACGACCCATTCGCGAGCTCGCCTCGACCCCCTCCTCCGAGGCCTACGTCCGACCCACGTACAATTACCCTCGATGACGATGACGACGATGCGTCCGCTTCTCCTGCGATACCGGGAGTGTCAAAACCACAGTCGCCCAGACTTACAACGACGTCTATAGATAAGGGAAAGCAAAAGGCCGCATCCCCGAAGAGGAGGGCAAATTGGGACCCCATCTCCAGCTCTGCTCCCGAACGACACCTGCCCAGCGATCCCTTCTCTCCGCCACCACGGAGAACGTTTACGAAATCCGCCAGCTACGTGATTGATCTCAGCGATGCCGAATCGGAACCTGCTGGCCTCGAACCCAATCCTGATTCAGACGATGAGTTCCCGGACCTCGACAACTTTGATGCTACGAGACTCAAACGCCGACTGGAGACTAAGAAGACGAGTCGTAAGACTGCTTCGACAACGACGAAAGCTACGAAATCCACAACCGCGCGAGCGACAACCAAAAAGTCAGCGGACGATCGAGCACGAGATAAGGAAGAAAAAGCCGCTGAACGAGAGCGCGAAAAGGAGCGCAAGAAGCAAGAGAAGGAAGCTGCCAAGGAGCAAAAGGCCAGGGACAAGGAGCGCGCTGCTGCTCTGGCGGAGGTCAATAAGATCCGAACAGACAAAAAGGTCTCCACCCCAGAGATGATCGCGGTCCTTCCCTCGAGCCTGCCAGCGGCTGTCACGCTGCAAATCCAGACCCTTCTCAAGGACTTGGACGTGCAACATGAGGCGTGGGATAGTCCTGTGGACAACGTCGTCAAATGGAAGCGAAAGGTCGCTAGCCGATTCAACGACGAGCTAGGCCACTGGGAACCCATACCCATGCGTGTCGAGGCCGACAAATACGCCCTGGTGGTCGTCAACGCCTCGGAATTCGTATCCTTCGCTCAAGCCCCCGAAGGAAGCGACCTCGAATCGCATGTCCTGCGGATGAAGCGTCATTTCCCCACCGAGCAGCTCATCTACCTCATCGAGGGCCTGACGCCGTGGATGCGCAAGAACCGGAACGTCCGCAACCGACAGTTCGCCTCCGCCGTCAGGAACCAGAGCGCGGAGCCGGCGGAGCCCGCCGCCGCCGCCCAGCCCCGGCGTCGCAAGAACCAGCAGCCGCAGGAGTACGTCGACGAGGACTCGATCGAGGACGCGCTGCTCGAGCTGCAGGTCATGCACGGCGTGCTGATCCACCACACCAACGCGGCCGTCGAGACGGCGCAGTGGGTCGCCATCTTCACCCAGCACATCTCGACGGTGCCGTACCGCAAGCAGCGCGAGGCCGCCAACGCGGCCGGTGCCGGCTTCTGCATGGAGACGGGCCAGGTGCGCACCGGGGAGGACGTCAAGGACACGTACGTCCGGATGCTGCAGGAGATCGCGCGCGTCACGGCCCCCATCGCCTGGGGCATCGCCACTAAGTTTGAGACGGTGCCGAAGCTGGTGAAGGGGATGGAGGAGGGCGGGCCGCTGATCCTGGAGAACTTGCGCAAGAGCACCAACAAAGACGGCGGGTTTTCGGATCGAGCGGTGGGCAAGTCCGTCAGCAAGAGGGTGTACAAGGTGTTTACCGGACGGGATGAATGGAGTACGGATGTGTAGTGATTAGAATGCGATAGTTTTGGGCTGGGATCAAGTTACGTTATCCAGTACCGCTAGGTTATGGTCTTGCGGGATATTATGATCACAAAAAGCTGAATGAATAGAACATCACGAGTTACGAATGGAGAGGTGGTTAGGTCATGACAATTGTCTTGTATTAAGTTCTACATCTTGATTGCGTCTTTGGTCTGTTCCGTGTGTCCAGACTCTGGTAGTACACACCGAGCGAGTAGGTGAAAAATCTGTATTCTGAGCCATGTTAGTCAAGGCCCGTCCAGAGTTGATCAAAACAAAGAGTGTTTGATAGCTTGTGTCAGACAGCGGTTGGACGAATGTTTTTCCACACGTATACTTTCGGTACAGGTCTGTGAATTTTCTTGCCTCATCACAACAAGCGGGTGGGGTAATTGAAGACTGAATAGAATGCTCGACATACCTTGTAGCAAGTAGACCACCGAGTGCTTAAAATGAAGCAAACTCGATGGCCGGGGAGGAGTAACATTAAGCTTCGTCTCCGTGTTTGCGCTTCTTTGCGGTCGGCGTGAAGAACGCGTTGAGCGTCTTCTGCTTCTCGTCAAATTTTGCGCTGCCGATGCCGCCTCGGGTCTTCTTCAGACCTTGGAGGTGTTCGGTGGAGTTGACCGTCACCGTCTTGATGGACAGTCCGGGCCAAGTCGCGGTGGACTCCTTGGGTGCCGGCGCCGACGTGACGTGAATTTCGACGTAGCCGGTATTGCTCCACGACAGAGGCAAGCTGTCTGCGGGAGAGGCCACCAGCTTGCCAAAGTTGGTAGCAGATCGCAGAGCCCTCGCCAGCACACCAAGGATAATCCCGTGCGCGACAATGACCACACTCTCCGCACCATCCTCGGCCTCATCGACGCAAGCGAAGATGGGCGCGAGGTACTCGTCAACAAACCGCTTCGCCCTCGCGAACATAGCCTCGTGGGTCTCGGCGCCAACGTGTCTTTCACCAACAACGCGGGCGCCGACCTTCTGCCCCTCGCCCGAGCCGAAGTGCTTCTCGCGAAGCTCCGGCAGCTGGACGACCTCCACCACCCGCCTCGTCGACGCTTCGGCCTCGGACGGGGTGGAGATGGCATCGCGGACAGCCTCGGCCGTGCGATACGCTCGCTGTAGGTTCGAGGTGAAGATGTGCGAGACGGGGGCGGTCGCGGTGTGCGAGGCGAGGTGAGTGCCCAGACGCCTGGCTTGCAGGACGCCGTGGGATGTCAAGGAGGCGTCGCGAGACCCAGCACTGCGAGACGCGCACGAGGTTAGAAAGGGAGGAGGGGATTCCCAAGCCAAACTGGCACAGCGAAAAGCGCGTACTAGAGGTTCGCGACGTTGTCGACGGACTCGCCGTGACGGACGAGGTAGAGGTGAATTGCGCCCATAGTAAACTGCAGCAGCAGCTACATGGTGGTGCGCGAAGGTTTCGATCCTCGTAGAGTCGTGCCGTTTCGGGCTGAGATCTGTCGTGGTTGAAGACCTGCGTGATGAGGAAAAAGAAGGTGCTGGGAAAAATAATTGTGAGGTGAAGATTTTGTAGGTGCTGGTGGGGCATTGGTTTAGCACATGCTAGGCGGTGAGAGCCGAATGACGCTTAGATCGGTTTTCTGCCCATTACCTCGATACAACGATTTTCTATTCTCATTTTGACGTCCTCGAGATTAGATCCGTCTTCTGGGAGCTGGAGGAGACTAGTTTGAATAATCTTTTTAGTTGTCCTGGAGTCATAACATAAGGCTGTTGTCCAATTTGTCTATAAAGCAGTTCGAGTTAACCATGGATATAGCGGTGCGGGAGTACAAATTGGTTCGACCGGCATAGCGACTGCATTTCCACGAGTTCAGATACATACACCCGATGTTCGTTTTGGCTGTATCATGTGCAGATCAATGATGGAGTGATAGTTGAGCTAACTTCGTTGAGCTTACTCTTTTGATGGCAATTATCTGGTCTCGCGGCTGATGCCCAGTTTGTTGGTTGATGATTCGGTTCTCTCCGACCCAAAGGCGCTTCCAACATGCATGCAGCACCGGCTACCAACCAGATGTGAGAGAGTAGAGATTTGCGGATTGTAGTAACAGGTGACTTGGTCGATCGTCTTACCCCGCTTCTGCCCTTTTCGTTCTCAGCCTCAGCTTACATTCGGCATCATCCAAAATTGCGACAACATCATCCATCATTCATCACAAACCTCATGACCATCGAGGTATCTTCTTTCCGCCTCATCTTTTTCAAACCATCTAGCTTCAGCCGCCCATAATGTCAAACGAAGTTGGATTCAGCTTTCAGGCCGACGTCGTCAACACCGGGTCTCTTGCCCACATGCTGACGGGGCGCGTCCTCAAAGCCCTCAGCGACGGCGGTGTCGATACATACGCTGTAGCCGCCGCCTTCTGGATGGGCGCCAAAATTCCAGTTCGGTCATCTCTCGCAGACACAGTGCACGCGCAGATATCCAAGCGACCCAGCTACCAGTCTGTGCTTTCCAGAGCCCTGAATATTGGTTGGGGCCATTCGACGCCGGTTATCGAGATGACGCGGACGCGGGCCGGGACAAATGGCTTGCTTCTCGTCGGTGCTTTCGCCACTGGGGTGCCGGCTTTCCAGGCTGCGCAAAGCCTTTCGGAACTGCTGAGCGTATACGATTTGGGCGCTGATATGCTGCCAAACGTTGACGTCCTGAAGGGGCTGGTGAAGTACCTGGCGCCATTTGTCCATGATCTGGGGTTCTCCAAGGTCCTTCAGCACATCACGCACGTTTGTGAGAGTGCCATCAAAATCGAAAATTACTCTGAAAGATCAGTTATCAGAGAGATAGGATCGCCGAAGATTCTGGCTGCTGCTGTCAAACAACTCGTCTACACATCACAGCTGCACCAAGACCACTATATGATTCTAAAAGTCCGTGGATCATGGCTTCCCGCTTTCGCGAGTCACTTGCTGGGAATGTCAGTTGAGCTCAGATGCCGTGATAAGACCATATGGGCGAGTGGTGGAGACAATGGCAGTGTGGTTTTTCAACTAGCCCATGATCACATGGAACAACACTCGATTCAGCCATTTCCAGCGTCTCTTACCATTGTCGAAAGAGCACCTGACAACGATGGAGACGGAATGGAGCTTTCCATCGATTGCGCTCTAGAAAACGTCATTGATTCTCAATGCCTCCGATGGCCTCAGATTGATACGTACATTGCTGCATCTATCCACGCTGCAGTGAGGAGGCTGTCACTTGATTTCCTATCGAGGGATCACATCTCTTCAGAAATTCAGGACAACCAGGAGGACGGAATATTCCCCACTACACTTCATAACCCAATGCCGGCGGTCCTTGGAGTGAAAGCGTTGGAAAGGGTGCTTCAGGAGATGAACGTCAAACCACAGCCACAGCAGTGGGCAGAGTCGTTCCCTCGAGTACTTCAGGCCAAAGAGAAACCTACACGGGACCTTCGGACCAAACACAAAATTGGACCAGCGACTCATGGAATTGGGTTCATGGATCAGATGAGAGTGACCAGAATGGCAAGCCGCTGTGAAAGACATCACGCCGAAGCACACTCAGTTGCAATGTTTGGGTTAACTGAAGACCCAACCTGGATGGTTGCCAACAAACACCATTTTTGTCTATGCGAACGGGTTGGTAGACTCATTTACGGCTGCGCCCTCATGGCTTCCTCCTTGGCTAGATGCAACTTTGACGCGTCTTGTTTACGAGTACAAGAGAGTGTGATGAATGGGCAAAGTGAAACTGGACGGGGCCAGTTGTTCAGGGGGGAGTACGAATTCAATGACGAAGGTATCTACGAGCAAGTCGAAGGGTCTTCTGCGGCAAGAAGCATTGGACATCTTGATCACCTATGCCAACTTCTATGCAGCGATTATGACAGATCCTGGACAAGTCATGAGAACCATGAATCATTTCTTGGGCTATCGGGAGGGTTCTACACGATCTATTACAGCTGTGTGATGGAAAACGATTGCTATGATGACCTTGGACGGATGATCAGCATTCGGACGGGCCGGGCATCAGTTGCTGGTTCATTTCGAAACAGTATCACAGAGAACTTCAACACGGCTTCATGCCCGAGTATCGTCATTGACGACGGACCTGACGCCATGGACGACTTGAGATTCAGTTGGCTTGCCGGCAAATGTCTTCTCGAACCACACTACCTGCCCCCACGGTCTAGGGCGTTCATGGACGTTGCACTTCAAGAAAAGACAATATCACTGAGGCTGAGATTCAATACAGAAACGGAATCAATGTCAACTTGGGGGTTCATGTACTGCATCAGGACTTTTCTGGTCATGTGGTTGGTCCCTAAATGTTTTCACCCTCAGAACTCAATTTATGAAGTTCCAACAAATCACACAGTGGGCGTGGGAGGCTTGTATCTGGAACAGTACCTGCACAAGCATTCTCGGGGGAAAGTTGCTTTATTCGCCTTGAAAGGGAACAAGCTCGAACAGCTGCTGGCTTGCGGCGTCGGCTATGACAAACTCGTTACGACGACTCGCGATGGCTCGAAACGATACGGGGTTCTTCAACTACACGCTTGTTTAAAGTGTTGCATTGGCCTAGCACAGAAGAGTGAAGTTTGTCACCCCTATGTGGTTATGGGTGGTTGATAAAAGTAGAACATTTGACGGTGGCGGTTTGACGGGACGTGTGTTGGTACAGGCCGAGCTGAGACCGCTAATCTGTTGGGAGAATTTGACGTGGAACAAATAACGGTCTAGCAGTCATCATCTCAGTAAAGATCATTTGTTCAGCGTACATATAAATAGTAGGCGCTATGAAATCTTCGGCTGCTGTTACGCCCCTAAGTAACCTTGAATGAAGATCTTCCGATATGAATGCTGAACTCTCTTGGATTTTGCCCCCTTCTGACCCACCAAGACGAGTTTCTCATCTGATTCAATCTTTGGCGGCGCCCTCATCCCTAACAATGCGATATCGAACCTCGTCAGTTTCAAGTCTCCCGTATAGGCTGCCCGCAAGCTTCTGCAGCTTCTCGTTCGTCTGCGGCCCGTCCGCGTAAACTTCGTCCTCATTCCATCCCCTTAGAGGATAAAATAAGAGAGCAAGAAGAGAATCCTTCAACAGTGGTGTCCGTCTGGTAATGATAACAGTTGTGACGAACAGACCCAGGCCTAGCACGACCGTGGTCACAGGTACAGCAAACCAGATCCACCGCACGCGTATGAATGTCGCCCTTCCAAATGCCTCACCTTGGGTGAATACTGTCGCGTTGCCATTGTCCCCTGGGTTACTGCTGCGAGCCTGAGCCGTGAGCACCGCTTCTAAGTTCCTGGTAACATTGGCGATATCAGCTCGGTATAAAATGTGCTGCATCTGCATTGGGGAATCCGTCGTCGTTTCTTGCGTTGGTCGTGTCCCCGGTCGTTCTCCGTAGTCGCTCTTAAGGAGGTTCATTAGATACGTCGGCAGATCAGCCGTCAAAGTTCTGGCGAGTCTGTACTTGCTGTCACCTTCAGACGCTTCGAAGATGTTTACGTCGTACGGGTTATGCTCGTCGGTGTCCACTGTATCGCCGTACTTGAGAAAGGACTCTGTGACGTTTTCTTCACTGATCTCAATCCTACCATCTGTCGCAGTCAGGCCCCTGTAGATCTTCTGGCACCACCTGAAGTTCGTGAGAAAGACTTCTGGCGTTGTAGGATAACTCTTGGAAACCCATTTGTTCTTCTCTTTCCATTTCTTGCCTTGATGTCGGAGGACAATGAGCTGCCCGATCCAGCCGTCAGGCTGTGTAGAGGGTAGAAAAGTTGTGTTGAGTACCGCCGAGACTCGGGGACTTTCCATGGCGTCGTGGTCGACATACATCATTGAAATTTCGTACTGATCATCTTCCCAGGGCCGATCATCACCCAGCGGGATGGTGTACTTGCAAACCTGCAACGGCGAGCCCGGGTCGTCGCATTCCCGTGTGGCCAAATCCGTTACATTACGAAAGGTCCGGCATACAGCCAAGGTGCTGAAGTCTCTCCAAACACAACGGTTTGCTTTCGTGGGGCAGTCAAAATGTGGCTGAGGCGAGGAGCCGGCAAGCGCTTGGAGAATTTGGCCTTGGAATGCGGGAAGATTCTCGTTTGCGTCTCTCTTCTGCCCTGTCAGACAGTATGTGTTAGTGAGGCTTTCACGATTAAAAGGACTGGTAACTTTACTCCTATCACTTACATGACTGGTAAGGAAACTGGCGGAAGCCTTTGGAAAAGTATTCGTCCGCCCTACCAATGGCTACATCAAGATGCGGAAGATATCTGTACAGCTCTGAGTATCCGATAATCTGCTGCGTACTCGGGGAGATCCCAAGCGTGATGATAGTGACCAGGGACAGCGCGCAGGCAAGCTTCGACTGGAAAAGAAGATGCTGGATCATCAAGGTAGATCCCCATGGACCCCTACTTGCGCCGTCGAATATCTGGAGATGTTCCAGCGGTCGTGCCTTGAGAATGAGGTGTCTCCACTTGAGTTGGCTGATACTGCTACCTAGCGGCACCAGGAGCGCTGTCCTGGCAATGGTCGTCAAGACGGCGACGATGGTATTGGGAGAAATACGTAACGGCCAAGTTTCTAGTGGAATCCCATCGGCCTTGGAGAGCGTCACGGCGACGAGTACCATGCATATGACGGCGACTGTGGCACCGGCAAAGTCCCAATACCACCAGAAGTGGGTGACCTCGATGTTCTTCCCGATGGGTGCGGTCGCTGACGCTTGAGAATCTCTATCATTGTCTGGCTGGTGTTGATTTGAAGTCGAAGGGGAATGTGGCGGAGAGTTCTCTCGCAGAGTACTACGGGTTGACTCGCCCCCCGATACACCGATGTTATCTGAACCATATGGGTTGCCTTGTCTGATGTCAGTAGCGTCTCCATGAGTGACATTTTCGCCGGGCTCCAAAGAGGTTGTGTCGCCATATTGAGTAGTGGGGATTGAGGTGGTTTCGTCAGGCTCTATGGGGGAGACAGCATCATCTGCCTGTTCATGACGAGTGTCTAGAAGGCGTCGTTGCTGATGCTGCTGCTCGTGCTCCATGGTCAAGACCCGGAAAATAACTGGGAATGGTGAACTGGTCGAGGCATTGTTGATAACGGAGATACACGTTATTCTTAAAAGGTTATGCCCAGTGATGGGAAAAGAAATACAGCCTGATTTGAGTTGCACAGATCGGCGAGCACTGCCATGGTGCGCATCGATGTGCAGCGCGCATTGGTTGAGATTTCGCTAGAGTAATAGGCTGTGGCGCCCTTGGCTGCAGATCAACCTCACCTCCTCGCACAGGATTTAATACATATGTTGAGGTTTTGCGTCAAGGTTTCACCGTACTCGATACAACATGACACATTTGCGCCGTTGAGACATTTAAAAGATATTTACGTCAGTGAATCACTGGTCCAGATACTATGTGGCGCAGCTGCACTAAGTAGCTGTATTAGAAATTGCGATACAGCTATGATCTTGAGATGTTAATGAGATGTTGTGTCCAACAATGAGCTGGCAATGTACTCTGGCGATATCTATGTTGACTTGGGCTGGGTAGGTTAGGCTTGGAAGGCATGTTGCTTGGCATGGATTGCGGGTGCCGTCGTTTCAGATCTGCGTTGGATTTCAACATAAGCTATGTTCAACTACAGGCATCGTAACTAGTCAGACATATATGAAGAGATTGGAAAGTTTGCTGGATTCTATTATTGTCTCGATATCCTGCTGGTCTATGCGAAGTAGATAACAACTTCAGCATAAGTACCCTGGTAACTACCAACATTGATCATGCTGAAGCCGGCCAGAGTGACCCCCAACAGAACAGCTGTTGTGAAAACCGTCATCTGTTACTTTTGTGATGTCCATAATGATCCTTAAGCAAAGTTGAGTTGGTGCTGGCTTAAAGAAAGTTGCGAGCTTGAAGGTTTCGCCAGAACAGACTTTGTTCAAATTGGATGTCTCTGGGAACACAGAAACAGGCCTTTCCCAAGGGGCATTTGATTCGAAAGCATTGGAATTGCTGTTGACATGCTATGTCCCATGAAAGACCATGAAACCCTGAAGGTTAAGTTCAACGAGGATATTCCACACCGCTATGTCGTGTCACTACTACTCACTGGGTTTCTGGAAACCGCGAGATGTATCTCTTCAGCCTTGGCCAGGTTAGGTTTCTCTCGGCACCGTGCAGGATCCCGAAACCCGGCTGCGATCTCGGGATGGTTTTCGGGAGAAATCACCCCGGGATGCGGGTCCGTACCCGCAACCTCGAACATGGAATCCGTCCTGATGTTGTTTCGTCCAGTGAGCGGCCGAATAACTTGGCCCGACGTTCCCCGCGGTTGTGCTCCGGACACAAAACCCGGACCCACCTCATCGAGTGCGGGGGAATGGTTCGAGTTGGACATTTGAGCTGTTCTTTTCAACTCATTCTCAACCGTTTCCTCACCTGAACTTCAAAGTCATCCACTCATAGAGGCTTCACGAGTCAACCAATCAAAATGGCAGACAACTACATAAAGTCGCGCGAAACTCGACCTCATCTGATCCAAAGTCTCTTGGCAGCCCTCCCTCCATTGGACCCGTCACTCGAGGAGTTTCGCGACGTCGCAACACTCCCAGATGGCTACAAAATCGACCTCCAAGTTGTCCGTCATCGAGGCGTAGACGAAGCTCACGGCGGCAAACCTCTCATCCTCCTCTGGTCCGGTGGCGGCTTCCTCGTCGCTGGCGTGGAACCCGTAACCCGACCCGCTCGCGAATTCGCTTTGGAGTTCGACGCCGTCGTCGTCAACGCGACCTACAGGCTAGCCCCCGAGAACAAGTTTCCCCAGTCCGTGAAAGACGGCTGGGAGACCGCGAAGTGGCTTGCGAAGAACGCCGGCCGCTATGGCGCAGACATCACCAAGGGCTTCGTTGTTGGTGGATTCTCTGCCGGCGGAAACATCGCTGCAGTCGTTTCCCAGCGGTCTGGCGTGGAAGGCCTCGGTATCACCGGCGCGTTTATTGGGATTCCGGTCTTGTTTGTCAAGGAAATCGTCCCTGAGAAGTACGCCGCGGAGTGGACGTCTCGGGAAGACAATGCTACGTGGAACCCCAATTTCACTACTGCGCTCATCGAAGACGTACACAAAGTGTTGGAACCGGATGTGAAGTCACTGTGGTACTCTCCGATCAACGATCCGGAGGCACTCCCGAAGACGTCAAAGGCCTATATCCAAGTTGGCGACAAAGATCCGCTCAGAGATGATGGTTTGATCTACGCCAAGGTTCTGAGAGATAATGGAGTGGAAGCGAGAGTTGACAAGTACGAGAACTGGGGACATCAAGGCTGGTCTATTTTCGCGCCGAAGGAAATCCCAGCAGAGTTGCCGTCCGACACGATGAAGGGAATGAAATGGCTTTTGGGCAGAGAGTAGGCGAGAGGCTATGTTCATAAAATGTTTCGAAGGTATGACACGGCGCGTCACGTTGAAGATATTGATCAGGCTCATTGAGGCTGAGCAACTGGAATGATGAAAATATTCAATCTGTCTGTATGTCTTATTTCAATTTTCCGTGTGGTATGTGTTCGTACGTTGGAGTGAATCATGTCTGAGGTCATCGAAACACGGCCTCTCCCTTGCGGAACGCTCCCTTGCAGCTTGCATGTGCAATTTCGACCCTCAATAAATGGCAAATTTCTCATGTTCTCTCCTTTTCAATTGTCTTTACATTGAAAGCACGTTGGATACCAAGGATAGGAGAAAGTTCTCGCTGTCAACGTGCTTCTGCAATATTCAAGTTCTGTCTTCAACAAACATCAAGACCGAGTTTGACGTCTTAACTCGACTGCTCATTATATACCGCCCACTTTTGGCCTGGAGAAGTCTGCGTCAGCTTACTCGCCAATCACTTCAACGTTGCAGGATCAACTGAGTTTTGCTGTGCCTTGTCTGGGAGCGGATTTCAGGTCTGCTGGCTATACCGGGACTGACAGTGAGTGCTTTCGTGACTCGAAGAAAGGGATTCCCATCGCATCAGAGGTTATAGCGCTTCTGTCGTTGAACCTGAGTCCAAGATTCTGGGAGTGAGTCTGATAACCGCCGACGCGTTTTCGAAAGGCCGATTCTTATTGATGTCTCTTGAGATCCAGAACACAGCCTCTTCGCATCGATCGATATACGCAAGTTCCGACAACCCCTACGAATCTTCGCAGATGGATAACCTTCACGGTGCCCGAGAGACTGATGAGACGTTGTTGGTTGCGAGCCCGACCGCAAAGGCATTTCTGGGATCTGCTGTCATGGCACTGGCAACAGAACCGGCAAGCAACCAGACTCAGGATGCTGAGCCAGCGCCGGGTCTTTCAACAACCGCGATCGTGGGAATAGTCATCGGAGTTTCTGCAGTCTTCGCCTTCATCTTGGCGTTTATTCTTCTCTTACGACAGAAGAAGAAGCCCCCGATGAGAACCATGGCGCAGACTGTTCGCCCTGCCGCTCGGTTCGACGGGAAGCGATTCTCCTATCAGGCGGATCCCCGGGATAGAGTGCTTAGAAGACCATACGATCCAAGACGAGAACACAGAGGGCTTGAGATGGGCGGAATCGGAACCGGGAGCCCTCGAAAGGTGCAACGAGACAGAGGATATCCCATCGCCAGAGGTCAACATCCATCAGAGAGGTTTCTGCAGCCCGGCAGTCGATCCAAGAACTCAACGAGGATCCAAGTCGACACCACAGACTTTTCTCCGAGCCTCGAGTCTCACCAACACCCTTCCATACCCGAACGGCCCGAAAGACCCGAGACAAGAGGTCGGCAGACCGGACTCGGTATGCGGGAGCCGTCCCAAGGATCTATTGCTTTGTTGCCGAGCCCACAAGAACAGGACGAGCTTTTTTGCGAGAAGAGCCCCCCTAAAAGAGGTGTATAGATGCACTGATGAAACTGCGTTAAGTCTTGGAGAATAATGTGACTATTTAGATTTAACTGCCGCCGATAGTGCTGAGAGTACATGTAGGCCAACGGATCCGGTGGAAGATCATCAAAGTTAGATTTTGTTTGTGCATATACAGAAGCCCATGGTTGTGAACACATCATCCACATACATCATGTGTACTTCACGTTGTTGCCACCTTTCGGTTGGTGTTAATACTTTAGTTAAGGTAATACTGAAAGATTCCAGCGCGATTTGTCTTAGGAGATGGTCCAAAAATGGAGCGCGCCGGGCGTGTACTTGTCTTGCCGGTCAACATCGATTTACAGAGTCATTCACGCCAATGAGGAGGTGATCTAAGTCGAAATATGAGACTAATCAAGAACCCTTCTTACGTTTCCTCAACAAACCATGAGTCTCTCTTGTCTGCTCTTGACTGCTTCTCCAAAGTCAAATTGAGTGGACGAAAATACCGACGGGCACATGAAGGGGTGGTTGACAGACAAGATATATGAACGCGGTTAATGCGACAAAAATACCAATAACGCAGTATTTATCACTCTGTTGGTTTGGAATGAATGAACCCTTCCACATGCAATTATACCGCGCTCGCCGGTTCTCGCGCTTATAAGTCCAATATCGAGAACTATGACAGGCATGCCCGGCCATTGAGCATTTCAACGGGCTCTCCACCGTGTCTCACGCTACCGGAATCGGCAACCCCTTTTTACGAGGACTCGCAATTCATGCTTAAAAGTCGCAAGACAAGAACAGGATGGCCGGGCTTTCACGGTGGTCCGTGGGCAATACTGAACAAGTTTGGACGAAAGATGTGTGATAATCAAGATGAAACTAGAAGATAATACGACCGATAGAATCCATCAAGCATCAATCCTTCTCGACGCGGAACTTGGCAAATTAGAAGCCCAAGGTCTGGCCAGCCTCCTTGGTGACAGCGGCCTTGACGTTGCCAGATCCCAAGAGAGAGTACGAGTACGGGGGGCTGCTGGCGGTGAGCTTGCCGACCGGAGCGGTGTTCGCGCTCTCACCGGTCAGGGTCACGTCGATGGCAACGACATAGCTAAATCGCCGATTGTCAGCTGTGAGATCGAGATTCGAAATGTGCATGATGATACGAGAGCCGACATATATGTAGAAAGACGGCAAGCGGGAGAAAAGGGGCAACTCACCCAACTTCCTTGCTGGACTCGGAGAAGATGGCCTTCTTTCCAACATCTTCGAAGAGAGAGCTCTGGATGAGAGCTTGAGCACCCATGCGGGAGTTGAGGCCTTGGGCTCTTGTCAGCCGGCTGCTATTGATCGACATGGAATCCCCAAGCTGTAGGGCTCCACATGTATCACACGTGGGAAGATCGTGCGTGCTGGCAAGACTTACCAGTATCCATGCCATTGTAGTAGTTGTTGTAGACATGGGCAGTTCCGAATCGCAGAAGGGGTCCGCGGGAGCGAACGTTGAACCTAACCAAGTGTGTTAGCAGAGGGGTTTCGGATTCCCAGGGTGAGGCTACGCTTTTTGGACTTACCAGTGGTTGTTTGCGTAAGTGACTTCGCGGTCAACGGTCAGCAGTGTTCACGCTACTGTTCTAAGCATGAAGAAAGAACTTACCACGCAGGGTTCCGGTATCTTCAGCCGCGTTGTTGTCAGAATGGCCCACGAGGGAACCCTTAGAGTGGTCGTGGAAATAAGTGTGCGAGATCGTGACCCAGTCAGCAGCGTGGGACAGATCCGTCAAGCCATCGTAGAAGTCCTTGTCCACACCCTCTCTTGTCGCCGAAAGGTCGCAGTGGTCGACCCAAACGTTCTTGGTCAGCTGGATGGTGATGGCGTCGCCATAGTCCGCCTCGACCTTGGAAATCTTCATGTTGCGGATGATAACATTCTTCTGACCAAGGATGGTGAGCCCGATGCCCTCCAGTGCTAGAGAATATTCGTTAGATGCCGTCTTAGATCATGTGAGTAGGGACCATGTGAATTCTTACAGCTGCCAGCCTTTCCAACAATGGTCTTGTCAGAGCCAACTTGGACCTTGGCCGCACCGGTAATCTTGCCCTGAACAATCACGATGCCAGCACCAGGAGCAATGGCAGCGGCCGAAAGTTGGGCAAGGTTAGTCACAGTAGTGGTAGTGCCTCCTGCGCCACCCTTGGTGCTATCATTGGAAAATGATGTTAGAATATGAACAGAAAGTTCTACCTTAATTGTTACTCAAAAATGATGCTTTCTTGCTACTTACCCGCCGTTCTGAGTGCAGTAACCAATGTTACAGGCATCGGTGATAGCCGCTCGCTTGTTCAGCATGTGGCCATCATCGTTGGTAGGGGTTGGCGAGGCAGATGTGGCAACCGCCAGCAGGGCCCAGGGTGTGAGAGACGAGAAACGCATGACGATGGAGAATACACGGCCCGAAAGAAGTTGCAAAATATGTACAAGAAGTGCAAATGTCACCGGATCGCTACCGAGCAAGCTCAAGTTCGTGAATCAAGACCGGACGAGGGTCACTTTTATTCTACGTCTGCAAATCTACGTAGCATCGAGAGAAACACTCAGGTTCACTTCGGTGTGACTCGTGATAGTTGCAGCCAAGACCAGAAACCACTCTACTAGCAAGGGCGGCGATACTGTTTGTCTTGGCGGCTACCAACTGTTCGTCAGTTCTCTTTTCCTTGCAAGCTAGACAAGAGCACCAAACTGTCCTCTTAGGTGGAATCACCGGCAATACTTAAATCCCCCGAATGAGGTGAATCTGTCTGATGTTTCCGTCGCGTGAGCTTCCGGGCGGCAGTTCGTGCGTCTCGCTTTAAACAAAGTCTTGCCCGAATCGGTAGCCGGCGCAACGTAAGCTGGGTCGCGATTGGAGCAGCAATTAATTCGGTTCTCTTGTCGACGGGGCCGTCGATCCTAATTGCAGTATTAAGGGGTCTCGCTGCGGAGAAAATTGTTGTTGGCGGGAAAATTGCCAGGGCCCGATCGTCCCCCCCGGCATGGAGGCGTGTGGGGGATGGCCGCGGGAGCAAGCGTGGCGCCCTCCATCTCCGGAGGTTACATCGTACCCGCTTCGCTCCGAGCTGGGCCCGGGGAACGGAACGGCGTGGATCCCGCGGCCGGGAGGGAGGTGGACAACAAGCGTTCTGGGAACTCCAGAGCGCATCTCAACTTTCGGATCACGTCTCCAACCGCCCGGATCACTGGCTACCAGAAGTTTGTGAACAGGCTACTTGGCAATGTGGTGCGTGACAATAACCTGATGAACTGCGTCCCGTTCGGGAAAACATTTCGTGGAGGTCGAGGTCTTAAAATAAGGTGACTACCGTGAGACGTAAGCAAAACCGTTCTGTTTGCTGGCTTCCATTGGCTGGTGATATGAGCATACTTCCGCGTTCCTGAATCTCGATGTGTCGTGTCGGAGAATTTGCAGCCCTCAGCTCACGACCACGGCTGAGTGGTCGGCCGGGTTGTGTAGTGGTGCCCATCTCGCACGAAATCGGAAGAGGCCGTTACGGCCGAGTTTCGGACGCCCAGACCGCGTCTGCGTGTTGGCAGAAGCAGCAAACGTTAAATAGTTCGTCTTTGCATACTTCCAAGCATAGACATAGGCGTGCGTGTCCCATGTGAAGTCCCAGCAGAGGTTGGTTGACGCGGTACGGGACAGGTGTATCCGCGCGACAGCCTTCACTCTAAATACCATTAAAGGCCACCGAAGAAGCTTTAGTCGCAGCTGTGATGGTTGCGACCCTTATCATCAAGCTCCTGAAATGCCCCGATTGGTTGTGCCTTATTTTGAGCGTACAAGGCGGACGGGAACACAGACTTGTCAAGTGTCAAGCTTCCAGTAATACTATGCGGCACGATCCGTAGTTGGGCTGGACCTACATACATGCGTGTGGAAGTTTCATGTCCTGACCGTCGTAAGCAGGATAGTCTCGCCTAAAGATCCCTCAAGTCCTACTTAGATTCGTCCCAACGATATAGAGATCTCTGGTGCATTCGGTCTCGGTAACGGTTGCGCTTGACCTATTGTGCTGGATTTTGTCGCAAATATGCTGTTAGTGAATCGCGAATCTCCAATGATCGTCTTTCTCGTGAGCGTCGCAGATCTCCTCGGTGACACCAGCTCACGATGCCCTACTGCTGGCTTCATTTGCTAGCATTTCGCCACTTGTACGGTCTTGGAGCCATCCAAATCAGTGTGAGAGACACGCATCGTTCCAAAGTGTTTCCACTCCGATTGGACTTTTCATCGCGAGTATGGACGACACGTGAACCACCTCAACACTATGGGTGTCTTGGGAGCGGAAGCCAAGAGTAGCCAAGTCTCTCTCAAGTTTAAGATATCACGGTGTTGCAAACCTGAAGGCTATTGATGTCTTCGATATGGCATAACAGCGTCAAACGGGACATTGCTTGAGTCATGGTAAGAGATTGGCAATTCGGGTCCATATCTATCCAAACGCAAAGTCGTGCAAGAGAGGGCTGAAGCATGAGCCTCAGTGTCCGAGTCCTTGTTTCGAGAAATCGGGCTGGCACGCTTCTTCGAACGAACGCAGCCCTTCCATCCTCGCTTACCGTAATCTTCTCCAATTGTTTCATTGTGCGTTTTCGAGGTCTGTGGACCTGCACTGGCCTTCAGACAGACAGTTGACATTGAGCAGTTTTCCTGACTGGGGCTGAGAGGAGGAGTTTTGCCAAGTCTCCTTACTCGCTCATCGGACTTTCTCCGACTCCTCGGTTGAATCTTTTGCAATGGATCGCCCACGAACCGATGCAGCTGCGCATGTTCGATTGGCAAGAATCGATGAACTATCGAACTCCATATGTGCCCATAAAAGAGTTCTAGAACGGTATCCATCAAAAGCAACTGGCGGTCTAGGTCAGCACTCTAAACCTCGAGATTGGCTAATAAAGACTCGATAATTTAGTTCAAGCATCTAATAGGGCTTTGTGGAAGTTGAGTGTGTGGAAGACTTTGTCAAGGAATCCCGGCCTCGACATCAGCCTCAAAGCTAGGGTATGCCGTCTTCCAACCGAAGTGGCTTTTCCAACGTGTTTTGCCAGCCTCCCCATCCCAGCCATTTTGGCTTTCTCTTTAAGTGGTTTTGAGAATAGTGAGGCAAACCCGGCCAACTTCGACTCGTGGAAACGTAGATCATTCCCCACCCTCACAAATCTCATACATCGTCGGATGGAGATTTTCTTTCCGCACAAGACTTTTACTGCCTCTGCCAGCCTCATGGCCCAGTGTCAGCGACCACACCATCTCGAGTCAACTCAGCCACCGGGCTGAACTGCCAACTCAGGACGACGGTTGGTGCCCGAATCGGTGGGATGCTGAGGAACGCACAATGCCGTTCAACAGCTTTGTGAGACAATTTTCCCAGGCTGTCACTGATGTTCGTTGTCTCTTGCTGGAAATGGGGCTGGTGGTTGTGGCAGAGGTGGAGATGGCGTTGTCAATCTGCAATGGCTGGTTGTTGCATTTGAGTCACACGGACACCTGTCTTGCATCAAGAACGAGGGGATTCCCGCCCTGCAATCATATTGCCAGCACCACCGGAGGTTGGTCCGAGAAATTCTGACAGCACGTCTGCTCTCAGTGGTTCACATGGTGATGAAGCCCTTCAACGAGTCTTTTTGTCTGCCTCACGATAAATGGAGAAAAGGGGCTGGCGCCCGCTTGGCGCCATCTCGCACGTCCAGCCTCTCATGAGCAGTAATATTACTTCCAATAAGACGGGTTGGTCGTAGACAGATGACAGCGTGGGGGGGGGCTGGTGATGGAGGGGGCGCACAGTTGAAAGAGTACAGGAGTGGATATAAAGCGCATCGGATATCCGACGTGGACACTTCGTCAGACTATACGTACTCGAATTCGCGGTCTTCTTGTACCGGATATGGGAGTTTTCGGCTTAAGCGTTCCCGCATTGAAGTGCACAAAGCCAGGGAGCCTGAGCTTCGTTTCGTTGCGGTGAGCAAGTTGAGCACATGGAATGCCGGTCATCTACGGCTCCCGATGGATATTCCCACCACGAGCAAGTAACGCCAGAAAACAGCAAGAGTCAAATGACACCAGAAAATTCAAGGTCTACAGCCTCATCATGAGGAAAAGGTAGTATGCGAAAAGGAGCACATAGTTGAAATGTAACGCAAGAAAAAGAGTCTGAGGCCTCATCGAGATCTGGTCCCTCTAACGCGTAAGAAAGTCAGAGGAATAGGTGTTGGATCCAGAATTCATGCGATATCGCTCTAGCATGTGAAGCTTTGGACCACCACTTCAAGTCATCTCATCACTGTTGAAAATCCTCAGGAAGAACTAACGGCCGCTGCGACGTGATGGCCCATCCGAGACGGGCTCGCGAACGAGACAACGAGTTGTGAGGCCAAGACCCGTCCCAGGTTTGACTCCATCCAGTCTGCTGCTCATCCGAGCCACACACCGCCAGCCATCTCAACTCTTGCTTTATTTTCGTTGCACACTTGTGAATCCTACTGCGATTGAGCCAAGACGCGCAACATTTCCCTCGGACCTATCCTTAGAGTTGGCCGATCCTTTGCATCAAGGGTGAAGGCCACCCGCAAAGCCAAATAAACCGAAATGGTGGACTGGAGAAATTTGCGACGTTTCTAATTCAAAGACAGAAAGAGATGAGCACCATTTGCTTCAACGTTCGGCTCACTTTTCATGATTCAGCTCCGGAAACGACAGGCCGCCTTCTCTTCAGCTCGCCCACCGTTGTCTCGTTCAGCATCGCCAAGCAGCCGGAAAACTGGATACGGACCCTCATTCACATCCCAGCCTTCAAGGAATGCCAACTGCAGCGATTTCCGATCTCACTGGGATTCGACGAGTGGAAGCCTCATCGTGAAGCTGTCAAGCTGGGATACTGCAGTCGACGTGTCAAAGATTGGTGCATTAGCGGCCTCGACTCCTGAGTTGGAGCGGCGATGATCCCGGCTGAACCCTCGGGTTAACGTTCGTTTTATAACACCGAACCCCCAACCACACAGACGCCGCAATGCCTCATTTGCCTCAAAATTGGGCCTCGTTTCACCCTGTCCCTGCGGCGCCTACACACATGAGTTGATGTGACCCAGGTGATCCCATCGCGAGCAATCTGATTTTGACGTCACCATCCCAGGATCTCGGCTCAAGTTCCCCCCCGTCTCTCTCGCCGAACCCGGGACCACATTACAGGCATGGCCCGGATACGACGTCGGCACGCATGAGATCAGCCCTGGGATGTCCCATGGGCGAGCACGCCGCCTTGCCCGGCCTGCCGACCACTCACGGCCGCCAGGCCACAGACGACCGCGGGTCCGAGGGGACCAGGACGACAAGGAGGCTCAACGGTCCCCTGTCGAACATCACCTCCAGCCAGAATTTGTTCCGAGAATTCACACCCCCGCGGTCCTTGTCGAAACTAAGGTGGTGGCTGATCAGACGGAAGGGAATCAAGGCCTAATGAAGCGAAGATGGCGGTGACGTCGAGATAGAGAGGCTGGTTGGGCACCCGTTCAGAGTTTGAAAAGATATGTATATTATGCCTTCGGACACCTTCGGCTCACGGGAGGGTGGTGTCCACCAAGCATCAAACCCACCTCCAGACTAGACCACACTCAGAAGGACGCTTATTCAATCGTCCACGACGGCTTCTCTCACGACGGCCAACATAACTACTTCAGTCCCCTCTCGATCTATAATACTCCCATCCCCGTCTCTCAGTCTGACGTCCACTTTCGACCGCATCATGTCAGGCCAGCAGACGGCGACCTTGAAGGCACCCGAGGGTGAACCCTCTCCAGTATCACCAGCAACAGCAGTCGACCCCAACGCCTTCTCTGACGACGAGAACGCAGTTCACTCACCACGCTTCACATCACACTCGCAACAACCCTCAAGAGGAGGCTCACGATCCGTTCGGGGCCGCAGCGTACGTGTCCCAGCCGGAAGGGACTCTGTCGAAGACCCCTTGCCTACTGGCGTATCAACCAAGTCAAACCGCCCTCTTCGTGAAGGCACCCGCTTCAACAACAACGGAGAGTACGACGACGACTCCGACACGGACAGATACTGGGGCAACAGCGGCAACCCCGACTACAGTGGCGGACGCGCACCTCGCTCTCGCCCTCCCCGCGCCCACCTGAACCGACCCCAGCCCTACTTCAACTACGACGCCAACACGGACGCAAAGGACTACTACGAGGAGACAAGGTCGTACGAGTCCGGTGACTACACCGGAAGACCGCCTTCTCGCAGAATGTACGACGAGGAAATGGCCGGCTATCCTCGAAGCGGTGTCGCAGTACGCAGCACCAACGGCGACACGGCCCGCATCGACTGGCATAATCTGAGCCGGGAAGAGAAGGCTCAAGTTATGCGTCTCCCTCTCACGCAATGGATGAACTCGGACTTCAAGAACCACTTCGTCGCAAGTCTCGGCGAATTGGTCGGCACCACGATGTTCCTCTTCTTCGCCTTCGCCGGCACTGAGGTCGCCAACATCAAGTCCGCTGCCAACGGGTCCAACGCCCCGGCAGACAGCAACACCACCACAGGAGCATCGACCGGCTTCAACGCCGTTACCCTGTTCTACATCTCTACCATTTTCGGCTTCTCCCTCATGGTCAACGTCTGGATCTTCTTCCGCATCAGCGGTGGCCTGTTCAACCCGGCCGTGACTCTTGGCATGTTCCTCGTTAAGGCCATTCCAGCATCACGAGCGGCTTGCTTGTTCATTGCCCAGATTCTGGGAGGCATGCTGGCGTCGGTTATTGTGCGATTCCTCTTCCCCGAGAACTTCAACGTCCGCACTACTCTCGGCGGAGGTGCGTCCCTCGTTCAGGGTGTCTTCATCGAGGCCATTCTCACGGCAGAGTTGGTATTCACAATCTTCATGTTGGCCAAGGAGAAGCACCGAGCCACATTCATCGCCCCTGTCGGCATTGGCCTGGCCCTCTTCATTTCTGAGTTGGTGGGAGTTCAATTTACTGGAGGCTCCCTCAACCCTGCACGAAGCTTTGGGCCTTGCGTCATTACCGCAACTTTCGACCAGGAGCACTGGATCTACTGTAAGTTCAACGTTCCCACCCACGACATGACCTGCGCAGCGGAAAGCTAATCTCATCTACAGGGGTCGGTCCTGCCCTTGGTGCGTTGATCGCCGTGGTCTTCTACAAGTTCATCAAGACCCTGGAGTACGAGATGGCCAACCCCGGTGCCGACGGAGACCCGGAAAATGACCCTACTCAAAACCCCGCCAAGCTGGCCGAGCTTCGCATGTCGCGCACCAAGTCCAAAGCATGACGGGCGTTCATCATCAGAAGGTCGACAGACAATCATGAGATCAACGGCACTATAATGAAGTGGAATGGACGTGGTTAATGACATTGATGGTAATGAATTTTGAAGGTGTCTCAGGAATATACCTGGCAGAATGATGGCACGTCGCACACACATGATTGTTTCACACGAGCTGTGAAGGAACAGCATTCTATCAGCTACAGTTCTACGACAAGAGTTTTACTGGTTGGACATGAATATAGATGAAAAACAACATGCTGCAGAATAAACATGATTACTGGTGTCGATTCACGACTCTAAACTGATGACGCTCGTGACGCTGATGCTATGATGAGAACGAAATAGAAGCTGACGATCACAGCCGTTGACTCAGCTGCTCCAAGAACACCTTCTCTTCAGGTGTGATGAACATGTGTTCGGGGACGATAACTTCCCCAGGCCTCATAATCAAAACCGGGTCAGGCTTCATGGTAGTGTCACTCCTGCCACTGGAGTCCGCCTCGTCCGCCGCCTCTTCTTTCACGACCTTCTCCTGGTTTTCCTCGTCGACCCGCCGCCGTCTCCACGGCACACGGTGCAACCGAACGTCCTCGGGTGTCCACCAATACATCGGGAAGCGCCGTTGGATATTGTTAATGATTAGCGCGGTGGCAAGCATTACGACACAGCCAAGCATCACGATGGGCACCAAGAACCATCCCAGATGGACAACCCCGTCGTCCACGACGGCCAGCAGCGCCGTCGCGCCAGCAGGGGGATGCACCGTCTTCGTAAGCGCCATTACGGTGGTCGCGAGGGCGCAGGACAGGGCGCCTCCCAGCCAGCGTATCTCCTCGAAGTGCGGGCTCAGCTGGAACAGCTTGCAGATGGCGACCCCCACGAGCGCGGCAAGGAGCTGTCCGAGGACTGAGTTGCGGGGCTGAGCGAGAGGTGATTCGATGGAGTAGAACTCTAAGACGGCGGCTGCGCCCTGTATGTGAGGAAAACCCGAGTCAGCCATCCGCCAAAGTATGTCGTTCCCAGTCAGGAGAGGCCGGCGAGGTAAACGGTGTGCCGGATGTCGTCACATGGGATAGGCCAAGGCATGAAACGGGCTGAGGAGGGGACCAAAGGCCCGAGCACCACCTTGGCCTGTCTCCGTGACAGACTCGGTGTAGGAGAGGTGTGGGAATGGTGTCGGGGAAGAGCGGAATAAGAAAGAATAATCACTTACAAAGCTTCCGACGATGATAGGGGCGCCATGTTCTCTGAAGGAGGGTATTTGTTGTGAGACCTTCGCCACGACGGCGACGCCGCAGAAGACACCGATGCAGGCCCAGAAGGTCGGGACGAGGTTGCCGACATTGTCTGGCTTGCTTTTGCGGTGTCCGAAGAAATGCGCGATGGGATATGGGATATAATTCCACGGTGGCGGCGGCACGAAGGGGTTGAGGAATCGATCAATGTCGAAGCTCCAATGTGTTGGGTTGCATCGCGACATCGGGAAATGGATCGCCGGCGTACGCCAAGTCCGGGGTAGTGCTCGATGAAATCCGGGGAACGGTGCCACTTTTCGGGTAGGGTATCGAGGAAATGATCCGAAGCGAATTTCAAGCGACCACCCCTTTTCCCTCTCTCTCTTTCAAACGGCCCTTGAATTCCAACCAGGGGGTTATCAACTTCTTCCTCTTCGCGTGCTCAGTCGGTAATTGTTTCTGTCGGACTAGTCGTCGGATAAAGGAGGGTATTCGCTGTTACACGTGAAAGGCAATAAAAAAGAGTTACAGGACACAAGACCGGTTGTGGTATGGCATGAATCATTCCACGTTGGCCGAGACACAGACACAATACAACGAACACGACCCTTTTCTTCGTCCAATTCAGAGACCAGGTGACCCGCCACGGATCTTTGGATCTTGCATTACTTTTAACGACCCTTACTGCCGCGGAGATTCAGATTCAATGGCAGGTGGATGACTGTCTGGTATGTTGCCAACCGGGTTCATCGCACGTCATATTTGGTAACAGAAACTCCCGAATAGGTCTAGATCCCGGGCCGGACGGGGGACCGCCGGGCATAAGTGGACCCCAAAACGGTCGAAAGCGCATGCCAGGAGCAAACTATTATATAACAGATGGCAACTCGTCATCCAATGCTCGTCTTTGACCATTCAGACGAGCTACCGCGCCGTCCTGGCGCGCCTGGCTTTAGGCTCGGCCATCGTTCGGTGTGCCGGTCGGTGATGGTGCCAATTTTTCATGGCATTCTTCCTCCATGATTGCCATTCTTCCGCAGCTGTCAAACTTTCCGGACCTCCGGGAATGGACCCTTTTTTTTCTCTGGACGAAGCTCGGGAGATCGGCCGACGCTAGCGTAACTGTGAAAATTTCACGATCGAATATTCCTCCGTAGCTGAGTCATGGTTCCGGCTTCCCATTTCCGAGGGCGTAACAGAGACTAGATGCCGAGGCGATGGGATCCTCTGGAAACAGTTTCGGAACGAAGGGCAGTCTGGTGTTCTTACCCCACATGCTCTTTGAAAATTCACACCCTTGACATCAGAGAGACATCCGTCACGATTTGGAAACAGTTCATCTGCCTTCTTACCAGCTCTCATGATATCATCGCATCCGGTGTTGATTTCGGCTGAACCAGCGGAAACCTTCCACATATCAGTGTGAATATGATACAACGCGAAGAGAAACCCTTGAGGCGTGGTATCGCGTTACCACCACATGGAACACGGCTCATCCCTGAACACGTCGTACTATTGACTTCGACGTCCAAGCGAGGAGGCACGACAGGCAAACATGTCAATTGTGCGTTGAAGAGATAAGTCCACAAACTTTGGTTGCTTGATCTCCGTCCTGGCCGTTGCAATCGCAACCCAAGTGTTATTGCTGATCCAGCTCTGTTAAATCGGCAAGAACTAGCGATCAACCACTTTGACCAGAGGCTCGCACTTGTGTTGTAGTCGGCGGGTCACCGGAGGCCGTGCTATCCGCCGCCGACTCACGCGTCAGTCTCAATTTGGGGAATGATTTACTACTTCTTCACATCTAATGCTAATAATGCCTAGTTCGCCGCATTGACAAACGGATCAATAAGGCAGTTGGCCAATTGCCGACTTAAGTTGAAAGTCCAGAGCCAGACTAACGGACGAGTTGTGAAGATTGTCCGCCCACTTTTTCCTGTTTCCAAAGTGCGAGCTGGTGGGCTTTTCTACTCGTTGGGTAACCAAACTGCTTATCGTTGTTGTTGCGTTTTTAATTGCGGCAGAGATTGATCAAACTGTACGGTAAACTGGTACTTTATTACCGTTTCTTTCGTATCGCTATTTCTACTAGATAACCATCTCAGCCTGGAGGATTATAAAGTACGGGATTCGGAGATTCGGAGGGTCCACACGAGAGCTTTGATACATTTGCCTCATTGGGTGAGTCAACATCACTGCTGTCCGAAGATCTTTCCCAACTGTTATTGAATGGCAACTATGGGACAACGAAAATGACAGGTAATCGACTATTGAAGGATAATATTGTAGAAAGAAATGCGGCCTAGCATGCGATGGCTTCGTGACCGTTATTGAATGAGGTTTGCTCCCCATTCCGAACAGTATGTGATATGTGACTTGTGCTTCAAGCGTAAAGTGCTTTTTGAAGCCAAGCACATCTCTCATTCGCCGTCGTATCCTCCACAATCTCCGCGCTGCCAACTTTCAACGCCAGCATACTCGAGTTACTCCCAGTGATTGGGAAGTTAGGAAGGCCAGGCCCGTTTGGACTACCGAACTGCACGAAGTTGCTGACGTAGCCCTGAAGAGTACGGGCCAGCTTGATGTTGACTCCTCCGTGACTTCCGTTCTCAGTCTCGTCCGGTCCGCTGTAGAAGATGTACGGGAAGTCTGTACCATGGACTCCGGGCGGGACCCGAAACTCGTAGTTGTAGGTATTGTTGCCGAATGCCTTGGAAAGGTAGTTGGTGTTGCAGGTAAGGCCAGTCTCGGCGATGAACTGCATCGTCCTATCAATACCGGACTCTGGATACAAGTTTCCCAGGATATGAGATACTGCCTGGTCTTGTATCGTCGGAAACATGCCGCGAAGCATCGTAGCCATTTCCTCATCGGTTTTGACAAATGGCGGAGTGAAGTAAGGTGCCTCATCCGACACGTGGCCTGTCATGACGGAGACGTTGTGATCGAACTCGCCCTTGAGAAGAGAAATTCCGGGAAGAGCCGGCACCAATCCGCCATCAACCACAGGGCCGTATGTGAATGAAACCCAATGAGATGACCCGACAGCCTTTGCATTGGCGAGTATGACGTCTTCGGTCGACGCATTCTGTGCTTCCTCAATAGTACTGACATTGAGGTAGCGCAAAAAGGTGTTTGTCGCGTTCTCTTGTTGGTATTGCGATGTGATTGGGAGCCAGCCAGCCGACTCGGTAATTGCTTGCGCAAATGGAGCGGGAACCAAACCACCCCGAGCGGTGATATGGTGCACAATGCTCCCTCCTCCAGCAGATCCTACAGAAGATGAATGTGATCAGCTTCGTTAGATGGTCGAACAAGAATCGTGAGAGACATACCTCCCGTCACAGTGACCCGATTCGGGTCCCCTCCGAAAAGATGGATTTTGTCTCTTATCCATTCAAGAGCCAGCCTTTGATCCAATAGTCCAGCATTAGAGAGCCCTCCAGCAGCTTGCAGAGATGGGCCAGCCAGCCAACCAAGAGCACCGAGTCTGTAATTAATACTGACGTAGATGATTCCAGCACTGCCATTCGCCTGGCTCGTCTTGATCAGGCCGCTGGGATCCGCGCTGTTGTCGTACACCTTGTTTCCGATCGCATATGCGCCACCGTGTAACCTTGAATTATCCAAGTCCATATGTAAGTAAATGAAGCTAATTGCTGAGCTTGAGAGGTTCAGAAGGCTTACCAGACAAGAACAGGAGCGCCTTGGTGGACATTGTCAGCAGTGCTCGTCGTACCATTCGAGCCCGTGTTGTTCCTTCCACCCTCGAAGACGGCTTTGGGAACGACAACGTCCAGAAACAAACAGTCCTCGGTAGTGTGATTGTTGGGATTTGCCCAGGGAGCTGGCCATTGTCGCTGAGCCCGCTGAGCTTCAGCAATGGCTGCCGCCTGAGTGTAATTGAAGGTGGACTGATTACCAGCAGCAAATGCTGGCACAAATTGGCGAGTGATTTCGGTCCATTCAGGCATGGCTTGTGGGCAGATTCTTCCTTGCTCGCCAACCTGGACGGCTTGAACCCGACCCGTGGGCGGTTGCGGAGCGCGGAAACGAAGAGAGCCGACAGGAGGTTGGGCGTATCGGATGTTGCTAAAGTTGTAGAGCGCCGTTTCTTCCTGTGTTGATTGTACAATGAGTTTCTGGAAATATCAGAAATGTTCTGAGTGCGTGACATACGTTCAGGGAGATGGCTTGATGGACTTCGTAGCCGAGGTCGACCGTAGGCAGGCTGCCAGCCGCCCTGACTGCCGAAGGCAGAACGAGGGCGATGGCGCAAAATGAGAGCGGAAGGATTCTCATGTTTTTCGAGGGGAAAAAAAAAAAACAATCTCAGTATGTCAGCTAGCTGAAAGCATTGGGGATGCTCGTACTATGGGACGAACACGCAGAGCTTTTGTATCTCACGAACAACGCCAAAAAAATAAGTTCCCAGTTTTACCCTAAATCTAGCAACATTGAATTTTCGATTGGCTTAAACTTCCCTGTTCTTGCGCTGCACTGGCTTACCCCTCATTGACATCTCTTTTGGCGTTATTCAGATAGAACCTAAAGACGGGCGTGAAGGGCTTAGGCATACCGCTAAGAAACCCAAAGCCTAGGCATCAGGTGTTATTTCATCAGAATACGCTCGTAAATACGACAAATTACTACGACATCCATATTTTGATGATCAAGGAGGTCGACACATGGGGAAGGCGGACTGAGAGATGTAGCCCACAAGGCGTATTCGAAGCGTATTCAGAGCGTATTGAGGGCGCATTCAAAAGCGTAATCATACATCGTGGCTATGAAAAGCGTAGCAGGGAGACACACGCTGATTTGCGATGAAAATAGAGACTGAGATGGGACTTCAAATTTAACTAGGAATCGAACTAATGAGAATACCTGCGGCTTTTCGTGCAGAGCCCCATTCACCGCGGCTTTGCCGATTGCCAGTGAGGAGTCTGATGCTCACCTGCGCGGTTCAATTTGACCCGACGGTCTTCAACATGATTCTCGGTAAGCGTATCAAGCGCTCAAAGACGTATTAGTACAATTGGGGCAGTTTATTTTATACGTAAATATCAGTAATAATCCATCATAAGATGACTTTTCAAAAATGGCATTAACTCTTATCGACTAGACCACCACTGCCTTGAACACGACGAAACCAAGATGTCGATCTGCAAATACGATTCTCTGTTTGCCTACGCGCCATCAGTGGCCGCCGCCGCCTTCTTCGCATCTGCATTCGGGATATCAGCTCTCCTTCACCTGGGCCAAACGGTATATTTCAAGGCATGTTACATGATGCCTCTCGTGATTGGGGCCTTCTGTAAGTAGGCGCCTCATTGAATATCGCCCATATTCTTACCATTTCAGTTGAAACAATTGCATACATCACGCGATGTCTGTCTGCATCTGAAGAGTTCCGTTGCTGGAGTCTCCCGCCCTTCATCGTCCACAGCGTCTTGGTGTTGGTCGCGCCTGCTATCATCGCAGCCTCGATATACATGCTACTCGAGAAAGTGATCTGTCTTTCAGATGGAAAACCATTCTCCATCATGTCTCCTCGGTGGATCACTCGAGTGTTTGTAGCTGGAGATGTGGCATCTTTCCTGGTCCAATCCTACGGTAAACCCTCCAAAGAGAATACCACACTCACTCAAATTGTCACACTCTAACCCGGAATCTTTGCAGGAGGTAGTATGGTCTCGAAACCCAGCGCGAGCGACTCTTCACGGGAGGCAGGGCAGCGCATCGTCTTGGTGGGACTCGTCGTGCAAGTTGCCTTCGGCCTACTCTTCACCGTGGTCGCAGCAATTTTTCACCGCCGGATTCGCAAAGCTTTCACATCAGCGGGCGTTTTTCAAGAAGTCAAGTGGCTTGTGAGGCTTTACGGGCTCATGGCACTGATCACGATGCGGAATATTTTCCGAATCGTCGAACACTCGGAGGGCAAGTCTTCATCTGTGGCAGAACATGAGTACATGCCGTACCTCTTCGACGCCGTTCCAATGCTCTTGGTACTGCTCTGGCTCAATTGGAATCATCCAAACCAGATGAAACAGACATCGCCGTTCGGTTATCCGTTATCAGGCATGCCGAGCTCATTAGGTTAAGGTCGAAGCTGGGCGCTCACAGGTATCCCAGCTTGTTACCTGCTCCGGAGACTTCTCTCATCCATTCGGATTAGATGTATTTTCTTCACGTATCCTATCTCAAATCTCATAGATCACGATTTCTCCTCTCTTGCTACATGATCTCGTGTTCCTCTCGGCCGATTGACACTGACTGGACGCAGCGCGGCGCTGCTGAGCCACGGAACTATCCCTGTTGCTTCCCCACAGAATCCCCGGTGAAATACGATGCTGGCTCCTTGGCGGCGCAAATCTAGCACTGCGAGCCCCTGAAAGCTTCGATGTTTTCCAATGCCCGCGAAAGTTCACGTGTAATCAATCTTCTTCTATCTTAAACCGGATGCTCACACACCCCGATTGTTACCCGAGGCATCTGACTTCTGCTAAAAGCGACGACGGAAACGGCGACCACGAATATGAAGCGGAGCGGCGATGGCAGTAACATGGGTAGCAAAGGAGTGCGAAAATCACATCGCAAATCTCGAGGCGGCTGTAGCTTCTGTAAGAGACGCAGGATCAAGGTGAGTCAAGCTTGATGCTTCATATCAGGCTCCGACCATCCCTATGCTTCCTGTACTGAGCATAGTTAGTGCGACGAGAAGAAACCCAGTTGCACCAATTGTGTCAAGAGGTTATTGGTGTGCAGCCTCGATACCTCCCCATCACCCACATCAACGCCTGGGAATGAGTGCGCAAGTCAACCTCACTCGGCCAGTACCGCTTCCAGCAAACACCTAGCAAACGACAACGAAAGGTTGGAGGCGTCACCGTTACTCGACGTACAGGACCTCCAACTCTTCCATCACTTCTGCTCGTTTACATCCACGACATTCGCGCCGACAACGTTCCTCCAGCAGTTCTGGAACATCACTGTCGCTCAAATGTCCTTCTCTCACCCCTTTCTCCTACGGGCAATTCTTGCCATCAGCGGTCTTCACATGGACTACCTGAGAAAGGCCGGTGATGATGACAGCGGTTGGTACAGGACGAAGGCCTCGGCACACTGGGACGCCGCCATTCGTTTGGCAACACCGAGGCTGGCCGACATCAACGAAGAATCCTGCGATTCGCTCTTCATCTTTGCCATGCTCTCTTGCCTCCACACTTTCGCTGCAGGGCCGCAGGCAGGGAACTTCCTCTTGTTCACGGACGATACGGAGGTCGAATGGCCGATATTCTTCCGTGGCCTCAGGTCAGTCTCGGAAGCGGCCGCTCACCTCGGCGTCTCTGAGCCGAGTAGATCGCTGTCTTTCATGTACAGCATAGCAAAAATAGACCTAGACCGACCCCAAGAGCTACCCGAGACGAGCTGGAGCAGGGCATTGGACGACCTCCGCCAGGGTTTAGTTGACACACTTGAAGACGAAAAGGAGCGACGAATCTACGCGCCGGCGCTTCAGCGTCTTGCTGGATGCTTCCTGGTGGTGTTCGGGGATAGTGAGACTACGCGAAAGGCAGCGTCGCATGAGGTGTTTGCTTGGCTCTACCACGTGTCGGATGACTTGGTTGTGCGCCTCCGGGCTAAGAATGACGTCGCGCTGGCGTTGTACGCGTACTTTGTGGTGTTACTGAAGCAGATGAGCGGTGTCTGGATGTTGAAGGGCTGGCCGGAGCATTTGATGTCTGGAATATACTGCGCCTTGTCCCCTGCCACCCGTCTTTGGATTCGATGGCCGATGGAGAGAATCGGATGGTGGCCAGCATGTTGAGACGGGCGGTGACGGAGGATGCGCCAAGGTGGATAAGGGGTGTTAAATGGACGACGCACCTCTGACGACACACCAGAAAGGTGAAATATACCAACAAAAACACAAAAGATACCACAACACTAAGTCTTCCTAGGGTAGTTACTCGATCTCCGTAAGGCTTAGTGTGTGGGGAGCTCGCATCTGTGAAAAGGCACGCCGTGTGTAACGCTCCGGTGAGATCAGCGCGTCATTGAATCTCCACATGCGGCTGCAGTTGGACATGAGATGGGTAAGACACTGACATCGATAATGATTCATAGGGCTCAGCTCTTTCCCATATAAGCAATCAGGCGAGGGACCGGGCCAATGAAGTACGATGGGATGAAATCATTCAACATCATTCGTTTTCCGATGAGTCCCGCGCGTAATCCAACTGTCCTCTCATGTTTGAGGCGTAATAAGTTATCAGACTTATCACTCCCAAGGGCTTCACTCACCGCAATCTCTGCTTCACACAACAGAGCTTACACACCTAGGCCTCAATCAAGACTACTGCATACCACACGTCCTGTCAACATCGTGAACATGGAGGCCATCAAGGTGAACAAGGCCTCATCTGTGATTAGTATTGTTGTTAACACCACCTCAGAACACCATCGCCGAGAACTTCGGGGGCAACGCCGCCGCAAGTCTTGGATCCCACCAGTTCAGCCTGGATGAGTGCCCGGACCTCACCTCCAAGGTCGCCGTCGTAACAGGCGGCAGCGAGGGCATCGGCTACGGCGTCACGCACACCCTCCTCAAGAACAACATCGCCAAGCTGTACATCCTGTCCGTGTCCAAGGATGTCGTAGACGGCGCGACGGACGCCATCGCCAAAGACCTGGGCACCGAGAAGGCCAACCGCACCAAGTGGTTCCAGTGCGACATGTCCGACTGGAAACGCGTCAAGGAGGTCGCGGAGGCCATCAAGAATGACGCCGACCGCCTCGACATCCTCTTCAACAACGCGGGCCGGGGCATTATGTGGTACGAGCTGACCGACTACGGCGTCGACAGGCACATGGCGCTGAACCACATGGGCCACGTGGTGTTGACGAGCCACCTGCTGCCTCTGATCAAGCAGACGGCGGAGAAGGGAAATGTGGCGCGGATCGTGAACCAGGCGAGCAACGCGCACCAGGCGGCGCCGAGCGATACCAAGTTCGAGAGCCTTGAGGAGCTTAACCAGGACTTGGGTCCGAATGGGCAGTATGGACGTAGTAAGCTTGCGAACATTCTGTATGCCAGGTACTTCAACAGGAAGGTGACGCAGAATGGGCACCCGAACGTGCTCATGAATGCGACTCACCCGGGGTTCGTGAGCACGAAGATGAGTAAGGAGGATATCCTCGAGCCGTAAGTATTCGTTCACACATGTACTTGGCGATGATAATGGGATGCTAATCAGATCAGGTACCCTCTCGGAGGTTATGCCATGGCCATTGGTATGGAACCATTCAAGAAGAGTCAGTGGGAGGGAGCCGTCCCAGCCGTCTTCTCGGCCACAACCATTAAGGAGTCAGGGCAGTACATCTGCCCGCCAGCGATCCCGGAATCTGGCAATAAGCTGGCTCAAGATGACGCCCTGGCGGATCAATTGATGGAGTTGACGCGCAAGATCATCACCGAGAAGACCAAGAGCCAGTCGGTCGACAAGGGATGCCCGATGGATGATTTGGTTCTTCACTAAGGCATGTCATAGAGAGGCGTCAAACTACTGTAGAAATAATAAATCTTCAACGTTATCGGGTCCGATCTTCATCTGTGAAACAGTGACCCTTCCCTCTTGTTCTGATTCACGTCGCCTGCCAAACCGAACCCGCATCTAACCTCGTTTGGAGACCAGGAAGGGCTTTCCCGGGGGTATCTCTGGGCTGCATCAAAAGGACTCGCCAAGTTCTGATTCATTACGCCGTACCCAATCTTCAACTCCTTCACATCCTTTGGAACGTCTCCGCGGTCCCGGTCCGGGCCTTCCCACCTCACTTTCTCCAAAGCCGGACCTCGAGTGGCGGCCACGATGCTCGAGAAGCGGGTGTTCCGGAGCACGCCTCCGTTCGTACGAATAGCAAGAGCTCCCGCCGCCACGCCGGACATTGCGAGGAATATGGCAATGGCATAGACTATCCACAGGTCGCGGGCGTGATAACTGTATAAATTGGCCATGCGTGACCGCTGGCATGGATACTCGTAGGCCGACCTGTTATTAGGCCCTCCACCTTGGACAAGCTGCCCGGTCATCTCGTTTGGTGCGGCAGCCCATACCACGGGGAGAAACTGTGGCATCGAGAAAATGGAGAGGATGAGGTCTTCGTAAAACTCCTGCACCATGTCCATGAGATTCTCGTGAGGGAAAAAGTTGTTTCTGGGGACCAGAAGCTTCGTCTGGATCGCGTCCGTGTTGGTCACCGGGTTGACGAGCTGCTTGTCGGTCTGGACAGTGCCGTTGAGGAACTTGCGCAGCATGAAGCCGAGGGAGTGGTAAGCTGCCGTGCGACGGTACCTCGCAACGTCCGTGGGGAGGATGTAGTTCTCCGTCGGGGTGGCCGTGATGTTGTCTGCGGTGCCATCGTCTGCGTCCACGTGGGGTACGTACGTCGTGTTGATGACCGGGGCGAGGAACTCGCGCTTCTTCATGTAGGCGGACTGCGTCGTGTCTGTGTAGTTGAACACCGCCGTGTACTTCGTCTCGTAGTGCTCGCAAGCAAAGATCTTGGGGATGAAGTTCGGCTCGCCTCCAATCTGTGCCCCATGAGTATCGTTCGCTCCCGGGACCACGTAACCTATCCAGATGATTGGCTCAGTACGGAAGGCCCCCATGTGTTCCGGGTATGGGGGCTTCGTCTTCGGGACACCCCCAATGTCGACGTCCCTCATCTGCACTGTTGAATATTCCCCTCCGGTTGCGAAGGCGTAGTATGCGTAAGTTCCCTTCGGCAGGAGTAGATCAGTGCCGAATGGTGACTGAGCCTGGCCTGACTGTTGCGTCAAATTCGCGGGCGTCGAGCCAACACCGTTTGCCAGCTCCGTGCACTTGTACCCAGGGGCCTTGAACTCGATCTCAAAAGTGCAGTTCCAGCCCTTGCTGCAGACTTCTATAGACGCGTTCTTCCTCGAGACGACTTCCTGGAAGAAAGCGCCGAGAGTCGCGGTCTGCTGAAAGTTGGGGCTAGGCGCCGTGTAGTAGTCAAACCATCCTGGAGGATCTTCGTCGGATGGTTTGGTCGTGTTCCAGAAGGATAGCGGCATCTCATACAAACCGTCAATCCTGAGTGGCTTGCGCCAGTCGGCAGTCTCTTCCATCGCGAAGTTCAAGCTCCGGACTCCTGGACAAGTCGTGTTTTGGACGGTGACCTGTGGCTGCACGAGAAGCGTGTTGGCTGTGAGAATGACGACCAGAGGTGAAAGCCTGGAATGAATTAGCCAACCAAAACTGGCATCCAATAATCATGAATCCATCATACGACTCACCACACAAACAACGCAAGGGCGGCCGTCGCCTTGGCGCCCTTGAGGAACTCCCAGTTCAGAAATGCGATGAGATTCTCCGTGGCTGCGAACATGGAGTCGAGGGCAGCGACGCTGAGAATCTTCGACCTCACCGTCGCCCAAATACGCTGCTGAAAAGCCGATATCACCGCAGCGCCCAGGCTCGCTTTCGCCGCGAACGCAAGGATCGTGCCATACCGCAACATGCGCACCTGATCGTCCGCCGGCTGGCCGTCGAGGGTGCTGTAGAACCCGTGATGACCGATCGCGAAGCCGATGCCCAGGACGAGCCAGAGGTACATGTTCCATTCCGAGTGCCAGAAGCTGGCGCAGTGAGGCTTTCGCATGCGAAAAGACTTGCTCCTTTCGTTCGGAGGGCCCAGATAATTGGCCGCGGCGTACGGGGGTGGTTGACTTGGCATCTGCTGTTGGTGGTATTGGTTCTGCTGTTGGTGATATTGCTGCTGTGCCGTTTGTCCTGCAAAGTACCCATCATTCGCCGGCTCCTGCGCGTTGTGAAGCAGAGCTGCACGCGCATCTTGGCGTTGGCTGTCATGATTGTCGTGAATGTGAGCCCTGTCCGCGATGTGGTCTGGCGAAGGTGAGTCTTGGCCTTGAATCAGTGGATCAGCGCCGAAGTGCGCTCCGCTTAGCGAGCTGAGGTCGATGCCATGCGTGTCCATCGGGCCTCCCGTCGGTGTCGACTCCGTGACATGAACAGTGGTGCCGGTCTTCTTCGTCGCTGGGACGGGTCTACGTGGTATGGAAGCTGAAGAAGAATTTGTCTTCTGCTGCCAAGTCACCGGCGACGTTTCTGGTGACGGCATCGAAGGAGTGACCGGAGGACGACCACCTTCATCAGCCAAAAATGAGGATGGGACGGAGGATGCGCTAGACCGCTGGTGAGTTTGCTGGCAGGGTGGAACATGCCGGCGGCAATGTTGTGTTTGGCGGGGGATGATGGAGCTGATCTGCCAGAATTCTTCCCCGATCAAGACAAACATGCCCTTGCATGTGCTACTAGGCAACGATTAAATGCTAGGGTTCCCACTGCTGTCCACGCGGCTGGGATTCGGCATTCGCGAGCTTCGGGTCTAGACTCGTTGTAGACTCGTGGCTGATAATGGTGTCTCAATCGTCGTCTCTCCGGCGGGCTGAGCTGGGCTGAAGTGTTCAATAGCCAAGTGCGGCCCCGGACTCGGCGGATGACTCGGCGTGACGGGATGCGAAGGCCGCGTCCTCTTCACCTTTCGATATATCGTTCGCCGGACTGCCCAGTTGACCAAACCTGGTTCGAAGTGAAGCGGACACTGCTAGCTCCGGCTCATGGGCGGCGATCGGCGTGCGAACAACAGAGACATTCCAAAAGCTTTCCACTTGGGAAAGGAACAGAAAGACGGGCATGATCCTGCTTGTTTTGAGCAGCTGTGGATCGTTTTGTAGGCAGGGGTAGACTCGTCTCCTCATCAAAACTCAATAAGAAAAAAACCTCCAACGTGTACCCTTGCCCTCATCAATCCTCCAGCCCCTTTACCACGCTTTTGGTTCAGGCGGAGACGCCAGAATTGTCCCATGTTGCTGACAGCTGGACGCGCTAGGATGTGGCTGTAAGCTGCTTTCGGGAAAGCTTCGTCTAGTTTCACCAGCTGCATCATCGCTTTGTGGCCAATCGTGTGGCGTCGTTGGAGAGATGACCGGTGAAGGATTCGTTGATTTTGTTCGAAAGGATATCGATGCAGGTCAGAAGCTCGCACTCAGCGGCAAGTCAGACCCGGATATGCCAGCTGCAATGCGATGGAAGGGACGGATGGGACGATGCTTGGCCTCCCGCTTCCCGTGCTGACGGAACCGGGTCCGAAACGGCCTGTTACGCTGCGCCGGACCCCGGTAGGCCATCGCTGTGAGTAGGATAGTAGCTTATATACCTGACATTTCGCGTTTGTCATTGTCGCTGACTCTCGTGACATGTCTGTTTCCTTTGCGTCTTGACTTCAAGCATTTACACCAGTTTATGATGGCGTTTACTCGCCGCGTATGGTGGAAAATGTCTTCTAAGCCCAGCTGAGCCAGTTCGGACGGACTCTATCGACAGCGATAGATGCCACATCAAATCCAACAAAAGAAGCTGTAAATCTGTCGTTGGTTATTCATCCGCTACGGTTTCCTTCGCCAATGAAGACAACTGCAGGCATATTTCATCATGTTTGTTGCCATTTGTTTGCTGGCAAACATCTCCTTTGGGCAACAGAGCTCCTGACCCTTGCAACATCTATCCAATCTCCATTGCATTCTTCAATAGAAGCTTGCACCACCCGACCAACAAAGCTCCCTCATTTGGGCATGCCACTCCGGGAACCTTGATCCAAACACTTGTCTGCCAATCGCCGTCGACTCAATTGCCAACATGCATGCCAAACCCGGCGGGAACAAAGCGTAGACAGGGTCTGCCCCGCACACTGGTGATGTTGCGTCAGAGAAGGGTCCTGGAATCGATGTTTTTAGACTAGCCCGTCCGCCGTCAAAGGGTCCTCCCTTCTCTCGCATGTTTTGACGTCTGTCACCACGCCGAAGCTACACCCGGCCTGCCCAACATGTCGCAATACAGCGATGTCTGGGCTTTCGGCGAGCTTAAATCGACGTTTTCTTCAGGATTCTTCATCACCTTGGCAATCGCGCTGCTGTCAGCATGGTATTTCGTATCTTGGTATCGTCTGAGGAACGTCCCGGGCCCTTTGCTCAACTCCATATCGATCATACCCATGAACCTCACGACAACGGGCGGGAAACTTAGTTTCAGGCTCAAGGAGCTGGGAGATCAGTACGGTGAGATGTCGCTGTTTATCGATAAGTATTCACATAACTGACAGAGCCGGTAGGCCCCTTGGTAAGGGTCGGGCCGAACGAGGTTCTGTTTGGCGATGCGGATACCTATCGCCAGATCTCGGCGGTGCGGTCGGACTTCACGAAGGGGCCATGGTACGAACTGGCGAAGGTTGTACCAGACACACATAGCCTTTTCTCGATGAGAAATGATGAGCAACGGAAGGACTTGAAGGCCAAGTTGACTCCTGGAGTATGCAAGCCTACCCAGCTGGAACATGTCCTGAAGAAACATCTCTGATCAATATCGCAGTATGCTGGACGAGATAGCAATGGCTTCGAGCCAGGAGTGGACAGGATTGTCGCCCAATTTGTCGATCTTATCGAGAAGAAGTATATCTCCACGGCTACTGAGTATCGTCCCATCGAGTTCTCGCACAAGTCGCAATACTTCGCCCTTGACGTCATCGGCCAGCTGGCTTTCGGTGAGCCTTTAGGCTTTCTGCAGAAGGATGAGGATCTCTGGGGTTATGTTGCGATGAACGACAGCGTGTTCCCCGTTCTCGCGATCATGTTGAACGTGCCTCAGGTGGCTCTTCTCATGCAGAACTGGCCGTTGAGCAAGCTTCTGCCATTTTCAAGCGACAAATATGGCTTCGGCAAGTTGATGCAGTAAGTTTTGGTCAGCCTCAACGTGTGAGTCGGCGATCTGACAACCCCAGCGTTGCCAAAAGCCTCGCCGATAAGAAGTTGGCCCCCGACGCGGACGCGGACGGGACCATGGTGGCACACCATGTGAGAAATGGTCTCACGTATAAAGAGCTCCTTGCAGAGATCTTCCTTGAGTTGTAAGGCTCGGGTTTCTCCCCGAACATGGCATCATACTAAACCTTTGGCCAGCATCGCAGGTTCAGACTCAACCGCCACCGCCGTCCGCATGACCATGCTCTGCCTCCTGAACACGCCCACCTCCCTCAACAGTCTGCGCAAGGAAATGGACACAGCCATCGCCGAACGTCGCATCAGCTCGCCGATCACAGACGCCGAGGCTCGCGAGTTGCCATACCTCCAGGCAGTAATCAAGGAGGGTATTCGGATGTACCCTCCGTCGACTGGTCTCAACTATAAGCAAGTGGCCAAGGGTGGTGTTGAGCTTTGCGGATACTTCCTGCCTGAAGGAACACAATTGGGTGTCAACATTCAGAAGCTGATGAGGTCCAAGGAAACATTCGGAGTCGACGCGGATGTGTTCAGGCCAGAACGCTGGCTAGAGGCTGCTTCTGAAGAGGACCGGTTCAAGGAAATGAGTGCTGTGGTGGAGCTGGCGTTCGGCCATGGCCGTTTCCAGTGCCTCGGGAAGCCGATAGCCTACATGGAGCTGAATAAGATCTTTGTTGAGGTAAGTAACCATCGTCTAACGCCTGGCCTGGAGGAGAACGGTGTGACTAACTGCATCACAGCTGCTTCGAAGGTTCGACTTTGCCGTGGTAAAGCCACAGGAACCGCTGAAACTCTTTGACGCCGCGTTTTGGGTGACGACGGAATTTTGGCTACGGGTCACCCGCAGATCTGATATTCTCGCATGAGAAGTCTCAAGGAGAGAAAGATGATGCACCAGGAAAGAAGCTCGGCGTAATGAAGCGGATTTGCAACAATGATACCAGGATGCCTTATCAGACAGTTATCTCACGGAGATGTTTAGCATAATGAGACTGTTTCATCTCATGATTTCCTACCTACTTCACAGAGGGACATAAGTTAGAAAGCATGTCTGTCTCTAGTGACAAACCAAGTCACCAACGATGCGAGGTCGGCCGTACATAGCCAGCCAGACCAGCATGACATCTGATAGTGTGGGAAAAGAGCAAAAAGGCAAAAATGTGAACGATGTCAATCGCTGACGGGAATTGAGCCCGACGTGGGGGTCGAACCCACAACCTTGAGATTAAGAGTCTCACGCTCTACCGATTGAGCTAGCCGGGCAGATGAGAACATCTGCCTTGATTGTTGACGGAGAGGACGACGAGAGTGGTTAAGGAGGGCGGGCGGACCGAGAAAAGTTTTCATGTTGGTGTGGGTCACCCCGTTCGGCCCCATTATCGGATGTGGACCGTGGTAACTCGGCCTGGTAAAGCGGGTCTCATTCGGTCCAGGTCCGGTGTCGCTGTTCCGGCTGGAACGGAGCGGCGCCTATGGGTACTCGGAGCGATGGTGGTGGGTTCGGATGTTGTTTAGAGTGTGAGGGTCGGAGTTGGCCGGGCGGGACTGGCCCGGAGCGCCTCCCTCGCATTGGGTTTTCGGCCCTCTTGCGGGGTAGTCGAGGAGCAAGAAAAGAACCTGCACGCCGACCTGTGGTTGCCCTAGGGGCAATCAGCTTTGCCGACTACGGGAATCTTTGCATGCCCGCTCGTCACCCGAATTGCGTTCTACATGCTGCATCCGACGGTCGGATCACTGGGTCGCCGGCAGGTCCCTCGGGAGAAGCCAACTCGGTTGCTGGACCGTCTCAGACTAGGCAGATATGCCTGCGCGTGCCCCGAAGTAATTGGCAGTCAGCAGAAATGGTAAGCTTTCCAGCCTGAGAAGGTGCATTTTGCGCAATTCGTGGCGTTGATGAACTGCTTCGACTGGATCGCTCGGAATGGGTACACCTTATCCGAGGTCAGCGAAATCCCCAGAGACTCAGACTGAAAGGGTAAAGTGAGAATGGCGTCGGTGTGTCAAGCATTGTGACCGGCCAGTAATGTTTCAATAATATCCCGAATGAGTTGTCAGATCGCGTGGGAAGAAAATGGTAGGAGTCAGGTCGTACGGCAGCTTTACGAAAGCCGAAATCGTCGCGGGGTCGGTAAAGAGAAGAACGCTGTACCGGAGAGCGGGGGAGGGGCAACCTCCACGTCAACACGTCAACATGCGCACTTCTGTCCGCATATCTCCTCCAAGTGCCATCAGCTTATCCGCCTTCAGCAAGCTACCCCGCCAGTTTTGCTTGGCATACAGCTTCGTCTAGCACGAAGAGGGCAGGTCAATCATCGATCCAAACAATCGAACCTGCCAACTCTTCTTTTTTGCGCCGTCTTACGGCGTGAGCTCCTCTTATGCTTCTGGGCAGGTTGGGGTAGCTCCTGCAGAAACATTCTTGCTTCATGCACGATCCTGAAAGTGCCGAGCCTTCCTGGACAAGATGACGACAGCTGTTGGAACTATTGCTGCCGGGCAGCTTGCGGACGTCTTGGACCGCTCCGCTCAGCGATTGCGAAGGCTGTTGTGCGATGGCATCACCGGGCTTACCGATTGCTCGTCGCACACTCTCCGACAACCCCGACGGTCGATTCATGGCGCTGGCAGGTCTTTGGCGAACCAGATGACGATCCATGTATGTCGACTGCAGCATGCGCTTGCCTGGGATGACAAGATGCATACCTACCCACAGCTATAAATCCCGTGGCAGCTCTCCGCCTGCCTAGGCCAGTTCTTACGAGGTCTACTCTAGTAACGCATTTGCTGGTCATTGAGTCTGTCGCAGCACCGACTCACCCATTCCACCATGCGCAATCAACTGTCGCTCGCCGTGACGTTCGCGGCTCTCGCCTCGGCCTGCCAGCGAGATCTCCTCCTCAGCCCAAGACACACGCACCGCAAAGCCATCACCAAGCGCGCCGACGACCAATGGCCTCCCGTACTCTCAGAGCATGAGACGATCCTCGTCAACTCCTTCGACAATGTCACCATTGACGAATGGTCCGACTACTACGGCCACGAAGTCAAGCTCGCCGGTCTCGGCAAGAACGCGGCCCAGTGGACGGCAGACCAGTGGACCAAGAACGGCTTCGACGCGCATCTCAATGAATACCACGTCTACCTCAGTTATCCGGTTCACTCGTCGCTGCAAATTACCTATGCCAATGGCTCGACGGAGGATGTCAGGTTGGATGAGGATGTGCTCGAGGAAGATGATGTGACTGGGCGTGAAGACAATCAGCCTACCTTCCACGGGTACTCGGCCTCGGGTAATGTGACTGGTGAATACGTTTATGTTGGGTGAGTATTTCTGTCCTGGAGTTGGCAAGCTTCCGTTGACGCGATGTTAAGACGAGGCTCTCAAGCCGATTATGAACGCCTGGTCGAACTCGGCGTCGAACTCGAGGGAAAGATTGCCTTGGCCAGATACGGCGGTCTATTCCGAGGCCTCAAGGTCAAGAACGCGCAGGACCATGGCATGATTGGGGCCGTTATCTTCACCGACCCGGCCGATGACGGTAACTACACCGTCGCAAACGGCTACGAGGCATACCCCAGTAAGCTCCCTGTCGGAAAATAGCATCTGAAGACGTCTAACATAGTTCTTGATAGATGGTCCTGCCAGGAACCCAAGTTCAGTCCAGAAAGGCTCCGTTCTCTTCCTCTCCACGAACCCCGGTGACCCAACCACCCCGGGATACGCCTCCCACGAGGGTGTCGACCGGGCATCCATCGACAATGTCACGCCGAAGATCCCCTCCATTCCTATCTCTTACGCCTCTGCGGAGCCTCTGCTGAAGGCTCTCAACGGCTTTGGGCCCACTGCCGACGAGGTCAACCGCACCATCTGGGCCGGCAGCCTGGACGCCGACTACAGCGCCGGTCCGGCCCCCGGCGTTACATTGCACTTGGACAACCTCAGCGAGGGCAAGATCACACCCATTTGGAACGTCATTGGTCAAATCAATGGCACTAATACCGATGAGACTGTTGTTATTGGTAACCACCGCGACACCTGGATGATTGGCGGCAACGGAGACCCCAACTCCGGCTCTGCTATCCTGGTAGAGTTTACCAAGGCCGTCGCCGTCCTTCGAGAGAAGGGCTGGGTCCCGAGACGGAATATGTAAGCTCAGTTGTCCTGGCCACATGCATCCAGCTGCTAACTTCTATGTAGTGTCATTGCCTCTTGGGATGCTGAGGAGTACGGCCTGGTAGGCAGCACTGAATGGGTCGAGGACAACGTCAACTGGCTAACCGAGACGGCCGTCGCGTATCTCAACTGCGACGTGGGCGTCTCCGGCCCGCGACCCAACCTTGCGACGACTCCCGAGCTTCATACCCTTGCTACCGACACTTTCAAGAAGGTCGTCTACCCAAACTTTGGTGGCTTCAACATCAGTCTGTACGATGCGTGGGAGGAAGCTTCAGGCGGCCTCGTGGAGCCCCTCGGCAGCGGAAGCGATTACACGGCCTTCCTCCACAAAGGTATCAGCTCGTTGGACGTCGGCTCTGGAGGCGGCGCCGCTGATCCGGTTTGGCATTACCACTCGAACTACGACACGTACCACTGGATGGCGACCTTTGGCGACCCGGGCTTCCACCAGCACGCTGCAATCGGCCAGTACCTCGCGCTCGTGGCGTTCCATCTCGCCGACGACGAGGTTCTGCCCATTGACCTGCCTAACTACGCAAAGGAGCTACAGTCATACTACGAAGATCTTTCGGAGTATGTTGAGTCTGAGGGCGAGGAACTTGATCTCTTTGAGCTCTCAGATGCCATCGAGGAGTTCACCACCCGCGCAGCCGAGGTGAAGGCTTTGGAGCAACTGGCCGTCACCACGGATGATAAAGACCTGATTACGGTTGTGAATCACAAGTATCGTGACTTCCAGAGGGGGTTCATCAGCCAAGGCGGCCTGCCGAACCGTGAGTTCTACAAGCACGTCGTGACTGCGCCTGGCCTTGACACTGGTAAGTTATTCAAGTCGCACCGTAATGTTTACATACTGACCACGTCGACTTAGGCTATGCAGCTGTCCTATTTCCCGGAATCACTGAAGGTATTCAGTACGGCAATGGCAATCTGACTATTGCGGAAGAGTGGGTGTCAAAGACAGCACGTGGTATCCTCCGAGCTGCCGAGATTATCAAGACGTGATGAATCATGAATCAGTACGGTCAGAGCTAAGATGACCAATGGCCAACTAATAGTCCCCTCATTTGAATTGTTATAACCTACCGATGCGGTATTCAATAAACTTAATCATTATTTCTTGCAGCCGGACGTCAGTCACTTGCTTCGATTGATTCGCATCGGAGGTGGGGCCGATCGTGGCTGCCGGCCCGGATGATGGGCCCATAATAATGCCCCGGCGCTTTGTCTGCGCGATGTGTTCCAGACAGGCGAGAAACACAAGGTAAACCAGCTGCAGCTATATGATTGCAGAAGCATCAGCTATCGTCTATGTCGGTCGAACCTTCCAATTTGTGAGCCCATCTTCCCGCCTCATTCCATGCAACATTCACAATTCACGTTGTCAGATGCAAGCTTGTTCGCGAAATAGAGGTCCTTATTCATCCAATGCTCATAATATTGCTCTAAACACCAAACTCCAACGTTTAGCCAGCGCGAAAGTCACGCTGTGCCACCAGAGCGCCAAAATCATAACCCAGGCCATCATATCACGTCAATCATTGGCGGCCAGCGGGACGCCTCCGCTCAATGTTGAGGACCGTGTCGATGAAGCTGCGCTGGAGCGTACTCTTCTTCCTTGCAGCAAGCAATTGCGATGTCTTCAGGATATTCTTGATCTGTCGGCCGTTGAGCGGCAGCGTGGCCAGGTCCTCCAGATCCGCCTCCGTGACCTCGCTCTTGAGCGTGGCACCCTGGAGGAAGTTGCGCCAAATCTGGCGGCGGGAGTCAACCGTCAGGTCGGGGTACTCCAGTGACACGTGAATACGCGACTGGAATGCGGCGTCGATGTTGTCCACGCGGTTCGTGGTCATGAAGAGGATGCCCTCGTAGTACTCCAGTGTGCGCAGGAAAATGGAGACCACCTTGTTCCTCTCGAGATCGTGGGTGGAGCGCGCCTCGAGGAAGACGTCGCACTCGTCCAAGAGGAGAATGGCGTTCCAGCGCGCAACAAGCTCCAAGATTCGCGAAAGTCCGTTCTCGACTTCCCAGGGCTGGGAGCCGAGATCGCCAGAGCTGAGGGTGTGCAAGGGAACCTTGAGGTTCTCTGCCACGGCCTCGGCCGTCAACGTCTTTCCCACACCAGGAGGACCAGAGAGCAGGCAGATGATGCCCTTACCCTTGCCGGAGATGACGTCGTCAAAGGTGGAACCGTCGAGCTGCGACTCGGAGAAGGCGAGAATCAGCTCCTTCTGGTCCTCGGGAAGAACAAGCTTATCGAAGGCGTTGGTGTTCCATGTGATCTCCTCAACCGACTGGATGAAGAAGTCGAGCCACTTCTTCAGCTTGAGGGAGTAACCCCGCGTCCGCGAGCGCGCGAGCATCTGGTGGTACGGCGTCAACTTCAGGTTCCCGTCCTTGCCGGGCCCGTGTGTGCTCTTCCACGTCGTGAGGGCCTCGAGGTCCTTGGCGTTCCAGTCGTCGAGGTAGCGCGGGTAGTAGGGGCTGTAGCTGTTGAAGGAGCTGATGTCCACCACGATGCGGCCGTCGACCTGGATGGGGACCTCGTTGCCCTCGCTGTCCCAGGTGATGGCCGTGCCGGAGTACTGCTTGTAGTGGTGGCCGGCGAGCTCCTCGAAGATCTGGCCGCGGGCGACGAGGCTCTGGCGGACCTTGTCCTTCTCGGCGTGGAAGGCCCAGGGGTAGGCGTTGAGGCCGGTGATCTTCTTGGTGCCCAGGAACTCGGGGATCTTGATGCTCTCGCCGTAGCGGCCGAACGTCTTGCCGCCGTAGTCGACGCAGTCGACGGACAGCTCCAGGAACTTTCCGCACTGCGTCGCCTTGTACTCCGTCTCCTCCAGCTCGAAGGCCGAGAGGGGGCCCTTGTGGGCGGACAGCACGACGGCGCCGGGCTGGAAGATCATCCACAGGTGCTGGAAGGTGATGACGCCCTTGGCGACGTAGTCTTCGAAGGCCTTGATCGCATCTCCGATCTCGTATTGCAGGATGTCGTGGAGGATCTTCAGGTGCTCCTTCGTCTTCTCGTCGAGGCCGGACTTCTTCATGTATCTGCACAGCTCGGTCCAGCGATGCACGAAAGGGTGGAAGGGGGCATCGAACTCGAGACGCTCAAGCTCGCAGGCGACACCGGTGTAGCCATCGAGAACCTCGCCGAGAGCAGTCTTGAGCCAAGGAGACTGGATGACGATGGAGTGGGCCTCGAGCTTCTTGCGGCTGTCGGAGGATTTGACGTTGCGGACGAGGACGGCGTATTGGGCCGTCTCCTCATTCTCGGCGGCCTCGTGGACGTCTTCGGGGTACTTGTCGACCCATGTCCAGTTGCCGTCGCTGTCTTTGGGGGTTGCATAGATGTTCTTCGTGGAGCTGATTGAGCCTGTGGGAGCAAGTGGCTCCTTGGGCTTGTCGTCTTGTTTTTTCTCATCTTCGACATTTGATGTGGAAGCCTCATCATCGGACTTGGTACCGCCGTTTGTTGTGTGGCCGTTTGTTTCCTTCGTCTCTGTTGTGCCGTTCGTCTCCTTGGTAGCTGTCTTGGTGTCATCCACCATGGTGAGACCCAAGGACTCCGTGATTGTGCTGCCAGGTGCCATTGTGTCTGGTATGAGTTTCTAACAAGAGAAGAAACGATGAAGTTGTTGATGAGCCAGGAGAAATTGTGCACATTCCACGGGCGAAGCAGGCTGATATTTATCCCCTCATCTCAAGAGAGACTGGAGTAACAGACGCTGTAACAGACATCGGGGGGAAAGTAGAAAAACTCCGTATCAACCACGTCGACATGGCGAAGCCTCACGTTGCTTCAGTGGCTGCACTAACAGGGGTCGATGCCTCTCACGTAGCGTGACTCACACGTCCACGGTGCTTCTGGGAGCGAAACATCACCTTTCTCATCGTGAATAGCAACAGTTGATGCCTCCGGAGGCCGCTGCTGCCTGCATGGAACGGATCGCACCGGTCAGGGTTCATCAGATCGAGAGGCCAATAGGACGGCGGCGTCAGCACTAGCAACGGGAGACATGCCGGGACAGCTCAAGGCAGAAGAGCCGCTGGGGCCCAAAGCTGCTGTCAGGATTCAGGCCGCCAGCTTTCAGCTTTCACCGCGTTGCTCATTTGCCGATCTGTGGCGAAACGGCGTTTGGGCTAGGTTCAAAGCCTATGTGAGATGGAATGTTTCGATGTTCAAAAGAGTTCGTGTTTGGGGTTGATTCATGAACGGGAGTGAGATCCATCTGTCAATTGAGTAGGTGCCGGTGCAGGCATCCAAACTCCACCCCCAAAATCCCCCCCAAATTCTCCAATAATCTTTGACCATCGATTGCATCAATCCCCTGTCAGGGCTGAGCAGCTCGGGCTGGAGGAGGGCCTTTGCAGTGCCACGATAAGCCGGCAAAGGCGCTGGAACTAGTCTAAATGAGTGCTTGGTGATGACATTAAGATGTCGCTTAAGACAGGTAGATCGCTGGCATCTCGTTGTGAGCTGCGACTTTACCTCCTTTCCAAGCAAGTTTTCACTCTCTCAATTCGTGAGTGAGGAGAAGACACAGCAAACGAACTGCAAAGTCAACCGCCAACTTCAACTTTCATTATTGCGTTATTTACAGTATGTATCCGATGAATTCAATGAATCAGAAATGAGGACCTATTTACAAGAAGTGAAGGCACTTTCCGACAGATCAAAAACGAGAGACAACAAATCAAATCTCACCAAAACATCCCTGTTCTTGGATTTCCCTTACTTCCAGTTGCTGCTGACGGTGACAGCAGTCGCGCAACCACTTGGCACCGTGTATGATCGGTTAGGGTCGCTCTCCCACGTCGCCGTCCCGCTCGACGCAACATTGATGAACTTGTACTCAAACGTCGTCCCGACCGGCAGCGTCACCGTGTAGGACCACACCGGGTTCGAGCTCGTGTAACCCGACGCCGAAAGAGCCGGCGCCGACGCCGCGTTCCAGTTTCCGAGCGCCGCGATCGACCCCGCAATCTTGATCGTCTGGCCCAGCACCGTCGTCACGCGCTCGTTGAAGGTGACGGCCACGCTGCTGGCCGCCGTGCAGCTGCCACTCGTCGCCGTGGCGGCGGCAGAGGTGGTGCGCGTCGAGGTGACGGGGTTGCCGCCGCCGCCGCTGCCGCCCGAGATGGCGATGTCGGCGCAGGTCAGGTAGACCTGGCCCGTCTGGAACGAGTTCCATCGGAACGAGAGCAGGGTGTGGTTCGAGACGTAGTCGGGGATCTTGATCTTCTTCGTCACGGTGTAGCCACCCGCGATGGAGGTGTAGCAAGAGCCCAGAGGCGCGTTGTCGACACCCTGGCATCCCCTCCGGCTGTCCGCCTGGAACGCGTTGCAAGTGAACCAGTCGTTCCTCCAGCAAGGCTGTCCGGAGGAGCAATCCGGGCTGTAGTTGCAGTTCTGGCCGGAGACGTCGGTGCAGGAGAGCGTCCCGCGCTGGAAGCAGTCCTCGGCGGCCTGCTTCTCGGCATCGGTGGGCAGGTATCCCGGCGTGGTGAACTTGTCGACGAGGGCTTGATCCTGGCAGATGCGGTAGCTGAACATGCCGCCGTGGTCACCGTTGTTGTCCACGCACCACTGCACGTCGACGACCTGGCCACGGGTGTAGGTCGCTACGGGCGAGTTGCCCCAGTTCGTGGAGGGCTGGTTGTAGTCGACGGAGACACGAGCATTGTAGCCGCAGGGACCGCTGCGTCCGACAGTAGCGGCTGTGAGGTCTGGCCACGCGGAGACGGGCTCGCGGATGGTGCATTCGGGGCAAGAGTCGATGCCGGCCTATGAAGCGTCTGTCAGCTTGATCAAAAAGTGTTGAAGAAGTGAGCTTCCGCACCTCTGCGCCGAGCCGGGTGCGACTAGATGGGATGGTCAAGTAGCCATGGCCAAGGACAACATCAAGAAGCCCGGCGAAGGTCACGATGGTGGTGGACTTCATCTTGGACAAGTAACAATGAAGAATCTCCAGCTAGTGGCTGGTTTTTTAAAGACGCACGCGCTCGAAGGCAGTGAAGGCAGGACTCTTGATGGGTGTCTATCACGGCATGTTCATTCACCTCCAGAAGGAAGTTCTTGGTGGTTTTATACGCATTGAAAGCCCGCCAACTACCGTGGCATCGTGAACTATCACAAGTCTACGATGCCACTCTACCAGGCCACCTCGAAGCACTCCCGCCGGCTGCTGTCACACACCGCCGAAGTACCTCCAGCCGAGACGGCCCTACCCGCACGTGTTTCCCCGGACCTAAACTCGTCCTGGCAGTCCGGGGGCATCTCCAAATGAGCATGCAGGTGACGGCGGGGTAGTGAGTTCTCTTAGTGCCGGCTGTCATGTCTCCAACCGGAAACCAGCGCGGGGTGAAAAGGGCCGTTTGAGTGGCCGCATCGCACCCCTCCATGATCGATTAGCCCGCGGGCTCGAAGCTCTTCGAACGTTGGTTCCTGCCAAACATGCGCCTCGGCCGTCTCCTGTAAACTCCTGCAGGAATGACACCCAAGGCACACTCGAGGCGGAGTTTCGCGGAGTCGAGCGAGGTGAGGTGGTATCCCGCCCTGCCGATCAGATGACATGTCGAGCTAGTTGGCGGTTCTTCGATGGGGGTGGTTCACGACAACCTCATTATTGAAGAGAAGGCCCGAAGATGCTCAATCGGCAGCACTTTAGAGGTGGAAGTTCCAATAGTCTCAGCTTAGAAGACGTTGATGGCTTCATCAAAATGCCGAGGAACGTCCGTCTTCTTACGGCGCTGAGGGCGGCAGAAAGCACTTCCAAGGAAAGCTCACGTTTTTGGCTCACAAGGCTTGTTTCCTGAGAATCTGATCATGTTCTCTGGCGTGTTGGAGGATGACGACTGTGATCGTGCAACTGCCGAGCGAGCACTGATGACTCTTGCATGTAGGTTCATGTTACCAACTGAGGCTCACAACGATTTTCCTGTAGGACGGGGGGTTTATATCACTGCACTCCATGCTACACCTCGATTGCGAACAACTTTTGCGGCCAAATGAAAATGCTATGGTATCGGAAAGTGGCGGTCCTTTTCCTGTGATCGGTTTCAGCTTCAAATGACTGCGGGACAGGACCCTTGTCAAATCGTCTCCTCCCTAGCCATCGGAATCGCGCACCGATGCCAGACCTTAACCTCAGACGAAAAGGCTTTCTACTGGGGCTTTCATCCCCATCTCTCCACGGTTCGTCTGATAGTGACAAAGAGGGCTTCCAGCCTCTTCACCCTCGATACACAACTATCTAAGCACTCGGCTGACCTCTGCCGATGCAATGAAGGCCATCCCTCTCTCTTACAGCTTTGCGTCTGCCGTTGAGCAGATCGCTATTCGCCTAAACTGTCATAAAATAAACAGCAATGCGAAGCTGTTTTTTCCATCAAAGCAAGGGTCCGAAAGCACTCTCTGCGGAAACCCCGAACCTCTACCGCATAGCCTTACGGGGCTCAAATTGCACGTACGAGTCAGCGTTTTCCTACCACAGCCAACCATCGGGACGGCCGACCCAGGCCGACCTTGCTAAGCATCAGTGCAGTGACATTAATAGAATGCGTTAAATGAAGGGCATCGCGGGCCCGCCAAGCCACACTCGCCCGGCGTAGTTGATGCTCTCTATTGACTGATTTTGACTTGTGCTCTGTCTGTATATAACGACATGGAGTATCCCGCACCTGTGATCTAGCCATTGACAACCGATCATCACATCAAAAACAATCTCTCGGTACCAAAAGGTCTTCCTCGCAAACACTCGTTTAATCAAAAGATATCACATCCCCCGCCAGATCATCAGCATCAGGGGTCCACCAAGGCACAGACAGAGCCTTTTCTACTACATACAAACTTCAACACCAAGCACACAATCGCACTCAGTTCACCATGCCTGCCATCTACAACACCCCTCTCAAACATCTTCTCGCCGCCCGCGATGGCGATGATGACGGTGACGGCGGCTTCCACATGCCCGGCGCAGTCATGGCCGTGATCATCGTCTGCGTTCTCGTCTTCGTCGGCGGCCTTGCCCTCTGCTGGTGCTGCTGCTGCCGTCGCAAGCGCAAGGGAAGCTCTGGCGGCAGCAAGGAAGACGGCAGCGGCAGCAAGGAAGACGGCAGCGGAAGCGGCAGCAACACGAAGTACGGCTTCGACCCGACGAAGTGGGTCAAGAAGGCCGTCAAGAAGGTCACGAAGAAGTTCAAGAAGATGTTCACCAAGAAGGCAAAGAAGGCCACCAAGAAGGAAGGCGGCGCCATGGCCAACCACTCTGTGCCTTACGGCCAGGGAACGCACCCCGGATACGGCGAGAACGAGCGCTCAACGGCATACGGTGGACATGGAGGTTACGACAGACTTGATGCCCGCGAGGAGGAGACGGTGGGAATGACCTCGCCTTACGCGACAAGGAACTGAGACGATGGGGCATATGCGATAGATAATGATGTTAATGAAGAGTTGCAATTGATTGATATAATTCACCGTCCGTACATTGCTTAAGTGACCCCTGTGTAAAGCAAAGAGAAAAATTGAAGTCTCAAAGTATAACCAGACTTCCACTTTTTAAGGGGGCAAACCTTCACTCGGGAGGGTTATGGGGCAGTTTTCACCACAACTAGACCCAATGAGTACTTATTAAACGCCTTTGAGGCCTCTATACTATTACTTTACTAAACTGCGATGGTTTCTACCTGTAGATGCATGCAACTGGTAGGATGACATTGCTGTCTTCCCTTTGTGCAAGATGACCGAAAGATCTCTAAAGTCTAAGACCTCCAAGACTTCACTTCTTGCCACCGCTGCTGTTCCCCTGGAAACCTTGGAACCAGGCGGGATTCTTGTATCCCTTGTTCTGTCCTCCTCCGCCCTGCTGTCCGGTGCTGGTTCCGCTAGCAGCGCTGCCTCCATACTGACTCCCGGCGCCATGGCCGCCGGAGCTCAGAGAGTAGCCGGCCTTCTATTATATCCACGTTGATTAGTTACGCATTTGACTTCGGATGTAGCTCCAACTTACGGCGTGACTGTCCTTGCTCTGGTAGCTAGGGTTAGAAGGGTCGTGGTAGTACAGGGGAGTTCTTTGGTTAGGGCCAGACATGGTTGCGGCGTTTTCAGGTGCTTTTGGAAGGTTAGTGGGTGAGTTGTTGTTTGGGTTGTTGTGGTTGATGGTTGGATGTTGATGTGATGCAGTGATGAAGAATTTTGGACTCCTGGATTTGCTCGTTCTTTTATATTCAGAGCATTTAACAGCCAGCCCAGTGACTGTTGACTGTTGAGGTTCGAGAAATGTCTCTTGGAATCTGGACCTGAGTATCCACGGTGAATTCTGACTTCACCAGAGCTGCATGTGATACACGAGTCGATGACCAGACAGCGATTCAGTTTGGGGTCCTCTCTATTCACCGTCCTGTTGATGTAATCTGCATAAAGTCTTCTTAAGGACAGCTTTCCCGTGCCCATATGACCGCGTGCCATGAACTAATACTATTCACCTCATTTCGATGTGCATATTATGACTATTCCAGATCACGGTAACAAGTCTCAATTCTCAAGTATATGGCCATAAAGTGAGAATACCTCTTTGAGCCTAGATATGAAAAAGCCTGATTCCAGGACTCGCCGGTGTTGAAAAGTACGAACGAGCTGAACGGCTCAGAAAGGAGGTGGGAACTTCACGAAAACGAAAGAAAGAGCTGCGTCGACTTGGGTGTCATATTCCCTCCATAGCGCCTTAGAATAAATCTGGGAGCATGTTTCTCCATCTGAATCACACCCTTTTCCACGAGGTAAGATTAGTATCTCGGTATCTCGTTAGACGTGGATTTGACCGAAAGCGCGCCGTAACGCTTTATTTTGGGAGTTATGCGTGCATGTAAACATCTTGAACATGTACATTGTTTCTGCAAACTCGAGCGAACTGAGGAGGCAATTTTTGGAACACACTACAACATTTTGATACAAGGGAATTTCTGGAGTTTTTGGCTGAAGTGTTTCCATCGTGCGCCTCCAATTTGGGTTGTTCCACATGAATTAGGCGTATCTACACGATGTATTGGGTGCAGATACATACGTGTACATGAACAAATATTCAAGTACCTGCCGAAAGATTCCTAACTAATGAACGCCCTGATATGCCCCCTCTAATCAAAAATTATGCTAGTATCACATGCATCCAATCTCCATTCTCTCGAAGCATCGATCTCAGTGTTGTCCGGATCTCCACCCCAATAGCCTCGTTGTCCCTCTGAAAACAACTCTTGGCGGATGATCCACGAGCGTGTCATTGTTTTTCGAGAAGGCATCGTAGTGTAAATCTCGTCCCCAATGTCGCGGCCCTCCTCCCCGAGGGCCTGTCGAAGCCAACCAGACCGTATCAATCTCTCCACATCCCAGAACATGTATCCACAGGCTCTCAGAGGCCTATACGAGTCATCCATCGCAATGTCAGATGGAAACGGCTCATCATCCAGGTATTCTGCATGGAACCATTCCCATATCCGTTCCATTGCGGAGTCGGACTTTGAATCATACCGAGTACTGAGGGTTAGGTTTTTCAATCCATCCGTGGCGCTTTCTCTGTACTTCATCGAGAAGAGTTGTTTATATGCTTCAAAGGCTTCATATAAAAACGTCGAGCTTTGGTGAATCACGCCCAGCTCGTCCAAGATCTTCTGTCGGTCCTCGAACTGGTTCGTATGTAGAAGTTTTCTGATGGTTCGCAGGCCACGAGACAGCAGCCACTCAACACGTCCATCCTCGGAGGCATAAGCATACTCTATTTCCCGGCAGCCCCAGTCAATATCATGTAGGACAGCATTGTTGAAGACTATAAAGCGTGGAAAGGCCTCGTGTCAGAAAATAAATCATCTCATAGGACGAAGCGCAGGAATCAATTGGACATACCCGTGCCAATGAGACAAAATAACGACTCATGAACACTTCCCAGCTGTTCAATCTCCCAAGGGGTGTACACTTGGAAGAAGGTCGCCCAATTTGCCCTGACCTCGAATGGTGGCCAAACAGTTTGAACAACGGGCGGAAACATGACACGATATGCCTCGAATCGATAAAGAGCTAATCGAATGCGACGAAGCTCGGCGCTTGACGGCGCTCCTTCGTGTCCTCTGTGAATGTACCGTTGAATGGTTTTCAGGAACTCCTCGGCAACGGCGTTTGCAAGGTCTCGGACGACGGCGTCGAGTTGAACCGCCGCGATGCCCTCCGAAAGAGTCCATTCGTGCGCTGTCTCGCCTTCGCGGTGGATAAGCCGCTGGATGGCGTCCGAAAGTTGAGGTTCTGCCAGGCTAGATTGACGAAGTTTGCGGGCGTCGATGATGCGAATGATCTCAGGCAGAAGCGTCGGGTCGAACTCCCGGTTGAGAACCGAGGTTACCAAAGGACCGGGGAACGAATGAAACGCGTGGTATAGTGCGCGACATGATGCGATAGCAGAAAGAAGACTCTGAAAATCGGAAGAGAATGAAAGAATGATTCTTAGAAGCTCAGGTGGAAGGCCTGATAGAAGAAGCTGGTTGGAGGAGTTCGCAAGGTCATCCATCTTCTGTTTCGAGACTGCAAATCAATATTCTCTTCCTTTAGCAGAAGCAAGGGAGTGTGTGATCAATGCAAGTTGGAAAGAAGTACCGAACATCTACTTATCTCATCTGAACTTGATACTCGGCTGGGGCGGCAGCTAAGGGAGAACATTTATTGGAGGCCCCTCTGGGCTTGTTGGGTCGGGGAATTCAGGTCTCAAGCCCTTGTTGGGGACATGGATGTTGGCGCCTAAATTGTGGCTTACTTTTGGCTTTTGCCCGCCATTTGAGTCTACGCCGAGATTTATATCAAGCAGTTGGCGCCTAAATTCAGGCGTTGTCATCTCCGGATCCCTGTTGACCTGGCCAACGCGAATGCAGTAACAGGGTCACATGTTTCCTGACACTACATTTAAGCGCGGATTGCACTAATCATTTGTTGATGGAGTGGGCGATGTGGATAGTCACGTCCCGCGCGGCTAGCCGTTGTGTGCTTGGGATTCCTTCATCCGCGGATCGACACTATGTCATGTTTGTATATCTACTTATCAGTATGTTACGTTAGGTTGCGGCACACGACTTTCATTCTAACCTGTTCCCGTAATCATGCCGCGCAGATCATCGTAGGGTCGCCAAGTTGGGCCAACACTCTTTTTTGAAACCAGCGCGTGCCTGTCTGAAAACCGTACCAACACGCAGTACGAGAATAGAATGGAATTCTCCCTCAACGATGAAATAGTATCACCGAAAAAGTATGTAAAGAGCCTGCCAAATACCCCCTTTACTGAGAGAAACCATGCAAAACCTCAACTCAACATCCTCTATCTTCTATCTCCTTTCTTCCTATCACCTTGGAAACTTCAGTTTTATCCAACGTCGTTGAATATGGGATCCTCAAGCTCTAAGCAGAAGCATGCCACCTGGGGCCCTGGTGGAAACCCTACGAAAGCACAGCAGCCAGGTGGATTTCCACCGGCCAACTCTCTTGCTGTGTCCTCTGTCACCCACACCGGAACCGCGCCCAAGTGGTGTGACAAGGGCTCATCTCAGCACAATGATTTCTACCGCAACAACACGCAGCATTTGAGGCAGAACGGCGCCCTTGATTCTCAAAGGATGCCACCGACATCGCCATTTCGTCAGCAGTACGAGGCTGGTAAAGACTTGGACCAGCTCGCTCAGGATCTAGATAATAAAGTCAAAGCCCACGGCAAAACAAAAGATCCGGTGGTGGCAAAGAAGCAAAAGAAACTGGGCAACCCGGACTACGGCGGGCAGCCGCTCGAGTCGCGTCAGTGGCATAACGGAGCAGCCGATCTCTTAGACGAATCCGGCCGTACCTGGAAAGCGTAAGTTGAGCAACTGTTCAAATATTAAATCACTGGCGTGCTGACTTTGTAACTTGGCAGAGCTGGCATTGAGAGACAAAAGACAGCTCAGAACTTCATTGGGTATGACAGCCTTCAAGGACACCACGGTCATCAAAAGCGCATCGCCAAGTGTAATCAGTCGGCAGAGAAAAGAGCTGAAAAGGCGGAATATCACCGAAAACAGGTCCCCTGATGTTTCGGCGGACGTTAGAAGGCGAGACGTTGATGAACCAATGTGGAAGGAATGTCTCGCTGGACGAGATACTTTGGGGAACCAGGTCATGGTAGTGAATAGGTAGCATAATTTTCTGGACTTATTGCCCGCCGGCAGAGCCTCCGGCGAAAAGTCGAATCAAGCACTTTGTCTTTCCGAGGTGGTTTTTAAAGTATTATATCCCTGGCTTCAGATCACATGGCATCATTGAGTCAAGACCCAACATATATGATAGCGAGAAAGAAACATGCCTAATCTGATGTATTCAGGTGATGTATATCGGCGCAAGTTATATCAAGTCCCGAACCAAACACAGATGCCAACTAATGATAGTTACCAGCTCACAAAACGGTATCTGAGAGGTTTGAATGACAGTTTCTTCAGCTCGATTGAAAACACGTTCCTGACGAAGAACTCATTTAAGCCCCCGTGTTGTAGTAAATCGACATGTCCTTGACGCGGAAGTTTGCGGTGGTAGCAGGGGGGCCAACACTCCAGCCCGGGTCTCCGCTGCTCCAATTGTTAAGTATCCAGGGACCGGCTGAGTTAGGCACATCAGAAGTAGTGCTCCAGACCTGCTGTCCGTCGATGAACCAGCGGACCAGACCCGGGGTCCAGTCTATGCGGTATTCGTGTTCAGCAGAGGTAGCATCAGAGGCCGGGGCGACAGTGTTGTAGGTCTTCTGGCCGTTTAGGTCGGCGTCCTGGTTCGTGAGCCAGACCCTGCGGGTTCCCTGGTTGCTGAGAGAGGCAGGGTCAGAGAGCCACTCAATGTCGATCTCTTGAGTTTCGTTCTTGTAGTAGAAGATGCCTGTGATATTGTTAACTACTTGACCCAGAGGACAAAGGAGGAATATAACTCACCATTGCAAACACCCTTCGGCTCGCTGAAGATAGCCACGGTGCGGACAGACGCGTACTTGATGTTGTCGACGACGGTGGTAACCTCTCCACCCGTGTACGGCTGGGAGGTCTGTCCACCTGGAACGACCAAGTTAAGGTAGCCGCCCGAGACATATGCGTTCTCAGCCCTGTAGGTATGAGTGCTCCCAATGTCCCAAGTGCTCTTGTACAAGCCATCTGGGAGAGATGTTCCGCTGGCGAAGTTGAAAAGAAGTCTGTTGGAGTATGAGTATCCGTTGACAACGTACTTTCCTCCGCTCTCTGTCGGGTTTGGTGAGCGGACCAGCGCAGAAACCTGGCTGGCTCCAGCGAAGAGAGTTGCAAGCGTAGTGAAATGCATTGTGAGGTATGAAACAGAGGACTGAGTTAAGTCGAAAGGCTTCTGATGAGGAATAAAGTCATAAGAAGCACTTCAAGGACACAACATGACTCCAACTACTTATAGCAATTTCTGATGAGCCCATATCTCATAAGCAATTAATTGCCAAGATCTGAGAGAAATTCTCGACTCGCAGAAGTCCGATACAATGGGAAACATGGTGTCAGTCTGGCTGAAAAGCGCGATGCAACCTCCTGCTTACACGAAGTCTCTAGGTCCGCTGACGATAGCCTCGCTGGGGGAAGGTGTAGAATATCCCTTGCAACGTCAGCCTAGACGCAGGGCGAAAATGCGAGTGAGCCAATGGGAGGTTTTGGCACAAGTTAAAAGATCACCCCCTTCGCGGATGATGCGGTCTGCCAAGTGATTCCAGCCGCTCAGCGGCATTTTACCCAGCGGCCATGTCCGCGGTCCGCAGCCGAGCCGACCGATTGAGGATCCAGACTATTGCTGCACCTCGGACTCAATGGTCCACCGTGGGCGAATGTGGTGCCGTTCTACGACCACAAGGCTATTAGCTCCATTGAAACATTCCCTTATTTCGGTTCGTGCCGCATGGCATGCAGCTGAAGGATCGCCAAGAACGAAGGCCCCAGTCCAAGTCGGGAAGGTCAGGACGCTATTCACTTAGTCACGCAATTATCAGCTACCCACCTACGAGACGGACAATAGTCAGAAGTCTAAAAAGTATGGAACTCGTGCATTAGGAGCCTTAAACTTCATTTATTACGTATTGTTAGTGGGTGTTGTGTTGTGTGGTCTGTCGTGACGTCCTGACTATGCTTAACACTTGGCTTCAGCCTGCGTCCAGTGTCTAAAACTTCAGAACTTTGATCTTGGCAGTCATCATTCTCATCCACGTCACCTTCAAAGCAGCTCTCTAGAGAGACATTCTCTATTCAATAGTTTGAAGAATGATGTCAGTCTGATTCATTCTTCGGGGTTCCAAGCTACGCTAGTTGTTCGCGTCAGTCAGTTGGATGGCCCGATTCGAATCGTTTGCTTGTCTCGTGAACCAACGATTCATTACCTTCTACACGCGGTGAAAGTCATTGAAACCCAATTAAGATATTTAAATTTTATAAAGTCGGACTCGTTCTCAAAGCGAGGTCCCGCAGTTGCCTGTAGCAATATGCGGTGTAGGGATGAAATCCTTCAATTAGTTCTGTCTATGAAGAACATTTTGAAATTACGCGAGTATGATTAAATGAAGTGGTGTCATATAGTTGACAACCAGTAACAAGAATCAGCATCCGGTATTTCACATCCACTCGTGTTTCCCCAGCTAACAGGTTACCATCATTCCGAGAAAACTCAACCCTCAACCACATTTGTCTCACTCATCTCCGCCACTTTTTCTGGCTGCAGTCCTGAGCAGTCGCCGCTCTAAACTGAGGCGACCCTGAGTATGTGACTAAGTACCTGAGCCTGTGCTCGAAGTTTCTGAGCAAGCCCCGCTGCATTACATAAGGTGACTATAATGCAAGCCCTGCTTGTATGCACTAGACTATTATGCAAGCATAATGCATAGCGGGGTGTTACGTCCGCTGCAATTGGTCACTGCAGGCGCGTACCTATATAGTGCAGAACAGGGAGCAATGTGTTACGGCCAGCTAACTGACAGTGAGGTGTTACGACCCGTTAGGCATAACCAACGAAGAACGCCCCACCAGGATACTGGGCGGCTATGACAGCACATTTGTATGAAGGATCACGGGAACACGCGGGGTTCCCTCGGACGGAAGAACTATGGTGCAAGTCACGTAACGATAAGATAAGAGATTAGATCCGTATGTTCAGGATACGGCATCCGTATCCCAGAAAGACGGAAGCCGTATGCCAAGGATACGGGAGCCGTACCAGGCAGATACGGCACCCAGCAATAAGGACTACTCAGGACTTGTATATAGGATGGACTTGAGTCCGCTCGAAGACAGACTTCCATAGCTCTTTAGCAATCAACTTATGATTATCACTCACGATACTTTTAGCTATACCTAAGTGACGATTACTCTATAACTCTTGTTGAGGACTTAACTGATCACTAAGACCTTTGAAGACCTATGATTACTCGACTAGACCTACGGAACGACTATTGACTGTTTACTGTTGTCAATCCCTAACTTACTGTTAACACAAACCCACTGTCAGTTAGCTGGCCGTAACAGATTGCTGTAATGAATGTGCTGGGGCAGCCTGATGAAAGACATATTTATAGATGAGGGAGTGTTAAGGTTAGCGAGATACTAGCTGTCACTTTGGTATTCCAACTGTTATAGTTACAACGGCAGTATAGTTGGGTTCATAGCAATGTTCAACGCGACCTTCTCCAAGGACAACAGCGCGGGTGACAGAACCAGGGGTACCCTCGCTTATATGAAACTCACCGCTTACAGTCATTACTCAGTTAACTACATATACAGGCCAGGATTGCCTTACAAGGGATAAACGCCAATCGTTTATATAGATCTACTGCAGGACCAGCAGATTACACTAAACAATATAACTAACTTTATCCTATATTTATTATGCTGCTATTGGCCATACTGATGATCTGTCAGCGGGTTAGAAGCTCTAGAGCAATATTATATTATCTATAGCACTAGAATTACATATCTAGAGTATGCATATAATATATATACTGTAGTACCTCTAAATATTTCAGTGTCGGATTTAAGGAAGAACATACCAACTTTGCTTTCTATTATTATCACTATTATTATAGATTGATTAACTAATATATACACTCATTTAATTATCCTCAATGTTAACTGTCTTATATACACTCTTGTGACTGTAACGACACAAGGATCTTCCGATAGAAGCAGAGATAATACAATAGGCCTTATGCATCCATTCTGAAAGCCTATATAGGTGCTAAGTGAACCCTCTATATATCAATCTTTCATCCCTAATGCGCTCATGCCCATATAACCGGATATCCAGTATCCGGCTTCATATCATGCAGCTAAGCGACCATAGCTTACGTCCGTATTAGTCATCTCCTCGCGCTCTCCGTTACAGTGACAACCCCATCACTGACGGTTGGTGGAACGGTCTATGAGTCTAGCCGGATTTGTCCCGTGCTGCGCGCCCTTTCTCAGTAGGCCAACGAGAGTCCACCAATTGGACCCATGCAACATACCCACCTATTTGTGCCCCTGACATTACTAAGTTTTATCCACCAGGCTGAGGTTTTGCCAAGAACCATGGGGCCTCCCTTTCCCCATGTGCTTGCCATCTAACAATCAGCGCGACGATCTTGAGGTTCTTTGAATCTTTCCCAATGGAGGCCGAACTTGCCAAACTACGTCGGCAACTCGAGGAAGAACAACATCGACGTGAGGAAGCTGATCGCCAACGCGAAGAAGAGCAACGCCGACGTGAGGAAGCTGATCGCCAACGAGAGGAGGAACAACAACGACGCGAGGAAGCTGAAGAGCTTGCAAAAGCGGCACAACCACAAACACTTCAAGCTTATCTCGAGGCTTGCCACTCCCTCAGCCTTGCTATTCAGATCGTCACTGACCGCTCCCTAACTACGCAAGGCGACATAACAAACCCGACCGGTCGAATTTTCCCTCGACGAATCATTCCGTGGGATGACTTTGCAACAGCCCAAGAAGGGATCTGGGCTCAGCTCCCGCCCGGAGCCTCTTTCTCCTCCCAGCCCCTCTTTCCATCTCAACATCAACTCGACTATGTGACAACTCTGCTCGGCCCAATCAGCAGCGAAATTGGGCTTCGGAACTTCGAGCGCGATACTGTCGAAAACATGGTGCAGAAGTTGATCGACGAGGCGTACAAGAATCCACGACTGCGAGACGATCTCGGCTTACAGGGAACCGTGACGTTCGAGAGCCATACGAACCTTGGCGAGACCGACGACAGCCTATCCGAACACTTGGATCGTATGTCCATCGAGAGGGACGACACTGGCCGACCGGCGTCAGCTTCGAAGTCGCCGAGCCGCAAGCCCCGGCGCAGGGCGAGGGGGAAGGGCAATCGGGCGGACCAGTTCTGCATATATCGCACCTCCGACGGCCGGAATATCCCTGCCCTGGCGATCGAGTATAAGGCGCCACATAAGCTGGGGCGTAACGAGGTCGTCACAGGTCTGGTGTCTGAAATTCAACCGGAACGCGACGTGATCAACAAAAACGGGGAAGGATTTGCGTTTGCATCGAAGGCGCTTGCCGCCGCCGTCGTCACCCAGCTCTTCTCGTACATGATTGGCAAGGGTATCCGGTATGGCTACGTGTGTACAGGAGAGGCCTTTGTCTTTCTCCATATTGCGGATGATCCCACCAGCGTTTACTATTATGTATGCGTGCCCAACTTGGACGTCCTGGACGACGACGACAACAGGCTTCATCACACAGCCGTCGCACAAGTCTTCGCCTTCATCATTCAGGCCCTTCGTGCCAAACCGCCTCCTCCATCCTGGTACGACGCGGCTGCAGCTCTCGATACTTGGGCTGTAGAATACGACGATATACTGAGAAATATCCCCGAATCCGTACGCAAGGAAGCTCGCACCTCTCCCTACAAGCCAAAACGGTGGCAAGGTTTCAAGCGCTCGCCGATTCAGACACGCTCTCGCTGCAAGCAACCTTACACCAACACGAGTCGCCGAGACGATAGCGACGACAACGAAGAAGAAGATACCCAGCCTTCACCAACTCCGAATCGATCTAACAAAACGGATGTCACACTATCAACGGGGCCAGACTTAGCCAGTGAACAGGGCCAACGTCGAGACGGGAAAGAAGGCCAAAGGAAGCAACACAGGATACAGGACCGCCCATACTGCACTTCGGAATGCCTCCGAGGATTGGCGTACAGCCTGCCAATGGATAAGGCCTGTCCAAATTTCCAAGATCATGGACACCAACACATTAAGCAAGAGCAATTCCTCCAGCTTGTCCGCACTCAGCTGGCGCAAGACCGCGGCCGTGATGCTGATGCCGTGCCGCTCTACTTGTCTGGTCGGATTGGAGCACTCTTCAAGGTGCGGTTGTCGTCTCACGGCTACACCCTTGTCGCCAAAGGCGTTGAGACAATTGATCTCAGCCGCCTTCAGCATGAGAATGACGTTTATAACCAACTGCAGCCCATCCAGGGGATATATATACCTGTATGCCTCGGCAGGGTAGATCTGGTCCTACCGTACTACTACGATAGTGGTGTCTTTATGCACTTCTTGTTTCTCAGCTGGGCTGGACTGCCTCTGTTCGAGACCATCCAACAAACTACTAAGGCCGACATCATTAAGAAGGTTACCACGGCTTATAAGGAAATCCACAAGCTGCAAATCCTTCACAGAGATGCAGAGCCGCGTAACATTGTGTATGAAGAAGAAAATGGCAAGGTTATGATTGTGGATTTTGAGCGAGCAGAGTTCCGCGGTCGTCAACCTCTCGGCGCACTCAGCCCTAATGCTTGGAATAAGAGGAAGCGAGGAGGGGCAAAGAAGCGACAAACGAATGATTTTACAAAAGAAGAGGAGTCTGTCATCCTGAGTGTCTCACGGCTGGTATGAGGTATCTAGGGCGTCTAGGTGTGCAGTCGGTTGGTTAACACTTGTGGTGGGCAAGTGGGTTTTCCTTGGTACTTGCAGTAGTGAAGGCACCAGGGGATTGTATTCTCTTCTAAACAACTCAGTAGGTTATAATTCCAGTTTTTCCCTTTCCTTTTACGCTGCATTATCTGACTGCTTTTTAGTTACTACCCGCTTTATTCAACCTCTTGTTAAGGCTGTTTCTTCTTCGTCGTTCTTTCCCCTCTTCCCAGGCTGCTCCTTCTCTTTCAAGGCCAGGCAGCTCTCAACGCTCCTCCTTCCAGCTGGCAATTTAGCATCCAGCCCCTTCTCTTCTCTTGCTCCTACATCACCAGCAGGAAAAAACCACCTGCTCTTCCTTCCTTACATCCCTCAAAACTGTCTTCATTACCCAGCTGAGCCAGCTGCTCTCACCTTCACACATACCGACCGCTCCCGACCACTAGGGAAGCATCCAAAGGCAAAGCTTCCTTCCCTAGGAACCACCAACCACCTCTCGGGCAAGATGTCTGCTGCTACGGCGAATCCCAAGCTATCAACTGACCAGAAGCCGGCCGAGGAGACGATACTTTGTTCTATCTGTCCTATGCTGGTCAAGCCTGGCATTCTCCCCCATGACGACCCCGACCACAACACCCTCAAAACCTTCATCGATCTCCTCAACACCACTGCCACTGAGAAGGAGCAACGTCTGAAGGTGTCTCCTTTCGGAGCAGTGGGCAACACCTTCGACTTCAGCGACCCCGCCAAGTGTCACCTTCCTAACGTCTGGCAGTTTACTGACCAGGCCGACCTTGCCCGCCTATACGACGCCGTTTTCCGCAGCGACAAACAGCCCGACTTCATCAAGGCCGCCAACCTCCAGATCTATATCTGGTTTCCCCAGCGTGGGCCCCAGCCCTCCAAAAAGCCTAACTTTCACCATCTGATCGACATCCGGAACTTCACCCTCCATGGCTGGTGTGGATGTCTCCCCCGCGACGACCCGAAGGTAAGTATGAATGATTAAGCTCTCCTTACATATCGTCACTGACACCTGTCATCTGTGTAGACGAGCCGTACCTTGGTCCTGACTACGGACCGCATACTTGAGGACTGCCCGCACTGGTCCAAGCACCCTGCCACGCCGGTCCCGCCCATACCTGGCAGCCACGCGGTGGCGTCCCATGGGCCTCCTCCCACCCGGATTGGCGTCATAAACAGCCACTTCCCCCACGGGGTGCTGTACCCACCTCCCCCGGAGGACCAGAACTCAAACATCGTCCCTCATCACATTTACGGTGGAATCCACTTGGACCATAGCCACGGACAGGCACTACCGCCCCCAGGCATGCTCTCGAATGACAAGCCCGCCTGGCCCGAGTCTCCTATTGTCCCCAGGAAGATTTACCTAAACTATTCGACATCGCAGAAGTAGGCCCGGCCGGTGGCCACGCCACAGGCTCTATCCAGTCTCGACGGTTAGATTCAGGCTAGAAGAATGCACAGCACGGAAGACCAACGGACACACTCACCGTCAGGAGGTTGACGAAGAGGTGAGGGGGCAGGGAGGAAACACCTCATGTGCATATTACATGAAGGGCGAAGTCCGCGGGGTCATAAGCACGGCAGCGATTTGCAGCCGGGAATGCAGTCTTTTATTAAGGGCTGGGAAGCCATCGCATGGCGAGGATGACAATGCTTTACAGGGGAGGGAATCACGCACACATGTATTACAATGCAATAGACCAAAGCATTAAGACCAAGTCATTCTTTACCATGACCCTAGTGAAGCGCGTGCCAGAAGTCACGTTCGAGTAGCTGACAGCTTCCAAGAAGGGCAAGGAAAAAAAGCGCAAACAAGTAGTGGAATTCCCTTTAGAATTTGAGACGGCCACTGTGACAAATGCTGTGCAGCCCGCACCGAATCTCAAAAAGGGGCGAGGTTAGGCTAGGGAAATACAGCGCGGGTTAGTCCTGAGTCTTTTCCCATAAGATGACGTCATGCTAACCTTATCGGTTCTGCCGCGAATCACCGCCTTCAGCAGGCACTTTAATAACGGCAGACGTCGCAGCTGTTTATGGCTGTGGATTACGGCTATTTTTGGCTCTGTAATATTTTGGCATGAGAGCGCTTCCACAGTGCAAAGGTGATGCACCTCATTCCCGAAGAGGCGCAGTGGGCGGCGTGGAGGGTTGCCGTCGGACAGCTGATGAACGTTTCTTCCATCTACCTCTGCATCGACCGACGTTTCCACTATGGCGAGCTCCGCCTTAGCCGGCTGAACAAGATCTACTTCTTCTAGAAGAGACCGCTCCGCAGCTACATGTCTCGCTGGAACCAGTACGGCTTATTCATCCACGATAACTTCGCGCTGCTGGCTACCTCGACCGTTTATATTGCTGTCGTCCTGACGGCGATGCAAGTCGGGCTTGCGACGGAGGCCCTCCAGAACAACCAGGCCTTCCAGTCAGCGTCCTACGGCTTCACCGTGTTCTCGATAGTTGGGCCGCTGGTTGCCGCTGCTCTTGTTGTTGTCGTGTTTTGCTACAGTACCCATTCGTTGGCAATTGGGTGGCCACACTGCACTACAGCAGGCGAAGGCTAGGGCGGATTCGGGGTCGGTAGCCTTCATGTTGTCAGCGAGGTTGGCCACCTCAAGTGGCGAGGGTTAGGGCGGCGCGTTCATGGTACGGCGAGCGGCAGCCGGGATCCCTGGGGCATTAAGTTAGATGTACCTAGACTATATACAGTAAAGTGGAAAATCATTCTTGTGGAGGACCGCGACACGTTACGTGAAGATGTAGCCGGCGGCAAGTTGTGTATAACAGCCGAGCTATGCTGCCATCATCACTGGGCGCCACAACGGTAACTGCTTTGTGGCTTGCATGGTGCTGAAACACAAGCTGTGCAATAGAGACTCCTGATTGCCTGCCGAGGCGGCGAACCCGAGTTAATTGGATGCTGATGCCCTATCATCGTCGGCCTCAATTAGGCCCCAACCTGCTTCGCATGCCGCGATAAGCGCTGGAATCAGCTCCGACTTGTCCTACCTGGGACCCCCGGGTGGCCTATGAGACTGCCTTGCTCGAGGCGGTGCGAAGCCGGATGTTGCTGAGTGATCCGTCATCGACCCTCCCAAAATATTATTGAGCTGTTAGTGCTGGCGGGCGCCCTAAACGGGCCGGTACGGATCGCCTGCTAGCTTCCTGCGTGGGTGTTTCCCTCGTGCCCGAGCGCGTGGAGGCCACACTGATCACTCCTGCACATAATCATGGCGCCGTATTTTTGCTGACCAATCTACGGCGCTGTCTGGCTTCTTAATGAGGCGCATAAAGCTGTGTGTCAACCCTGGCTGACTTCAGGCCCTGGCGAGTGGACGACGTGCTCAAAACCCCTCATTTGGCCCCGCGCAAACAAGCTGGGCGTGGTTCAATTCCAGGTAGTAACACGCGCGCACCTTCAGCCAATGCTGCTTACTGACACTCTCAAGCTCGTCTGGCTGATGTTGATTTCTCCATCGTCACCGTATGGTCTGGCTGCAACCCGAGCGAAGCGGAGTGTATCTGCTGAAGCGCCGTGATGATTTCTCTCGCACTTGCAACCTGGCCGTCATGGGCTTTGTGGATAGCCACAACTGCCGCACTGCTCTTTACAGCGCACCGATCCGTCGCCCCATTCATTGCCAGGCTCAAGCCTGGTCAGCGGAATGCACGCGCCGACGGCCTCGATATCGTCTACGATCCATCGAAGAACCAAACTGCAGTCAACCCTCAATTCGAGTGAGGAGCCTCCGCTCACAGACGAATTTCTCAACAACTGACCTCTTTACAGGATTGTCGCTGTCCACGGTCTGGGCGCGCATCCCGAGCATACCTGGGAGGGCAAACCAATCGATAAAGTCAAGCCAAAAGTTCACCTCCTTCGAGACCTGCTCCCACGCGCCTTCCCGACCGCAAGAATTCTGTCCTTTTCGTATAACTCTGACTGGCTGGTGGATGCGCCCGAGAAAACGGCACAGCAGATCGGTCATAGACTGGCGGAGAGACTTGCCGAACATCGGGGCGAAGCGTTACGCCTTCCCATCATCTTCATTGGGCATAGCTTCGGCGGTATCGTCATCAAACAGGTACGGCCACCGTTGGACATCTTCTGCTCTTTATTGAAAGCATGGCACAGGCTCTTTGCGTGATGGCCGGGCCTTCGAGTATCCTGGAGGACACATGCGGCATCATCTTCCTCGGAACCCCTCACCAAGGGTCATCACTGTCTATCGCGGCATCTCTCCTGGGAAAGCTGACCGCCTTGCTCGGCTCTAACACAGCACTGCTCCTCACCCTACAAAGCAATCACAACCAACTGTCAGACCTGGAAGACAACTTTCGGCGTGTCGCTGCTGACAAGCAAATTACATCGTTTTACGAGACGAAGCCTACGTTTTATCTGGGATTTTCCATCGGCTGCGTAAGTCTGCCGTCTCACTGCGTTGAACTTTCCTAATTCCACGCAGATTGTCAACAGAGAGTCGGCCAGAGGCTTTGCAAAAGATCCTGTCAGTATAGACACAGATCACGCGGGGCTCAATAAGTTCAATAGTCCAGCCCACCCCGGATTCAAAGCAATCAAGACGGTCATTGAGAAGCTTCGCGCCAAGCCCCTGATTCAGCAGGCCGACGACGTCTTACTTGAGAAGCAATACACAAGCGAAAAGCTCAAGATTGAGCGGCTATCAGGAGAAGAGTTGTCAATGGATCAATGCTATATCAACCTCGCCATCGTGGAGCAGGTCCAAGCGAAGATGTCTGCGCGAGACGACCTGGAAGCGAAAAGCTCTGCGCCAAAGTCATCGCCATTCTCGCTGCTTGCGCGAATCAATCTTGAGACATCATCAGATCACAGTCAAGTCCAGTTGAAAGACATCTTTAGTCAGCGCAAAAGATCCGACGGGAAGGAAATCTTGCCCAGGAGGGTCTTGATTCGCGGACGCGCTGGGGTAGGCAAGACCACCCTATGCAAGAAGATGGTTTACGAATTTGTCAGCGGCGGAATGTGGCGCGATCTATTCGACCGTGTGCTCTGGGTGCCTCTGAGGAACTTGAAGGAACGACCAGCCCCCGGATATAACCTGGAGAGATTTCTCTTTGATGAGTTCTTCCGGCTTCAAGGAGACGAATCAGGCAAGGTCTTTGCTAAGGAGACGAGCGAGGGGTTAAAGCACAATCGAACGCTGTTTATTCTCGATGGATGGGATGAAGTGAATGAGATGGCCACCGCAAAATCTGACATGTCCCGTTTCCTATGCGACGAGCTACTCCGCCAACCAAACATCATCATCACGTCGCGGCCACACGCTAGCATTCCCACTCGAGACCAGCCTATTGACCTGGAGCTGGAAACAATAGGATTCAACCCGACGCAAGTGGACTTATACATCGAGAAAACGCATGAGAAGACGGATACAAAGAAGGTGGACGAGATCAAGAATTTCCTGCAACGCCACGAAATTGTCAGAAGTCTCGTCCGGATACCCATACAGCTGGATGCTTTCTGCTATTGTTGGGATGACAACAATTACAGCAACAACAAAGTCGAAACTATGACAGCGCTCTACCAAGCCATTCAAACAAGCCTGTGGAGGAAAGACATTCCACGGCTGGGAGAGGAGCACGGGGTACTCACCACTCAGATCAACGGACTGAAACGCAGTGACCAAGTCCTTATCGAGAGGGACGTAAGAGAAGAAATCAATTTCCTTGGGCATCTTGCTTTCGACGGACTAGTGGCCGATAGGCTAGAGTTCGATTGGGGCGACATTAACAGGACATGGGCCAAGGAGGTTAAACCCGACAGAATTCGTTCGCCTAGCAATACCCTACCATGCCTCTCTTTTCTGCGGACTTCAGATCCCTCAGCCAAGTCCACTGACCGAACCTATCACTTCATTCACTTGACATTTCAGGAGTACTTCGCAGCCCGATACTTCGTGGGGCAGTGGAATGCCCACCAATCACCTGAGCCTAGTAAAGAGCAAATCACCCCTCTTAGGTTTCTCCGTGAACACAAGTACGACGCACGGTATAACGTCATGTGGCGCTTCGTCGCTAGGCTTTTGGATGAAAAGGAGAAGGCGGGTTCTTTCTTCAAGGAAATTAAAAAAGAGCCTGTCGATGTTTTGGGGCCGGCACACCAACGGCTTATTATATACTGCTTAAATGAGGTACTCAAGTTGCCGCAGGGTCTTTAGGAGCAGAGGGAAGAAAAGCTATTCTAATAGTTACTCTTTAAGAGGGACTTCATAGAATTATTAAAATTTGCAAGAGAATTAGAGATTCCAGATAAAGTATTGAGTCGCGCTTTAAAAGCTTCTAGAGATAAGACTATCTTCTTAGACGCATTGAGGGATTCTCAGAAGTAGTTATTAGACGCAATAGTGGCCGCACTTATAGAACTCCTTAAGGATAATAACAGCTATATATAAAGGTCTACCGCTAGAGCTCTAGGTAAGTAGTTAATATTATTAGACGTAGTTATAGCTATCCTTATTAAACTCTTTAAGCATAAGGATAGTAATATATAAATATCTACTACTAATACTCTAGGTAAGATATTAACGTTATTAGATATAACTATAGCTACCCTTATAGAACTCTTTAAGAATAAGAATAGCTATATATAATCTTCTATTACTAAAGCTTTAAGTAAGTAGTTAATATTATTAAATATAGCTATAGTTAGCTTTATAGAACTTATTAAAGATAAGAATAGCTATATATAAGAGTTTACTATTAATACTTTAAGTAAATAGTAAATATTATTAAATATAGCTATAGTTATTATTATAAAACTCTTTAAGAATAAGAATAGTAATATATAAAGGTCTACTATTAATACTCTAGGTAAATAGTTAATACTTTTAGATATAGCTATTATTACTCTTATAGAACTCTTTAAAAATAAATACTAATATATATAATTATTTACTATTTATACTCTAGTTAACTAGTTAATATTATTAGATATAATAATAGTTAGCCTTATAGAACTCTTTAAAGATAAGTATTAATATATATAATTATCTATTATTTATACTCTAATTAATTAGTTAATACTATTAGATATAACTATAACCTCCCTTATAGAACTCTTTAAGAATAAGAGTAGCTATATATAATCTTCTACTATTTAAGCTTTAGGCTAGTAGTTAATATTATTAGATATAGCTATAGTAGCCCTTATAAAACTCTTTAAAGATAAGTACTAATATATATAATTATCTACTATTTATACTCTAGTTAACTAGTTAACGCTATTAGATATAACTATAACCTCTTTTATAGAACTCTTTAAGGATGAAGATAGTAATATATAATAGTCTACTATTAGAGCTATAGGTAAATAGTTAACGTTACTAATAGTAGCTATAGCTACCCTTATAGAAGTTCTTAAGTATAAAGTTAGCTATATATAAAGGTCTACTACTAAAGCTCTAAGTAAATAGTTAATATTATTAAATATAGCTATAGTTACCCTTATAAAACTCTTTAAAAATAAGTACTAATATATATAATTATCTACTATTTATACTTTAGTTAACTAGTTAATACTATTAAATATAACTATAACCTCTCTTATAGAACTCTTTAAGAATAAGGATAGTAATATATAAAAGTTTACTCTCTAAAACTAAGAGACGGCTGGATGGCCGCTTTTTTAGGCGGGTTTTGTCGCCGAATTCAGCGGAACATCTGCCAGAAATCTGTCGCCGCTTTAACCCAGCTGATGTGCCCCACCACGCGCCATGTCCTGTCCCGTCCAGAGGCTTGTACCCCGAGGTACTGCCCAAGGTATCTCAGCCACGCCATTTGAACCGCCCTGCTCTCTGTCGACCATCTTCTCGATCACTCTGGCTTCTCTTGCTTTCCACATAGCCGCTCATAAACAGCCAGAAATGGCTGCCTCCTTACATTACATAAACTGCGGTTGCTGCTCTCTTCCTGCAGATTTTCTTCTCGAATTTCTGCCTTCTGCAGTCTCTTAACAAGGCCACATTCCAAGTTTCAACTGCGTCCTTGTCGCCAGCCCAACAGTACCAGCTCCTCCCCTCCATGTCGAAATGTCACCGCGACAGCGCAGATACACGGATGCGTACGATTCTGATGCTTCATTCTCGCCCGACGATGATTGCGACGTTCCCGACCGGAAAGATGGCCTAGACAACGTTCCAAGCGACGTCGAGGCCTTCTGCGAAGATGACGATGCCAAAACCATCTGTGGAGAGGACGAGGACGACGCCGACGATGCCGACGGAACCCTCCACGAAGACGATGACTTCGACGTGGAAGACCAGGTTATGCTCTTCGACGGCAATGTCCACCCACCTGAATATTGGCTGCGCGAGCTAGAGAACTTCAACGAGGATGCCTTCGCTTGTCAAGATTACAGCCCCGGGACGAAGTTGCTCCTTGACGCCGTGGAGGAACAGTGGCACCAGTGCGGCCTACCGAATTTTGTGCACGTTATGGCCACTGACACGTCTTTCCGCACAGGTATTGCAATGTCATCAAGCGCGATGTCCAACAGTGCTACGCGACCATCTCTACTAGACTTCTGCACACCTTCTTCGACTGGTTCCTGAGTCAGAAGGTCGGAAAGGATGGCAGGAAGAAACGCGGAATAAAGAAGAAGAGCTCATTGGGCACATATTGGAAAGTCTTCAGGCTAGTCTACGAGAGAGCCATGTGCGACAAAGTTGACCCAAAGTTGAACCGCAGCATGCATAGGGAAGGTATCCTTCCCCACCCAGAATCAGTCCCAGCACTAACCAACTCAGGTTCTACGATCTTTAGCGAAGAAGCACGGTCTGAACGAACAGCGGCGAGCCAATCGATGCATGACGATTGATGACCTCAGGCAGCAGATCGAGACCACGCTTAGTACGACGAAGAAGTCATTCAAGCTCGGAGAACTACGCATCCTCGCCGTGCTCTTTCTCCTCCTGCTTGCTCCCGCCGGCTCCAGGCCAAAAGCGACGTTGGACCTGCGATTCAAGGATGTCAAGGTCGCTTTAGCAAGAGATCCGGAAGGCGGGCCACACAAACTGCTTCTTCGGTTCACTCCGGAGTTTACCAAAACCTACTTAGGTGAGAAGGAACAGTAGGGGTGCTTCTTGTGTAATGCAACCGCGCGGTCAGCTGACGTTTTAGGAAAACATACACGATTCCCGAGACCATGTTCGATCCGTCCTTGCTCTTGAGCCCCCATGTTTTCCTTCTGGGCATCCTCTTTCGACACCGAGCATTCCGTGCTCCGAGCCTTACATCACCGCATCACCTTCGCAACCTCGACATTCATCCTGGTGAGCGAGAGCTTCCACTGCCCCTGAGGGAAGACCTCAGCGAAACCTATATCTTCCGTCGAGCTGTTGAGACGTTGACGGGCTATCAAATTTCCCCCAACGAACGCATATCCTCCGGCATGATGGCAGCCTGAATCAAGAGGATCGGCGAAATTCTAGGCTTCGAGTATCCTACGATAGCTTACAATCTGCGCTACAATGCGGCCAACGCGTTTGACCAGAGCGGTCCGTCATGTACAGCCCTCCGTGCGAACTATGCTAACTCTATTTGCAGTCGACGTCAGCGAGGCGCTGAGAAACTTGGCCATGGGACACGCCAACTCCGATCCTTTCCAGAGGCACTATCTCGGGCGGAACATCTCCGCTGATCTTTGGGGCATACTTCGCGGACAAAAGCCACAGCAGGCACTTCTCAAACAGTCTTGCAGCATTGGTCACTCCATATCCCAGCGCCGTCCCATCGATCTCACGGCAGAGCAGTCTGCCTCTGTGGTGACGCATCCGACCATCAGAAGTCTGACGAAAGCTGCCATGGGACTACCTCTAGGTTCCCAACAGTACAAAGATACTAAACGAGCTATACGAAACGAAAAGCAGAGGCTCAAGAGAGAGCTGAAACAGAGTATTAGAGATGAGTGGACCGATGAGCAGGCCACTGACGACATCGAGCGCCAAATTCACGGCGTTGGATTTTCCGAACCCTCGACTGGAGATTTCAGTCGCCCTCAGCGACCGGCACAGAAGCGATTGCTCACAAAGCTCACAGCCCCAATTGTCCCGACACTGGAAGGGCAGTATACTCGCAGAGATGATGCCATCCAAGCAGTGTCTGCATACTGTCTTGTTCAAGAAGGTTGTGCCATACGCCAGCTCCACCAAAGGCCAAAAGAGGTGAACGTTCCTCCTTCGCCAGGCCACCCACGAGAGGGCAGTCCCTTATACGAAGCTACCCTGTCCGTTTTTGTTGCTGATCAGAAAGAGCGGCCACGGCGATGCTTCGTATGTATTGGTCAAGCCTTGTGTCTGCCCGCAGATGACGAACAGCGGTTGAGCGAACTTGTCCATGAGTTTTATACCCCTAATGACTTGACGAAACACTTCAAACGTAAGCACCTTTCCAAAGTTGCAGACTGTGATCAGGTAGACTGCAAGGTTTGCGACATGGCTCTCAACAACAAGATGCATTTCCAGCGTCATGCCCACGAAATTCACGGGACCGTGTCATGAGCGTGTGCCATGTCACAAAGCAGAAGTCGCCAGGAAGATGATGCTGTTTGGGGTGAAGCTGACACGAAACCGACATCACTCAACTGTGACTACCCAAGCGTGATGCCTCGACTGTCGGGTGGTGCAGCAATTCGCAGATTGTCATAATTGTATGATTCTGTGGCTATCAGAGATGCGTCTCGGTAAAGCAGCAGCAGCGCCATATCAGTACGACAACGACCGCAGGTGTCTTTGGGTTTTTGGTGCTTGACGCGATTAGCTGTGTGTATTTATGTCTAGATTCTCAATACAATCAGTATTTCCCAGTCTTTCTCTGCTTCATCTGGTCGGAGTGCCCCAGCAAAACGCCATGTCTGGCTCCAACACAGTCTGCGAACCGCTGCTCCTGAGCCTTCCCATTTCCCTTCTACCTGCAACATGTTTACAAGCGTTGCAAACCGGTTGCTTTCATTCTCTATTCTTTCCGCCGCTCCTTATTTCCTCTCTTGCCACTCGCATCTTCGGGAGCAAGGCTGAAATGGGTAACCACATCTTTGCCCTGATTCTCTCATTTTCATCGTCGTGATTATACGCACATCACCAAGAAGCATACTAAACGCATACAGACATAGAGGAGAAATCTTTCGTCATGGACCCAACGAAGATACTAGTGCTTCGATATCCCGAGTGAAGCCAACGGCACTGCTACCATCCCACATACCTGTTGTGACACAGAAGATCGAATGTGACGCCTCCCGATACTTTTCAGGCAGCCTCGGTTGCTGCCCCTATTCCGCTGTTGGCATACCTTGCTCGATCTGTAGCAACTCGTTTCAAGGCATCTCCCATTCGGTCCGATTTACAAAACGGGGTCTAAGATATCACTTGATCACTGCATGTTCTGCGTGGCGGGAGCTTCAAGGCCTTAGGCTTCCATGTGAGTACGCCCCACGCTACGCGGAAACCATGCCTATTGAGTATCACCTGAGCAAAAGGGGTTTAGATCAATCCGGAGATACCTCTTCTTGGGCCTCACGATGGTTTCTCTCTCCAGGCGGGAGGCGTGGTACTGCGGCCGCCAGTCGGCGACTCCGAATTTTATGCTGGTCACGAGGACAAGCTCGATCTCCAGGTCACACCTTCGCCCTCAGTAATCTCTTTCAGTGGGCGCAGCAATTACGAGCCAGATCCCAAGAAGGGTTAAGAAGTGGTGATCATGATCCCGGGTATCATTCACGAAAGCAGACGGAACCATCAGCAGTCTGGCGGAGACGTTGAGTATGGCATGGTATAGCAACCCTACATACTGGTCAAGGCATATCTATATAATGTGAGGAGAAGACGTCTTCAATTCTACTTGAGCATTGCTTACAACTCTTCATATTTCATTAACTCAATCATCTGCAGCCAGCAGTCGACCGAAGACGACCCAATGTCTCTATTATCGCCATCGTCTGTGATCACATTACTAAGAGAGACCTGATGCGGCGTGATGTCTACTAGTATCTGTCGAGCCGTCTTGCTACAAAGCATTTCTGAAGAAACAACAGTCCCTGGCTCCGAGCAACAGTTGGGTGACTCAGAAGACGAAGCTGAGCCTGAAGTCACTGCTGAACCCATTTCGACTAGTGTCATGTTATCGCCGGCACCTCGACAGGTCGTCGGTTTTGACAACGCAGCTCGTGTCTCTTCGACGGCTCCTCCATCTCCAGCCCCTCCAACCCCAGCTCTTCGCCGGTCTCGGAGGGGCATTGTTCCCACTGGTAGCTATGCTGAAGTTGACTCTGACACAGAAAGCAACGCTGATGGAGACTCAAAGATGTCTTCGGACAACGACAGACCAATTGGTAGGAGGTGGACTCCGTTAGGCTCGCTTGGCCGACTCGGCAACAAATGGTGAAATCCGTGAGTTCACGAGGAATCCGCTAGGGAACGCGGTGCCTCCAAAAGACTTCGCGGATCACAGCAAACATCAACTCATACATCAGACACCACAAGAAGGTTACGACGGATTATAGAGCATACTATGGAGATAGGTATAAGAAGTCCTCCGCAGTTAGAGAGTGTATAGGACGAGGAGCAAAGCGCAGATCATCTTCTCGCAACGTTTAACGAATTCCCCCAGCCTTTTGCCCCTTTGACTAACTTCGTCCTGAAGCACACTATCGTCGGTTGTGTGATGACGTTCACGATTGAATGGCAGCAGGTGAACACCCACTATCGTTATCAAGCCCCACCAGAGGTAGTCCGGCGCTTAAGTCCTTTGTTGCCTCAGACAGCCCTTATAGTTCCCGATGGGAAGTAGACGAAAATTTTCCGAGGCTGAGGATTAACTTCTACGCAAACTGAAGCAACGAGAAAATCGTCCTTAGAAGGACGTTTACTCTGAGTATTCGAAAGAATTTCTGGGTCGAAGTATTAGAGCACTATAAGTTCATTACAGTACTAAGTTGAAATATTAGTTGAATTGTAATTGTTCTGCTCCTTGTGATCGTTCTTTCGGGTATTCTGAGACCCTCGTGAAGTCCGCACGCATTGATTCCATCTAACCATTTGTGGGAGATGGGAAATGGTCTACACTCGAGCGTCATACATCGGTGATTGAGTGCAATTTGGGACTCACGATCAACTGTTATGAGGCTGCGCTTCTAATTGATCTAATGGACAGTCAGTAGTTGTTAACAGAAAGAAGGGCGGATGGAGAGACGTGATTGCAGCTTGAGCACACCGCCTGTCTAAAGCGGCTTAGTCTCTGACAGCATTTTTGACCGCCTTCCTTGGCTCATCCAAGTGGTGTTGGCGCTGGTGATCATTACACCGCCTGCCAAAGAGGTATCAGGCATCCGTGTTTGCCCCAAGAGCCCCGCCTGATACCGAGTGTGGAGCGCCTCCTGTTGGCGCACTGGTTCCCTTCTTCACCGCTTACCGGCTTGATCAGCATTCACAAGCTTCACCGCCCGGTTTTTCAGGGGTCTGCTTACCGCCTGCCGTAGAAGACAAGATGAGTTTGCAAAAGGCCTACACCGCCTACTTCATCAAGCAGCACTAACCGCCTTCAGTATCAGCAAGTAGCATACTCACATACGCAGACCGCCTTCCAAACGCGAGCTGGGCAGCTTTCAACAACTAGCTCACCGCCTACTGGATCATATCTCAGGCCCGCGCATTCGTTCACTTCGGGCCCATCATTACTCAGTATGCAGCAGTGCAACACCAGGGGTTGGTTACTGACAGAATCCATGCATGCTTATATGCGAGTCATGGGCATAACCCATTCGCAATGGTCCGAACATACTGAAACAGGCCAGACTGTCATTTCCACCTGGTCTTAGCTCTATAGACTTATTAAGGTAGCATTAGGCCCACAAGCCTGTGGTGATCCTTTCTCTCTTTAGTACGAATAAGACACTCTTTTCTGCTCACCTATACATGCATATTCCGCTGGCCATACTGACAAACCGTCAGTTACCTAACATTACTTGCAATTAATTATCCGCCTCTCGCTCACCGCACTTACACTGCAAATTCACTTTGAACTGTCCGCAGTGCGAGCAAGCCCCCACACGAATACTTCAGGAGGGTCACGTCGCGATCAGTCCTTTGCACAATCCTCCGGCGCAGATAGACATTGGCATTGCGCGATGCCTGACCTTTGCCTTCCTTACACGGGGCCACTGCTTATGTCAGTACCCAAAAATTCCGGTCACGTTAACAGTTGGACCCCGTCCGAACTAACAAATCAAACCCCGGAGGAGGTGCACATGTCACGGTACTAAGCCGTGATAACGAAGTCCTATTCTGACCGGCCCCATAGGGTTGGATTTGTCAGATTGGGTGTCGTAGAAAGATGATGTGTATTGTGTTGTTCTGTCTTTGTTCTACAGACGCCCACGCCCCTGAAAGTGGTAGGCAAGCCACGTCACGTGTGGTCCGCTAACTCCGATACATGGAATAAACACCGAACTGTCCACTTCTGGTCTTATACGGCCAATTTGACAGGATTAATAGCAGCAAGAAGCGATTGATTTCCGTGCGATCTAGCTAACCTTAAGAGATGAGACAAATAGCCCATACGTGAGCGCTTATGAATGAAGGGTGTCATAGTAATGGGTTGAGAGGTATATTTTACACCGCTTTCTCAGACTGGCCTACTGGGGTTAGCGTAAGCTCTAAAGTAGTATGACGCCGCTTGCCCGAAAGGATGAGATGCCATGTCTACAGCGACAGCCTTGTTTTAGATACACCGCCTTCTCATTCGAAGCCAATGGGGTCTCATCGCCACTACTATGGTACTGACCTTTCTAATCACAGGCACCACTCTGACTCGATGCCCTAACCGTTCTGAGACACCGCCTACGCAGTACGGCAGTCTTTCCCCACGTACTCACCGCCTTCTTCAATGCTTGCTTGGAAGACCGGAGACCCATGTCGTGGAGTTCTTTATACGGAGCGTAAGCTTCACCGCCCGATCCTCAATTTGGGTGTGCTCACCACCTGCCGAATTGGCGGCGGTGAGTCCTTGAGATTCTACACTGCCTACTCAGTAGCGTTGCGCTACTGGGCGCTTTTCTTAACCACCTGCGCTATATAGTTAGGAGGCTATACTGCCTGGGCAGACCGCCCTGACAGACCGCCTTCCAATTTCACTTGGCACGTTGTCTCAACCTCCACCATACCACAGGCCGATTCACTGCCTAACATGACTCATCATTTGCCTCGACCCGGCTATTAGTACAGTATGCCCTTGACTTGCTCAGCACAATGCAGAACATGGTTTATTCTGGGCAACATCCGACTAGCGTTGACATGCTCGTGATCCTACATTTTGGTGCAAATGTCTCTTCCGCTTTGTGCGCAAACATTCTTTCTTTCAACAGCGGAGACGACTTCACATTACTTTAAGGTACCTCACAATTGTCTCAGAGATCCAAATTGGGCTGCAGATTAGGCTGCAAACGTTCCATAACAGCTGTAATTACTTTCAATTGAAAGTACCTAAGGGTACTCTAACTACAGACGTCCGCTCCAATCCCATTGGTCCACTGCGGCAGTGCGAGCGGCGCAGCAGGCTACCTGTTAGCTACCCTGCTAACCCCTTGTCGTGAGCTATCAGCAGGTAAATAGAACGAACTAGAATGCTTATGTCACGTGCAAGCCAGAAGGCGAACGATTGCGGAACTGCATGCAATGTCTGCGGGGGAGAATGCCTCCTCCATCTCAACAGGATACCATTCCGCGCAGATATGCTTCGTCACCATGCCTGATCTGAGCACTAACGCCAAACTTAACGATGACATCGGAACTATCGCGCGGACTAGCGTGGGGGGCGGGTCTAAGCGCAACCGTAGTACAGAGCTCTGTAAGGCTTCAGATCCCTGCGCTGAGAGATCCCAGACTTACTGAGTATAGCATCAGGGGCTGGTGTTGTTGAATCGAATCCTCAACCGTCCAAGCAGACCTGTACGATCGATACGTCTGCGAATGAACATGCAATAACCTCGGACGCATACACGGTGGGCTGGGTGTGCGCCCTCCCGCTGGAGATGGCCGCTGCGAAGGGAATGCTCGACCAGATACACCCAGACCTGCCCCATCAAGACCCAGCCGATCATAACAACTACATCCTAGGCCAAATTCAGGGCCACAACATCGCGATCGCTTGCCTGCCTGCAGGCATCTATGGAACGACAACAGCAGCTAGCGTCGCTAAAGACCTATTACGAACCTTTAAGTCCATTCGATTTGGTCTACTCGTCGGCATTGGAGGGGGGGCGCCTTCGCGAACAAACGACATCCGACTAGGCGATGTTGTGGTGAGCCAACCAACTGGAACCACTGGAGGCGCCATCCAGTATGATCGGGGCAAGACAGTGCAGGATGGGGAGTTCCAACGCTCAGGGTCACTCAATAGCCCACCCCAAGTTCTCTTGACAGGCTTGGGCCGCTTGCAAGCTGAGCATATGACCGAAGACAGCAAAATACCCCGATACCTGTCTGAGCTTGTACAGAAAAGTCCGAAGAGAATGAGGAAGAAGTTCAGCTATCAGGGTTCATCGAACGACCGTCTCTTTACAGCCGAGTACGAACATATTGGTCAGGATTCTACTTGTGACCAGTGTGAGCGGACGCACATAATTCAACGCGACGCGAGAGACGACACGGATCCAGTCATTCATTACGGAACCATTGCCTCAGGCAACCAGGTCATTAAGCATGGAAAGACCCGTGATCAAATGGCCGAAGAACTTGGAGCACTCTGTTTTGAGATGGAAGCTGCAGGGCTACAGGACTTTCCATGTCTTATCGTTCGTGGTATCTGTGACTATTCGGACTCTCATAAGAACAAGAAGTGGCAAGAATATGCAGCTGCAACGGCTGCTGCATTTACCAAGGAGCTTTTGTCGGTCATACGACCAAACAAAGTCCTAGACGAAAAGCCTATTCAAGAGCTAGTCTCTGGTTAGTAAACTTTATTTCTTATCTCAGCGACTGGAACGCAGCCGTCTTGATGACCATAGGGAAATCTGTTGACTATCACAAAATAAAAAATAAAGTTGAATAAGAAGAAGAAAGATTAATAACACTCAGTCGTTGAATTAGTTGCGAAAGAACACCTACAAGTCTCAGTACATCAACGCGACATTTCAGCTGAGCAACTTGCAGAGCTTAAGCTGCAGAGGTGCGAAGCATTCGCTCACTTACAGACCTTGACTAACAGCTATCAGCCGAATGCTAAAAGATCACCCTATAACCCTCCCTGCTGTTCTCGAAGCGCGCTACGACAGTAGGGACTACCAAGACAGCCCGAGATGTGAGAGCGGTACTCGAGTCCGCATTCAGGAGACAATCTACAGTTGGGCAGACGATGACTTTGGCGAACCGTTCTTCTGGCTCGTGGGCCCAGCGGGGACCGGCAAATCCACCGTTGCGCGGACCATTACAGACTCTTGGGCTGAGCAGAAACGACTTGCCGCTGGTTACTTCTTCAAAAGAGGAGAAAAGGGCCGCAATGATACCAGTCGGTTTTTCGCCACTATTGCTATCCAGTTGGCTGATACGATTCCCTACTTTCAAGAGCATCTTCGGCGCTCTATCGACAGTCTGGGCACAGATGAAATCGGAGAGAGAGGCCTTGAGACGCAGTTTGACAAGCTCATTCTGAGTCCCCTGATGGCCCTCGTTTCCGTCAACATGAGCCAACCGCCGATGGTGATCATCATCGATGCTTTGGATGAGTGCGAGCGCCCTGAGCATCTCTCGCAGATCATAAAGCTACTAGACAAGCTTCGAGACATCCACGCAGTACGCTTGCGTATTCTTTTCACGAGCAGGTCCGCACCTGAGGTCAACGCGGCATTTGAGCCATCTATCAACCACAAGAGTGCTCGAAAGTTTGAGCTTCACCGCGGATTCTTTGAAGATACCAAGTCCGACATTAAGACCTTCCTAATGGTCAGATTCGCAGAAATCAAAACCAGTCGCGATGTGCAGCAGGACCCGTGGCCCGACGTTGAAGATTTGACTCGTATGGTTCAACTAGCTACGTCCCCTGAACCCCTTTTCATCTATGCTGCAACTCTTTGCCGTTTCGTCTATGACAAGAAAAGACCAAGCAACCCGAAGAAACAGCTCAAGCTATGGCTTAAGCAATGCGAAGAGGGCAAGTCTCAGCTACATCAGATCTATGATCCCATTCTCCGTCAGATACTTCTTAGCGACGAGGGAGCAGAATCTGGCCAGCAGCTGCAGTTCCTAGGAGCTCTTGTTCTTCTTGCCACCCCGCTATCTGCTGCCTCACTCACCGCTCTCCTGGGTATGGATATAGATGACGTGAGATGGTGGCTCCGCGAGTTGCATGCAGTGCTGGACATACCTTCCGAGTCTCATCGCCCCATACGATTGCTGCACAAATCGTTTAGCGACTTTCTTCTGCACCCTGATGATACAGGCAACAGTAAGCATGGTGTAAAGAAAAGAGAAACACACAGTATGCTAGCGGCACAATGCATCAGACGCATGAGAGCAGGGCTCAGACGGGATATCTGCAATACTCAAAAGCCAGACGTGCAAACAGATGAGATCGACAAGGAAGTGATAAATACACATATCCCTGCCGATCTCCAGTATGCTTGCCTTTATTGGGTTTACCACTTACAACAAAGCAAAGGGTCTTTAGGAAATGACATCCATGTGTTTCTTTGCACTCACCTCCTTCATTGGCTAGAAGTCTTAGCACTTTTGGGCAAGGTCTCGGATGGTGCCGCTGCGATGGAGCAACTTCTCGCTATGTGCCAGGTCAGTGAAGGTGTCCTCGTGCCTCGCTTAAGCTAACCCTTCTCATAGCGGTCACCCAACAAACAACTTAGCGATTTCATCAAAGATGTTAGCAAGGTTATTGCAAGTTTCGGATCTATGATTGAGCAGACACCTCTTCAGATTTATAGGGCATTGATATTGTTCTCTCCAGTTGCGAGCAAAGTGCGGCAAAGCTTTTTCGATCAATATCTACGGAATCTCCTTATTCAGGGCGTAAAGTCAGATTGGGATGCGCACCGCCAGATACTTGAGGGCCACGGCAACTCAGTCAGGTCCGTAGCCTTCTCACCGGACGGCAAGGTGGTAGCGACCGCTTCAGAGGACAAGACAGTACGGCTCTGGGACGCCGCTACAGGTGCACCCCGCCAAACACTCGTGGGCCACACGCACTCAGTCAGGGCGGTTGCCTTCTCGCCAGATAGCCAAGTAGTGGCATCAGCGTCATTTGACGAGACAGTACGGCTCTGGGACGCCGCAACGGGCAAATACTGCCAGATACTTAAGGGCCACACAGCATCGGTATTGGCAGTAGCCTTCTCACCAGACGGCAAGGTGGTAGCATCCGCTTCAGAGGACGAGACAGTACGGCTCTGGGACGCCGCTACAGGTGCACCCCGCCAAACACTTGTGGGCCACAGCGACTCAGTCAGGGCAGTTGCCTTCTCGCCAGATAGTCAAGTAGTGGCATCAGCGTCGTTTGACGAGACATTAAGGCTCTGGGACGCCGCAACAGGTGCACACCACCAAACACTCGAGGGCCACAACGGCCAGGTCAATACAGTAGCCTTCTCACCAAACGGCCAGGTGATAGCATCAGCGTCAAGCGATGAGACAGTGCGGCTCTGGGACCAACGTCACACACTCAAGTACTACAGCGACTCAATCAGGGCGTTAGCCTTCTCGCCAGACGGCCAGGTGATAGCATCAGCATCAAGCGACAAAACAGTACAGCTCTGGGACGCCGCCACAGGTACGCACCGACAGACGCTTGAGGGCCATATAGAATCAGTTTTGGCAGTGGCCTTCTCACCAGATAGCCAAGTAGTGGCATCAGTTTCAGAGGACAAGACAGTACGGCTCTGGGACGCCGCCACAGGTACGCACCGACAGACGCTTCAAATAGGTGTAACCAACAGTCTTACATTCGACCTATGTTCCAACAAGCTTCTGCTCACTGATTTTGGCACTGTAGACCTAGTTACGGATCCTTTAGTAGTCGAGTCGTCTTCTGGACACATGTCATTGTCCCCCGCAACCTGTAAACTTAGCATTAGTGCCGACCGCACTTGGATAGTGGAAGGGAGGGAGAAGATTATCCTGCTTCCTTATGAGTATCGAGCAACTGCGTCAGCCACGATAGGCTCAACTTTGTTCATTGGCTGTGCGTCGGGGCGTACCATTTGTATTGCAACTACGAGGACGTAGCCTTAGCAGGATCGCGGAATCACAACCACTAAGCATCCACTTACAATCTCATAAGTTCTTTTTTCAACGTGACACACAGGGTCCCGGATGGTGAATCTTATGAAGTCGGATGCGTAGACTTTTAGTTATTGCTAGTTATACAATTTTCCCCCTACTGCTAGTCGGTTTTGGTCTTTAGCATCAATCGTCGTATTAGAAAACCTGATTTTGTTCTATTAGAGTTTTTCATGCTCTTATCTGATTGTATATTCATAATCAGGATGAACTTCACACCAATCACTCTATATATAGATATGATGTAATTCTCAGCCGGTGGTCAGGCAGGGAGAGAAGTTGCGAGATTGGCGTGTTGGTGTACATAGTGCGTATTCTGGGTGTTCTTGACACTGTGTAGAGGTTGTATAATAAATCCAAGAATGTTGTGAGGAGGAAGAAACATTTGCAGCAAACTGTATAGCTACGGAAAGACTCATGCACAGATTGGCCAACCATATGGAAGCCTATGACATCACTAAATCAACCTACTAACCTACCGACAACACCCAACAACACCCTACGGACCCTCGTGCCATCGACAGCAGGACTCGCTTCAGCCGCCGAAGATAGGAACCTGAACACTTGGGGAGAGTGCTCCAAGATGGCTTGCTACTAACCCCACGAGAAACCGCAGATACACAAAGAGTAATCGAGGATGACACAGACGAAAACGGATCTTATACGAATGGGCCTATGGGAGATCAAGTTATTAACGCAAGTGGAGACGATGTACATAGTAGATAAGCATAGGAGCCCTCAATGGCTTAGCCGGGGCGTAATAAACTCTGTGTGTGTGTGTACTGTACTGTACATAGTTGTACAATACGGAGATTCGCAAACCCTGTGGGCGTCTCATGTCGCCAATCTAGGGATTCTCCTGTCGTTAAGCCCGACCAATCGATCTCAGCTTCATCTGATCTTCGATTGCAAAAGGCACCACAGCCAACATAAAACTCTTGAATAGGCTCACCCAACGACGAGACAGCAGTGGCCCCTTTCACCAGTGAGTATGATTAGCACCGCCCTTCCTCAGAAGCAGTCGAAAATGCCTCCTCATTGGTGCAGCCACAGAGAGTGAGGGCTAGTAGGCAGATCTGTGCGGTATATAAGAGCTACTCCATGCCGACTGCCTCGGGCCAGCGTCGTTCAGCACGGCCGCCTTCAACGTTTTGCCCCAGATGACCAGGTCAGCAAAGGAAGTCCTCAATTATGTTATGGATATTTTCTTCGTCAACAATAACTGGCACAAAGCTGCCATCAAAGTTGGAGCCAATCCCATTTTCTTTGGATCTGCCCTCGAGCGACTTGCCCTTGGTGAAAATTTGTCAGATCTTCACCTTGCAGCTGCTTCTATGGACTGGGTTGGAGAACGTCAACGCGACGATGCCAGACTATCCAAATCACTGAAGAATCCCCAATTCGGCAATAGCGGAGGCCTTTCGCGCATCCAGGGCGCCAACCCGAAGTTTACATTGAATATTCAAGAAGATAGCAATTTTATGGATGATCATACCAAAGTTCGAGACTTTGGCAGTCTGTTCAACCAGGAGAGCGATGAATTGACGACTTGCCTACTTTATTACAATAAGGGTCAGGGATACCTGGAGCAATTTCACATCCCTGGCCACCAGTTGCCTTGGAAACGTCTCTACAGAATACCTTTACAGTACTGTCTATCGGCGCATACCGGGAAGTCAGTCGAATGGGCAGTAGCTCAGGATACAAGCATACCGTCTGGCACTCAACATTGAAACACACGACCGCGGCGCTGTTTAGCACACAGCTCTCCGCTAAGACCGCTAACGCAAGTCATCTCCCACCAGCTGCGCAGACGAAGCTTGTGATTATTATATAGGAATAGAGGTCGTCTTCTTAGCTAGTTCTGAAATATCTAAACGTGACTTTCGTAAATGTGCAATATGTCTATCAACAAGCGATGTGAGCCTACAACCTACAGTAAGCAACAACTAGTACAGTATTATCAAAAAGTTCAAACTACCTTACGGATGACGTTTTTTTCTCAAAGTCCTTTAGACTTTATCGAGATTTTCTATAGAAAGTGACTACAGTATGTACATTTACTCAGAGTTAAAGGCCCCTATGCTTCCAGGTAAAAATGAGGAAGGCGTTCAAACATTGCTTTGGCGGCTACTTCGAATGACGTGAAATTTCAAGGCCCCTGGTCAGAGAAGCGCAATAAACCCCGAAAACCACGCGGGCCTGATCAAATCCTGGATCTATTGGCCGCTTCGTAATTAGCAACAAGGGGGACTTAGCAACAAAGCCTTGTCGTTTAGCGCCTTGTCCTGCTTCGACCATAGGCCACAGGCGCGTGCCGCGCAAGAACAATCCCGCCCACACAGCCTGCTCATCCAGAAGTGGCTGTGACGCAGAAATATTGACATCAAACACCATAGCCGGTTGCGACCCCGACAGCACCTTGACGCTGGTGAACATCACTTCAAGCGCCAGACAGTCCTTCTTCTGATCCCAGCACTCGTCATTACCCGTCCAGCTCAGTCTGCTGGCTATGCACCAACTCTCATCGCTGTTGTCGCCGCCGTCACCGGGGGCGCTTCCGCTTCACCAACCCTGATGCTTGTCAGACATATGGGCTTCCGCGGGCTGGCACAAAGCACACTTGGCATCTCTACAAGCGTTATCATCAGGCTCATCACCATCCGCGCGAACGTGGGTCTCATAATCAACAAAGATCCCCCGATGTCCAGTTCCCAATGTCCAGTTCAAACAAAAATACATATAGCATGGCGCTTCCCTCAGTCACCTACTTCACCTCCTGCTCCGTCACCGTCAAAGACTCAAGGACATACTTAGAAACTCCTACAATAGCAATAGCTTCTCGAATTTCCATACAAGATCTGGTGACACCCGATCCGGTCAAGCACACAGTTCTAGACGAGGCCGAGGCCTATCTCAAAGACGCGTTGAGACCACAAACCCCAACAGCATATGATACGTCGTCAACAAACGTCCAGAACCACCAAGTACGCCAAGACGACGTTGAATCCTTCCCCGGCATAACGAGCAATGCCATGCCGGTCAACCCCTTACTATCTCCTGCAAAGCTGAGTTCCTTAGGGGAACCCACCTTTGACGATATCTTCTCAGTACACACCTTACAGCCCACTGCGGTAACGTCCTCAAGTATGGCTCTTCAGAAAGAGATGTTCAGAGATTGTGGAATTCCAAGTCCCACCAGCTTTCCGATTCAGTTATGCTCTGCCTGCCTATATAATGCGTTCACGAAGTGAGCAAGACTCGCATACCCTGAAGAGACGAACCACTACTAACAGCTTCAAGTTCTTGTCCTTGGGGTTCTCTGTGCGACCAGCAGCATCTTGACAGCTCTGTCCCGATTACCTGCGAATTAGCCTGGCTCTATCCCACCTACATTTGCCATTGTGGATGGCCTGGTTGTGCAAGCGGTGCTGGGAATCTACTAGAGGGCGATATGTCGAGCGCTTACTGCGTGGAAAGCACTTACCTCGAAGCCGGGTTCACCGATGGATGCCTGACAGGTGCTCCTGACTTAACCTATGCTACACCGGCTGAGCCGCCCCAACCGTGGACCTACGGCTTCGGCGCTCAGTCTATCCCGCGACAGGACTTTGTGCTTGGAAGCGGCAATCATTGGAGTGTAGCTGGTGAGCAGTTGGCACCTACTAATGTCCCAAAAGCAGTCTTTACTGGCTGGATAACCCCACTAGATAATTAAGCGGGTCATTCTCCTTGTGTTGGCTGTTTGCTTTTGAGCCAACAATATACAGTGTAGCGTGACAGGTGCACTTGATTCTAGGATAAGATGTTTATGAAACAACAGTGCTAAATACTTAAGTAGCAATAAAGCATACAACCTCTTTCACGTCAGAATACATCAATGTGGGAATGCGTCAGAGGATCTATTGATGCGGGTGGTTAAGTGGAAATAAATGTGGTCTCTAAATCTATAGTAACTATAATGACACTAAGATACTTCCAATAGCCTCTTCAATGCCAGCTCTGTCTACGACGCATCAGCAACTGTATTTTCATGTTCTGTACAAAGTCGCAACTGCTTCAACATAGCTGTAATCAAAGATTGACCGGCCGCCGTGCCGTCCAAGCCCGCACGGCGGGACAAATCAAGACGGTCCAAAGTGGACTCGCCGGCTTTTGTGGAGTCTTCCCATTCCGTCGTCTCCTCTGCGTCGATGACGGCGCATGTGCTGAGATGACTGAAAGCGCTGGGTTGGGTCTCTGTCGGCGTCTGCACTGGTAGGTTCCGTGAGACGCCCTGTTCGTCGTTTTTTATTGCAGAGCTCAGCGTGCGCGGCCTCGTGGATCTATGCGACTGACCGGCGGTGCAGGTGATAGGACGCTGAGTTCGACCCGGCAGTCTTTCCGAGAGATGCGAAGTGTGTAATGTTTCCGGGAGGCCAGGTACAGGGGCCATTAATTTATGTTGTCGATCGCGGGCGGCATCCTCAGTTTCCGGGGTTGTGATTGAACATTGAGGGTTGTCCGCGTGGAGCGACATGGTAGAAACCCAATCACTCACGACATCGAAAGAGGTCAATGACTGCGGCGACATATTGGTGACTAGCGATTGCTTGGAGACAGGGTTGTTTTTTGTGAGTGAGGCGCTCAGGGGAATATCAAACCACCAACTTCCAACTCATAGCAATAAAGTTACTCTTGGGAGCATGCCGCGAAGCCGTTGTTGGATCAGTGGATCCTTCCATGCTCCAGAAGCAGCTTCTCGATCTGGGGCGTGCATGAGTGAGTTCGTCCTTCGACTGGTGCATGCCCCTGGTCATGTCAGAGCCAGATCGGCTACCCCTGCACCGTTGGAGCTCGATTTAACGACAGTCAATTTCACGCGGCACTTTGTGCTCTGAGGGTAAAAAACATCCTGGCGTCATTCATACCGAAACAGCAGAGACTACGCTGGTTGCCGGGTACGCATCCATCTCTTCTGCCGTGCATAGCGAAATAAGCGTTGGACCTGATCTGGATCTTTGACATTGTGTTTACATTTGTTCGCTACCAATCAACAAGCCCTATGGCTTCTCTCATCTTTCGGCGTCCTCGTCTCTTCCATTCGTTCTCCTGGCGGCAACTCTAACGGCCTAGACTGCATCTGCAGGTCTGATCGTGATCGACCAATAGTTGGCCGTGACTCGAAAGATCCTCCTCTGCTTCCCACGTCGGACACCCATAGCCGTCCCACTTGACGGCATACAGGGTGGTGCCGTCATCAGTCTCACAGCACCCCACGATGCACTGAAGACGGGACATCCAAGCCGCGTGGCTCGGTCGAGGTCGCTCGACAGACTCCTGCCACACTTTGATGCAATTTTCATCTTGAAACACCCATAGAAACTGACGAGCGTCTAGCCAGTCCCACGCGAGGGTGTCACGGATTTTTACGACCACGCCATAGAACACGCGGCCGCCACCCGTGGCGGTGCAAATGACTTCAGTCACCTCAAGACATGAGGACCAAGCTGCCTGGACCGTTGAACCTCGTTGCACCACCATTTTGACGTGTGTGCGTTTTGAAGACAGGCAACGTTATGAAAGCACACCTTGTGGATACGGAGAGCTCTCGGGAAACGATAATAGAAAAACAGGGTTACCAGCGACGGCCATCAGGCAATCTGTATTTGTATTATAGGTGCGTAGGCGGGATTCACGTCTACTGAGGCAAGAAAAGCCATTTGCGCGTACTGTTAGCACTCGAAGCCAAAGGTGACTGCCTGTCTTGTCGCTGGATGCTGTGCTCTAGGTCTCAAGCCTAGATCAACGGTGCCTCTATAGTCGCTGCTGCGGCGAACTCCAATGCAGGACGTGACTCTCCAGTTGTATTCCAAAGATGACCATCGCGAGCCGTGTACTGTATGTATATTATATGTTCGTATGAGTTTGGCAGATACATAGTAGATGATATAACGGAAAGCTTGGATAGTATTTGCTATTGTGACGCATCTTCTCGCAAACGCTGCCCTCAGGACGAGCCGGCATCTCTCGTCTGGCCTTTATGCCCCTCAATATCTTGGCCAAATACATCGACCGCGCTTGCTATTTCTTCCAGAATATGTCTGTCTTGTGGCGAAACAAGCACTCGCATTATGAGTCTGTCACTGTTGCTGCTGCCGTCAAACACTATGTGAATGGTCACTGGCCATTTACGCTGTGCGACATCCTTCATCAGCGCAGTGACAACAGCGAGTGATACGGCTGCACTGAGCTCGGCGTCACCTTTGGGCCACGGACCGTTTCGTCCTCTGTGTGTGTCTGGAGTGTTTGGCGCCGTACAGTCATCGTCAGATGTGCCATTGGGCGTGGTGAGATCGAGACTGGCTTCGACAGGTCAGCAGTTGCTATTGGCAATAGGTACGTAACGTTGAGAGCACTTACAGCTGACGGCGCGCGCCCTTTTTCGACCACCTCTGCTTGCGACCATGAAACGTTGGTCGAGCTCATCTTGGTTGAGAAACGAACCACCGAAAGGCTGTGCTGTTGAGTGGTCTAGAGAAGAAAGGCTTTGATCGGACGTAGGCTCCATGTCTCCAGAGAAGTCGGTGAATCTGTTACTGTAGAATATTTATACAAAGACAGACTCTGAACGTCTCTGAACGTTCACGGCAAAGACTTGGTTTTGCATTTCGGCCGCAGGTGCAGTGCTCTGTATTTATACGTCTACACACCTGAGGCACACTCAAGTTCTCTACTGAAAACATCCGTGATCTCTCTGATTGGCAATTCACCATAGCTTTCGCCAGGGATGCACATGCATGTGTATGACAGGTAGTTGTCGCCTCTCGCGCCGGCCGCGCGTATCTATCTACGCAAAAGATCAGGTCGGCAGAAAACAACGTTATAATTGGCTACCTTCTAGTCTTATTTTATATCCTATTATAGTGTCAAAATGATGATTCTCCTCGCACCTCTTTACTTATACCCCAGTCTGCTATGCTAACACTATCTCCGCGAGCCGCTCTTTCTCTCTAGATATAGAATTCCTGTAAGTACCGGTCCTGGTCTGGTTTCCTTCTTGTTCCGCAGCATGCTCAAGACGCCCGTCTTCGTCAGACTAATCCCGTGCTTCAGCATCTCTGTGACGAGACGCACAACCATCTGCGGGGAGTCTTGCAGAAAACCCGATGCTGCCGCGTCGCCACGCTGGGATGCCACCCAGAAACAGTGCGAATACACCACATGGAAAATCTTCAACAACTTAGGCTCGCGCGTCAAGAGACTAATCACGCTCCAGTCGTCTCGCGCGTCCGCCAGGCGCCCAAGCTTGCTGATGATGCCGCACAACACTGTACCATCCATCCTGGCACCACGCCGCAGTAGAATCGATGCCATGAGCGGGTTTCCATGACATGTGGAAAGTGTCCAATCGAGGCTCGTTGCGCCGTTTGAGTCGCGTTTGTTGATATCCAGAAGACCGGAAGACAGCAACATCTCGGCCTCCCAACGGCGTTTCATGCGAATAAGCTTTAGCAATAGGGGCCCAGTCCAGTTGCAGCGGGCCGATATGCAGACCGTTGTGTTCGGGTCGGCGCCCGACTTAAGAAGGTGGTCGATAAGTCGTTGCTTCACTACTGCCGTCCTTCCATCCGTTGGCTTGGCCCGGGACAGGAGAGCCAGCTCGAGTGGCTTTTGCTCGAGAATGCGGAGCGCTGGGTCGGCCCCCTCGACCAAACCGTCCAACTCGCCCGTAGCGTCTGCTCCGGCTTGCAACAGAGCCAGGGCGGCAGAGAACATGCCGTCTTCGCATGCCATGCTCAGAGCCGTCATGCGCCATGTGTCGATCGTTGTGGGCTGGTTCACATTAACACCGAACCGCGCTAGGTGGGTAATAACCGTCTCTGGCGACGGCGACAACAGAGAATGGATCAGCGGCGTGTCACCGTTGTTATCGGCCCGGTCCACCGCCAGCCCTCTCTCCTCGATCAGATAGGTGATGACTTCAGTTAGTCCCGCAGCGGCCGCTTGGTGGAGCGCGTTGATGCCGAACTCGGGAGACTCGAGGCGTGCGCCACGTTGGAGAAGAACCATGGATGTTGCCGCATCCCGACTGAGAAGGGATATAAAAACAGGAGTCCGCAGCCGGCAGTCGGGGACCCCGTCGATATCGGCACCGTGATCAAGGAGAAATGACACTATGTCAGGGTGGCCTTTCGAAGCGGCAACGTACAGGGCCGTGACAATAAAAGGGCTGGGTTGCTGAGCTTCGATCATAAACATGGTGGCTGGTTTGTTGTAGTCAGCGCCGGCTCGACAAGTATGCCTGAGCGTGGCGAGGGCCACCCGCGTGTCTGTGCAATTGGAAATCGTCTTGAACACGGCGGAGTACTGCCCCGTTCTGACATCTTTTCGGTAAAGCTTAGGGTTGAAGAACGAATGCCAGGCGCGTGAGCATTGCGTGAATTGGGACTGGACATGGGGTTCGCTGTGGTTGAAGATGTGCCACGCCACGTCGAGGGAGATCGGCTTCATGTCGGTTGCTATAGCACCTGTTCACACCGACCAAGGCGATGTCGTTGGTGACAAAAGAGCGGCGATAAAATAATACGGGCCACTCTCATTTCCCGGCTGGCTGGTTTCATATCCATTCTAGAACGGAGACATTTGTCTATGTACAGGACGGCACTCCACATCGGAAACGACTCGCGTATTCCTTTGTACAGAGTTGGAGCTGCTGTATGGAGAGAAAAGGTTCAGTTTTGCGGCCCAGGCGTACGAATTGTAGTTCCGCAAGTTGTGTGTGGCTTCTCCAATGATAAGTTGAAGATGGCTCCTAGATTCCAATAAATCATTGGATGCCGCTGCAACGTGGTGTTGCTGGTCATTCCGTTGACTGACCCCTGTCTTGAGTTTCCATTTTCGGCCCTCACTGAAAGCCCATTTTAGCTAGGCTTACTCGATTCAACTGCGGCAGGCTGCCACCAGCTTTTGGCCGAATCCATTTCCAGCTTCTCTCAGCAATCACTTCAAGGTTTGGGGCGATGTTGTCTCCAGCCAAACGACAAGGGTCTCGCTTCCTGATTCAGTACCCTGTGAGCAACATCTAGATCTGGATCTTTGGGGGACCAACTCATTCATCTGGCCACACACTTCGAGCCTAGCTTGCTAGTATTGCCCCTATCTGGATACACATCAAAAGAGGCTCCTATCGGATGAAGGACTCCCAGCTTGCGCGGAGGGCTTTTCAACAGGATCACCGTTGCATGTCTTAGGAGAACCCGAGCAGCAGCCCGAATGGGCGCCCGCCTCTGAGTCGCAGTGACTCCTTCATATGCACCCACAGGTTAGGGGCTCTAAGGTATCCTGCTGAGCAACATGTGGTATGGTGAACTCATCCACGAGCATCATACGAGCATCATGTACTCAGAGCTTCATTCTGTGTTCTCGCCTTTGCGGTTTACGCCGTCAAGCAAGGCGGCATCTGGGCATAAGTTTTCACAGGACCATGGTTTGACATTCCTTCTCTGTGAATCCGATGAAGAGGGCGACGGTATTCAGCGGGCAAAAGTGCACAAGCGAGAGCAACTACTACAGGAACCAAGCTCTGCATCCAGCACGTCCTTGGATCTCGCAGCTGAAATCAAGACCGCCTGCTCTACAGCAGCTCGACACTATGTATCAATCAAGAACAGCGAAACAACGCCTTCGCCTAGAGTTGCACACGTTTATGTAGAAGCTTCTATAGATAGGTCGCTCCATCTTAGGACAGCCAGCAGTGATGGTAAGATGATCACGAAATCGTTTGACTGGAATAAGAACGGCCCCAACGCGTATTCTACCGAGCGTGGCATTCCGAGACCGGACTCGCCCACCATATAAGAATACTTGGACTCATCACCGCGGTTTTCTATGGCAAGCATGCATTCAGATGCTCCATGGAGAGTGAAACAAGAAGTGACCGGTTGGCGGAAGACTGCGGGGCGAGTTTTCACAGGAGGATACAGACGTTCTCACAAAAGGTCCAAAGTCGCCGGCATATGTATTGCGACAGGGACATGAATATGACTGTATTTGTAATAGCTGATGCATTAAACTATTAGAAACCACTATTGAATATATCCCGTGCGGCCCCTCAAAAGCTCGTCGTCCCACGCACCACTCGCACATCTGATATACCTTAACTCCATGCACGGTAGCACGCATCATGGAATGATCCCCCATCCCTGCCAAGCAGCGCCAGGCAGCACGCTATTTTAGGCGTAGAACTGATACTTTCTTTCCTGGTTGGCGGCGAGCATGTTCAGGTCGTATCCATGTTCTAATGTTAGGTCCTCGTCCATCTTATAGTGTGCCTTTGGCTTCTCCGTGCTGAGCTGGGACTGTTGCCATTTGGTGTACGCTTGGACTGTATTCTTTCTGGGCAAGCCCGTTCTTTTCCAAGGTGCCAATGGAAATACCACGGAGAGGTACAGACGGAATTCGTTCGTACTGCCAGCACACGCATGACATCGGAAGCACCTCACGTCGGACGACACTAGGTTCAAGCGAGGTCCCCTTTGCTTTTGTAGAAGAGACCTCTCCTCCTCCTGGCCATGTTTTCGTGACTAAGACGGTTGTTTTTGGGACATCTTCAGATCCAATCAAAGGTTTTCTCGCCTGCGAATGACTAGAAAGGACCTTCACTTGGTACATACCGCCATCGTGCTGCCAACTAGGGTCTTCTTTTATGCACGGTGGGAAATGCCAACGCAATGGCATATTTGCCTATCTGACACGGGCTTTTAAACCTGAGCAGACTGTTCTAGCTTCCAAGTCTGCCTCTTAAATGGCTATTGCAGTCATTCAATCGAGCTTGTCTGCATTCAGACTGACGTACATACGTTCGTCCGCAGCTGACTCACGTTTCTTCCTGTAGCATATATAGCAAGAGCTGACTATGGCTGATCGCTAAGAGCACAGCAGCAAACTGCGGAGCAAGCATGTAATATGCATGCTCTGTGTCATAGTCGCCCTAAAAATGCCTACAAACAAAAGCTTAGGGAAACGACAGTTTGGAACAGCTCACCGCCACCTTATGCTCCTTACACACTCGCGGTACACCCGCTGGAAAGCCTATATGCCGGGACAAGGCGCACGACAAGATGAAAAGGCATTCGAACTCAGGAACCCAAGGTCAATCCTCCTACAACGGCGCAATAAGCAACTAGTTCACTTCCATGCTTAGGACTCAGCCACCGCTTGATGTAGTCCATCACTGACACATCGACATGACTTCCCGTGAGAATCCACCAAAGCGAGATAGAACCAACGAAAACTGCGACAAGGCGGCAAAAAACATGTTGTGGCGTTGTGAGAAGATACGACGCCGGTACGGAGCCGACGTGTACATCCAAGTCCGCTACAAGAACAGGCATTACGAGTACTCGTCGTCAAATGACCATAGTTTCCCCAAGTCTAGAGCCGAGTTGGTAAGTTCAATGAAACCGTAGTCTTTCGGAGCTAATGTCCTGAAGAAAGGAGCCTACCCGATCCCGGTAACAAGGTCACCAACAGACTATAAGGAGAACAAAAGTCAGAGCCAAGTCAAGGATCCATCCGGGTGATTAATGTTTGGCGGCAACGCACCTGTACGGTGGAGGACTCGCGCTTCCAAAGACGTTGACACTACTTGTAGAGACATGGCTGAAATTGATGCTTACTTCTGGTGTTTCTCTCCATCGTGTCCGTATGTTTTCGTATCTTTGGCGAACTTAGTCGCCAAAATGGTCAAAGCAGTGCAAATTGACGTGTTCTTCATTGTTCTCGCAACATTTCTTGTAGTCCTCTCGAGCCGTTCGTATCATGGGCGATCGCAGGCTAAGACTGATAACCTGCAACAGCTGGCCACTTTCCCTTCCTCTCCTAACATCCGCCCTGACAGCATTTTGCGCTCTGTCTTTCCCTACATCCTGTTGTCCCCGTCTTCCATTGGCGTTGTTGTCGCAAGAGGAAGGAGTCGCTAGCCAGCACTCAACAGAAGCCTAGCTGCTGATGAGGTGGATATGTTTGGCAGATGGGGGAACGGTTGAGGTGTGGAGCAGATGCAACGCTAGAAGCGGTGACGAGAGGAAGGAAGGGGCTGCTTCTAGAGGGGTGGGAAGGCGATGAAATTCACAACGACTTTGGTGCTCGCCATCAGCATATCTTCCGAATCAGGGAGTGAGATGGGGCTTGAAGGTTCCAAAGGGCTCGGTGTCACGGACAATGAAGACGGTGAGAAAGACACGGCGCACGCATAGTTGAGGTTGTTATGGTAGTGTCGAGGCGGTATGTATAAGCCGTTGAGGAAAGATAGAAAGATAGAAAAAAAAAATGATACTGTATAAGGTATTTCGCGAGGCACGAAGACTGGAGGGGAAGGAAAGAAGTGCTGGAAGACGCCGAGGGAGTTTGCTGGAAAGAGCCTGATCCAAATTGGCATGATGTTACAGGAGCAACCACTGACAGGGCGTTTGGTCGGAGAAGCCCGTCCACTGCTCCCGGTTGACTTGGTCAGTTCGGGTGTAGGTGGAGAGATGAGATGCTGACGATGGGAGAGATCAGGGCAAGGGAACTTTGCTTAAAAGCGTGCATCTGTCTGGCTATCGCTCGACGAGCTTGTCAATATTCCCCATTTCTGCTACTTCCCAGCTCCAATTCACTAGAGGTACAAACAGCCAGTTACCCATCCAACATACCCTGCCTTGCAGGATATTCTGATGAGCTCACTGCCGAGAGACCTGCCAGCCTGCCTCTGATAAATCTTCGCTCACGTCGTAATACCATCAACGCCGGTGACCTTTGCATGCCCTCCCGAGCAGCCTACCGATCGTGCAACTCACATAGATGGCGCTAGACGGAAGTAGAGCTGGGTTTGAGGGGCTAGGTGCGATAAGACAGGGGAAATGGACGTTTTTGATTAAAGAATCAACAGGCCCCCTACCTCCCCACCATCTTTCTACGAGACTCCCTCTATTGCAAATTGCGTGCCCTACTTCCACGTACACTTGCGATCTCCTTGGCGATTTAAGTGGCATTATTAAGCATTGATCGCGGGTATCATTTGAGGTAGGTACCTGTTGAAGGAATGGGAAAGAGAATTAGTTGAAGAACGAAGCGTAAAGCAAAAAGCAAAAAGAGGCTAAGAACGCACCTGTGAGGAGACATTTCGAACGCGCAGTTGACCTTGGATGTCGTCCATTGGACAAAACATGACTGCCCATATCCGCTCGCGACCACACATGGCTCAACGACACGCGTTCGCGCGGCCTCCAAGCGTCTCCCAGTACTGGCAGAGCGCAGCGGGGTTGTTCCTGCGGACGAAAGCCTCTGATTCCTCGGTTTCCTCATTACTTCCCTCCCATGAGATCATAAACATGATTGTCTTTCTTCGCGCACTTCCGCGCCTAACGACGCGATGATTGGTGATCGACAATATGTGCCAGAGGTGGCGCTGGTTCGGACCGAGGATGGCCCGAGGGTCGTGGGCCTCGATATACGCCAGCCAGGCGTCGTGGTGCTCCACCTGGAGATAGCGTTCATCCTCCCAAGCCTGGGTGCCATCTCCAGACGGATCCCAGCGCACCAGCATCTGGACGCGAGAGGCATCGGTTGGGTCGACCTGGTGCGCCGTGATCGAACTTGGTGTCGAGCGGGCGACAGGAACCACCTGGGCAGCAGAAGGCTCGCTGATTATCTCGGTCGAGGTATGATCTCCTGTGACAGGGTCGTTTTGAGCGGGAGGGGTCAGGGCTGCGTGTAGCTCTGTCGGGGAGGTGATGGCCTCGGTGACCTCATCAGGAAGAGTGCGCTCGCGCTGACGACGCAATCTGTCTGGAAACGAGGAGTTAGTGCCATCATTTGCAAGCTATCGACCACGGGGACGTCCGGGGAGCATGCCTACCAAATGGACTGTTGTGAAGCGCGATGATCGCGGGCGATCGGTAAGACCGCGATGTCTGAGAAGGTCCACCATCCCGTCCCTCACCAAGCCTCTTCTAAATGCTCGACGACGGACGATAGCGGCTTGGATGCGCCATTTCTGCGTTGGTCAACAGTCAGATCGGGGGCCCGGGGATGGGGCGTCGCGCCTGAGTGCAGACGGGACACGTGCCGGGCTTTGGAATAGAAATCGTGTCGCAGAACAAGATTGTTACTGATTTGCGGCGCGCGAAGCTGTTACAACTAAAAAAAAACACTGTAAAGCCACACCTTGCGCAGCACGAAGGCCATTTGGGTCAGCGGAGGGGATGGAGGCGAAAAAATTAGGCTCTTCCAGCGTAGATGTGAACAAAAAATCTGAACTGGGCGGTCAGAAATCGTCGCATAGACGGCACGTGACTTTGAGCGACCAAAGGCTGGAGTTGAGGCTGAGGCGGTGCTTAACCGAAAACAATCACGTGGCGGCTCAGTCAAGCAGAACATCACGTGAGATAGCCCCACAAAGTTGGAGGCTGAGGAGGGCTTCCGTCTCTTTGGCCAGTCAGGCCCCGCCCGCCTACTTCAACCCAAGGAAGCGGAAGCGGGCCCCTAGACGACACTCCCCTGGCTGGCTCGCTCCTCCCCCTACAAACCATAGCAGTGGAAAGGTCTCAAGCGGTCGCCAATCCAGACGCGCTCTCGCTGCAAGCAACCCAATACTAAAGCAAGTCACCAAGACAATAGCTATAATGACAACGAAAGATACCCAGCCTTGATCCACTCCAAGTCAATCTAGTAACAAGACGGCAGTCACACTATCAACAGGGGAACGCCCGGTCAGGGAACGGGGCCAAACACGAGACGGGCATGGAGGCCAAACGCAGCAACAAAGGATACAGGACCGCCCGTTCTGCACTTCCGAATGCCTTCAAGGATTAGTATATAGAGGGGTAGTAGGTAAGACCTGCCCTAATGTCAAAGATCACGGACGCCGACACATAAAGCGGGAGCGATTTCTCCGGCTCATCCGCACTCAGCTAGCTCAAGCAATGCAGACGTTACACCACTCTACCTAGCTGGTCGAATTGGAGCGCTCTTCAAGGTGCGACTTTCAACTTGCGGTTACAGGCTTATTGCAAAGGCCGTTGAGAGAGTCAACCTCGGCCGCCTTCAGCATGAAGATAACATCTACAATCGATTGCAGCCCATCCAGGGGACACAAGTACCTGTATGCGTCGGCCAGTATGGCCCAAGTCTCCAGTTGTTCCTATGGAGGTTAATCTTAATTATTCGGATTCTGGCAGTAGGCCCAACTCATCGCCAATCTTCGATCACCATTTAGTCTTGCCAATCAAATTCAGCCATGACGTACGCACCGTTCTGCACATCCGCAAGGACGATGGGTACGGCAACCACGTAGAATGTGAAAAAAAATCTAGTCCTCGAGACAACTCAGCATCGAATTGCATGTCATGCCCCAACGAAGGATTGAAATTTTGGCGTGGTCGATATTGGAGCAGGTCGGGCATATGGCTCATGCGTCAACACCCCTGACATCTTTATCTTTTTAGTGCAAATTTGTTTTAGTGCAAACATGAGTCACCTGACGTTGGAAGAGAACGCCAAGCACGTCAGGATCACATGGTGGTTGCCCCTAGCGATGCGGAGAGGTCGATTCTATTGGCTGAGCTAAGCTTTGGACCACTGTCCACTGTCCAACCTTTGAAAACAATCCGAGAACCCAACCGCCATCCATGCATCAATCACAGCCATCATGAGCGGGACAGGAAATGCTGAAGAGTTGGCGAGGCTCTCGAGGCTCTTGCAAGAAGTCCAAGAACGCGCCGACAGGGCAGAAAGAGATCGACAGCAAGAACAACGACGCGCTGAGGCAGCAGAGAGAGAGCGCCAGCAAGAACGACAGCGCGCCGACGAGGCAGAAAGAGACCGACAAGAAGAACAACGACGCGCCGAAGCAGAACGACGGCGAGCCGACGAGGCAGAGCAGCAAACCCAACACACCTCGCTCGACGAATACGTCGCTGCCTGTCATTCCCTCGTTTACAGCAAATTTACCGTCGAAACCGACCGTAGACTGACTTCCAAGGGTTCCATCACCAATCCGCGCCACAAGTGGTGCCCGACCAATCTCAAGCCATGGCCCGACTTCCTACAGCAACAGCGCATCGTCTTCGGCACCCTCTACGACACTTTCCCCTCCGATCGTCGCTGTTTCGAGAGCCGATCGTTCCTGTCCGGCTTGGGAAGCAGAATCGCGAGGCGCAAGATCACCGACGAGAAGGCCTTGGAGTACTTCCTGCACAACAGCGTCGAGGACCCCGTTCGAGCAATCATGGACGAGCTCAAGGAGGTGGAAGAAGTGAAAAGCGCGTTCGATCTGGGCAACGGCATTGTCTTTGAGAATCACCCGCATGCGATCAGCGACGCAGCCGAGGAGGTCGTCGACCGCAACGTCCCATCGACACCCCCCTCTACACCGCATACTAGCAACGTCGACCTTAAACAGCTGCGAGCCGATCAGATCTGCGTCTACCGCTCAGAAACCGCCGACTCGGAAAGTCGCACGATGCTCTACGTTTCCGAATACAAGCCCCCGCATAAACTTACCGCGCCGCATCTTCGTCTCGGTTTGCGCCCGATGAACATATATAAAGAGGTGGTCAACCGAAAAACGATCCCCACATCAGTCGACCCAGATGCGCGATTCCAGTACCATGCGGAGAGACTCACGGCCGCCGCCATCACACAGACCTATCACTACATGATTGAAGGCGGACTTGAGCACGGCTTGCTGACGACAGGCGAGGCAATCGTCTTCTTGAAGATTGACTGGCGCGAGCCTGAGACACTTTTCTATCATCTGGCGGAGCCGTCTGCGGAGGCGGAAGCTCACCCCGAGCATGCCCACCTCTGCACGGCAGTTGCCCAGTATCTGGCCTTCAGTCTGATTGCTCTGAGTATGCCAGGCGAACGATCGCCACATGGGCAGGACGAGCGACGTGAAGCTATGGACAAGCTGAGGACATGGGCAGAAGACTTTGAGACGACGCTGCGGTCAGTTCCGGATGATGAAAGGCAGCCACCAGATAGCTCGCCGGGATACATACCAAACGCGTACAAGGACGTCGACAGATCTCCATGCTTGCGCCGAGGGAATAGGCGAGGACATGCGAGAGACGGGCATACAAGGGAGCAAGTCAGGAGGAATGACGAATCATCTGATGACGAGTCGAGACAAGATGTGCCAGACACACCCACGCCTACGGAAAGGCGAAGGAACCCTCCTCCGGGCCAGGGTAGCCAAGGAACTCGACGCAGTCAGCGAATTCTAGCGCAGCGGCCGCGAGATGGTGGGGGAGGGGGAGGAAGGGAGAATGAACACAGGCCGTACTGCACCCAGAAATGCTTGCTAGGGCTCATCAGAGGCGGCGTCCTCGACCCAAGCTGCCCAAACAACTTTCGTCACAGCAGGAAGCTGAGCGATGACTGCCACCACAACCGCAATGGTGGTGGCCGCGCAGATACTTGTCATCTAATTGACCACACTGGATTCATGAAGCTTCTTGGAGAGCAGCTGGAGCGGACACTAGACGACGGCGTGACACCTTTGGGACGAGGCGGCGCGCGAGGAGTCTTGTTTCGAGTGAGCCTGCTTGCGTACGGCTACACCTTTGTCAGCAAGGGTACAGTACGGGCGTTCATCAAAGACCTTCAACACGAGGCAGCGGTTTACAAGCGTCTACGGCCTATTCAAGGCAAACATGTGCCTGTGTACCTTGGGGCGATCGACCTTCGGCCGATGAACAGGACCTACTACTACGACCACCGAGTCTACGTGGTACACATGACATTTCTGTCCTGGGGAGGACATGATCTCTATGCCATAGAGAATGTAGATGGTGGAGGCGGGCACCTGGAAGAGATGGCGATGCAGTCGTTGCGTGCAATCCATTGTCAGGGTGTTGTGCACAGAGACATGCGAGAGGATAACATGCTGTTCAATGAAGAAGTCAAAGGGGTCTTGATAATCGACTTTGAAAGGGCGCAGCTGTTGACACCGCCTCGGCGTCCACTGACGCAGCTTGTGCCGAACAAGCGCAGACGGGTGCCGGAGGTGGTGAACGGCAACAAGTTGGCAGTGAAGTCAAGAAGTCGAGATGAAGGCAATGGAGTATTCTTAGGGGACATTGCAATGGTAAAGGAGATTCTTGGGTAAAGCTTCACTTATGAGCCAAGTCCGCAAGTCTTTTAAGTATTCACAGCCAACCACAAACCTAATTCAATCACTTATTGCGATCTTATAAAGTCCTTTCGTCCAGTTTTGCCAATGACACAGAATTGATGAGTTCTCCAGCCCCTTTTTCAGTGGGTCTGAACATGTTGAGGTCCTCCAAGGGTCTAGCGTTCTAACACAAAAGTACAGCCGTATGGATACGTATGAACCTGATTCCACCATTCATCCTTTTCTGAATCAATTGGGAACTCCACGAGAATGGTTTGTGAAGACGAAGCTTTTCCAAAAGACACTAACACGATAGATAAAGCATGTTGATGGAAATCATTCCAGGCGTGGATGAGGGAAATAACTGTGGAAACAACAATCCCTTGACTGGATTAGCAGAGGTGGGGTGGCAGAATTTAGAATAAGAACGGCAGAAAATTCCACACAGCTGGCAGAATATGAAAGCGGGATCAGCGGTACGGCAGAAAAGCGTTACACAATTGGTCAAGGGTAGCAAGGGTGGAGCGGCAGAACAATTAAGAGCTGACTAATAAGCAGCATAAAGCTTGGCTGACTCCTTGACACACAAAAACATTGACAGAGACGGCAGAAAATTCGTCTCGAACGGCGGCGGACTCATTCGCCTTCCAGACTTCCAGCGATGCAGTGAAAGACATGATTTGGGGTGTGACTGCAAGGGAAAATCTACAGAGCCACAGACCAATATCTCATATTCGCGCAGGTGCGCATTGACTCTCGATTTGTCGAGAGGTGTCAATTCGTCACACCTGTTTCTTTCTATAGACGACATCATGGTTGTGGATACGGCAGAATACCAGTGGGTTCAGCGGAACATAAGTGGATGTGGCAGAATCAACGGATTTGGAATGGTTTGCTGGGGACGGCAGAGAACTAGGTGGATCTTGAATGGTTGCGGATACGGCAGAATAGCTGTGGAGATGGCAGAATCGAAGCATGTGGGAGACATGGAGACTACGGTGTAACCTGGCAGAATAAAGATGGGGCGGCAGAATGATCAGAAGCTTGCTGATCGGTGGCAGAAAAAAACATGGATGGCAGAATAATAGTGGGCACGGCAGAATCGATGGATTTGGGAGAGTAATTATGGAGACGGCAGAATAACTGTGGGTATGGCAGAATCGTTGATTGAGCCCTTTCTAGTTTTCCCTCATCATCACATCTTTTTGTCCACTTGGCGCCCTTTTGTTCGATAGGCCTACGATGGTTTTGCGAGGAGACGGACAAGCAGAAAAGATGTGCTTACGTACTGGCCTCCCCTAAAGGCGTACCTCTACACTGTTTGGATTTGAGATTGTTGGCGTGATCCACACACCCGAGGGCGACATCACCAGTATGATTCGAACGTCACAAGAAAGCTCATAGGCCACAAAGGCGCTTAGGATGGATGTTGTATAGAAGCTCGAGACCGAAAAATTTGATCAGTTTAGACCTAAGACTTTGGGACTATGACGATGCATCTTGTAAACCCGATCTGAGCTATTGTGTCAGGATCACATGGGCCTAAGGGAGGTTAAGACAACAACAAGAGAGAGGAATGTTGTCAGAGAGCGCAGGAGAGGCGAGGTAAAAGCAATCCTATTTTCTATCCCCTACTTTGTTGTCTTCTTATCCCGCTTACCCATGATCTTCCAGTGTTGGATGATAGCCTGCTCGCTTCGCTGCAATTTACCAGCAATCCAAGACCACTTTTTTTCCTCCTGAACCCATGCGCGCAGACGTAATTCGTCCAAAGACGTCCAACGGCGTCGTTGAGGCCTTTTGCCCATTTCCTCAAGAACACCAGGGCTGTCGCTACGATCGGAGCTCGCACTCTCCTTTTCACTGTCGCTGTCTTCTCCAGAGTTGTCCTCTGAGCTGTCGCTATTTTTGAATGTCTTGGAGTTTGGCAGCTCGACAGTTGCCTCTAATACCTGTTCACCATTCATTACGTCAGAGCGGTTGATGTTTCTTGCGCTTGTTGCGTTGTGTGGAAGACGCTTCGTGGCATAATCGCTGATGAACCCAAGGAACAGCTGAAGCATGTCCAATCCCCTCTCACTGTCAGGCGGCTCAGCGCCTCTTCCGATAAGAGCCTGTATGGTGTCGATCAGCTGCAGTAGATGTTCCGCAGAAAAGCCACAGGTGTGACATGTCGCTGAGGATGGATCCGCCGGGGTAGCGACAGGAGAGACGGAAACTGGTCCGCACCTTTGGGGACCCGGTTTCCCTGAAGAGTGGTCGGGGCGTGGCGAAGTAACTCCGGTTATAGTTGGCGATCGCCCCTGCCGTCTTCCTGTGCGCTTCCCTCCTCTCGAAGCATTATCCACATTCAGCGCAGGTAGTCCATCAGAGCGCAAGTGGTCATTGCTACAGCTCATGGCGCCGGCTGTTTGAGGCCGTGGTTGGCTTCTGGGAGAGCGCCGGAGCTGTCTATCGCATTGGGTTGTGAGGCCTTTCTTGCCTGGCTTATCCACCAAGGCTCGGGATGGTAGTACACGTAAAGACCTGGCTGGCAGAACTGGTGATGCTGTCCCGCTGCTGGCATCTCGTGATCTCCTTCTTTTAGGCAAGCGACGATCGTGGCTCTCGTAGCCATCTTCGATTTCCGCGTGATCTCGTTTCCTCCTACTGGTGATGGCATTACGACGTTGCTGTGAGATGGAGGCGTGATCCGAGGATGGAGAAGGAAGCGCAAAAACGTCTGTTTGAGGCTCTTCCACACTGTCCAAGGGAGCGGCGGGAACTTCGATCGATGAACTGGAAATAGGGCTTGTTGGGCAAGACGGGGCCCTCGTGGAGTCGGGCGCCGCGGAGTGGCTTCTGGAGAGGATGTGCGATGCAGCAATTCTCGACAAATCTTGAACTGCAAGTTTGGGTCCTGGAACCGCTAACTCTTGAGAACAGCTCTCGCCACCTGTGTCTTCACAATCAGAGCTACTGCCGTCATTATTGGCCGAGCCGTCATCACCACAGTTTTCGCAGGTGTTGCCGCTCTCGCTCCTCCCTTTACCCTCAGTAGTAGCTGTGTAGCATTGGTGTCAATCTTGAATTCCTTCATGTATACGATTTTGGTCTCTCACCTGTATTCAAGTCGGTGATAACACAACTCGTTGGGCGAATATGCGCCGTTGAACATTTTACCAGGTCAGGAACCAGGAGCAGTTCCTCGGGTAAAATATTTGACTCTTCCCGAGAGGTCTGTTCTGTGGGAGGCTGGGCAATTGGGGGTGTCCAAGGCGACCAGAATGCTGAGGGCGACTTGGTCTCCTCCAAAGAGATAGGTTTGGTTGTTGCTGTTGTGATACTGCCTATCCCAGATGGTGGTTCGAAGGAGCCCAAGGTGTGCGCAATATTGTACCCGTTATCGTTCCAATCTATTCCGATGAAATTGAAGGCGAGGTCGTCAATACCGCAAAGGTTGCCAAAACCGGCTGTCTGTCATAAGTTAAGGCCTGGCGGGATGTGATGGGAGCATACCTGATGCAAAGCCAATGGTTTGGGCCTCCGTCGCGACGAGAGTTCCGACATCTGATTCGAGTGGTGTTGGGAGCGCCGTTGGTGGGAGGTGTGATTGATGTTGTTGCTCTTCGCGCTCGCGTTGGCGTTTCAGTCGTGCAAGCTTCTGCTTACGCTCCTTTCTTTTGCAGAGCTGTCCCATGGACTCTACATCCAGTTGTCTGAATTGTGGCCTGACCATCGTTGATGAAAGAGGTTGAATGGTTTGGTGTGAGCTGACTGGCGGAATAGTGAGGATACGAGGGCGTTATATAAGATGTAGATGTAGGCTATCCGTGTTGGAACGACCCCCCCTTTCCTGGACATGACGGTTGGACTAAAAAGTCCACCCATCACCCCTTGGAGGAGCCTGCCGCTTCCAAACCTGCGTTGGAACCCCAGGCTGGGGTCAGTTAACTCACCGGCGACTCCTTCGTTATGCAGGATCCTGGATGGTCTGATTTCCTCTTCCGAGCCTGGCCAACGCCCTTGACATGTCAGTGGGCTCTCCATCCTTTGTGATTGCTGTTCGTCTCGTCCAAAAATGGCAGTGATAGCGGACTTGCCGGGCAAGCTGTTGGAATGGATGAAGAAACTTGCAGCCCCGAGCCCCTGGTCAAGTCCCGCAAGCCACGTCGCCAGATCTCAACCGCCAGGGCCGCTCCTGGCGGCATGGATCATGATTGCCAGACCGAGATAGGCACCCATCCATCCATTGACGCCGGCGTCCAACCCTGGAGTTGCGCCGAAAGAGGCCCGTTCAGTTGAGCCCAACCCTCCATCGAGCCTGATGAACATTCCAACCGGCGTAACCACCCGCCCCTGAGCATGGGTGAGAGGGGTCATCTGCCCCTTAATTGTCCTGGCCAACTGCACAATGCATCGTAGATGTTGCCTCACAAGCCGTATGATAGGCTCATGCTGATGGAGCTTGAGGCAGAACTTGTAGTCGGCGCTGTTGATGGTCTTGGGAATATTGCGCCGGCGCTTCGGGATGTGTTCAAGCTTCCTGGCGCCCACCGTCTCGTATATGCAATGTAACCAATGTTGAAATCATCTCGTCGAGAGCTAAGACGAGGCAGAGCCGGATGTCTAGCACGACTGAGATAAAATTGCCTTTTCAGGCAATTTCCTTGACTCAGGAATCCATGGTAGCTGCTACCCGAAGCGCCCTTTGGTGAAGTCCGACCGTTCATCTTTCCTGCTCCTGGACACGGACGTGTAGACAACCAGCTTCAACGCCTGGGTGTTCTGCCTATGGTATGAGAGCATCCCAATTGGGCAATGTTGTCGTTGGCGAGCCCTTGCTCCTCGGTGTGAAAAACTGCTGCCGGGTTTGTGTTCCTGTCCTCTTGGAGGGTGCTGTGTCGTAGAGACCTCCGCGACTGCTCGAGGCCGTTCACAGGAGCTGTGCCCTAGCTGAGTATTCCGAAATACCGGCATGAGCTGATTCTCGGGGTCTCGGGAAGAAGACTGCTTCGCAGCACATATTCAAGGTCTGGACCGACGTTAGATGAGCTAACCCCGTTTGGAGGAGCACACTTCATGAATAGTGTTACCAGGCTATCGTTCAGAGGCATAGCTGCAGGGCGTGCATCATCTCGGATATACGAGGCCATCCTCGTTCCTAGCGTCTCACTGGAGATGGGCACTGGAGATGGGCACTGGAGATGGGCGAGCCGGACGTCTAGGCTGCAGTCGAGAGGTGAATTGCCCGACAAGGGAATTCTGTTGGCTCCAGCCATTCATCCCTTTGCCAACGCGTCTTTGAAGGATAGAAGACCCATGGCGAGGCAACGCCGTCCTTTGTTGGCTGGTAGCCCAGCTGGATGCCAGTATCCGCAATACGCGGTGCTTTTCTCGCCGTAACTGCCAACGCCCCGACCACTGGCGAGGTGGAAAACATGAAACTTGCCAAATATGGTAATTTCGAGGTATGCCTCCGTTCGCCTGAGGAAGGACTTAGCCTAAGGGCTTCGCCACAAGCGCTCATCATGATGCTTGGTTCAACTGCTCAGATTGACGCGGCGTCTCCGATCACCGCTCATGGTCGTATGATCCCACCGCGCATCCCATGATCCCTGAGTTCTCGAATTACCTTAAAAGGCAATCTTGGATCTAGCGGCAGGGCAGAAAGGGGAACTCTTCAAGATGGGTAATGAGCCTGGTGGGCGCTTCGTCAGGTGTTCGTAATTTTCGACGTCGATGATCAATGAAACAGGCGAGGCGAAATAGCGGACGTGGGTGGACAAAATTGTCCAAAGCAGCAATATACTAAGGGAGTTAGCAACACAGTTACAGCAGAAGAACACCAAAGCATACCGGGCATATTGCACCCATTGTGCACAAAATTACCACAGAAAACTGAAAGCACCAGCATGGTCTTTTTTTCTGCTAGTTTCCTTTGGCTTTAGAAGAAACGAAGGTTTGTCGGGTGGAATGTCGTGGAAGCGAGAGTTAAAGGTCGACGGTATGCAATCGCCATCGTAGAGTGTGGATGTGGCTGAGGCTGGCAGAATGGAGGTGAATATGGCGTGGGTGGTGCTCGGAGAAACAAAAGTTACAAGAGGAACTTCGAGGTACATCGGCGTGCTGGGCGGGGCGGGCGCCGTTTTATGGGATCGCAAAAACAGCGAGGGATGGCGTGGCCGAGAATTACCCGATGTGGCAGGTGCCGAAAATGGCATGTCAGCGCCGCCATTTCTAAAGGCAGGCAAGCCGTCTCTTGTTTTACTACTAAAGCTTTAGCAAAATAGTTAATATTATTAAATATAGCTATAGCTACCCTTATAGAAGTCCTTAAGGATAAGAATAGTAATATATAAAGGTCTACTACTAACGCTTTAAGCTAATAATTAATATTATTAAATATAGCTATAGTTACTCTTATAGAACTCTTTAAAGATAAGACTAGCTATATATAATAGTTTATTATTAATACTTTAAGTAAGTAATTAATATTATTAGATATAGCTATAGTTACTATTATAGAACTATTTAAAGATAAGAATAATATTATATAAAGGTCTACTATTAATACTCTAGGTAAGTAGTTAATACTCTTAAATATAGCTATTATTACTCTTATAAAACTCTTTAAAGATAAGCACTAATATATATAATTATCTACTATTTATACTCTAGTTAACTAGTTAACGTTATTAAATATAGTAATAGTTAGCCTTATAAAACTCTTTAAAGATAAGCACTAATATATATAATTATTTACTATTTATACTCTAGTTAACTAGTTAATACTATTAGATATAACTATAACCTCCCTTATAGAACTCTTTAAGGATAAGGATAGCAATATATAAAGATCTACTACTAAAGCTCTAAGTAACTACTTAACGTTATTAGATAAAATATTAAAAGCACTAGGTATTTATATTTAGTTAGAGATATATACCTAATTAGTACTTTATAATTTATATTATTCTTAAGATATAGGATCTTTCTATAAAAGCTTTCTATAGCGTAGCTTTAGAGAGCATTTCAGTCTCTATATTAATAAAACCTTCTATATTATTAACTAAGTATCTACTTTTAGAAGAGCAACATTATAAGGTTAGTAGCAATTCTAGAAAGCAATTAGAAGAGCGTAGGGCAAGTTAGAATAAGACCTATCTTTACTATCTCTAAGCTGTTCTAAGCAGGTAGAGCGGATTAATACAACCCACAATAGGTAATACTAATTATTTTGCTATTTACATAAGGGCTACTATACCTCTATTTACTAGGGCATCACTTTATAATATATTAAGTGGGGAAGAGGGCAGCTTCTAAAGAAGACGTATTTTATTTACTAAGCTTAAGGCTAAGGAAGGAAATCCCATTATAGAAGGTAACACGTTATCTCTTTCTCAACTAGGACATATAGAACGGCTGTCTTGCATTTACGTCAAAGGAGGGCTAGTTTATAAGTTATACAGCGTACCAACCTTACAACGTTAGGCTTTATTAATTTCAAACTAAAGAGGAATATAACGCGTTTATCTCCCTCTACTACTTACTAATTTTAGATAACCTACTCCTTTATAGAAGCAGTAGTTAATTAGCTCTAGAAGCTACTTTAATTAAAGATTAAGATAGGAAAGAGAAAGGCTAACATTATAAAGATAGAGCGAGATCTTACTATAATATAGAACGTCTCATAATTATTTAAGCGTGCGGTCGCTAGCTCTAGCTATATTGCAGCTAGCTAAAGCAAGCATAATATTATATAGTAAGTAGTTAGATTATTATTTCTCACAGCATACTTAAATATCACGCATATTTAGCCTACAGCAATTAGATATAGTCTTTTAGTAGTGTTCCTCTAGAGCGTATACAGTAGAGCAAAAGAAGCTAACAGGCCAGCTTAACAAAAGCCGTATCAACAAAAAAGTAAGCTTTATAGTTAGGGCTGAACTATCCTCACGCAGCTCAGCAATAGTGCCCACTAGTTCTCCTTTTATTAACTAATCTAGAGCTCTTCTATATATATATATTAACTACTACTAGGGAACAGTCTTCCTTTATAATTATTAATAACTATCTAGAGGTAGCGCATAAGTAAATATACACTAACAGACAGTTTAAAGACTTTATTAATATAATACTCCCTACGTAGTCGCTTACAGCATCCATATTCAGTATTATAACTAGTTTAAGGTGCTATAAAGATTCACATAAGAGTTATAGAACGTTAATATTACTCTATAGCCTATTAATAATAATTTAACTTAAAACCATACCTATTATAAACTTCTATTTATATTTATAGTTATATCTAGCTCCTAGTAGCCGCTACCTATTACTACTCTACTATAAATGCTCTATTTCCCTCCTAATATCTCCCTAAGATCTTATTACCTATATGCCTTTTAATTACTACCTATATTCTATTTAAAAAGTAATATATTAGATACTAATACCGTTCCTAAGCTTCCCTTAATTAAGAGATATACTATCTCTAAAATAGTCTATATTTATAGAAAAGCAATTAAGTTATAGGGTAAATACATTTAGCAATTAGAGGGTATAGTTTTTATATAGTAGGACTATACTTATTAGTAGCATTATATAATCTTAAAACTATAAGATAGATAACGTAAAGAGGACTAGAAAATACTATATTTATAGAGACTTAGTATTTCTTAGTAGAACTATATTAAAAAATAAGCTAATTCTTTAGTATAAATATAATTTTCTCTTAAT